TGCATCAATCGCAGCCGTTTGCTATCATGTTTGGGCGTGCCCCAAATCTCTTCCAGGATTACACTCAATTGCCTAATGCTGACCAGACACCCGAGGATCCTACCAAGGAAGTCATTGATGCCCGCTTACAGAACATTAAGGATGTGGTAATCCCTGCCATCCATAAGCGTATCAAAGAAACACAATTGCGCGACCATGAGCGCTTCGAAAAGCATCACAAGATCATTGAAGAGAAGTATCCCATCAATTCAAAGGTCATGCTCTTCGACCCTGTCAGATCAACTAAACTTCACCCCAGATGGCTCGGTCCATATTTCATCAAGAACTATACTCGCAATGGTAGTTATACTTTAGCCGACATTACTGGTGAATTGCTGCCCCGTGATGTGCCTACCCAGCACATTCGCGTTGTCGATTTCTCGGACAATCATGTTACAAAAGGCTTACTTCCTCGCCACTATGAAGTGCAAGCCATCGTCAATCATCGCGTTGAAAGAAAGACTGGTCGAATGAAGTTTCTTGTCAATTGGGTAGGTTATCCGTCCTCGAAGGACAATACCTGGCAATATGAAAGCGATTTTGATTCCAAACGACCTATTCGCGACTACTGGGATCGCATTGCACCGGATCACAAGAATCCCAATCGACTCCTTCCCAACACTGTCAATAAGCGCAAGATTTATAGTCGTCGTAAGCATGCAGGACCGTCCGTCACATTGCGTTATCCGTCGATTCCAAACTCTCGTAACCACAACATTCAGCAATAGCCGTGATCTTTTTGTCCTTGATTTGTTTTTTTTGGCCTGAATATGGTTTTTTTTACAAGGTTTTTCTTCGATCTGCTATTCCCTTTGCTGCTATCATCTTCTGATAACCTCTCCTCGTATACCCCATGTATGTTGTTTTTTTTGGCACCATCTCGGTTTTTTTTACTTCATATTGGTTTCCATCGCTTTGCCTGTCTACCTGTTTGTATCGCCTTCTTGTTTCTTGGTTCTGTCTCTTCGTTCTGTGTTGTATCCTCGATTATTGCATTCGGCTCGTATGATATCCTAGTTTGTGGCTGGTCGAAAGCTGGGTGGGGGTAATGTTGCATACAAGCATGCATCTTAGGCTACATTCACTTTCTCCTCAAGCCACCTTTTACAGTGTAGCAGCATAGATGATGTTCATCGTATCACATCACATCTATGTTTACAAGTCCAGTCAATTGTGTGTGCACAGGTGCCTCAGGAACTACAATACATTCAATCTCCCCAATGTCAAAATATCGAGATCCACCTACACTACATGAAACATACCGACTTAGGTGGCCTCTCAACAAGCTATACCAACAATCCATAAGGCCCCAGTGGCCTGCTATTTATATACCATCTCAACGTAGTAGTCATTGACCAGGGATCTACCATATTTAAGCAAGCTAGATGCCCTGTAATAAAGAAGCTCTTTGCTTTCGTTTTAGATACAGTTGACAACTGATTATTATCATCGACTTATTATTACGAATTCATCAGCATGTTCGTTCTCTGGTCTGTCTTTGGTGATTGTCTATACTCTTTTGGTCTATCTGTGGCTGTGGTAAGTGGTAAGTATCTTCTTTCTTCTGGTCGCAGTGATATAAAACTTCTTTGAACGTTTATATGATTGCTTCCTTTCTCGTGATAATGCATTCATGATGTTTGCCTTGTTGCGCTTTTTTCTTCTTTTTTTTTCTTTTGTTGGTAGTGTTTCCTCTGTAGCTTTACAGGAAACAACATTAGTCATTATGTTGTATCGCAAACTTATAATACCACTGTTGCTTTTGCAGTTGTGCGTATTTGTGTCATGTTGCTTTACATCTGACTATTACTACCATGCGCGCTGCTCATGTAGTATGCATTTTCTTGCAATAGCAACAAGCTTTTTTAAACATCTTTGATGTTGTGTTTGTTATGCTTTTCTTTGACTCGCTTCGTGTGAGTGTGTCTTTTTTGCCTACATACTACTATACTCGTATAGTAATAATATGTTCTTTTCTTCTTTCTTTTATTATTATGTTTCTTTGAAGCATACCTTTTTTACGTTGTGTGGATGTGCCTATCCCTGAAGCTCAACAATACTTTATCCGAGGCTAGGAGGTGGATAGGCTGCCTCCACTTGGTTATCACTACTTACTTTAGTGATGATTGAGGGTCTCAACGCCAGAATCTAAAGCTAGGTGGTGTAAGTAAGGCATGCTCTAGCACCTGAGGGAAATTTGATGATAGTAACGGCTATATTGCTGTATATAGCGGAGCTTAAAATTTTGCCTCACATCAAAACAGAGGGAAACCCTCGCAATTTTTTTTTTTAGGTCAGCGGAGTTTTCAAGCAATCTGATTGGCTCACGGACCCAAACGGCGAAGGTCTACAACTAGTAGATTTCATATTGATCTATCATTTATCATAATTTTGTAATTGTAATAATAAAAGGGTAACCAAATAGATAAAATCTAAATCCTTTTTCTTTGTTCAAGAGTAATATAAAGTGCGATCATTTGATTTATCACCCAGTAAGCAGTTTCATGTGAGGAATGTCTTTTAAATATATTATATAAGGAACGTTACATAATAAGTGCTACTTCAGCACAGTATTGTTTGCGTTTTTGCTACAACAATATTATTCTGGCCAATCCTTCTCCAGACAAGCGCTCTAGTCGTTGAAAACTGTAGCGAAACATTGTATGCTTTAAGGAGTAGTATACCTTTTCCTCAGCCATCATAAATGCATAGAGGAGCTACAGATTTATTTGATTTCGCAATCCCTTTTCAAAAAAAATTGGCTGTATGAGTCCAATAAATCTGTTATACAGTTACAGTAGTATCATTTGCGGTACTGATGTCGGGTTACTACGTACGATAGAAAAATTCCCCAACAAAAGTGATTTCGTTTTTGAGGCTGGGACCATCCAAAATTGAATCTTGAAATAATACTGATGCTAGATGGGTTATCAGACATTTAAAGATACTTTTAGTCGCTACATTGGTTGTCAAATAATGAAGCGAGTAAAGTGTAATGAAACCAATATAGAAAAATTGGTGTTTTGGCACCATTATCGGTACAATTGCCAGATATAATGAATCAGGCTTCTTTTCTAGTAGTAGCTAATTTTTGCTCCCCACTGCTTGCTCTACAAAATCAGACCTGATCGATTGATTTTGGACAATTTTGATTGGGGCTGACCTAATGGCCACTGCAAATCCATAAGAGCCAATGCTACAACAGCTTCAGCTGAGATCTCTAACGATAGGCAATGTTTGGGTTTACGTAAGTTATTTACTCTATTGATCGACGGAGGGTTTGTTTTATTATTATTTACCTACGAATTGCATTGAGCTGGTATCATTAATTATGAACACTACTCGACCTATGCGCTAAATATATATGCTTCGGTATAATTCAGTCATTTCCTCACTTGATAAAAATGTCACTGCGTTGTTATTTCGCGTTACATTAATTAATTGAGTGGATAGCTTACGTTCCTGATCAAAAACTAAAGTTTTATACCATGATTTTATGCAATAATGGATGTGTTTCAGTTTGATTATACGAAAAGCCTACACTAGGCACCACTTCAACAAGATCTTTACTGGTGCTATTTGCACACAATGAAGTTGTGCGGCTCAGGAGGGCAGCTTTTGAGCTCATTTGTTGTTTATATTTACATTTCTCCCAATGCAGAGGCTTGACACAGACTTGATAATGTTATCAGGGATACCGTTACAGGTTTACCAAATAGATAAACGAGTGCAATGTGATTTGGTAATGTGGAATTAAACCTGAGTGTAATGTGCAAAAAATCCTAGACAAAGCAGCATTATACTATATCTATCACGAGGGTAATTGGCCATGGATGCAAGCTTTGTAGGTAGCGCGATTATTAGTTTTGTACAGCTATGCTTACTGGACTGTGTAGTATTGAGATATGAAATATTTTATACACCACACAACCAACGGCTACAAATGCACACACAAAAAGCAAACGCATCTCAGTAATGTTGAATGGAATTCCTAGAATGTTTGTGGTCACAGACGCTTCATTCAGATCTCTATGTAACCCCAGATCTGAAATCCAGAAAACGAGATTTAGCCAGGTTTATATGATTCAGCAACAATCGATCATAAAGCAGCTTATGGTTGTGAGATACAAAAGCGAAGAGAGGATCAGACGCCAAGAAAGATGAGATATGATCAATTCTCAAACACCAATACACAAAAACACCCACACACACGGATGCATTTACTATCACTGCGCAAGATCCGAAAGCTTAAAACTTCTCCTTGATCAAAGGGGTAACTGTAATAGGCAGACTGAAAATATGACACTTTTTTTACCAAAGGGCGATGATTGGCATATAAGAGGTGGAATTACTCAATTCGTGATACAGACTTGCCCATCATTTATACATATAACAAATATGGCTTGCCAATTACCCCACATATGTCTTCTTTTTTCTCTTTCGTATTCTCAATTGCCACAGAAAATGAAATGTCTGACGCATATTACAACCATTGTATCAAGTATAGGCGGTTTATTGTATGGCTATGATATTGGAATTATAAGTGGCGTTTTTTCTACGCCAGCTTTCCCTGTCTATTTTGGAATGAACGGGAATGCATCCGAAGCAAAACAGATCCAAGGGAACATTGTTTCATTGCTGCAAGCGGGGGCCTATATAGGTGCATTGACGGCCAACTTCTATGCAGGTACAGATATAGACACTCAAATCCATGAGGCAAGCATTTTGTTCATGATGGCACATTTAGATAGATTTGGGCGTCAAAAATCAGTCATTACCAGTACTTTGATTTTCATGCTTGGTAGTGCAATACAAACAGGCTCTCAAATTTTACCCATGATTCTGTTTGGTCGGTTTGCTGGAGGATGTAAAGATTGTAGTTGATGCAGAATTGATTTTGCTATTGACATGCTTTACGTTTGCATAGGGGGGAAATAGGGGCTTGCTCTATGCTGGTTCCAATGTACATTGCAGAGATTTCTCCTCAGATCCGAGGTCGAATGGGCGCTTTGTGGCAGCTGAATATTTTCGTGGGTATGATGCTGGCATTCTGGTACAGTAATAACAAAACTCACACAATGCAAAACTCACATGTCTTGATACATACGAATTTAAGGATCAACTATGGCTGCCTCGTAGGATTAGAGACTGGAGACATCCAATGGCGCCTTCCTTTAGGGCTTCAAATCGCGCCTGGACTCATTTTGTTTATTGGTGTGTTATTTCTACCTGAATCGATTCGCTGGCTAGCACTGCAGTAAGTTGTATCATCTTGCTTTGAAAACTAGCGTACTCCATGCGCTCGTGCAATCTAGGGGCAAGTTTGATGAAGCCAAAGTCATCCTATGCAAGCTGAGAAATCTCCCAGATAATCACCCTGATATCCTGGATGAATTCAATCAAATTGCCAACTCTGCTACAATGGAAAAGGAACAGGATGGTACCAAATGGAAAGAGCTTTGTGAACCACACAACCTTCGTCGACTTGCTTTGGGCTGCTTTATGCAAATAGCACAGCAATGGACAGGCACAAATGCCATTGTAAGTTTTGAGGGTATTTAAGCGATTCATCATTAACTCTAAATTTTATACATAGAACTACTACGGTCCTCTTATTTTCCAAACCATTGGGCTCGCGAGCAACATGTCTGTGTTGATGACTGGCGTATATGGTAAATATGAAATTAGAAACAGCATACGTATGTGATTGACCTTGCCAAATAAAATAGGTTGCGTCAAGGTATTCTTTGTGCTGATCTCATTCTTCTTTTTGGACAAGAAAGCTGTAGGCAGAAGACCTACTTTACTGCTGGGCTCACTGGCAAATGTCATCATCTTTTTCGTGCTTGGCGGTATGCTCTATAGTATTGAGAGTGCCCTAGCCAAAGGTATACCAGCACCAGCAGCCCAGGGCTACGTGGCAATGGTGATGATTTATTTGTTTGCTGTGTCGTAAGTGGTCAGATTGCCTCGGCAAATGATTGTTTAATGACTGAGGCTTTGATAGATTTGAGTTTACCTGGGGACCAGTAACATGGATCGTCTGCTCAGAAATCTTCCCAACTAGAATTAGAGCTGTTTGTATCTCTATCACTACTTGTACGTTGCCTTGGGGACGCGTTTTTTATAGTGTACTAACAGCTGTATTTAGCCATGAATTGGGTATGATAAAAGAGAACAAGGAGCATCTAGTTCGAAGCATGGGTGACCCTAATCCTGTTTATTTCGTAGGCAATGAATGCCATCATCGGCAAAATCACACCGCTTATGATTGCAGACATTTTGTATGGTACATTTTTTTTATGGAGCCTGCTGTCTCACCATGGGTCTTGTTGTGTATGTATTTCTACCAGAGACCAAGGGTAGATCGCTGGAGGAAATGGATCAAGTGAGTTTCGCTTTTATTATTGCGATTGCTACAGCTATCTAATGCGTTTTCGAAATCTTCATTCACGGTAAAGCCATTGTCATTGGGAAAAACTACGGCCTGGATTAGCCTATTCTGCCAATAGAGAGCTTATCTGTGAGCGAAGAGCATGCTACTCATGACAGCGATAAACACTGACATCTGGATTATACCTAATTCATGCTAAATCTACTGCGCGGAAGCATATTAAAATTTTTTCAAACTTCGATCATAGACAGGAAGGGGCAAAAAGGCTTGATTGATAACCTATTCTTTTCTTTTTTTCTCCCATCATTCTACACATCAGATACAATGACACCCCTTGAGCAAAGAGCAGATCTCAAACGTAAAAGAACAGAAGAACCCCTCGTAATTAAGCATGAGCAGCGATCGATGGACGACACTTGCCACTTTGAAATGCCAAAGCTCTTCAGAAGAGATACTGTCCCCTTATACAAGAAAGCATTAGCATTGTATCCAGCATCCACAACACTAGAGAATAGCATATATCCTGCACCTAAAGTTGCTTCGTTGGAATCGTTTTACAACCATATTCAACCCAATGTAAGCGATCAACGCCTGGAGAACTATTCAACACCTCGCATCGCTGCCACACTATCACCATTTCAGTTGCAAAATGTAGAATGGATGATCTCTCGAGAAGGGCACACAGCCAATACCAATGGGGGGATTGAACCAGATTTAAGCATATACACATCGTTGCCTCTCTTGTACGCAGGCGCCCATGAGACAGAGCAGACGGGCACTTATATAGATATGATTACTACAAGGACGAGTACAAACCGAGCCAACATATCCAACCTTATCCAGCTGTCATATTCCGGTGGCATTCTATCTGATGAAATGGGCTTGGGAAAGACTGTGAGGTACGTATAGTCAAGGTTATTTGTAGGCACCTTGGAAACTAATAAAGGTGTACAGTGTCTTGAATTTGATCGCAAAGCATACATACAGCCCTCACGACCCCTCCCATCCCAAAGCTGAGGATGTTGGTAATCTGACATTTGCAAAAGGGACTCTAATTGTCGCTCCTGGCACTATCATCAGTCAATGGCATTCCGAAATCAAGAAACATGCACCTGAATTGACAGTGTTCATTTACGAGGGCCGCAGATACCAAAAGGAAACTACCGCTGAAGATCTTGCAAAGTACGATATTGTATTGGCATACTATGAGGTAGCATGCGATAGTTTGATCCATCAGAAGAAAAGATTGACTTGTTGTTGTTGTTGTTGTTGATATAGGCTTTCAGGCAAGAAATTCATTATTCGCAACCGCCACCAAAGAGACCACAGAGAAATGGTACGTTTCAATATATAATTTCTCATTATAAATGCCAAATGACAATGATACAGGTGTTGCCTACAATCGAGAGTTCAATTTGAGTCCTCTTGTTTCTGCCTTTTGGTTCCGGTGTATACTCGATGAAGTAAGTGTCCATTTAAATTCAAGCACACACAGTTGCTCACATATCTCACTAAATCCAGGCACAAATGATTGAGGGTCAAGTGTCTATTGTGGCCAAAGTGGCTAAGAAAATTCCTCGCTGGTATGCTTGGGCAGTAACAGGCACTCCTATGAGAAGAGATTTGGAAGATTTATATGGCCTGTATGACTTTATCGCTGTTGTACCTTCGATCAAAACTCCAGCTACTTTCTCAAAGCTATGCAAAGATCCTCAGTTCATGCCTGTTTTCTTTGATTTTGCTCGCAACACCATTAGAAGAAACACAAAGCGTGCTCTGGAGAGTCAGTTGCATATCCCAAAGCAATCGCGCCATGTTGTACGATTCCCATTTACCACCATTGAGCAGCATTATTACGACGATCTTTGGAAAGAGTGCAAGCAGAGCATTGAACTGGATTCGTTGGACAGCAACAATTGGAACATGTATCCAGAGACAAGAGAAGTGGCACGATCTCGTATGCGAAGTTGGGTAAGTAGGACCTCTCAGTGCTTTGATGCAGGTCATGACTGATGCAGTGTTTATAGCTGGTAGCACTACGACAGAGCTGTATCCATCCTTCGCTGATTGCGAATGCATCTCTTCGGCTCAGGACATCAAGAACAAACACAAATTCAATTCAGACAATGACCGAAGTGCTGCAAGATATGGCCAAGTCAGCTAAAATCAACTTGGATCAAAATCAATACAGCTTTTATCAGCTGAAGCTTCAGAAAGCCGGCATGTATGAAGTCATGAAAGACTTGGAAAAGGCAATGGAAACCTATACTGAAAATGTACCAGCGGTAGAGGCACTCTTGGAGGCTCGATGCGAAGATAGTCGTCAGTATCATGCCAAAGCGAAAGAGCTGGAGAAGGCTGGCTTGTCCATAGGAGATACACTGGATGTGACCGAGTCCAAGGTTCATATCAAATGGCAGATGCTAGTGCATCGATATTACTTTTACATGGCTAGCGCGTATCATACACTCGAAAATGAAGAGAGGGAAAATGAGTTTTACGCCAAAGCTGGTGATATTCGTCGAGATTTGCTGGAATCGTACACAGAAAGAGTGGATACACACACCAACGAGATGCGCAGAGCTGCCAAGTTTATCAAAGATAGCCCCGAATACCACTATGGCATTCGACACTTTGTGCTGGATATGAGTGGACCAGGCGAGCTCGCTGACATGGAAGATGATGATAGCAAACAAGAAGGCTTGAATGTGTTGGAAAATGTCAAGGGGGTGGGTCATACTCTGGATCAACAGCTGGCAAAGATACTGTACCTGCGGAAGAAGATTATGCCGATCTTGACCAAGAGCCTTGTGGATGCGGACAAGAATGCTGAGGCCACTGGTGAAGAATACGACAATTCATTAGAGGAGCAGGCCCTATGTCAAATATACCTTTCAGCCTACAAAGGGTTATTGCAGGACAGACGCTTCATTATCAATGGCAATACAGTGACACTGGATACCATTGCACTTGATTTGGATGATGCAACAGAAGCAAAAGAGGACAAAACCCAAAGCGATACAGCAAGGAAAGCAGAGGCAGCAGAAAAGGCATTCAGAAGTCAGTTGATGTCTCCTGCCAACTACAAAGTCGAGTGTCTTCGTGATGTGGAAGTGCAACTGAGAGATGTCAAGAGAAATTTCAAAATCAACAAGAGAATCAACATCCCCATCTTGAACGAGGAGCAAGCTCACATCAGGGCTCAACTACCCATACAGACAAAGTTGGTGGAGCATCTAGACAACGATTTAAAGAAGCTGACTCAACTATTCAACAGTCGAATCGCCTATTACAAGTATCTGCAAACCATTTCTGACACACTTTTGGCATGGCAAAGTGAACATCCACGAGCAGAGATGGCTAAAATTGATGCAGAGACAGAGCAGTTGGCAGACACCATCACACACAGCAAGTCTCGCGACATGTACTTCAAGAGTCTGATGGAGGAACAAGACGCTCTACAGCGCAACCAAGAAGGAAAGCCCAAGGATTGTCTCATCTGCCGAGATCCTATTGAGAAGGGAATGATAACATATTGCGGGCATTCATCTTGCTACAGTTGTGGTGTACAATGGTTCAAGACGAGTCGTCGTTGCCATACCTGCAATGCTACTGTCAAACCATTTGAGTGGTACAGAGTGTCTTACCAAGAGATGGAGATGCACGACAGAGACCAAGTGGTGGGGGCCGATAGTGCCAATAACAGCAGCACTGCCGCCAGTATCAATGGTAATGAAAACGCTTTGACAGTGCCATGGAAACCGAAAAAGGATGAAAGGATTGAGCATCTCATTAGAGAGATAAAAAAGCAGCAAATCTCGAGCAGTCAAGGGGCCAAGATTGACAGCATCATCCGACATATCAAGTACGTCAAAGAAAAGGATAATGGCAAATGTGTGGTGTTCTCTCAGTGGACCAAGGTGCTCGCAATGCTCAAAACGGGACTCGAGGCAAATGGTATTCAGTGCACGAATATTGACACTGGTGCTGGGTCTGCAGCAAGCAAGAACAAGGTAGCCAGATTCCAGCAAGACCCCGACATGAATGTGATTCTGCTGCATGCCAGAAGCCAGTCGAGTGGATTAACACTGGTGGCAGCACACACTGCTTTTATCGTTGAACCTGTCCTTAATGAGTCTTTGGAGAAGCAAGCCATCAATCGTATTCACCGCATTGGACAGACAGAGGAGGTAGGAATAAAATAAGAGCGGACTATCCATGTATACTCATTGTCTTATGAACAGACAAGCGTATTCTGGTACATTGTTCAAGACACGATTGAAGAACGCATTCATGCCATTCATGATATCAAGCGCATTCATAACCAGAAAAACAACCCAGCCACCAACGACAATGAAAAGACACAGATGAGCAAAGTTTCTGAAGGTGGTGGCGAGTATGTCAATGATGATGATCTTCGTCGATGCTTTACCAGTAATTTGACATACGCATTACGCAAATAACGTTTATTTAATCAAAATCTGCTTCAAATAAAACTTCTCTTTCTGCTCTCACTTGACCCGCAGGCACTAAATCCCATAACTGATTGTGGTTGTCGTATCCAAATTTTTTGTGGTATAGTACGACTCGTGTTCCATCCGATGTCTGATTTCCGCGTACATCCAGCACCATGTGAGGGTCTGCTAAAGTGTAAACGAACCCGTCCTCATATCCCCATCGTTGGTTTTGAGCATCACTCATCTTTTTGCGGTCGTATTGGCAAATCCAAGCATCGTCGACGAGTGGGCCTCCTCTCACGTCGAGCACTTTGCCTGAGCACTTATTCACTACAAAACCATCCTGGCATCAGGACCCCATTTAGCATCATACTCTACAGTTGCCACTAATACAAAAATGCTTACCTGGTAATACCATAGCTGATTATCTCGATCATCATTATGCTTGGGTGTCCATATTAATATTTTTCCGTCGTTCTATCGAGCGCAAGGTCAATCGTCATCATCATCACTATGAGAGAATGACATCCTACTTTTGTGGAAGCACCATCAACTAGCATAGATAATATTATGGTTGGATATCTCAGCAGCTAGTATGCCATCCTGCACTTACCATCAATCACTTTCCCGGAATTACGAGACTTTATATAAAAATATCCTGATGGAAACTCGTCCATTATAGTCAAGTGTTTCAGAAAAAGACAGGAAGAAACGAGTACATGCATTTTCGACCTTTAAAATATGCTACCCAAGGCCCCTCCAATCCAACAATCTGCGGTTGAATTGTTATCTCGCACAAAATGCATTATACTAAAACTGGCTGTTACTATCGCAGCGTGAAATAAGAATCATTATGGTTACGAATGTTTATACTTCGGATGGCTCTCTACCTTTGTTTCGCTTCGGTGAGAATCAACCTGCGCAGCGGCAGCTCGCGCTATCGATTGCCCTTGCGTATCTTATCAAAATACTGCTGCTCTCATTTTGATCCTACAATTACACATAAAACCCTTCATATTATCTGTGGATCTGATTCTTACGTGATGCTCTACATCCATATACACGTAGCTACTTCATATACGGGCAAGCAACATACAGATATTATCCGTTTTTAGTCCTTAGTGTGCCTAATACAGCAAAATCTGGGCGCATTTGAGCTATGTTTTCTCGCGTTTAAGGCCATTTTAGATCGTCAGAATAGCACCAAACAGTTGCTCTCATCTGGCAGTTACTTTCTGACACCTTTGCTCAACTTTTTGGGGATCAAAAAACATGGGTAAAATTCGACCAAAAAGCATGAGGTACCCCTCACAGTTTTCATCGAAAATCAAACCATCGCGTTTTTAACCTTGATAATGAAGACTTTTACTAGGGTATGTATTGAATCAAAATGATGCTATTGATCCTAAGCAATCCCTGAAATCATCTTTGTGGGACTTTGATATGTGAAATCTCAACTTTTTGGCCAGAAACCTCTTTTCATATTTTTATAAATTACTCAATAAGTTTATTCAAAGCATCTATTTTACTTGGTTTCATTGGATTCGCCTCGAAAAGCACTTCAAGAATGTATTAGAAAGCATGGGGTGATTATCACATTTTGTATAGTCAAAGATCACAAAATAGTTCAATCAAGTCGAAAAAAAAACAAAGTCTGTCCAATCTTGAAGAGAAAAAAAAATAAACTGAATTTGAATCAATTTCGGCTGCTGGTGGGGCTGGCTGACAAACTCAATGCCGTTTTAATCATAAAGGCAATACAGTAATAGATGTTTTTGAAGCGTATGGAAGTTAGGTGGCAAATTACATAGCACTATCATTAGCCATGCTATTTTCCTTGCACTCTATATTTAATAATGCCATTCTATCAAAATACCTGTTGGATCAACTTCTTTTCTTTTTGAGGCTTTGAAAGTGTCTAGAGACTATAAATTTATTATGTTACGATGTAGTTGAAAAGACTTTATTCAATTGATAGTTTGAATGGATAAAATATAATAAAAAAATGGCTCGTCATATAAAATATGAGAGTATAAGAGTTAAAGGATGTTGACACACATAGCATCGATAAATTGCGACCTTAAAGTCTTGTAAAATGACCAAAAATAAGATCATACCCTTCAAATTCATGAAGGATTTTATCCTTACGTCTGTAGCCACCAAACTGATCCACAGTACGCACAAGCTTACTGATGTTATCTACCTGCTGATCTGCATCGCAATGAGATGCAAAGTAAGTGACAGTAAAGGATCCAGGCTGGAAGATATCAATGACTTGACGGATAAGCTTTCGAATAGCTTCTTCACGGCCATGACCATGTTTACCAGGTGTTTCAACAGGTTTAACAGGAATAGTAGTTTCAAAAGAAGCATAAGAACATTGTTCTTCAGGAGCACAATGGATTGTGTAATAACCATCTTCAGATAAACCGTTGCAAGAATAACCACAGGGCTCAAACATGTATGAATCGACATTGGCTTCGGGATAGAGTTGATCAAGACCAGTTTCCACGTCAATGCGTTTACCTCCTACAAGACCGCTAGGTTCATCACCACGTTGGTAAAAGGCTTCCATGGCTTTCATGTCCAAGTTGGTCATCAGAATCTCAATGGTTTCATCATGTGTGCGATACCCTTGAATAGAAGAAGCTGTGCTGTATAAACCGCTGCTATTGTGATGCTGATGACGAGGTACCATGGTAGAGAATTTGCCTTTGCTACTCCAGGGAGTGAACTGATTTACCGAATCGCTCATCCAGGAAAGGCCCTCTGTTTCCTTCATCAACTGCTTCATATCAGTCAAGTTTTCAACATGTTCGCTCTGATGATGAGACATGTCGGGTGAAGTAAGATAGAGATACCATTCTTCAGCATTGGTATTACCAATCACATAAGAAGCACCATTGTCTATACACAGCATGAGACCCTTTGCCTCTTTTGATCCACTCTCTCCAAGACACTTACCAAAATGATTGTCCAAATAGTTGACCTCTTCTTCCCAACTCCTGTGAGGACCGAGTTGTTTCTCAGGAAACATGAATGATTTTCTGGAATAGAACAAACGATAGACACTTTCGTATCCACAACGAGTTTTAGCGATTTCCAGGATATAAGGTACAGCATTGAGAAGAGTGGTGGTACCACACGTCTTGAGCACAATCTTATGAGGAAACACAAACATGGAAGACTCACTGGAGAATTGGAAGAGAAGGTTTTGGGTATCAGCGACATGGTTTCTTTAACATTGTGATAAAATAAGCAGCGCAGAGCATGTGTCTCTAAATGCTATAAAAAAGAAAAAAAGAGCAAAAAGCGGCTAGGTAGTTACCTTAACAAATAAGCGTCCACATGAGCATTACTGACAATACTCAGTACTGTACATTTGACAGTAGCAAGCATCGAGTCCCAAAGAGAGCGATCGACTGTGCGAAGATCTTGAGAGAATCCCAAGGAGAGATTGATTTGAGATTCATTTGGAGTGGCAGGACTGGATTCATCTGACATTTCTTCAGAATCAGAGTTTGTGAGAGATGTTGACAGAGAATCAGCACCTTGACCATCAAAGCGACTGAAAGAAGGACTAGGAGAGAACCAGATTTCGAGCAGTTTTTCGGGTCCCTCAAAGCAACCATGCTCGGCTGAATAGTTTGTACCAGAGACAGGAGGAGGGGCAGGAGGAGGTTGAGGAAGTGAGTTGTAAGCCATTGTGATTTGTTTTTTTTGTTGTTGTTGTTGTTGAGGTTGAATTTAGCTGGGAGAAAGTATAAAATGTGGGGTTGAAGCCTTTAGTTGGTTATAAATGTTGGTTTTTTTTTTGTATGTGTTTTTTGTGTATGGAATAGAATAGAATAAGAAGATGGAAGAATAGTTAATTAATTAGTTAAGATTGGGGGATGAAATATGTCAAGACCAAAAGTTAGAGAAGTGGAGCCGGAATGGTAAGCTGATCAAGTAACGGACTAAATTATTCGTATAATAATCAATTAGCATAGCAAGCATGTAATGGCGGGTTTGTTTAATTAAAGATTTGAATTCAAAGAATTATTAAGAGTGGCGTGTGTAAAATAAATACTCATTCCTTATACTGAAAGATATAAGTGAATAGAAGAAAAACGGAAAAAAAGTGAGTAATTATAAGAGAAAGAGAGAGACGTTTCATATGTCATTCTCACATGGCTATTTATACCATTTGCAACAGAAATTTTCGCTTCTTCGTGACTATTTCAAAATGTAGATGAGATCTTCCTTCCTTGTGGTATGCAGGGTATTTTGACGTATAAGGTCTAGAATATGCGCTAAAGATATCATGGCAATGTATTCTTACGATGCCTCTTCATGTCGATTCCATCTTTGTAAATAGAATCATGTCGTTGCATTACAAGGAAACATGTCATTTACTAGTGTCTATTGACTTGAAATGTTCACAAGCACAATGGTACAATACATCCCGCTTGCTTGCCCTTGCCATCTCGCCGCGGATCAAGAAATGCAAACCACTATTCACTGGTAAACAACATGAAGCGAGGCGCGCACGCTTTACACACACTCGCTCTCATGGAGGGATCCTAGTCCATTCCTTAAGCATACTACAATACGCTAAAATATAAAGTTCAAGCTACACCCATACCATTTCAACAGTTTGATCTTGAGAAACCCTTCTTTTCTAGTAACATTTTAGCAATCTATCCTTATAAAGTCTGAATCAACTGGCCCGAGATTATATCCAAAGTCTCTAAATCACGTCGTCAAAATGGCATTTCATTATAAATGGAATTGCCTTTTTTTCCAATGCCGGGAACATCCAGTTTCAAGTCGCCTCTTGTTGTGTTTAGAATGTGTGAATTTGGGGAACTAGAAGAGACTCAGTGTAACAAGAGAGAAATCATTCTTATTTGTTCTTTTCGCAAAAGAGGGGCTATTGAATCGATGCTACTGACATGTACAAAGATATTTATTTTTAATTCAAATAAACACACAATTTACAGTGCCTCATCTTCTTCCATGACAGGCAATTCAGAGGGCTTAACCATACCAGGAATGAGCAATGCCTTTTCTCTTTCTTGTCTCCTCTTTTCTTCCATCTGCGCCTCTTTTTCTTCCAGATACAGCTCGCTGTTTTCGCCTGCAAACTCCTTGAGCTGAATGAGGAAATCGCGAACCTCCAACTTGAGTTTAGGCGGCATCGTGTTGTATTCCATCAGTGCCATGACAAAGATCTTGATTTGATTACTGTTAAACAGATGAGTTACATGGAATGTATACATTGAAATTACGTAAGACATACCTTTGCAGATGAGGGAATGCATTTTGGAGCAGGGCTGATACATATTGCACCAGGAACTGAGCATTTGTCATGTTGGGATCACTCACTTGAGTGGGATTATACAACGGTACTTTGATTTGATTGCTAGTAACGAGATTGAATAACTGTGCCAAGACTTCTGTCTGTCCTTTGAAGCCGCTCTTGTGATCTCGATCTGTCAGTACAAAAAAGATGTCCTGCAATATACTCAAATAGTAGGATTGGTAGAACGCCCCAGCTATAGCAACATCGGTCTGCCTAATGTTCAGCAGTAGTTCTTCGCATGTTGCCAAGCTGACATCTGCTATGTCACGCATTGTGTGCTTGAACCCCCACACAATACTATCAATGAACAGCTTAAACTGGTCAGGCGAGAGCTCCAGTAGAGCTAATAGTAGAGTGGGTGAGTGATTCTAAATGCACATATAGGACAAACATGTCTCTTACCTGGAAAGCACTTGGCATTGATGGCTCTCAGCAGGTTGTAGAATCCAGTTCGGTTCTCTGGAAACTCTGTGAAATCCTTCGTGATCATGTTCAGAGTGGGCTCAAACGTAGCTTCAAACACGAGCAGGATACGTGGTGTCATCAAGGACTATTGGTATCAAATGGAGTTAGCATATACGAAATACTGTGCTGCTTCATTTTCGCATTTCAGCTTACCCCTAGTTTCTTGACCATGGTGGCTAATGCATCCAGCACTTCTGCATCTCGAGCAATATCAACACTATCTTTGTAATCGGATAGCACTGCATGCAGAAAGGGACTCACCATATGCTCATCGACAAAGGTTAAATCATTGGCACGCTGGATAAATGTGTCAATCAACCTGAGAATATCCTTCTTGATGCTTCTTAATCCGCGCACTTTAGGCGTCTTCACAGCAACCGCACCTGAAATGCAAATTTTAGTCGTGTTTTTTAGCGTGAAATCTCGTTGATGTGGAAGATAGCTTACCTTGTTCAGTAACTGACTGTGACACAATGACGCCAACGGCACGATACAAGGTCAATAGATCAGAGTAGATTCTGCCTAGTTGACTAATAAATCCATGTCCTATTGAGGTACACGCAGACACATTGGTCTTGAGCACATGTGATAGCACTTTTACTTGGCTGGCATTGTTCAAGACATCCGTGCTTTGTTTGCAATTGTCCATGATCTGGTCCCAAGCACTATTCGGCATATGCATAAACATACGTATCAGTTGCTCTTGCTTGGTTTTATCCGTCTCGGCCAGAATCATGTAACCCACTGCCTCATAAAAGGTGTGAATTTGCTGAGGAGATAAATCAGATGTGATGCGAGAGATATCCTCAATGATTTCAATAATAAATGGACGCTCTTCTCCACTTCTACGAGCTACAAAATGGCGTTTGCATTCTCGAGATATTTTGATAAACGTGTCGCAGGCCATGTCTTGTACACCTTCGTGCGACTCGTGCATAAATTCAAAGAGCTTATAGATGACCGTCTTGAGGAATTTCCAGTGAGCTTTCAAGAAACGAGGGTATTGGCCAACAGTATACATGATGTTGGAGGCAACCACCGCTTTGTTGTCCTTGCCGCGCTTCATTTCACACAGGCTCAGCAAGTCTCGGATGACATTGACCAGGAATCGCTTCTCAATCTCCTCAGTCATGGCGCCAGAAATGGACCCAATGGCCCAGCACAGCTGATTCAGGTTCTGCCAGGACCACTCTGTGCCATCCATTTGACGTTGCAGCTTCAGCGTCATAATTTCTTCAGTGTCCACAACGCCCAAGTTGGTTAAATAGACCAACACTTCTTTCATACTCTTGTACAGGACAATGGTGTCGCTTTCCTTGACAAACTCTCGCACAATTTCGCCTTCATCGTTTTCGACAATCAGGACTTCTTCTGGCTTGACCATTCTTTCAATCATGACCACACGTAAGCTAGATAGTACTTGATTGTAGATCATGTGTCTCAGCTGGACAGCCTCTTGATTCCACGAAGACACTTGGTATCCTTGTGGCATAAACCCTTCTTCAAACAATTCTTGCACAAGTTTGGCCCAGTATTCCAGGCAGATTTTGAAGATTTCACGGTCTTCCACACGAGATATCTTGATGAGATAAAAGTGGGCATTGAGTAGAGCTTCTCTTGATTCATTATCAGGCGCTTGTTCCAAGATTTTCAAATGAGCAGCCAGAAAAGTCGTCAGGAACAATGCTAGATTCTGAACAAACTCTTGATCCGCATCAGTACTGTCTTCATACACAGCGGCGATATCTGTATTGGGCGGAATCATGGTGTAGACTGCAGACATGACTCGCGTAAACAAGTTGATAATCTTGTGGCTATGATCATTACTGTCTACGGCGAGACTTCCGATTTCTGTCAAGCATTTCAGTGTGCAATTGCGGTAATCTTGTATTTCGAAAAACTAAATAAACCGTCCAATTAGCTTCAGCAAGATGGGCGAACACTCAAATACACACCTTCTCCAAGAGGGTCAGCAAATCAGTTTCAAATATGTAGCCGATAGGGATCCAGCTGAGAAATCGTAAAAGTGTGTCCAGTGTTGCTTTGATGAGACTTGGTTTGGTCGCTTTTTCGAGAATCTCTTTGCATAATTTGAAGATTTCTGAAAACTCATTGCAGATCGACTGCCGCAAATTGCTTGTCTTCAATTGTGTCATCTGTTCTGCTGAATAGTCAAAGATTTCCTCACTGAGCAGCTTTAGAATAGCCATGTTGTTTTCGCATAATGTCAAATTTGATTTGCTAGATGCAACGATTTCTGGAATGAAAGAAGGCCATTTACGAGGCCAGTCCTGCTTCAATATCTGAAAACTCATGTTAGTCTAGGCAACAACCACGATTCAAGCTACAGTGAACTCACTTGGACAAGCACCATATTGAGTTTGTTAATGTATGTGCGTTCTTTTCGTAGCGTTGCTTCACCAGAGGATACTTTGACAATGACATTGACGATGAAATTCCGAATAGCTGAATGAAGACTGAGTGATTGCTTGATTGCATGAATTATGGCTCGCTTACCATCTCTGCCATCTGACTGTAAGGTGTTCCATCTCGTCTGAATAAACTTGTCCATGATTTGCAAAGCTATAAACTAAGGCTATGATTAGTAAATGATGAGGGTAACTATGCTTTGTAAGAGCTGTAACTCACTTTTGTCTGAGGTACGGTTGATTTCTCTAGGATAGCATCGGCGCGAGTCCATGCTTCTTCATGGTCTTGAAATTGAGTCAATACCTGCTGAGCCATTTGTTGCTTTGATATGGATTAGCTATGCCGTCGTCATTGGTAATGAGTCTGGAATACGTTACATCATTGCCGGAACCTGTAAAGAAGGTCATCACTACTTGGTCGAGCAGACCCACATCAAGCTCTTTGCTGAAATCCAATAAACTCTCTGTCATTGCCAAGCGTTTGTTTATGTAAGGAAGAATAAAAAAAAAGATAAAGAGCTTTTGTGGGATAAATGGGGACATCTGGACATTTATATGAAGTTAGGTACGCTATTTGTAATCCACCAAATGTAAGCAGTCTTCAATTACAGTCGTATCTGATGCGTCACATTACCTAATAAAGGGATCCAACACCTCTTGTCAGATCAGTAAATGTCAATCATGTATCAGAGTTTGGGTATCGATTCAGCTTATGTTTGCTCGAGTGAGTATTAGCAAGGACAGCCATGGCAAAATTTGCATTATAGTTCTCTGCCAGGAGTCAAGCAAATCAACGAAAATCATGCAGTGCATAGTGCCGCGGCTGCGTCTCGATAGGAAATCTTCAAAATCTGGGGTTGCTTCAAACCATGGATAACAAAAACCTGTCAAGATGATAGGAATTGACTTGATGACATTAGGCTTCTTCCATGCTGCGGATAAATGTCTACATGTCGCTCAGATGTCGTTTGATTTTAACCCAGATATTGATGTTAAAACGTTGGATATGTCCTGGTTACATTTGCCGTGGTATCGACTCTGAAATCATCATACGTTTATTGCGTTTTGATGGCCTGGCCCTTGTCCATTTCATAGCAGCGTCTCAATGGTTGTATCTTTTTACTAGTACCTAATCACATCAGGAAATCCATAGTGAGTATAGACAAACAGGAGCAATATGGCTACATTGCGGAGAATTAGCATTCAAGAGCCTTTTGCATCCATGACGCGTGTGCGTCGAATTGGAAAGAGCATACAAAAGATAGAGAGTATACCTTTTTCTTCCTTCTTATCACTCAAAAACATTATAATGGTAAAGCTTCTTGATGTCTTGAAAGGTTATTCATGGGGGGGATGCACTAAATCAGCTAAAACATTAGTCAAAACCAACATACATTCGAGCCAAAAGAGAAAAGACAACATTATTCTTGTGCATCGAGCCAAAAGACACACTTGAGCAGGTGAAAACCAAATTATGCCAAGCATTAGAGAACAAAAAGACAAACGACGAAGTGAGATTGCTTGTCGACGGTAAGATCAAAGGGGACTATTCAGTTTTGGAGAATACAAAGGCATTGGAGAACAATGCCATCGTCTATTATGTCTATTATGATCGCAACGATGGTAAATCAAAAGAAATCAACAATCAACCATCTTAAACATATCTAATTCTCTATCGAAAACATCTAGGACAATGGGAAAATGTGAATGTGATTGAGCCAGAGCTACTAGACGATGATTTGATGGAGGAGGAAGAGGTGCCAGCAGCCAGCACAACCAAGAAAGAGAAAGGAAAGGGCAGAGCTTAAGTGAAGGATGTCACAAATAAAAAAAAAAATCTATATATTCTGCTTCTTTTGTAACTTTGCTTCTTCTTTCTCTTCTCATTTTACATTGAAAATCACATCGAAATGGCAGGCATGAACAGCGTCAGTAGATATTTATCCAAAAAAGTGTACCAGTACGAACTTCAAACAGCACTATACATGCTGGAGCCTTGGGAAAAGATACTCTTTAGTAAGAAATTTACAAAATGGTTGTAAGGGAATCCTCAATTTAAACATACATTTCTTGAATGGTAGATTCCCTTGCATTGTGTCTTCTCAGTCTCTCAATTGCTACAGTGTATCACTTTACACCAACAATGTTCACTTCACAAGCGATATAATCAATACAACCCGACCTCTTCTTGCGCTATTACTTCTTAATCCTAAACTATTATTGCTATATTACCCAGAATTCCCTTACATGTACAAATAAATCCTTAATGGCCCTAGAACACTGAGGTTAAATTGAACCTGTTTTGCGGATCCCCTCCTTTCTGTTCCTGTACAAGTAGCAAAGACTTGGTCATCTAGAGAGTGGCATCAACCGTTACCGTAGCAGGGCCGAGACAATCAAAGAGGTAATTAAGGCTGAGTCTGCCAAAAGCCATTAGGAGCTCTTGGAAAGAATGGTTTAAGCGTTGCTGCCCATCAATCAGATATTGGTGTAACTGAATATTCCTTCCCAAGAAAATGATACAAAAATATACAAGAAATTTATTTAGAAAACGGTTCTACACAGAGGACAACTAGCTGTATCAGATGATCGGAACCACTGTTGCAAGAGTGAAGCATTAGTATATAACCATCATCATATCCAAGCACAATTACCTTGTACAAACAACTCGAGTGGAATTTGTTTTTACATGTTCTACATTGTTTTGTGGGTATAGATCTATCTTGGATACTGATAATAGAGTAGCAAATGGTACAATCCTCGACACCATTAAAATGAAGATTCACGTTGCGCTTAAACACTGTCAGTGCATCCACAATGTTGCCGTTTTGAAATCCAATGACGGCAGCCACTGCAAACATCCAACCACGCCATTGCTTGTCGTTGACACCCACCTTTTGTACTCCTTCCACATCAATTTGACGCAATGGAAAGTTACTAGGCATCTTGATGGCAATTTGCATGTTTTGTTCATCAACTCTGTAAGTTGCAGTTACTTCACCAGCTGCCTTGAGCGTCTTGACTGTGAACTCATTGTCATCGTTCTCTTGCAATTGGGCTTTGATGTCTGGACGGTTGACCAGATCCATTTCATTGCTGATCAGCTGCTGACTAAAGAACTTTTCAGTGTAAGTCTCCACTGCAATGGTTAATTGACGGTGTTTGCAGTCGATCCACCAGAGTCGCACAAGCGAGGGAATGTGGGTCAGTGCTCTGTAGTATAAGTGAGACGCTAGCACGAGGAAGCTCATCTCGGAAGTCGAATCAAAGCCGTCTGTATCGTACTCGACAATGGACCAAGGCGCTAGATCGAATGATTTGCTTCCTTGTTGTTGGCCTACACTCAAGATCATACACAGAATGGGCATCAAATGAGACACAGCTTCCTGGTCTTTGAGTTGTGCAGTGTATTCTTGCTTCAATTTGAATGTCTACAGGTAAAAACGGTCAACATGGAATACTAATGTGGAATATGAGGATGACTTACAATGTCGGTGAAATGATCAAACATGAGCATCCATGTCAGTAAGTAGCCTAGAACTTCATGGATTGTGTGTTCCTCAATACCAACGGATTGCCAGCCACTCAAGTCCGGTGGATTCAAAAGGACATCAAATATAGCACTATCGATATCAGCGTGTGTTTTTTCCTCTGCCCAATGCGTTAGTTTTGCTTCTATTTTTGCATTGTCTACACCTTACCACTCGTTTCTGTAAATTCAAGCTTTACAGACAGATCCTGGACTCTGTGAGCAATGTACTTTTTCAATAGGAGATATGCACGCTTCTGAAGCACTTCATTAGGAGAGCGGATGAGTGCATTTAACTAGTGAGCAGCATGTTAGATAGAGCAATTCTTTCTTGGGCGATTGCGCTGCTTACGTTATCGAAACAATCACTGTCAATCAAGGTCTTTTCGGGAATGTGCTCCAGCAAGTCGGATAACAGTGTTTGATACACCAGTCTTGCTTGATGTTGCTCATCTCTCTTTTGTTGCTGCAAATACTTCTCCTCGTTGGCCATCAATTGCAAAAGCGACTTGCTTAATGCGGGCATCATGTCTTGCACAGCTTCCTGCAGTTCGTCGTTACTGGCGTCTCCTGACAACAAGCAGAGCGTGTTGAACAAATCAAGCGCATGATACACAACCAAGAGCTCTTCGGGCTGGGTCGTGTCAGCAAGTGTGATCCAGCCATAACAGCACTGCAAAAAGAAAGACCAATGGCTTCCAGAGACATCTTGCACTGATTCGGCTAAATGCTTGAGTAACTGTGCTAACTGAGCTTGAACACGCGCCTTTTGTTGGTCACTGCTAAAATCAGCATCCTCGTCGCTCAAAAGAGGTCGAGTACCCTGAATAAGATACATTAATCTTTGACGTGGTATATCGAATGAGCCAAGCTTGAGAGAAGATGCATTTAACAGTGCCAATAGACTCCAGTTCTTCTTCTTTTTCAAATCAGGGTCTTCAAAATCGTAGTCGAGTTGTTCCTGAGAGGTGATACCAGACAATTTACTGGAGAGGTCGCTCTGATAGTGCTTGAAGCTCTCGGTGCTGCCGAGAATGCCCTTGAAAGACGTCAATATGGCTACCTTGCTCAACAAATCCAGTTGCTCGGATTCTGCTTTGATCAGCGGCAACCACTTTTCGACATCTGTTGTCTGCCAGTCCAGCAAGATAACTAGTCTTTGCAATACACGCTGTAACAGTTGAGCAGACAGAGCAGGGTGCTCGGATTCTTGAGTCAACATCAACTGGGCGACAAAGCTTGCTAAGCGACCTTGCTTAGGAGTACTTTTCGCTTGAATAGATTCAAGAAGCTTGCTGTTCCAAGAGGAAACGCTATCAACTTCTGAGAGAGCTTCGGTCACCCAATCATCAAAGACTTGGCTGGCAGAGTGCACAAACACGCGAACACCTTCGATAGCCTTGACCTCCCAAAGACAGCAAACATCAGGTGCCAAAAAGCCCTGTTCACAAGCGATGCACACAAACATCAGCTGGCGGATAACCCAGTCGCGATTGCCTTGAGTAAAGAATGCATGACGAACCTGCGCATCAGAGAGATACTCACCTAGAAACAGGGCAAATCTTGCAAAAGAGGACAAGCCATAGATATCGTAGGTAACAGGTCTTAATTCACCGAGGTCATCCACAAGCGGTTCAATGGATAGAGAGGCGTATACATCGACAAGACCCAGCGTCAGGTACTCGTTTGTCTTTTGTCCCAATGGCACAGAGGACAAGGTTTTCCAATCTTGTTCGGTTCCCAGAATATCAGCAATAGCACTGGATGGAACAATAGCCAGCAGCTTGTTGATACGACGTACGCTGTCTGATGGACTCGCCGAGTATTGGATATCTGTGATGGAGCGTTTCACGCGTTCGATAAGAGTTGATTGCAATGGTGCATTATCCACGAAAGCAGCAGATGCCAGTAAATCCCAAACAGCAGCCGCTCGTTGTGAAATCTGGAGTGAGAGTGCTTCATTGTCTTCCGCTTTGGCTTGCTCTTCTTCTTCATGAGGTGTCTTGGCAGTGACAAACATGGCGTCAAAGACTTCGTAGACCAACTTGTCACTAAGTTGAGTTAGTGCAACAGCATGCTTCTTGTAGTCGATCGCTTTTTGTAGGATAATCAAGGTGGATAAAGTGCTCTTCAAAACTTGGATGGCAGGTTCAGGCAGTGCGAGTGTGGTCTTCTCAACGTATTGGTAGCGGTTGAATCCAAGGAGGTTCGACTCGAGTGCCTTGATAATGGCATTAGCACAATCATCTGATAAAATACCATATGCTAAACATAAAAGGTCAGAGGAAAGGCAAATCTGATCAGGTTGAAGCGTACTTACACAAATGATGTCTCAAGCTCCAGGATACAATGCTCTCCAGAACAGGACGAGGTACAATGATGGCAGCCTCGTTCAGTCTGACAAGAGCAACATCCTTCACTATCTTATCCAAAGCGTCAGACTGGTAATTGGTCTCTAAAGCAATATTTTCAGCGTGGATCTGCTCCAAAACAAGCACCAAAGTCATGGCACTACGCAAGGCTAATTTTTCCTTGCTAAACATGTCGCTCAGCTTGTTAATCAATGTATTCCACAATTTGACAGATTCAGATTTGTCTTCCATTTTGCTGATCAAGGTGACATAGTACGACGCTAAAGAAGCAGAGGTGTTTTCAGGGCCTTCTTCCAACAAAGTCAAAGACTGCTCAGTTGCATAAACAAGACCCTTGGTGTCTTGCACAGGGTAGGTATTGACCAATTGATTGGAGAAGATCAGCAATCCAAATGACTTGTCTTTATGTACAATGCTGGATTCCACAGACGCCAATAAGAGACGCTTGGCAAGGTCGCTAGTGTAAGCTGTAAGATCGGTGTGCTTTGGGTTGTTTGCTGTCTTCACTTCGCTGGACATAGCCGCCAAAAAACCGCCAGTCTTTTGACAGAATACATCCATATTCAAAGGAGCTCGAGTAACGACAGATCCACAATCCACCACTGTCTGTACTAGCAATTCATCCAAATTTATCCACAGAGTTTTCATGCATCTCTTTACACTGTCCACAGAGGCTAAAACAACCAAATGCTTGGCAACGATGGCGTAACTATTCACATCCAGTTTGTCGTTGATCTTGCTGTCTCGAGAATTCAAAAAGTAGACTTTGATCATATCCCAAAATGTGCCTTCAATAAGTGCCGTGGCTGATTTTGTGGATTCTTCGTCGTTTAATTTACTGGTAATCACATACTGAGTGGATAGCTGAAGGCGAGACTCTAAAAGACTTACCTTAAGCTAATGGCAAAATAAACAATGCATTCAGCATAAGCATTTAAGAAAATATGAGAGTTGGTCTTGTCAATGTACTCTGCTGAAAATCCCTTCCAGAAGTTGTCGAAAACATCCGTGTAAAAACTGGGCGAGCGCTTCAATTCATCAGGCAAATTAGCCAGCAATGCAAGCATACTGGGATAGGCAATACTGACAGAGCCATTGAGGCCGTTGCGAAGAAAGTTGTACAACTTGGTCAATGCAGGCTTCTTTTTGCCAATGATGACCCAGGAAATGGGTAACTCTGCAGAAATCGAGGTCAGATCACCCATGACAGCCATCTCATTCTCTCCCAAAAACTTACTCTTGGTCATCAATAGCAATGCGTCCCACATGTCAGAATGAGTAGCTGTATCCTTTTCCACAAACACACTGGCGTAAAATTGAGGAGAAATTAATTCTAATCGAGGCTCCACCACATCCACCCAAGATAACAGCAATGTCTTGATAAACATGTACAAAGCTTTGCGAATGACAGGATTGTTGTGTGTTGCAAATTTCTTCCACATGGTTGTATCATCCAAAATCACATCGTATTCCGCCTGACACTTGGCTCTTTCCTCAATCGACAGTCCTGTGATCAAATAAGACACTACTTGGAAGCAGGAAGCAACCACGCGAGCATACTTTGACAGCATATCCTCTTTTGACACATATCTAGCATCACTCAGTGTCTCTGCTGTTTTGTAAAGTAACATGTCGGTAACATAGTCCAGAACCTCCTTTTGGCAGAAGGAAATAACGCCTAATCGCTTGTCCACTGCAAACACAGACTGTACAGGGAATGAGTATCTCAACCGCATGGCAAGCTGTTAAATGGGACGTACCTCAAAAGCGTTTTGTGCCACTCTGACAATGTCTTTGCTTTGATCGTTCATGGAGAGCAGCCAAGGGCCGATGAATTCCTTCAAAAGAGGTGCTAGCTTCTTTTTAGCGTTTGCTGTGATCAAGGCGTGTACTTGATTTGCTACTAATCGAACACGGCGATCCACTTCCAACACGAGTTTACTGTACATTGTAACCTATACAAAAATAAGCTTTCTTATCTCTCATCATAACCACACGCACACACACACACACACACACACACACACACACACACATACCCAGTTGTGCAGTATATGTCCAACTGCATGCTTGTTTGACTGCAAATAGGCTTCCAATTCCTCCAATGCCTTCAATTTGGTTACAGCGTCGCGTTTCGACGCCTTTTTCAAAATCACAACAAGCTCTGGATCCAAGTCGGGTAAAGCAGCACTTTCATGGCCATCCAATGATGAAGGCGTTGCAGGGCGAGAGTTGATGATGCCCGAAGTGGCAGGCGTACCAACAAATTGAGCAAATCCACCGAGGTTTTCAAAGCTCAATGAGTTGCCTGAGCCAGCGAGTTCTGCAGCTCGACTGTCTGTGTGTAAGTATATGCGCAATGATATTTTAGATGACGACTTACCTGCTACTAGCAGGCTGCATGTTGCCTTTGACTCTGGGCTTTGTAGGTCTTCCCATTCTCCAATAAATTATAACAATAAATGAGAGAGAGAGAGAGAGAGAGAGAGAGAGAGAAAGAAAGAAAGAAAGAAAGAGAAAAAGCGACGCAGCAGAAAGAAAAACCAAAATTTCATTTTATATTCAGATTTGATTTGATGATAGTTTTCAATGCGAACAATTAAATAGTTTTATTTTACAACGAGACATCTAGTAAATGCCAGGGATGATTCTGTACTTGACTTGCTTGCAATATCTCTCCCAGTCTTCACCGTACTTTGTTCTGCACTTGTGATCATCTCTACGCTCACGGTGAAGCAAGAGAATACCAAAATAAATAGGGTAAAAGTAAGGAATGGGAGTGGCAAATCCACAAGGCAAACTCCAGGACAAAGACATGAGCCAGTCACCAAGATAGTTGATATGACGAGACATGCCCCACCATCCAGAGGTAATCAGCTTGCTACCAGCCTTGGTTTGCATGTACTTGAGCTCTGTCATCAAACAACATGTTAACAAGAGATTAAACATTTGGCAGATCAAGTGCACTTACTCTTCGAGCTGGGGCTATTGGGGGAGGAACGGAACTCATTCTTTTGGGAATTGGCACTTCTGAAAATGTAGTAGCCGATGAAGTTGAGGGCAAGGATAGCACCAAGTTCGATCCAGCTGACACTGCGAGGGAAATCGACCAGATAACGAGCTTGCAAAGTGTAAGTGAATGGAACCCACGTATACAGACCAAAGGCAAGCATGAAACCAAAGCCATCTATGATAACGCACCTTTGAGTTTGCATTGAACTTGTGTTTACTAGCACATCCTCGCTACTTACCGGTAGTAATATCCATGGTAGTTAAGACAGCCTCCTCATTCCAGAGAGAATCAATGACATACCAAGATTGAAAGAACTGGACAAGGCACATGGTGTTGGTGAGGTACCCCAGATCGTTCCATTGTTTAGCTGCCAAACAGTAGTTGAGGACCAACCATCCAATCAATCCAGGACGAAGCTCAGTAAAAAACTTGATGTCGAAGCTTTCAATGCGAGGGTTCAGTTCTCTGCCAATCATAAACTACAATACTTGTTTAATGCCAACCGTCAAATCTCCAACTTTTCTACTTACGTCGTAGATGGGGTTGCCAGTGTTTCCTCCCAATGCTAACATCTTATTTTCGCCAAAACTGCCGAGATAACAGCCCAATGAAATAGCATAACTAAAAATAATGGAGGCAAATGCTAATCCAACATAGTGGTCGTAGGCAAATTCGAGTGGTTTCAATCCAGAATCCTTCAAAAAATAGAGTGCACCGAAAATGAGGGAGTGGAAAGATGCGAAGCCTAGAAGAAAAAAAAAAGCATGTTGGCATCCCATTTCACGACATCACACCAAGCGCCTGTCTATCTTACCATTCATTCTGTACTTGTATCTATTGCCATTTCTAAGCACTGTACCGGGAATGTAATCTCCTGGCAAGATAACATAAAAGACGGCCAATACAGTAACAAAGGCAACATAGACCATGAAGGCATAAGGATCCCACAATGACTTTAAGAAATCGACACTGAACTTGGAAGCGAGGGCAGATTTCCAGTCGTCTCTGAATGCCTTTGAGGGATAGCCGGTTGAATCACAACATGTAGCAAAGAAAAGCACGAGCATAGGCAATAAGACAATCATGCCTACAGCGCCAATTGGACCACCAAATTCATAATGCTTAGTCTTGGGATTGAGCTCTGTTACCTGAGTCTTGGATGCCTCTTGTGCTGGTGGCTGTTGCTGCTGCTGCTGCTGCTGTTTCTTTCTCTGAACAGGCTTTGACATGATGATTGAATGAAAAAGGGAAAAGACAAGGAGAAAAAAAAAAAAAAAAAAAAAAAAAAAAAAAAAAAAAAAAGAAACAGAAACAGAAAATTTATTTACCACGACTTATCAAGCAAATGAAAGGTGCGCTTCTAATAGAAGTCTGTAAGGGGATCCGAGTAGCACAAGCAGCTCAATTTAATCCCTGCCAGTCTGATCGTAGTGCTTGCGTTTTTTAGCTATTTAGACACTTGTTGCTTAGTATTGTGGGCATTACACAAACAATGATAAAAATAAATACCATCTCGTAATACACTGTAGGCGGACGAAATAGCTTGGAATTTCACCTTGGCCTTATTCTTTTCCTCAGCATCTGTGAATCGATCCGGATGCCATTTCATAGCAAGACTAGTCAGGTCTATCGTTTAGCAAACAATGGGCTATTGTCACCTGCTCTTAAACCTACCCTCTGAATGCGCTTTGGATATCCGATTGCGTTGCTGACGTGGAGACACCCAATGCTTTGTAGTATCCTTTGGGATCGCTGCCTCCACCGCGTTGCTCGTTGGATGATGTATTGTACCATGAAGATTGCTTCTCCTCTCGCCATGTACGACGTCTTTCTTGATCCTCAAAAGCGGCATACCCCTTCACCCAGTCACTGTCCCAAGTATCCGAATCTTGTGCCATTGCTTTGATCTCTTGATTTCTCATGATATCTCGAACGTACAATGACAAAATAGGATAATACATGGCTAAAAAGGACGTTGCGACTGTAGGAAAGACTATGCCCAGCTATTCAAATGCCATTGAGTGCTCTATCTATCAACAACAGCTGTAGATACCTACCCAAAATGATCCACTGGCACCGCCTACGCCAACACCGCCTGTCAATGCCATTGCAGTCGCCATGCCAAGTGCAGACACAACGGCCACTCGCTCCCAATTGTATATTTTAGTGCCTCCAACTGTTAAATCGTAGCCGTTGATGAATGTCCTCAGCCGTCTGCCAAGATAGTTGACCGAATAGATGAATGCTGGATAATAGACTGGTGACACACGCACATTCTCCATCTGGATATTGATCTTGAGTAGTCTCGTTTCATCCATGCCATACAATTTTCTCAAGAAATCGTCGGCCAGTGCCTCCTCTGTGTCTTGAATGTAGCTCTTTGCAAACCGTAATGCTGTGCTTGGATAAATCATGAATGGATCTACTTTGCGGGTGACATCCCTATCATCTGTATCCAATAGCGCAGGTGTGAATGGCACAGCATTCTCTAATGCTGGACCTGTTGTGATGTGATCCACCAGGCCACGTCTGTATCTATGCGAGGCGTAGATTTGTAATCCTGGATGTGCTAATGGTACGTAATCCCTTGTAAAACTATGCTTCTCAGGTACCCAGGCCCAATCTGTTTCCCACATGGATTCATTTCGTTTTGTAGCAGGATTGTACCGTGTTCTCATAACTCTTCTGCCCTGAACCATGACAGAAATCGTTAGATTAGAGCAACGGCAAAGGTGAAGAGACTTACCACTTGTGCTTGCTCGATCGTGGCATGGACAGTGGCCGATACGACCCAGAAGGGCAGAAACGCTTGCTCTGGTGGTGATGTCTTTGAGACACGGGCGGAAAAAAATCCTTTGCCATGGTAGTCCTCAAATGTCTAATCAATGAAGAAGATGTCGGTGACCAAATAGCCCCTTCATCATATCAACAAACATACCTTTTCGGCTGCTTTGATGTGTTGCGCGAAAGGAATTGCTTTCAGCTTCTCGCTTGCTGGACCGCCACGTTTGCCGCTTTTGGAGCTCTCTTGTCGAAAGATTGGTCTAAGCAATACATGCACTGCCTTTGTTTGTCTCGGTAGAGATCTGAATGATGATGTCAAATACAGCAACATGCTTATGTTGATGTATTGATATGTACGCTGAAAAAGAAATCTCCTGTTGCATTAATGATGTAGGTCGATGATGTTCATGTACAACAAACATTGTGACCTGTTTCCAATGCCCCACATTCAACTGACATTGATGGACAAGAGATTTTATAGGCTCTTAGTAGGTGAACATGGCCAAGACACTGGATACATGTTGACCTTGCCCCTCTGTTATATCAGAGTAAGTGTCGTTAATTACTATCAATTTCTGGACAAAGCAATCTTCATTGGAATATGTCAACAAGTTGTGTCCCCTTGAAACCTCAAGTCAGACTTGATACCAGTTTTTTGTAGGCCATGGAGCAATACATATACATGGCTCGTATCCTAGCATAATGAGAAAGATGTTTTTTTTTTGCAAGTTAGCGTTCACGTGGATATTGCTAACTTGGATGTTCATGATTGCAAATGATGCACAAAATGTATAGCTAACATTTGGCATTTGAATAAGTAGTTTACAACGACAACGTCAAACAATTTCGAAAATAAACAACTCGAGCAAAAAGAAAACGAGAAAACTAAATCAAGATGTTATTTCAATTCACAGCTCCCTTCTGTTTTAGCTTCCAAGGCCATCCTTTTTATGAATGGTATTGAGTGTACCAGCCAGAATTAATTAAACATCCGACCCATTTTCTTTCGCTCGAAATGGTAGTTTTTGATCAAGAATCGACTTGGTAAATCTATTTTGCCAAAATAGCCTATGTATGGTGTGATGACCATCCCATACCTTCTAATACATTTTGAAGCACTTTTGAAGGCGCTTCCGATGGTGCTTATTATAAGCGGTGTTTTGAACAAACTTATTGAGCAATCCTTGAAAATATGAAATGAGATTTTCGGCGAAAATGTCGAGAATTTGCATATGAAAGTTTTACAAACAGGTTTTCAGTGGCTGCCCTGGATCGGTACAATCATTTTGATTTAGTATATACCATAGTAAAAGTCTTCATTTTTGGGCTCAAAAACGCGATCGTTTGACTTTTGGTAAAAACCATGAGGGGGTGTCTCATGGTTTTTGGGTGGTTTTGGCCGATGTTTTTTAGGTCACCAAAAAGTTGAGCAAAGGTGTCTGTAAGTGAATGCTGGATAAAAGCAATTATGTGGTGCTGTTCTGGCAGTCTAAAACGGCTACTAACGCGAGAAAACACGGCTCAAATGCATCCAAATTTTGCATATATTCAAGTAGTAAAAGGCAATATGAGCAAGTTGTCTGCTCGTATATCAACTACTAGCCGATCTATCTCGCTACGCTCGATGACGGCGTCGCCCTGCGGGCTTTGGCCGATTACAATAAAACTGATTAAATCAATGGTTATAAAGGGTAAAAAAAATATATAGAGTAGTTATATTAGGTAGTATCTGAAAATAGAACTTCAGGATACACCACATTTTCTGTGTGCTTCATATTTTCGGGTAATAAAATAGTCATGCCATTGGCAGATGTTGCTCTTGACATGGCAACATAGAGTTGACCATGAGTAAATACGGGACTCCTGAGGTCCACGGCAACTTTCCTGAGAGATTGACCCTGCGACTTGTTGATGGTCATTGCGAAAGATACTTTAACCGGGAATTGCTTTCTGATCAAAATGAATGGCAATGTGCCAGGCAATGTAGACAAAGTAAAGCGAGGAATCAACTCGACTGCACCTGACTCTCCGAGGATTTTCACCTTGAGGACATACTGTCCAATTTGCTGAATGATCAGCCTTGTACCATTGCACAAACCTCTTTCAGGGTTGAGGTTTCTCAAGAGCATTACAGGAAGACCTACTTTCAACTCCAAAACTGCTGGCGGCAGCCCTGAAGGCGAAAGGGTTTGCAAATACTCTGAGGGATAGGCTTGGGTCTCCGTGTTGGTCAGATCAGACTGAGCTGTGTCAGCAGAGTACAGAGTGACCTTTTCCCCAATCACGTTCTCCATCACCTTGCTGTTAATAGCATCAACGTTGACGTTCTTTGAACAGAGAATAGCTCTTTCCTTGAAGAAATCACTATTTTGCAGAGGACACTGCAGAACATGCTGAGGATAGATATCTTCAATGAACTGATCAAGATCAGTCATCTGCCTCAAAAAAGAGGGCAAAGCAATGCTGCCAATCATGGATGGTTCATACGACATTTTTCCTATCCAATCTGCAAATTGCCTATCTGTGTCATTGGAGTTGGCAAGTCTCATATTCTCAGTCAGGCTCAGCTTTTGTAATTTGGGCCATAATCTTGACGATTTCAGTGAGGCATTGACGATTTCAGGACGGCCACCTTGCCTAACAACAGGTGGAATTTGAGCAAAATCACCGCCAAGAACAACAGGAATACCACCAAAGGTAACTTCATCACCACGACTACAAATATCACGAAGTGTTCGATCAAAAGCTTCAAAGCAATATCGATGCTGCATTGGCACTTCATCCCAAATTATCAATGCTGTCTCTCGAATGAGATCAGCAAGGTCATCGTTCTTCTTGATCGCACACACAGACTGCTCGTGGATGTTGAGTGGAATGGCAAAGCGAGAGTGTGACGTACGCCCACCAGGAAGTAGCAAAGCAGCAATGCCAGAGGAGGCAACACAGAGAACAATTTTTCCTTGGCTTCTATAAAAGTGACAAAGAGTATTGTAAATGAAGGTTTTGCCAGTGCCAGCTGGACCTTGCAAAAAGAAATGTGAGCTGTTGGCGTTGCTGTTGATGGAGGAGGTGATGGTCTCAAATATGTGCTTCTGGGTAGCGTTCATTTGAGCATACTTTTGCTGATACGAAAAGGCTTCTTGATCTTGGAGATATGACATTTCATTGAGTATCAATGAATTGCGCTGTATGCCAGTCATTCTGCTTATCAAGCCATTCCAGTTGAAGAGAGGCAAAGGCAAATTGAACTGACCTAGAGATCTGTCTTGTGCACCAAGAGATGTTTGCAACAGATATAAGCCATAATCAAGACTTCGCGTTCCATGGTAAAATTCAGCGTCAGGTTGCACGCTGAGCAGCAGCGAATACCCTTTTTGCACGATTGCATGCTCAAGGTCATCACAGAAACTTTCACAGAATTGATTCCAAATCTGAACAGGCGATACCAATGAGTTGAACATGAGCGCAGAGACAAACATTGAACGCATTGCGTAGCCAGAGGCAAAGGTAGCAGCTTCTTCAAAGGCTCTGGTCCATTCTCCATCATCTTCGATCAAATGCAGCATCATACAGGCCTCACGAAAGGTGGCGTACTCGTGATTATTGACAGTTCTCAGATGAGAAAACGACGTGGCTCCTCTGACAACTGTGAGCAGCAGACGCAGATAATACCTCTCGCCGGCAGCAGGGCTACAGTAGTACATGCGGCCGATAGACATGGTATCGGTTCGTCTTGCTTCCCACCTTTTTGGCTTCTTTTCTTTCCAAGTCATATGCTCTGGGAATTGCTGGTAAAGCAATGGTTGAAAACCAGGTTTGTTTTGATTCACGGCATTATAATGAAAGTAACCCATGAGCGTGGTATGACTCTCTCTCAGGACATTATCAATTCTTGATTGAGGCCAGGAAGGATCAAAATATACAGGCTGCTCATTTTCAAGATGAATAGCAAGTGTAGTGACAGGTGGGCTTTCCTCATGCATTGGGAACTCTTTCAACCTCCAGACGGCTTCACACGGGCTGATATAACGGCCATTCAGATATTTGGCACATTCATCATTCTGATACATTGCTGCAGTACCAGCTGTTGCGGCTGTTGTCGCGGTAGTCGTGGTTTTCAGAGTAGTCTGATCAGAACCTTTGTATATATACTTGTTGATGTATTTGATAGCCTGGACACTGGCGCATACTTCCACGTTGATATGAGCGTTGTATCTCTTTGATAGGAATGGATTATACGCTACCACCCATTCATTTGTCATATGAAAGTCGTGGTACACGTTCTGATCATCTTTGATGCGTATTACATGAGAGCGGCCATCCATTCTTCTACGATAGAGTGGATACCCATCATCAGGGACTATGGTTGCTGGCTGATAAGGCTTTGGGAACTTTTTTGAGCAGACGTCGTTACCGAAAGCATCCTTCACCATACAGGGAGATTTCTTGTTATAACCACCACATGGACCGTGCATCATGTTGCGGGTGACAATTGCATGTAGTTCAGGGTCTTGATGAACGTCTGGAATTTCTGTGGAAATAATCTGGTCGATCCTCTCTGCCGTATCAAACCGGTCATTTTGGTTATCCAAGAACAACAGCATATGACTATGCGGGAGGCCGCGCTTCTGGTATTCGATTGTTCTCACAATCCCTTTATAAGCACCAAAGATTTTCTTTTGCTTCAGGTCTTTGAGTAATGCGTCGTGCTTCCGGTTGAATACTTCAGCAACCAAATCTGGGCGATCAGCAGCACTTTGGCCAGGCAACAACTCATCTTGGATCTCCCTCCAGTTTGGGTTTGCAGTAAACGTTATGAATAACGTTGGCTTACCAAAGAATCTAGAAATAGCCATTGCGTTTTGGTACAGCTCTGCCATAAACCGGGGACCACCAGTGAAACTGCTTGGCAAAATAAACGTTCTACCCACCGTTTCAAGATCTGTATCAGAAGCACTGATAGCATCAGCAAGACCTTTGTAGACATCAGCACGGAGAGTCGTTTGATTAGCCTTGATCCAGTTTAACTTGGTTTGTTCACAAACAGCCCAAGCATCGATCAGGTATTGCTGGAATAGACGTCTCGAGAGGAACAGGATTTTGGATTCACCATTCCTGACATGCAATCTAAATCTATAGAAGGCACGCTGGGTAAGCCTGCCTGTTGCTCGACGTTGTCCCTCTTCTTGCGCTTCTTCATTGTCAACATCCATGGCATCAACAGTTGAAGCAGGCAATTGCAAACGAAGGCCCCAATGCCACCCATATTCACCTCTGGGAAAAAGCAAAACGTAATGGAGAGGCATGTAGGCAGCATGCGTCTCGTTGATCCTTCTAAAGAGTCCTCTGGAACTGGTGGAGGTGCTATTTCGATAGGTAATCAGGATGTCTCTGAAACTTGAATCAGCATATTCATTGGGGATAATAGCTGCAATCTCGTTGACAGTTGGCAAGTTCTGAGTACGCCTATCTTCACCGACAACCAATTCCAGTCTCATTTGAGGATTGAGTCGAATATACGCATCCTCGCTGACATGATCTTGGGCTTGTCGTTCTTCCTCTGCACTCAGAATTTCGTGGGCATGCTTGTAGATACGTACAAATGGGTTACCACAACGAACCGGGTCATCAATCATTTCACTTAATGCTTCAATGATTGAATCATCTAAATGCTGATTTCTGGGGTTGGCAGATCGACATGCAGCAGCATACTCGGGATCGTAAATGTACAGTTGATTGTACTTTGGAGCATTACCAAAATTCAAGGGTGCTTGCATGTGATACAATTCACCATGGGCACTTACTGGAGTAACTCCACCTCTTCTCTCCTCCTCTCCTTCTCTCTGGGCCCCTGCTGGCGTAGCAGTGGTACCGAATGAAGTAAAAGCAAACAAAGTATTGTATTGCCTTATATGCTTCAAGAAATGGGATGAGCGTGGATGGCTTCCGTTGATTAAGCTATTCAAGGGCTCAGGCGGATCTTGCAATAAGGGCAATATGGCCTTTCCTTTTTTACAGCAAGAGTAGAAGAGATTGTTGCTTCTGGATTGACCGGTAGTTCTTGCTGCGTCCCAATGCAATGCGCCACAACCATCACATACAACGTCCATTCTTCCCAGATAATGAGGTTGCATTCTTCCAAGTTCTGATATGAAAGCGGCAGGTGCTCTAGGTGCTCTAGGTGGCCTTAATGCAGCTCTCTGTCTGGCGTAGTTTCGGGCACGTTCCTGAAACAAAAATATATATATAAGGTTCGTTCGAATGTTTGTTTTTCATTTCTTTTCTATTTACTCGACATGAATCACATTTTCGAAAATTGTAATCTTCAGGTAGAGCAACTCTACAGGTTACACAGTTTCTAGCTTGAACAGGAGGCATGATAATTCGATTTGATTTTAACAAAAAGATATTTCATACACTTTATGCAAATTGTGATGCTTGATGTTCTTGGTGGAGGGGCTAAGCCCCCTCCCCCAAACCCCCTCCCCATTGCCGGCTTCGCCGGTGGTTATGCCCTCGTTTGTTCTGGCTTTTAATACTATTAAATTTTAAAAGGATATGATTGGCTTGTCTATTTTTTTTTCATAGTTTTCCAGTATATATATTTTAGATTTCCATTCATACCGACGTAGAGCATCGTGGAATTGCTAAATCTGGAAGTTTAGGCTGTTCCTGAAAGTTGTTCACTTAGTATCGAGTAAAAAAAAAATCCATTGTGTCTGAAACCAAGGCTCAGGACTATCAAATGTCGGCTGTGCCAAAGACTCCTGTGATTTATAAGCAAACACACACACGCATTGAAACGAGATGGTTCTGCAGTATGTGCTTTTTTCCCACCTGCAAATCCAAGTATACAATGATGGGAATATGTTTTTCATCTGGCGATTTTCCTTAAAATTAAGTTTCGATAATAACTTCACCGAGATGATGGGACCTGGCTTGTCTCTCTGTATTGAGGCTTAAAAAGCAGACATCCATGGGATTTTGGTGGAATTGATAATTAATTGCATGGACGTTTGACAGTGAGTTTTAAAGAAACAACCAGATGCTCAGCGTATGCCCTAAGAGCTCCATTAAAACGTAAAAGCAAACTAACTTAAAATGTACGATTGGGGGAGTGGGATACAACACCAAGTTTTCCTTGTACCCACCTGACTGTATGCTATTTTACATTTGTTGAACATGCCTTAACTTTAATGCATCAAGTACAACATAGATCCCCTTTTCTTCTCTACTATTCATACCAAATGTAATCTTTTTAGCGACTTTTTGGTACAAGACTCAGTAAACATAATGTCTAAAAGCTCCATCGCGTAATTGACAACCAATGCTTTTAGTAAGAGTATATTGACATCATTTGACAAAAAACTGCGTGTCAGTATCCTCTCATTCCTACCCCTCTAATTGAACTTGTTTTAAATTAGTAAAAATACATACTACGGGATTTTATCTCTTGTGCTATGATGTTATGCACGGTCAAGTTGATTCGGTAGCAAAAGGTCGCAAATGGAGAAAAAAAAAAGCCCAATGAGATGCTTCAAAAGCGAAATCAAAGTTTAATTTAGCACTAAATGTGTGAACTTTTTGCAAACCAAATACAGTTACACGTACTCAAAAATGTATAAATAAGCACACGGCATCTCGTAGCTGTAGATTGCTTTTTTTTTTTCTTCTTTTTCATCATTATAAACAAAATGTCTTCTCTCGTTGTCAACTACACTACTCCCAAGGGTTATGAACTCAAGCGTAAGTAATTTTAGAGAGCGTGCTGCTTGATCTCTGATCCACCTGCCCGCCTCCCTAAGCCCATATTTGACAAGAGAGTAACACGTAAATCCATTTATAGTCCAAACTGGCCTCTTTATCAATAACAAGTTTGTAAAGGGTTCTGATACCATTGAAACCATCAACCCTGCCACTGGTAAGGTCATCGCACATGTCCAAGCTGGTAAGTTGTAATGCGTAATCTATATGCATTTGAGACGTTATTCACGCCTTCATTTATCATTAGCTGATAAGGAGGATGTCGATGCTGCTGTTCAAGCTGCCTCTGATGCTTTCCACGGCCCTTGGAGCAAGATGACTCCCTCTGAACGTGCTGCTCTCATGTTCAAGCTTGCCGATCTCATTGATCGTGACAATGAAGAGCTTTCTCAAATTGAAACTCTCGATAATGGTAAGGGTATCACCTTTTCACGTCTCTTTGATGTCAAGCAAATCGCCATCACTCTTCGTTACTTTGCTGGTTACGCTGATAAGGTGCACGGAAAGGTCATTGACACTGAGGGTGCTCTTTCGTACACTCGCCATGAACCCATTGGTGTGTGTGGTGCCATTCTTCCTTGGAATTTCCCTCTCATGCTTCTAGGTTGGAAGCTTGGCCCTGCTCTTGCTACTGGTAACACTATTGTGGTCAAAACCTCTGAAATGACCCCTCTTTCCGCCTTAAAGGTCTGTCAACTCGCTGTTGAGGCTGGCTTCCCTCCAGGTGTCATCAACGTCATTACTGGTTATGGTGCTGTTACTGGCGACGCTTTATCTCGTCATATGAAGATCTCTAAGATTGCTTTCACTGGCAGTACTGCAATTGGCCGTCGTATCATGCAAGCTGCTGCCGAAAGTAACCTCAAGAAAGTTACACTCGAATTGGGCGGCAAATCTCCCAATATTATCTTTGACGATGCTGATTTAGATCAAGCTGTTCGCTGGGCTCACAAGGGTATTTTCTTTAACCATGGTCAATGTTGTTGCGCTGGTAGCCGTATCTATGTCCAAGAGAGCATTCACGACAAATTCCTCGAGAAGTTCAAGGAGTATACTAGTCAAACCAAGCTGGGTAACCCTCATGACGATGATACCTTCCAAGGTCCTCAAGTTTCCCAGACACAATTCGATCGCATCATGAGTTATATTGAGTCTGGTAAGGAGCAAGGTGCTACATGTTACATGGGCGGTAAGCGTTGGGGCGATGAAGGCTACTTTATTGAACCCACTGTCTTCACTGATGTCAAGGAAGACATGACCATTGTACGCGAAGAAATCTTTGGCCCCGTTGTCACCGTCTCCAAGTTTAAGGATATCGATGATGTCCTCAAGATGGCTTTGGATACTGAATATGGTCTTGCTGCTGCCGTCTTCACCAAGGACACTGCCCGTGCTATTGACGTCTCTAACCGTCTCCAAGCTGGTACTGTTTGGGTCAACTGTTACAACGAATTGGATTACAATACACCTTTCGGTGGTTTCCGTCAAAGTGGTATTGGTCGTGAGAACGGTGAATATGCATTGGACAACTATATCCAGGTAAATGTCTACACATCAAATGCAATGCACATGGCGTGAGAACATGCAACTAACTCAATTTAATGTAAACAGGTCAAGACTGTTAAGATCAATGTTAGCCGTAAGCCATAAATCTTTATTCCCTCATCTCCCTTCAATATTTATGCTTCATGATAACTATGAACAAACAATTGCCCCAACAAAAAAACTCTCACAAAAAAAAAAAACCTTTCCCACACTATTAATATATATATATATGAAAACCGGAAATAAATATGATCATATTATTGTACAAACCAATTCCTATCAGCCAAATGTAAGTTGCAATGTCGCTCACGTCTTTGGCAATCTCACGTCGGATTCAATGCCAGTTTAGATCCATAAATTTATGTCAGCAAGGTAGAACTTATATCCATCCAATCTACTATCATGGTTAACAAAGAGACGGCTTATTTGTGACATTTGAAAGTGTGAAAAATTTTCCTAGTTCAAAAAGTATAAAAGGATAGCAAAAGTAAGCAATGATTCTATTTCTTTAGTGACCGTACTCTACAGGATCTGTATGCAGTATGTTTCAATTCTACGTTTTCTAAACTAGATACAATCCCAAAGCTAGTCGATGATTTTTAGTAGACCTTCTTTTGAGTGAAGTGTGCCAATTATTGCTCTCTGAGCAATTTTTGTCAGTTGATGATCTCGTCTGTCTTTATTCCAAGGACATGACAAGGAAGGAGCTACAGGTCTGATAGCTTATTAATTTTTTTTAAAACAAAAATATGAATGAAAAACAATCAATTGTCTTGCTTGGTAGCACTAAAGTGCTTTCAACATTTATAGAATCAATGCTTTCGATATTTCACAACTTATTTGAGTAATGATTTCTTTTTCAAAGATGATGCTATTCAGTTTGGTTGCTTGAAAAGTCGTAAAGCATCCCTTGATCCAAGCATGGCATGTCTATTAGGTTTATGAGGAAAGGATTTGCCTTCCAACGTCAGGTTGCAGTGGTGATAAATGGCTATATATATCTAAGCCACTTAGAATTTGATCGTTTCCAGCACAGAAACATCGCAATACACTACTACCATTATATAAATAATAGGCTCAAAAATCTTTGTTCGCATTTACAGACATGCTCATGAGATTCTAAGCGAAGAAGATGGACGACAAGCTTGAAACATATCAACAAGAATGCTCACATTTGACTCAACTCTTAAATGAGATTGTAGCTAATTATTGGTGAAGATAGGCGCACTCAGAATCTGCCAGCTGTCAACGAGATTGCAGCCATCACTCTCAATGAAAATTCTGATACAAGTTTTAAAGATATCCTCACCACATACCAAATAGCTTTTTAGCCAGTGGCAATAATCTCTTTTAAACGAATCAATTAGACGCATACAGCCTACATGCCATGCTGAAATGCTGCAAATCATTAGAAAGCTGCAATTACATATATTTTAGTGATGAATCGTAATGACTGGCGTTATTAGATGTGAAAATGCCCTACAAAAGTGAAAGAAAGTATCCAGACTAACTGACAGTCTCTTCAAATTTGTGTTTTCATTTAATCTGCATCCTAGCCATCATTGTCATTATCAGAATCGCATTTTCGTAGGCCTACAGCGCCAAACTGATTTAAAATCCGAACACTCTTTTTTTTTCTTTCCAGATTGGTCGAATTATGTCTTTTTTTCGACTTGATTCAACTATTTTACGAAATTCGATTATATAAATTGTGATGATCAGCCCGTACTTCCTAATACAATTAGTAGTAGATTTCTTTCCCAACTTAGTTCAAAAATATCTTATTCTCCTTCATTGCAGACACTGGGTCCACCAACAGCCTTTTCTATCACTCAGTATGACATTTTAAGGACTCTAAATAAAACCTGGAGCTCGTCTCCCCTACAAAAAAAAAGTACTTCCTAATACATTCTTGGAGTACTTTTCAAGGCGCTTCCAATAGTGCCAAGTAAAACAGATGCTTTGACTGGACTTACTAAGCAATTTCAGAAAATATAAAATGAGGTTTTTGGCCAAAATGTTGGAAGTTTGTATATGAAGACCTGATAAAAGTGGTTTCAGAAGTTACTTTGGATCGAGAGAAACATTTTGATTTAATATATACCATAGTAACGAGCCGTTTGAACGTAGGTTGGTTTCCACCGAAGCGAAGCGTAGGTCAGGAAACCACCCGAAGTGCTGAAAGGCTCGTATACCATAGTAAAAGTCTTCATTTTCAAAGTGAAAAATGCGATCGTTTGAATTTCGATGGAAGCCATGAGGGGTACCTCATGCTTTTTGATCGATTTCTGACGATTTTTTTTTTTGGTCCCAAAAAGTTGAGCAAAGGTGTCAGGAAGTTACTACTACTCGAGTACAATTGCTTGGTGTCATTCCAGCGGCTCAGAAAGGTCTACGTGCTACGATACAAAGGCTGGAAAGCTGTTAAATTTGGCTGTGCTTTATACGTTTGGTTGTCAATAGGTGCGTTCTTGTTACGATACAAAGGCATAAAGATATTGTATTCATTAATCTATTTTCAGAGCTTGTTTTACATCCAAATATTCAGCAGAAAATATTAGATTAAGTAGCACTGTTGTATCGCAGTTCCATAGCCTAATAATACAGATTATTAGTGAGATAATGGCGGTTGTAAGGCAATCTGGACATTTTAGACGCAATAGATAGTTTGCATTCAGTAGGCTCATATTTGCAAACTACTAAATCAATTGTTCGATATCAAGTTTCCAGAAGTTCAACTAGAAGCCCCCCACCCATGACTGAAATGTAGGTTTAGATTGCTAACATACTTCAAGCTAAGAATTCCAGCTTCAAATCAATTACCATCCATCCATGAGGCAGCATTATTAAATAATATGTTCTCAGTAAATTCTCAATGCAAAAGCCAAACGTCCTAGATCTAGCCCTATTTTGACGTCTCAGTTTTTCATAAGCTTAAAGCAGTTCTTGCAACTTTTTTTGCCAGTTACTCTTTTTAAAATGAAAAAAATCATTTCGAAAAAGGTACTATCGGGTTCCATGTTTGTGTGCAAACAAAAAACACTATTAACGCTCTCCGCAATAACCCTCAGAGGATTCGACATGCCAGATCTGACCTTCAGTACTAAAATGCCATCGTCTACATCGATTCAACCGTATTGGAAAGTAGAGATTGTCGTTTCAAATAAGCATACTACTAAAGGCGATAGCCACATACTTTAGAATCTGCGCCTTTCTTCTAAAATTTAAATCATCTGGCAGTGATTTGTGCTCATCATCATTTGCCATTATGGCTGTTCCTTTTTTCAACAAAAATTGTTTCCACCTAAGCCACACGTTGATCCAGCCAATCAATGATACCAGCAGTAAAACTTTTTGAAAGGAAAGGGATTAAGACGCAAGAAGCCACTGGCAAGTGTTTAGTTCCTCCTCTTTCTTATTCGCTATGCAACTTTTCGTTAAGTCTCTTGCCGGTAACACCCTCGCTCTCGAGGTTGCCCCCTCCACCTCTGTTGAGAATGTTAAGGCTATGATTGCCGCCCGTGAAGGTATTTTCAAGATCGGATACATTGGATGAGTATTTCGATTTTTCTGTTGGTGTGCTCGGGTTTCGATACACGATGGGCGTCTAGATGGAAAGAAACGATAAATATATAATATAAACGCGGCAAAAAACACAATAGACAAAACGAAATATTCATTCAATGAAATCATCATCGACGAGATATACTCAAGTCATCATTATTAGGTATTGATGCCGATTTCCAATGTCTCTCTTTCGCTGGTAAGTCTCTCCAAGATGCTGAGGCTCTTGCCCTTTACGGTGTCCAAGACAACTCTACTCTCCACCTCAACGCCGAACTCCTCGGTGGTGGTAAGAAGAGAAAGAAGAAGACCTACACTACTCCCAAGAAGATCAAGCACAAGCGCACCAAGGTCAAGATGGCTATTCTCAAGATGTACAAGGTCGATGAGTCTGGTAAGATCACCCGTCTTCGTCGTGAGTGCCCCAACGCCACCTGTGGTGCTGGTGTCTTCATGGCCAAGCACAAGGACAGACAATACTGTGGCAAGTGTCACTTGACCTATGTCTTCCAAAAGGTAACCGTTTGAAATGTCAGATTTTAGAATGTTTTGAAAAACTAACTTTGTTTGAACAGGACCAAGAGGCTTAAATCTTTTGTAAAATAAACTCATTTTGCATATCTGTTGAATAGCCCTTTATTCTTGAACAAAAAAATCAATAAAAATTTTGAATTTCCTTAAATATCTCTCTAGATGGCATAATGTTGCTCTGTCAGTAGCTCAGGGCATCTCGTTGATAACTTTTGTCAGAATGAAAAGGATACCTGGCTTGGTGTAGCGACCATTTGATTTAGTACAGCACGATGTTTATGCTCTACAATCGCTCGTTTTTTGATTCTAATATGTAAAATGAGCTCACGTCTACAATTGAATGCGGGATCTTTTCGACTTAAACATGCACTTGAAGCGATGTCATCCTGTGCTTGGTTCAATCAACACGCTTTCAGCTACAAAGCCTCTGGTGAAACGGATCTTCGTCTTGTGAACTATGCAATGTCTATAATGTATATAACATGCGCTGGCTGTAGATCCAGATATGCGGTGGTCCCAGATGATGGAAATCTTAATCAACATTTTCATGGCTAAATCAAGACATTCAAAATTTGAGTGATTACCAATTAATGAGTCCTATACCTCAACATGACACCCTGTTTTCTAGTTTCATGCCTTTGACTCCAAATCTGATTGTTTAATGTCAAACATGAGGGACCAGATAGAATCTTGAAGAAGTTTGAGGCAACTGGCACTGCCAATCGAGTCACAATCGAGAGTTCCAGAAGGCTCCTTCATGTGGGAGCAATGGTGAGAGATTTATATAAACCACCAAATTCGTGTTTTTTTCTCTCTTTTTTTCTCTGCAATACTAAATACTTCACATAACTATGTCTGACGATAATAAGCAATTAGCTCTAGCTGAAAAGGATCTCGGTAACCAGGCCTACAAGAAGCGCGAATTCGATGTCGCTCTCGGTCACTATGACAAGGCATACGAATTGGATAATACCAACATTACCTTTTTGACCAACAAAGCTGGTAAGCGGAAAAGCACATGGGTAATAGATCCTCTAGCTGATTTTTTGCTTGATAGCCGTTCTTTTTGAACAAGAAAAGTTTGAAGATTGTATCAAGGTCTGTGAGGATGCCATTGAACGCGGTCGTGAGTTGAGATGTGATTACAAATTGATTGCCAGGTAAGGGATTACGTTATTCTATGCTTTCAGAATGGGAAATTTAACATGAAACAGAGCTCTTCAACGTATCGGCAATGCTTACTCCAAGTTGGATAATTTGGACGAAGCCATCAAATACTATGGTAAATCTTTGACTGAACACCGTACTCCTGAAACTCTCCAAAAGCTTCGTGATGCTGAGAAGCTCAAGAAAGAACAAGAGAAGGCTGCTTACTATAATCCTGAACTCGCTGACAAGGCTCGTGAGGAAGGCAATGCTCTCTTTAAGGCTGCCAAGTGGTAAGTTTCATTTGTACAACTCTGTTTATGCAAAGCAGATGCTGACTGATGATTAGGCCTCAAGCTATTGAACAGTACACCGAAGCCATCAAGCGTAATGATAAGGATGTCAGACCCTACTCCAACCGTGCCGCTTGTTACTTGAAGTTGATGGCTATTCATGAAGCCGAGAAGGATGCTGATAAATGTATTGAACTTGATCCCACTTTCGGTAAGTAGTGACATTTGTCTATGGGGCATAATGAACAAGCAACTCAATTATGATGACATATAGCTCGTGGCTATATCCGTAAGGCTGCTGCTCAACTTGTCAAGAAGGAATTCCAAGAGTCTATTGATACCCTCAACTTGGCTAAAGAGCATGACAAGGACGGAAAGTGTGCTCGTGAGATCCAACAACAAATGATGAAGGCTTACACCGCCATGAACCCCATGTCAGGTGCTGGTGCTGGCGAATCACAAGAAGAGACTCTCAAGAGAGCTGCCCAAGATCCTGAGGTTCAACGTATTCTTGGCGACCCTGTCATGCAACAAATTCTCCAACAAATGCAAGAAGATCCCAAGGCCGCACAAGAGCATTTAAAGAACCCTCAAATTGCTGCCAATGTCCGTAAATTGATGAGCGCTGGTGTCATTCGTATGGCCTAAATGTGAATGTGTGTTTCCTGTCTCTGTGTGTATTTTTGTCCATTTTTCTCTTATAATTTGTAGCATTCTAATAAAAATTAACCATTATTGATTACGATTGTTTATGCTTCGGATGGTTCTCTACCTTCGCTTCGCTTCGGTGAGAACCAATCTGTGCAGCGGCAGCTCGCGCTACCAATCGCCTTTGCGTATCTTATCAAAATACTGCTAATTTCATTTTGACCCTTCAATTACACATGAACACCCTTCATATTATCTGTGAATCTGATTCTTATGCGCTGTTCTACATCCATTTACGCGTAGCTACTTTATATACGGCAAGCAGCATACTGGTATTTCCTCTTATTAGTCAAGAGTGTTCTTGATACAGCAAAATCTGAGTGCATTTGAGCTGTGTTTTCTCGCGTTCAAGACCGTTTTAGATTGTCAGAATAGCACCAAACAATTGCTCTCATCTGGCAGTTACTTTCTGATACCTTTGCTCAACTTTTTGGGGATCAAAAAAACATGGATGAAATTCGACCAAAAAGCATGAAGTACCCCTCATGATTTTCATCGAAAATCATGGCTTTCTCCGCTAAAGATCACAATTTAGGTGAAAAAGGCAGGACCACCAACTTTGGTGGCTCTACGCTGGATTCCAGCCATAATCCAGGCAACAATATGTTTACATATGCTTCATTCTTCAAGGATATCAACTCGCAAAAGAGAACTCCATTCAAGATCACCCCTTCCATTTCTAATAATGGTGTTATCGGCAAAGCTCTTGACTTCACGTCCACCTTCGTTGAAGCCCAGGATGATTTCTCTCTGATCATCGACTGTGTACAGTTCGTCGGCATGCACTTCAAGGAGAAATCGTTATCAAGCTGTCTCCGTGAACAATATCCCAAAGGTCTTGGTATTCGACACCGTGTGGTTGGCAAGAATCACAAAGTCATTGAAATCAACTTCCCCACAGAAGAGGATTGTATGGAAGCCTTGCAGAAAGAGTTTATTCTCCAAGGTGCAACTATCCAAGTCAACAAGACCCTGGACAAGCATGCCAACATCTTTCGAGTTAGCATTTCGGCCATTCCTTACAAGCCGGTGGAGGTACTCCAACCTCTGTTGATCAAAGCCTTTGAAGAATATGGTGATATCCTCAATGTCGGGCTCTGCCACTCCAAGGATGGGGATTGGTTCACTGGACGCGGCTTCGTCACCCTTAATATCGACAAATCCAAACATTATGCAGCCGAGTTGAAGCCTCAGGTCGCACTTGATGGCTCGCAGGAGAATCTCCGCTTGACATGGGCAAACATGCAACCCATCTGTTCGGATTGCCATACCGATGATCACGTCAAGGCTGACTGTCCTAGGAAGAAAAGGAAGGCCTGCCATAAATGCGGTAGCCTTGAGCATCTGATTGCTACTTGCCCCCAGGCTTACTGGAATAGGAAGAAGGACCAACCATCCCAAGACCGTCGCCGTCGCAATTCTGACACCCAGGGGAACCCTCCCGCTCCAAAGCCTACTGGAAGAGAAATTGATCTTCTAGAGCTAATGCAAGTACCCAAGCCGAAGTACCTTAACAAACAGAAGGCAACGACTAGAGGCGAATCCTCTATGGACACCAGTGACACGGAATCGGTTGCATCCGCGGCATCTTCTGAACCTGTGCAAGACGTTCCTATGCAAGCGATTCAGGAGACAATCGAGCCTCATGGCACAGAGGTTATCACTGAAACTTCTAGCACAGAGGTTCCTGCTGACTCTTCAAACAGCGAAGCTCTCAAGGATGACAAACTGGGTGCAACCCAGGAGGATCAATCGGCCAACCAGCCTGTCGCGCCAAGCTCTGACGAATCTGAATACGAAGACACCAGTAGTACTGGAGAGGAGGACTCGGACAGTCTCACCACAGCTAACTTCAGGAATCGTTACAATCTTCGTGATGTCAGACCACCGGTCTCCAGCCGTAAGGATGATACAACGCCTGAGACATCCCACAAGAGGAATGCAATGGATTCCACCCCCATGGGATCGGATGAAGAAGGACATGCCAAGAAGCTCTTCAAGCAACAAGAGCCTCATGGCACGGCGGATGCAGCGTATGGCGCCTCATCAACAACCACTTCATTATAAACTAATGATTGGGACAACACAAACTAAAAATGTCAATATTAGGATAGGTTCCATCAACTGCAGGAACCTCTACAAACAATACAACATCGCTGCTACCAACAGCTTTATACGGCATCTCAAAGGAGAACTATGCAATATTTTACTATGTCAAGAAACTAATGCTCAATCACACTCCTTCGAAAGCATCACCACCAACTTTAAGTACCAATTCCAGTACCACCAAGCTATATGGACCACTCATTGTGGAATAATCAACTTTAATCAAGCTCTAAATTTACAACAATTGCACGTTTTCAACGAAGGAAGGGGTATCTTAGCCAAAATCTCACTCGTTGACAACAATATGCCACCCATCTATATACTTAATATCTATGCACATGCAGACGATTATAGAGCCAGAAACCGTTTTTTTGGCCAAATCACCAGCCACCTCAAAAGCATGCCTGAAATCATCCCTTCATTGATCATAGCTGGCGATATGAACTACAGTTTCGACACCACCACATACCATCATACTCACCGTGCAGGGAAACCCAAGCAGTTTGCCGATTTCTTGAACACCCACTTTTCCGATTGTCTCAATCCAAAGAATGAACCTCATGCGTATACCTTTCGGCGTGGGTCCACCATGTCGACCATCGACTATATGTTTGCAGGCCACGACATAGCCTCCAAAATGAGTGATGCCACTAACTCGTTTATCAGGCCAGATTGGACAGACCATGCTCTCTTGACCAAAACATATACTACTGGATTGACTAACTGCGGTAAAGGACTTTGGCGAGCGAACCCTCACCTCGCCAAGAACCATAAGTATCGACAGAAACTAGACGACGAGCTTAGAACATTTGTTGCGGTGAAACTCGACAGCTCTCTGTCTGCTCAAGAAAAGTGGGATCTTATTAAAAACAAGGCCAAACAGGTTACTATTCAGTTCACCAGAACACACGATCATTGGAGGAAGGCTAGAATCAAGACACTGCAAAGTGAAAGGAACAATTTGATACGACGCTACAGACATGACACTACTTGCTTGAGGCTACTGTTGCAGGATGTGGAGAACGAGCTAGCCAAGTTGCAACAGGAAATCGTGGATATTCAGCTTCTTAAGGCCGGGAAACGATGGCTTGAAAATAGTGAAAAGTCGCCTGGATACATAAAGCAGACCAGTAAACAACGCCTTGATCAGCGAACCATCCCCAACTTGAAGCACCCTCGTACTGGGGTCGACTGTCTCGACACTGCCTCCAAGCTGAACGCCGCAGAACGATTCTACCAGAAACTGTACACCGAAGAACGGATAGACTCTACCTGCCTGAACAAAATGCTGGACTACATCGACACCACTCTGTCAGCCGACGACGCCAACCAGATCACCGCATTAATAGACTACGACGACATTCTGCTAGGGTCTGCTCGAACTCCCAAAGAAAGCAGCCCAGGATTAGATGGTATCGGGTATGAAATCTTATATCTCATTATATCTCACCCTAGCTGCCGAGACATCGTGCACCAAGTATTTAATGACGCTATCCAGCACGCCAAATTTCCCAAATCATGGCAGGAATCTTGTATTATCCTTCTGTTTAAGAAAGGGGACCGGAGCGATCTCGCCAATTATCGCCCCATCACATTGATTGCGGCCGACTGCAAAGTCTTTACTCGTATTATGAACTCTCGTGTCATACCAGTAGCCAACAAACTCATCAACCCATATCAATGCGGCTTCTTGTCAGGTCGATATATCGGTGATCACGGCATGTCTCTCAGGGTAATTATGGATAACGCTTCATCCGCCAGCTGGCGAAATGCAACCAACTTTGTCGAATACACTGGAATCATGCTGGACAACGCCAAAGCATATGACAGAGTCCACCCCCAGTATCTCTCACAAGTACTGTTGAAGTTTGGATTTCCACCACAATTCGTCGCCTGCATCCTCAACCTGTTTTTCGATAACTTCATCCATGTCAACATCAACGGTTTTCTGACGAAACCTATCGCACAACGACGAGGCATTCGGCAAGGTGATAGCATCTCACCTGTCCTATTCAATCTAGCTATTGAACCGTTCCTCTTATCCATCATCAACAACACTGCAATCTCAGGCTATAGTCTTCAGCACACCAAACTACCCAAAAATGTGCAGATCCCGTGGGTGTCTCCTGCTCCCGTTAAGGTCTTAGCTTATGCGGATGATGTTCTCACGTATGTAAAATCTCATTCAGAACTAACTGAACTCCAAAGAAGACTTAAGACGTACAACCGGGCCTCCAATGCCAAGATTAACTATGACAAGTCAGTGGCATTTCCCTTGCACGGCGGTAGCATGAAAGGGTCTGAAGGCCTCAGAGTCCAAGATCACATCATCAACCGGCTCAAGATGAAATGGTATGACAGCCACTCTCCCGGGTATATCAAATATTTGGGGTACCCCATCTGGTTCTCCAACCATCAACGCGATGTATATGTGTCTGAACTCCTTGGTAAAGTCAAAGCGGCGGTGGCGATATATAGTCAACGGAATGTGTCTCTGTACGGTAAAGCCAACATCGCCAACAATATGATCCTATCAAAATTATGGCACGTCATTCGCATTGTATCGCTACCTCTGGATGTCTTGAAGCAACTGAAGTCCATTATATACCAATTCGTGATGTCTGGCCTCTTCCCGCCACTGAAAGGAAACTCATTTTTCCTACCGCGAGATCAAGGCGGCCTAGGATTGATTGACATTGGAGCTCAACAGCATGCTCTTCAGTTTCGTTATATCAAGGTGCTCCTTCAAGGAAACAAGGGTTCGGTCCCGGACTTTACCTACCAGCTCCTGACCAACGCTCTCCGCCTAGCCCATGACACACCCGACCATGTAGTGCCCCTCTTCTTTAAAGCAGCGAGATACAAGAACACGCTGAATGGGTTCCACCCATTCCACTCAATTTTCGGTGCCATGGACATTTGCCGCCAACGAAGCTCACTGTGTATTGATTGGCAACGGAGGCCAAGCGCGCTGACCATCCTGAGTCTCCCCCTCACTGCAATCTTCACCTTCGATGAAAATTTGGAAGAACTTGAATTTCTACAGTGTGAAACCGCCAAAACCAGCAAAGTCCAGGAATTTTTCAAATACAATTCGGAGCAAGCCATGTTTCAACTTGTTCCCAAGTCCACATGTAGCAAGAGAAACACCTGGCTCAAGCTTGAAAAAGCCCTCCTACGACAAGAGTTGCATTATCAACCATTCGTACACAACAACAGCACTGAAGATGGTATCGACCTGAGACCATTTGCCGCATCACTTCGCTTCCAACAACTATCGATCCTTCAGCTCTCAAACAAAAACGTTCGTTTCATCATGCAGTCATTGGACACATTAGACGTTGGCCGCCACTTCAACAACAACATCTCCAAAAAGCAATGGACAGCCTTCTATAAAAACGACATGCACTACTCGGCTCGTAATCTGTGGTACCGGATGCTCCATCAGCAATCCCCTAATAAGCTCGCCCTCTTCCAAAGACACTTGCCCAATTTAGAGTCTGATCACTGCGATCTATGCAACGAAGTAGAAGATGCCAAACATCTTCTAATTAGCTGTGCTCACAAGATCGATGTATGGAACTCCACCTTCAATGAGTTCCTCAGCTATCCCAAAAATGCTGACCCTCGCCTCGTCTACAACAACATTATGCTCCTCAAACTAGAACGCTATCTCATATACAGCTACGATATGCAGTTCACTATATATGACTTCTTCGCCACTATTATGCGTATGATTTGGAGAAATCACTTCCAACAGCTCTACAATTATATACCTTTTGATCCCTCTGTAGTATGCCGCCAAATCCGCGCCGAATTGATAAGATTGTCAAATCTTAGGAAACTCTAAATAGCTTATATATGGCACGTCACTTTGTTTACATACACTTGTCCATCCCTTGATGCGTTTAATTTATTTCTAATAAATCAAATATCATCCAAAAAAAAAAAAAAAAATTTTCATCGAAAATCAAACGATCGCATTTTTCACCTTGATAACGAAGACTTTTACTATGGTATGTATTGATTCAAAATGATGCTATTGATCTAACGTAACCTCTAAAATTATCTTTGTGGAACATTGATATGCAAAATCTCGACTTTTGGGCCAGAAACCTCTTTTCATATTTTCGTAAATTATTCAATTAGCTTATTAAAAACATCCATCTTACTTGGTACCATTGGATGCGCCTTGAAAAGCACTCCAAGAAAGCTTAAAGAAGCATAGGATGATCATCATATTTTTTATAGTCGAAGATCACAGAAGAGTTCAATCGAGTCGAAAACCATCAAGATTTGGCCAATCTGGAACAGACTATGATTCTGGGTTTTAATTAATTTTGGCTTCTGGGACTGGCTGGCAAACTTATGCCCTTTTCATCATGAAGACAATACAGTAATAGATGCCCTTGAAGCGTATGGAAAGTAGGTGGAAAATTACGTAGCACTATCGTTAGCCATGGCATTTTCCTTGCGTCCTATATTTAATAAAACCAGCCCACCAACATACTTGTAAGATCAGCTTCTTTCCTTTTTGAGGCCTTGAAAGTGTCTGGAGACCATGTTACGATGAGCCATGCCTGACAAATGCCTGGCAACTCAGTTTCCATATTAGGTTGTAAAAGTGTCTAGAGACTGAACGTTTATTATGTTGTGATATATGATATGTAAAGTTTATTTCTGTTTGAATATGTATAGGGGTATTTACAGGGTTTTTATATAAAGTGGATATATGTTCCATAGCGACGTTTGTTATTTACCATCCAACATCTAAATTAAGGTAAATAAAAAAGAAACAGACATCTTAGGGATTTTGTGCGACTGCTTGAGATTGCTTCTTCCAGGAAGGCATGTTGCGGAATAGCTTTGATCTGGTGGTGGTGCTGTTCTTTGTTTCAGATGGAGGCGATGTTTCCTTAGGATGCTGATCTGCTGCTGCTGTTGTTGTTGTTGTTGTTGTGGCCAATGTAGGCACATTTTTCCTGCTTGAGAATTTGCGTGTGATACCAAATAGTGTGTCGCGTTTTCTTTTTTTAACTTCAATTACCACTTCTTCATCTTCAGACAGTGATGAAAATGAAGAATTGAGACCTTGTTTCAAGTGTCCTGTGCTGTTGCTTCTTTGGAATGTCGATCGAAGGAGACCTAGGGCGCGGCTTCGCTTGTTGGGAGAGAGAGTTTGTATGTGGATAGAGGATTCATCGCTGCTAGTGTCTTCCTCAGAGTTGACCAGGCTGGGTGGCAATAATGCTTCATGTGCATTCAAATGTCCAGTGCTGTTGCTACGTTTGGGTATTTTACGGTGGGATTTGATGAGCTGATGAATGTTGAGTGGATTTTTGCTGGAGGAGGATGGGAATGTACGAAGAGCGTGAAACAATGGTACCTTTTGTTGTTGTTGTACTAGTGCGTGCTTGGCATCGTCGATGTGTGTAGTTTTTGTAGTCAGAGCAATCACTGCAGTTTTGGGTTTTGTGGATGGAATGATGGCTTTTGGCTTGTGGGTGAGTGATTTCTTTTTGCTGTGTTTCTGATGTGGGTGCTTCTTTTTGCTCTTCTTATGCGTGCTATCTGGGAACCTCCATTTAGCAGCGTTGAGAGGCTTTTTATGCGGCGTAATTTGATGATAAGCAATGTACAGGATGGAGTAGACCCAGTAGAGATGCGAGTGCACTACTGCATAGACGGACAGGCCTATCACTGACATTTGCTTTATTTTGTCGTCGTTTTTCTTGGTGATTTTTGTAGCGTCAGACATGGTGGATGGAAGGTGTGAAGAAAGAGATGGGAAAGGGGAGGAATTGTGATTCTAAATGAATTTATACAAGATTTAGTGTCAATTCTGGGTACAAACAACCCAAAATGGTTTGCAAAACTGCTGTATCAACTTCTTAAAACGGCAAATTTGTTAATTGTTTGGCTCATTTGTGTGAATCTTGGACTTTTTGCTGTCAAAAAGCTGCACTGCTACACCAAATGTAGGACAAGAATAAATTGTATTTTTAAAAAAGGAGCAGGGTTTTGCCCTTACAAAATACATTGATTTTTTGCAGGTTTCAGTAGCAGTTTGGCTGGAGCATTGGAGACTAGTAAGATCAGTGTTCATTATCCAGCACAAAATATGGTCATCACTCAGCAGAGATAGGTTTCACATGCATACAAAGAACTGACTGCACGGACCTGTGATAAGTATGGTTAAGCGACTGTTGGACAAATATATTTAAGTATACACTTTATGTGAGAAGCATATCAGATTCTTAAATTAGCTAGAGACATCACAATTGATTGTTTTGATCGAGCATTCCTTTGGAAATGTTGACTCAGCAAGAGTTCTGTGCTGTGTACTCATTCAACATGATGACCAAGCAGTTGCTATATCCTTATGAATTGGATAACTATATTCAAGAAATTGACCGCAACTCTATTTGAGTGTAAGTTTGCTATGCATGATAATGAGTGTTAAACGTTAGAAATGTGGATCCGCCAGTATTTGCCATGTGGCAATAATCCATTGTACGTACTCGCGTGTGAGATATTCGTTGTTGGGTTTCTGAATTATCTCCTCCAGCTCAAAACAGTCTACAGCAACAATACAAATGTAAGCATTCCTAAAGCTTAGCAAAGAGTAGTTTGAATAGGTGCATGTACAGAACTATCAAAGAAATATGCGAATCTCTGTATGGAACTGCACTATTTTCAATAATATTGTCTGTCCTGGGTAAAAGCAATGTCGAACAGGAGGTTTCATTCAAATGTTGGCTGTGATTGAAGCTTAATTTTCAAATGGCATGATATGGCATACATTTGAAGTAGCATTTAAATTTTGTTGGACTGGAAAGCATCATATCAAACAGATACCAGACATTAGCAAAAGCCATCATATTGTGATATCTGTCCGTCATCAAACGAAAAACAGTGAGTTGATGCAAATTAGATTCTTTCCGATGTGGCCCAGAAGCGTCTATGCTGCCTCAAGCACATTTTTGGCTCTAAATCTTTTGTTATGGAAAATCATGTCAAAATACATAAGTTTTGATCAGAACTGTTGACATTCTAGCTTTTTAGATTTAAGAATATTTATTCATGCAGCATTCAATTTTGGATTTTATCTACCACACAAAAAGATGGAACAAGTGGCGGCTAGAGTTAAGCAGTTTCTAAGAGTGTAAATAGAGGTTCGATCTATATTTTCTGTGTATACACGGACAGCAACGCCTGCTTCACAATAATATACCCATGATCATACGTCCTTTGTCCGATGCCGAACCTTCAGTTGCCATGGCAACCACAGCAACTATATGTTTGTTGCCACTGGCGATTGCCGATCTTTGGAAATTCAGGTACCATTCTCAAAATTCACTACATGGATGCAAACAATGATTTCTTATAAAATGCTCGCCTATGCTCTCAGTTTCGGCAATTAGGAAAGACGAAATAGATCTACAAGTATATAAATGGTAAGATCTCCTGGTCGAGGAGCTTCAATAATCATGTAGCCATCGAAAGTTCATGATCTGATCTAACCGTTCAAATGATGGATCAAAAAAAAAAAATAAAAATAAAAAAAAAAAAAAAAAAAAGAAAATAAAAAGGCTTAAAAGATAGAATCCAATGGCTTTAGGTCCCTGACGACACCAATTGCTGATATCCTCTACTCGTCGAGCTATAATCCATAACAGCAGATCCACCATCCCAGATCCAATGTCATGATTTGCATAGCTTGCACGATTGTTCGAGCCATGACCCCTTGCTGTTTTCATATCATCTTGAAGATTATGTATGGAACAATCAAAGAAGATTACAGAACAAAAAAAAAGTTACACATGCAATTGTTTAAATAACAGTAGAATATCCAAGCATTTTTAGCTGTGGACATTACCAATCAAATGGGATGAACATGCTCCAAATGTGACTCTCCCAGTTGTTTGTTTCCTTTTTCTATTTGTTCTTTCTTTCACTCTTCAAATCCCCTTTTCATTACATACAACCAACAGTGTCGCTTCTACATTATCAATGTCGAGCGCAAGAAGAGTTCGTTGGACTCAACATGATTCTGATATTGAACAACAGCAGCTAGAGCAGCAGCAGCTGGAGCAGCAACAACAACAGCAACATCAGCAGCAGGCAGTAAACGCTCTCTATCCCAACAATTCTTCTACACCATGGCCCTTCATCACTACTAATTTCACTACACCGATGCCTCAGAATCCTTATCAAGATGAAGATGATTATAGCGATGAGGAAGACCAAAGTAACAGTGACGAAGACGATGAGACAGCATTCAATCAGTTATACGTTCGCAATCAAGCATTTACCAACGTAGCTCCCGAAATTACACACGAGCGACTAGAATGGCAACAAATGTTACAATCTGTCTTGTTGGGCGAAGTCATCAAATCTGAAAAGAAGAGGCTATCCAGCTCTGATAAGTTTACACAGGAGAAACCCACACAAGAGATTTGGCTCTCACTGCGCGCCTTGCTTCGAGGAAGAACCATGCTCCAAGAACAAAAGTCGCTGGATGACAGTCGTAAAGAGATCGAAGGTGTTCTCAAAATGGTGATGGAGTTCAAGATTGAGGAGGACGAAGGAGAGACAGCTCTCCGAAAAGTGGCCGAAGTGTTGAAAAATATCGATCGCATTGAATCCCTTTATACAACTCGTGCAGAGATGATCTTGGCTCATCCAGAATATGGGTCCATTGAATTTCAAACGAGATTAGATGCCTTGAACTCTTGGTGCACTGTTACTCGCAGTTTGAGCATGCAATACAAGATCTTGAGAAACTGGACAGGCTCAGAGGATCTGCAAATCGCTCGAAGAAAGTCAGACGAGGACACAACTGATGGGGCATCAGCCGACGCTACAGCAGCGATCACAGACACCAGCAAAAGCAACAAGGAAGATCCTCGCAACAATACCTCATTTGTAGAGCGACTTTTGAAAGAGTCAGCACTACAAGATACCTTTGATAAACGTACGCTCTCAGCGTTGAATTCTCTGCTGATGAAGTCGAAAGAAACTCTGATATACAACTCTGCTCAGTTCAAGGAAATGAACCTACCGTCATTCATCTCACAGCTGCGGCGATTAGCTTATTTTCCAATTTCACTCGTTGAAGAGGCTTTGAAGCTACGTTTGGAGAACAAGAGTCGAATGCAAGAACCACCCAAGCAGATGGTGGATACCATGATGGAGGATTACCGCGGCCTGCTTTCTCTGGCATGCCGAGTGAAGCGAGAGTATCAAGAATTAACCCACACAGCTCCGGGCTGGAAACTAGACGAAGACGAGCCAGTGGATCACAACTACGATAACGTCCTGATGGAATCTGTCCGCTTCTATTTTAAGTTGATTAGCTGGAAGTTGAACCTCGAAAAGGAAAACAACCTTAGGGAAAAGGAAGTGATGGAGAAAGAGTGGGCATTCTTACAGGAGACAGTCTGTCAGGCTGTCGATAAGGCTGATTGGGAGTGCGCAGAGCAATTCTGGTAAGCAATAGCATACATCCTCACACACAATGTAACTCATACGATTTAATTCAGTTCCTTGACGAATCGCTTATTGGCTGATGTGATGCATGATTATATATCCAGACTCAAAATATCGCCAGAATCAGTGGATGGTGGCATCGAAGTCAAGTACACCAAGCTGCTACATACTATGCGTATGAGAGCAAGAAAACTGCTCCAATTTGCGAGGTACGATTTCTATGAGTATGAACTGTGCAACACATAGCTAACCTTCCTTGAACAGATTCTTCATGAGCCAGTTTGAAAATGCTGCTGAATATGTCGTTGACACTGAAAATATGGACAAATTCATTACATGCCTTGTTGAAACAGGCCATTTCTTGGTGTATACTGGCGCATTTGAAGAGGACAGAATCTATATTATTGCATCGCCCTCGCTGTATGGACGAGAAGATGTCATTCAGACGTTAATACGAGCCTGCTTTGCTAACAACAAGCAACCTCAGCCATCCACACCGCTGACACCCAGCGATTTGAACATTCACAGTGAATACGACGACTACATCCTCATCTTTTCACCATGGCAAAACATCATGTGGACAGGTGAAGTGGTCGAGGTGCCTACGCCTTTCATTCATTTAGGCATCAAGACTAGACGAGTGAGACTCACTACAGGAGACGCTCAAAAGCTTGCTTCTGCTAAGGCCGCTTTCTGGACGGCTGTACAACATTCAGGCATTGAAATCATTCAAGAGCACCGGGCTCATATCCCCAGGATCAATAAAGAACTGTACAAGATCAAAATGACGGTGTTTAAGCTGGCTGATTCAACCATCTCTAGTGTCAGCACCATTCGCGATCAAACCATTGGCTTAGGCTGTCAAGAACTGGTGGAAGAATGCTTTAGTTTTGCCAGTGATTTTGGTATCCGTGCCTCCAAATTCTTGGAATTGGCTGTCCGCCTGCAACTGGATCTCAAGCTGGTTCGACTTGCTATTGACTGGATTTGCTTCATCACAGACGACTGTATACCGTCAGACAGAAAGACCTTCCGCTGGGCTGTAGCTGCTCTGGAATTTGTGCATCTGATGACTCGAGGCGTCAACATTTTGGCACTGAACGAGAACGAGTTTGCTACACTGCAGAGCAAAGTAGCCCGCTGTGTTGCACTGCTTATATCTCACTTTGATGTGCTTGGTACAAGATACACGTACGAACTGCAATTGAAGGAAGACCAGCAACGTCGCCGTGGATTGACTGCAAAGCGCAATTCCTACATGACATCCAAGAATACGGAAAAGGACAACATTACAACAAGCTCGACATTTGGTGCTGCTAATGATGCTGCCAGTACGGGTGGTGGTGGCGTGATCTATATTCGTGACGCCTGGATGCGCAAAATCTCTGAAATCGAGTCAAAACGTACTGAAGACGAGCAAGAGCGTAAAATTATTGGTAAAATCTTGGATGACCAGAAACCAGAAGATCAATCCCTCATGTTCTTGGCTCCATCTTCCTCGAACATCTCCTTCAGTTGGCAGCAAGGTCGATTCATTGGTGCGGGTACCTTTGGTTCGGTGTATTTGGCTATCAATTTGGACACGTCCACCGTCATGGCTGTCAAAGAGATTCGTTTCCCCGACTCTAGTTCTCTATCTGCATTGCACAAGTCTATCAAGGAGGAAATGTCGGTCATGGAGATGCTTCAACATAGAAATATCGTACAATATTACGGCATGGTAAGTGCAGCATTTGGCTCGCTGGTTTCATTTCTGAATTGTGCTTGTAGGAAGTACATCGTGATCGTGTGTACATCTTTATGGAATACTGTGAAAACGGTAGTTTAGGCGCTCTCTTGGATCATGGCGGACGCATAGAAGATGAAGTCTATGTCGTCGACTATGCCTATCAATTGCTGAGCGGTTTAGCTTATCTGCATGGAAACAACGTTGTGCATCGTGATATCAAACCTGACAGTAAGTTCCAGCCCGCATCTAATGAGCCTGATACACTAAATGTATTGCCCCTTTAGATATTCTTATTGATTACCAAGGTCAGTTAAAGCTCACTGATTTTGGTGCATCAAAGATCCTGGTCAAGGGGCAAAAGACAATGGGCCGTGCCACAATGAACATGCATGTAGGCAGTCTGGCAGGTACGCCCATGTACATGGTAAGTGAAAGTATGGCTTGCAATGTTATACCGCCCTTCTCACCGTACAAAATTAGGCTCCTGAAGTCATTACAGGCAGTGATACGGGTAGAAAGGGTTCCATGGATATCTGGTCTTTGGGTTGCTGTATTGTGCAGATGGCTACAGGCCGACGACCATGGAGTACGCTGGAGAATGAATGGTCTGTTATGTACCACGTTGTGACCGGCCATCCGCCATTACCAGACGCTTCTCAACTTTCGAGCCCAGGCATCGATTTCCTCAAAAAGTGCTTCGTGCGCGATCCCAACAAGAGACCTTCTGCGGAAGAACTGCTAAATCATCCATGGATCACAAGCTACCTTGAAAGTTATAGTGAAGAGACTCAGTTGCCTCCACCTCAAGAAGGAGAAAATGGCGATGTGCTTGCGGACAGCCATCATTGGGTAGACGAGGAAGGCGCAGGAGGAGATAGCCAAACGCGATCAATCAATGGTGATGAAATGCCGCCCATGATGAGATCTTTTAAGCACAAAGAATAAACGGATTATAATTTGTAGCTTATAAAAAATGTTTTATATCACAAAAACAAGACTTATTTGAATAAGATTGGATACAAAAACTAAAGATTTATTGATGAAGACAAGAGTTATCCTATATATACTAAATTCTGGATGCCAAAGTAGCAATTTATCTTGTACAATGCTTATCACATCTGGTGAACCTCAGCATTTAGATAGCTGAGATGCACTTCAATTACCATAGCTTGTCCATGTTGTTGCACAACACAGACATATCTACCCATCAAGAATACCTTAATCTTTATAGACACTTGTAGCCCTTCTGGCACAACAAGATCCATAAATTCTGCGCATTCTCTAGAACGGCCGCTTGTAAGAAGTATTCCCAATAGCTTGGCCATTGATGGCGTGGTCCGAAGTATCCCTAATAGTTTGGCTATTGACGGTATGGCAGCGAGCTTGGAAAATAGAGCTCAAGCACAGGCTTATTTCCAGAACATTGTAGCGTAACATGCAAAAGATAAGCAATGGGGTCACAACGCAACATCAAACAACACTTAATACTACTCGTTACTGTTTGGCAATTTTTTCTTTATTGTATATTCTTCTTATTACTCAAAAACCCACTTGTTAACAAGTCTTGCTCTCTTTATATCCTCCATTTTTTCTTCAAATCTAATCAGCTCTTCACATTATACATTACAATAAAAAATCATGGTCGTCTAATCATGAAAGACGCCTTCATTACTAAGATTTCTTGTAGACTTGTACGGACGTTGAGGAACAAGTTTTTGATATTTTTTGAGCTAGGCTTTGCTCATGTGTGATATATTGAAGCAGATTGATAGAACGAGCCTTTTGATACCACATGGGTATGCATAAATTCTCCTTTTTTTTACTGCAGTTAGATCACAATTTTTACAATCTATTGAACATTATGATGAAGCAATTACCAGATGAAGTGTGAATCCTAATCTTCCAGCATATCGCCTCAATCGTTCAATTAGTAAAGTGTGGATTGGAGCGCCAGCATTGGAATACCTTTGTTGAATTTACATTGTTCAAGAGCCATATCATTCTCAGGTCGGAAAGAGCTGCCTTATCAAAAATTCTTTGGTATGGAAGACTTATCAAACGCCTCAGCTTTAAATACGATGCACAATCCATAGTCATATTGTAAGTTTTTGACTTTAGCATTCACGCCCAACATGAAGTAGTATCTTGATGGTATATTAGAATTGGGTGGAATTTTACTCAATCATTGTTAAAATTGCTCATAAACCATCTAATGCCTTTGACAATTAGAATTATATCCCATGCCCGAAAACACTTGTAATGATGGCCTATAAAAATGCATTGCTCAAATTTAAAGATTCGTTACATACAACAGTGGAAGTTGATATCCCTGATGGACCTTTTGAACGTTTCACCGTATGCGATCAACTTTATCTATTCACATAGCTTGGTTATTTATTTCTAAACAAAATATATTTCGTGGATTGATGGAATAAATGTCCACTTGTCAAACTGCCAGCATATTCACCAACCAACCATCAACAGTAGCCATAATAAATTTAAAAACATTCTTCGTATGAAACTGTTTAATAGATGTTAAATCAAATGACTGGACCTTCTCTCACTTTTGAATAAAGAAGGATTTAAATTGTATTTATTTAGTTATAGCTCTTTTATTACAGACACAAAATCAAGATTATATATGATAGACCAATACGAAATCTACTAGTTGTAATCGTTCGTTGTTTCAACCCCTGAGCCAATCAAATCGCTAAAAAACTCCGCTGACCTAAAAAAAAATTGCGAGGGTTTCCCCCTGTTTTGGTGTGAGGCAAAATTTTAAGCTCCGCTATATATAGCACTATAGCCGTTACTATCATCAAATTTCCCTCAGGTGCTAGAGCATGCCTTACTTACACCACTTAGCTTTTAGATTCTGGCATTGAGACTCTCAATCATCGCTAAAGTAAGTAACGATAACCAAGTGGAGGCGGCCTATCTACCTCCTAGCCTCGGATAAAGTCTTGTTGAGCTTCAGGGATAGGCACATCCACACAACGTAAAAAAGGTATGCTTCAAAGAAACATAATAATAATAAAAGAAAGAAGAAAAGAACATAATACTATAAGAGTATAGTAGTATGTAGGTAAAAAAAAAAGAAATGCTCACACGAAGCAAGTCAAAGAAAAGCATAACAAACACAACATCAAAGATGTTTAAAAAAAAAACTCGTTGCTGTTGCAAGAAAAATGCATACATGAGCAACGCGCATGGTAGTAATAGTCGGATGTAAAGCAACATGATACATACACACAACTGCAAAAGCAACAGTGGTATTATAAGTTTGCGATACAACATAATGACTAATGTTGTTTCATGTAAAGCTACAGAGGAAACACTACCAACAAAAGAAAAAGAAGAAAAAATCGCAACAACGCAAACATCATGAATGCATTATCACGAGAAAGGAAGCAAAAATATAAGCGTTCAAAGAAGTTTTATATCATTGCGACCATAAAAAAAGAACGTACTTACCACTTACCATAGCCACGGATAGACCAGAAGAGTATGGGCAGTTACCGGAGACAGACCAGAGGACGAACATACACCAAATACAGCAGACCAGGTTAGCAGCAGCAGCAGCAGCAACACCAGCACCATAGAAAAACTAAACGAACACCATCAGCAGAGAGCAGGCAAAGACCAAAAAAGTTACTTACCACTTATCACCACCACAAGTACACCAGAGAATAAGCAATCACCGGAGATTGACCAGAGAATAAGCATACATCACAGATAGCAGACCAGAAAAGATTAGACTAGCAGCAGCCGCAAAAAACATCAGCAAGACCATCAGCAAGACCATCAGCAAGACCATCAGCAAGACCATCAGCAAGACCATCAGCAAGACCATCAGCAAGACCAGCAGCAAGACCAGCAGCAAGACCAGCAGCAAGACCAGCAGCAAGACCAGCAGCAAGACCAGCAGCAACCATCAGCAATACCATAAAAAAAACCGAAGAACGAGCGATACCAGACATTAAACAAAGACTAAAGAAGCAACCGCCATAGATAGAGACAAAAGAAGCAACTACCAGATATCATAGCCAAAGAATCAGACATCGGAGAGAGCAGAAAAGTAATGGCAGCAGCACCCACGTCTAACAGGCAAAAACATTATTGAAACCTAATAAAAAAATTCGATTAGTGCTGATTCTACGTCTTCCAGTGCTCGTTATCGAATAGTACCTACTGTATTCCACTTCAAAGAAGCAGTATCAAGTGCTTGTAACAGTGCAAGACCTTGTCATCAGAAGCTAGAGTGTTATTTCAATCAAAAGGGTTCCAAAACCAACATGGTTTGATACTAATCGCGTTTTGCAAAAAGGGTAAAAAAAAACAGGGTATTGAAAAAATGAGAGGACGCGCTAACCGACGTCACGACCAGTAGATTTGACCTCAACCTTCTGTCGTGGTGGCAGCCGCAACTGCTGCACTTTAATTTGAAATTGTGTAGTGGGTATTTTCGTGTTCAAATTTGACTTGATTTCACATTCTTAAAATGTTTTTGCTAAATTTGACTATAAAAAATGTCGTTGTAATACTTTACTTTCTAATAAATTTATAAAGAGTCAATGAAGGCGCATCGAATGATGCTGGCTACATTTAGCTTTCAGACCAAAAATAATGAGCAATTTCCAAAAATATGAAAACAGGTTTTCTCTGAATATTTCAAAATTTAGCATATGAAAATCTGATAGAAAGAGTTTCCAATTTTACATTTCATCTTTATAATCAATTTGTTATAATATGTATCATAGGAAAAGTCTTCATTTTTGACGTGAAAAACGCGATCGTTTGATTTTCAAGAATTTTCCCTTGCTAGTACTCATGAAAAAACGAGGATTTTCAGGAATTTGCAACGACCCAAAAAATTTTGAGATAAGGAATTAGTTAGTAAGGCGTGGCCAAGAGGAGGCGTGTGGTGCTATTCCAAGCGCTCAAAACGCTTTGTGGCATGAGTTATTTGTGACTAAAAATGACTAGTTTGCACAGAATTTGGCCTAAGAATAAGGCGTAGTAGTTTGTTTTGTGAAGTAAGTAGATAGATTACAGCTCTGTCTAATGTCTCTGAAGTTCCGCATTGTACGAAAGTTAATTTCTAAAGAATTGGCACAGCTATTGTAATTTGAAGACACAAATCTTTGCTAGATGTTTTGACGTAGGAATACGTTTGATGGAAAACGAAACTAGAGAGGGTGCAGATTTGTGAAATTGAGCTTGTGGTGTCTATTATTGCCGTGCGACGGCCAACAAAATAACAGGTGCAGAAGAAAAATGGGAGAACATCAAGGAAGGATATTTAATTACATAGTTGTATGATTGCTTAGAAGAAATGTATATTACAAGCATGGTTTGTAAATAGATGTGCAGTGCAATCGAGTTTAATAGACTTCACAAAAAAATAAGGCAATAGTAAAATACAATAGAAATCAACTGGATTTTATTTGTGTGTAAAATGAATTGAAGATCCTGGAATTGAGGAAAAAAAGAAGAGTATTTATACATTTGCAACTAGCTTGTAGGATTAGTGATGATAGAGAGCAATAGGTGCTGCTATTGCGATATCTGGCAAATGTTGTTGATGTTTGATTTAAAGTGGTAATCAATGCAGGAGCACTGGCCATAAGGGTCGATTTGAGTAACCTTGATGGGCTTGGGTGACACTACGGCCCAACTGATGTTCTCATTTGAAAAGGTGTAGTTTTTTACGTGAATAAAATGGATTTAATACCTAAACTATAATATTGTAGACAACAGGGAGACATTTATTATCCGTAAGATTCATAAAATTATTAAATGTGATGCATCATTTCTAAACTAGATCTCCAAATGCGTAGAAGCAAGCAGTTCAAGCACCGATCACATCAGATCATAAACTTTGACATGAAGCAAAATTCAGTTACGATCCATATGGCATGTTCAGGATAATAGATTGGTTCTATTATCCTATCACCCAAATCAACTCATCTAATATGTTGAGTCTGTAGCGGTTGCGGACATTCAGTAACTCGGCAAGAGTCGGATCATGATTTACGTTGTTTCTCACTGTCTACATTAGGACATTAGGTTCAACACAGAAGTGAATCATATAATCGATTATAATGGTCTCTGATAGTGAAGGATAATGATGGCTACAGATCGTATCATCATGGCTGATCGAACGAATCGGATCCTTCAATTGACTGATATTAGATAAACATGATACGATGTATTGACTCAGTTGAAACAACAAGATAGATTGATAATTCATCAGTAATGATCTCTTATAAATAGGATGTGTTTGAATCAATTAATAAATCTTTAGTTTTCGTATCTTGTTACTTTTTATAGTCTTCCTTTTTTGAAATCTATCTTAATTTGTTGATGTTGTATCTTTGGATACAACATTTTTTTTAACCGTGTAATCCGGATCACTATTGATTTTATACTACAACCGTTTACTCCATTTTATCTCAAATGTCTCAAGAACATACTACTGTTACTGTTAATCCTGCTGGCTCCTTGGAAAACGCAGTTGCGGATTTGCGTGAAGAAGTTCGTGGTCTGACTGTCGAAATTTCGAAGGCTGGCGGTCAGCCAGAATAGGAGGTGGAACCCCTACGTCTTTTGCTGGGCAAAAGGGCTGCTGACTTGCAATCTCTGTTGGATCTGGTTGTCTTGACATCGGATGGATCTGGATTGCCTCCTGGTTTTTCTTCGTTGCGCTCTGCTGCCAAGGCTGTCAACTCTTTTGTACCTGACGGTCTTCCCTTATTTCAATGGACCGGCCTGATTAGGGATAGTAACAGGGAAAGTTTTCCGAATGTTGAAGCATGTATTCGTCGGTTTGAGGATGTACTCATCTCTCATGAAATGAGTCTTGACACCGACTGGTCCCGCTTGTTGCCCCGTTGCTTGGGTATTGACCTGCGTAACTGGCTGAATGAATTTGTCGAAGGACAAGGGGATGCGCAGATCTCTTGGTCCGCTGTGAAGAAGGCGATCATCTCTCGTTACGGTGTTCCTAGGGAGCAAAGTCGGTTTGCTCGGATCCGTGAATTCTTGGCTTGCACGAAGCAAGACAGTGAGTCTGTTGACTCCTTCCTGGAACGGTTTAAGGGTTTGAGAGCAAGATCCGAGGTGTCTGACAAGCATGTGGCTGATCTGGTGTTCTTCGATGCGTTCCCGAATTCTGTTTCTCGCTTGCTTACTGTAGCAATGAGCCAAGCTTCCGAAGCTTCGTTCTATGATATCGACTATATGTCTTCTGTGGCCCGCCGTCTGGATACGACTATTGAGAAGGTCGGTAAGGATGTTGATCGCTTGGGCTCTCGCAAGAGAGAAGCGGATGCTTCACACCTTCCAGTATCCAATGAGGCTAAGAAGTCAAGATGGTACGAGGAACCGAGTTCTTCTGGTGCTCGTGGGGCTTCTTCGCGTCGTTCTAATTCTGGTATCAGGGATCCTAGGGTCTCGAAGTTTGGCAAGACCATGGCTCAACATCGTGCGGAGCAATCGTGCAAGGAATGCAATGGACACTACGGAAAGGGTCATTCGTGTGCCAACGGTGGTTCTTCTGGTCCTACGAAGACTGTTCGCATGATGATGAAGCGTCCAACAGTACAATCCATGGTGAACAAGGCTTTGGCGTCTGAGGCTGGTGCTGCCGTACTTCGGGAAAAGAGCAGGGAGGTCAATGCCTATTCCGCTGCGTCTTCGGTTGCTGCTTCTGTCGTTGTTTCTCCTGTTCCTGTGCGGGATGAAGTTAGTCCTGGTTTGTCTTCTGTTCAGGAGACTGAGAACACTGAGGTTGACTCTGATGTGGAAATGTCGGAATCAGATGGTCATACTATCACCGATGCTGAGGGCCTGTGTGGTCGAGCTCAGGCTTCAATTGTTGATGGTATGGAAAGTGTTTCTGTGTCTGATGTTGACTTGTTGGTGCAGAATTTGTCTGCTCAAGAATGTAAGTTTGATGCTGTATTTAGTGCACCTCCTACATTGCGTTCCAATGCCATTTGTGTTCCAATTGTGGTACAAAATGTCATTTGTTTCGGCATCGTAGACACTGGTGCGACTTTTAGTTGCATTACTGACGAGTTTTTCGATCATCTAGGAGGTCGTACTCATTCTGGTTTTGAAGCTGCTGCTGCTGACAGTGTTGTACAGTTGGCACATGAAGCGACTACCGTTCCTCGTGTTGGTTCTGTGGTCTTGAATGTTACTTATAATAAAGTTGTTAGTTCACATTCATTTGAAGTTTTTATATTTTATTCAGAAGAAAATGTACATGTGTTATTGGGAGTGGATGTTCTCTCTAAGATTGGTATCGGTATTAGTGGTTTAGTGAGTCAGCATGATCTTCAGACTGGTCCCAGAAAGCCAGATCCTGTTGACGACTCGATTTAACCTAATCACCATCCATTTGGTAGTGAAAATGAACGTGCTCCTTACGTTAGGCTATTGAATGAACTGTTATTGGAGAATTCGCAAATTGACATGAGAAATACTCAGTGTAATTTGCCTGATTCTGTTATCAAGCTGGATACTAAACCTGGCTGTTGTGTTGCCTATCGTGCTCAATACCCACTTGCGGAGGCCTATAGGGATGCTGTTAATAAACAGATCCAAGTGTGGCTTGATGAAGGCGTTATCGAACAATCGGCGAGTCATACCCGCTTCAATCATCCGTTGTTGGTGGTGAAGAAGAAAGATTCGAATGGCAATTATGACATGTCTAAGCCTCGTGTGGTGTTAGACGTCCGTAAGTTGAATTCGATTTTGGAGGTTGATGACAAACAACAGTTGCCGTTGATTTCATCTATTCATCAGAATATTGGGAATAAAACGATTCATACTTGTCTGGATATCCATGCTTGTTTTACCAGTTTTGGATTGGATCCCTCGCAAGCTCATAAGGTTTCGTTTACTTCGCCGTTTAGCAATACTCAGTACACCTTTCGGAAGGCTGCGTACGGTATTCGTCATGTTGGCTCAGTAGTTGTTCGTACATTGCAGAATCTGTTGTCAGATCTGAATACGTCCAATGCTGCTACTCCCAATTCTACCAAGGATGACCACTCAGTGTTCTGCTACGTTGATGATATAACCTGTAGTACCTCGGGTAGCTTGGAAAATCACTTTAAACTTGTTGCTGAAGTGGTTCGTCGTTTGACAAAGGCTAATCTGGTTTTGAATCTAGAGAAGGTGGTCTTTGCTCAGAGAAGCATTTACCTTTTAGGATGGAGTGTAATTGATGGCAAGTTAGTCCCTGATGGAAGAAAACTTACCAATATTATGCAGTGGCCTCCTATTAAGACTGGTAGACAGCTTGCTTTGTTTCTGGGTCTGATGTCCTATTTCCGATCTTCTATTCCGATGTATTCTCGCTTAACGGGTGATCTCGACTCGTTGAAGCAGTGTAAAGATTTGTCGAAGGTCTGGACGGCAAGACATGACAGAACTATTGCAAATTTGAAGTATGCACTTACCAATGCGTTGGTTATGTCCACCCCTAATTTCTCATGTCGATTTCATTTAGCTACTGATGCTAGTCTCACTGCAATTGGTGGTTTGTTGTACCAAGTGATTCAGAATGAAATTCGGTATATTGGTTTGGTATCGCGTAAACTCTCTCCTTCTGAACGCAATTACAGTACTACGAAACGTGAGCTTTTGGGAATTTGTTATTCATTAGAGAGGTTTCATCGGTTTCTCTATATGAGGCGGTTTACCCTGCCCACGGATCACAAGAGTTTGATCTACTGTAGGGGGAAAAACTGTCCCGTTCGTTCAAATAATCTTGACTTTTACCCAGTATATTGCCAAAGCTCAGAAAACAATTCTACCCCATACTGCGTTCGATAGAACAGCTTATAGAGATTACAGCAACATAAAAACCTTATGGCTGGACTATATTTTAATCCCAGTATAGCCAGCTAAAGTGAGACGTGGCAAAAATGTTAGTTGGATAATTCTAGAGAATATAAAATGGTTGATATCTTTACTTTCTTATTTTTTTTCAAAACTTTCATTAAGCCTGCTCGTTTAACACAAGATTCGCGTAACGTTCTCCAATCTTTGCTCCAACGTGGTCTTTCGCTCTCAAAAATAAAGAATTTGTATCCAGGAGTGGGTAACTCTACTCTTACAAGGCTCAGAAAACTATATTGCCCTGACCCAGCTAGACCTCTTGGCGGAAGACCGAAAAAACTTGGTGCTAAAACTATGTCCCTAGTGTCAAGAGGACTTCGATCAGGTGCTTTAGATAATCCCCGAGCAGCACAAGAAAGTTTAAGATCGATGGGCCATGATATGTCAATTAATGGCATCCGCAAGTCATTGAGACGAAATGGAATCTCGTAGAAAAGTAAAGACCAATTTTGTTAGCAAGACAAACAAACGGCTTCGATTGGCGTGGACTAAAAAGCATAGGCATCTTACTATTGCTGATTGGCGTCGTTGGGTGTTTTCGGATGAAACAAGAATAAACCTTTGGGGCTCGGATGGTAATTCTTTTTACTGGACGAATGGTGATCGAACTATGCAGCCTCATCAAGTCAAGCCTCAAGTGCAGGGAATTGACGGTGGGGTTATGTTCTGGAGTTGTATAACAGCGGAGGGGCCTGGTTATGGTACTACCATTATTGAAGGCTCCGTAAACTCGGACTTGTATGTCGATATTTTGTAGACATCATTGGTCGACACTCTTGAGCACTTTGGGAAGACACCATCTAATTTGCGATTTCAACAAGACAGAGCAACACCGCATACATCGGGCATTACTAAACAATGGTTCACCGACAATGGGTTTAACCTAGACGAAATTATGGATTGGCCACCCCAAAGTCCCGATCTTAATCCCATTGAACATGTCTGGCATCTCCTAAAGCTTCGTCTTAATAAGTATCCCACTAGGCCCTCTACAAAAGAAGAATTAGAGCGGCGTATTAACATTCAGTGGTACAAAATAACAGAAAAAGAGTGCCAGAAATATACTGATAGTATGCCTGCCCGAATCAAGGCTGTCATCAAGAGCAAAGGTGGTTCAACTCACTATTAATGATTTTATAATAAAATGTACATTTTTCTATATTTATTTTTTGACCAATAAAATCATTGGATTTTAGTTTTTGAAAAAGTTATAAATATGTATAAATAGCACTACTTTCTCTCATTCAAACGATATATATTTCGACTTTGTATACAAAGAAATGACCAAAAACTTGCACAAAAAAAACAAAATTTTAAACGAACGGGACACTTTCCCCCCTACAGTAGAAAGAATAGATCTGGGTACTTCAGATGAGAGTCTAATTATTCATCCAAGCAAAAGCAAAATCATGATTAGCTTGCTGGAGTTGTCTTTTAGCATGATTAGACATTAGTTGATCTGAGTTGACTTATTTGTCAATCTAACTAATAGAACTTTTATCCATTGTTATAGTATATAAGAAGGATCATCTACTTGGCCAGTAGAGATACTTCAGTTTACTTTACACCTGTCAGTTTGATAATAAAACATACCTTTATTAAGTTGACTTTACTGTTTTTTATTCTTTTTTTCCGTGAGTTTTAGTCTATTTACCCTCAAATTCCACAGCTACAAAGCGTTTTGAGCGCTTGGAATAGCACCACACGCCTCCTCTTGGCCACGCCTTATTAACTAATTCCTTATCTCAGAATTTTTTGGGTCGTTGCAAATTCCTGAAAATTCTCGTTTTTTCATGAGTATTAGCAAGGGAAAATTCTTGAAAATCAAACGATCGCGTTTTTCACGTCAAAAATGAAGACTTTTCCTATGATACATATTATAACAAATTGATTATAAAGATGAAATGTAAAATTGGAAACTCTTTCTATCAGATTTTCATATGCTAAATTTTGAAATATTCAGAGAAAACCTGTTTTCATATTTTTGGAAATTGCTCATTATTTTTGGTCTGAAAGCTAAATGTAGCCAGCATCATTCGATGCGCCTTCATTGACTCTTTATAAATTTATTAGAAAGTAAAGTATTACAACGACATTTTTTATAGTCAAATTTAGCAAAAACATTTTAAGAATGTGAAATCAAGTCAAATTTGAACACGAAAATACCCACTACACAATTTCAAATTAAAGTGCAGCAGTTGCGGCTGCCACCACGACAGAAGGTTGAGGTCAAATCTACTGGTCGTGACGTCGGTTAGCGCGTCCTCTCATTTTTTCAATACCCTGTTTTTTTTTACCCTTTTTGCAAAACGCGATTAGTATCAAACCATGTTGGTTTTGGAACCCTTTTGATTGAAATAACACTCTAGCTTCTGATGACAAGGTCTTGCACTGTTACAAGCACTTGATACTGCTTCTTTGAAGTGGAATACAGTAGGTACTATTCGATAACGAGCACTGGAAGACGTAGAATCAGCACTAATCGAATTTTTTTATTAGGTTTCAATAATGTTTTTGCCTGTTAGACGTGGGTGCTGCTGCCATTACTTTTCTGCTCTCTCCGATGTCTGATTCTTTGGCTATGATATCTGGTAGTTGCTTCTTTTGTCTCTATCTATGGCGGTTGCTTCTTTAGTCTTTGTTTAATGTCTGGTATCGCTCGTTCTTCGGTTTTTTTTATGGTATTGCTGATAATTGCTGCTGGTCTTGCTGCTGGTCTTGCTGCTGGTCTTGTTGATGGTTTTGCTGATGGTCTTGTTGATGGTTTTGCTGATGGTCTTGCTGATGTTTTTTGCGGCTGCTGCTAGTCTAATCTTTTCTGGTCTGCTATCTGTGATGTATGCTTATTCTCTGGTCAATCTCCGGTGATTGCTTATTCTCTGGTGTACTTGTGGTGGTGATAAGTGGTAAGTAACTTTTTTGGTCTTTGCCTGCTCTCTGCTGATGGTGTTCGTTCTTTAGTTTTTCTATGATGCTGGTGTTGCTGCTGCTGCTGCTGCTAACCTGGTCTGCTGTATTTGGTGCATGTTCGTTCTCTGGTCTGTCTCCGGTGATTGCCCATACTCTTCTGGTCTATCTGTGGCTATGGTAAGTGGTAAGTACGTTCTTTTTTCTGGTCGCAATGATATAAAACTTCTTTGAACGCTTATATTTTTGCTTCCTTTCTCGTGATAATGCATTCATGATGTTTGCGTTGTTGCGATTTTTTCTTCTTTTTCTTTTGTTGGTAGTGTTTCCTCTGTAGCTTTACATGAAACAACATTAGTCATTATGTTGTATCGCAAACTTATAATACCACTGTTGCTTTTGCAGTTGTGTGTATGTATCATGTTGCTTTACATCCGACTATTACTACCATGCGCGTTGCTCATGTATGCATTTTTCTTGCAACAGCAACGAGTTTTTTTTTTAAACATCTTTGATGTTGTGTTTGTTATGCTTTTCTTTGACTTGCTTCGTGTGAGCATTTCTTTTTTTTTTACCTACATACTACTATACTCTTATAGTATTATGTTCTTTTCTTCTTTCTTTTATTATTATTATGTTTCTTTGAAGCATACCTTTTTTACGTTGTGTGGATGTGCCTATCCCTGAAGCTCAACAAGACTTTATCCGAGGCTAGGAGGTAGATAGGCCGCCTCCACTTGGTTATCGTTACTTACTTTAGCGATGATTGAGAGTCTCAATGCCAGAATCTAAAAGCTAAGTGGTGTAAGTAAGGCATGCTCTAGCACCTGAGGGAAATTTGATGATAGTAACGGCTATAGTGCTATATATAGCGGAGCTTAAAATTTTGCCTCACACCAAAACAGGGGGAAACCCTCGCAATTTTTTTTTAGGTCAGCGGAGTTTTTTAGCGATTTGATTGGCTAATCATTTGAATCAAGCAACTGTTGTGAAATGCTTTTATCAGTACTTATTTATTATTGATTTAAATAATAAACAGAATAGTGATAGACCGTATACCTTTCGTACATCGGAATCCTCATCGCCTGAGACTCGTAGACCTGTACTCATTGCAGTAGCTCTTTTCGGTATCGTTTACATTGGCATCTTTTTTGTCAAGTTCAAACCTACTCTCGCTGTTACAAGTGCCGTTGTTTTTGAAATTTCCAAAATTTTCACAGAACGTGCTGTCTTTATCATGAGTAAACAATGTATATCTTCCGTAGATTATTATTACATTATCCGTTTATCATGACGATGTCTCTACAAGGTAGAATGACATTGCTTCAGTTTCAGTGTGATGTTGGTAACTGTCTCGACTACTGCGCTCGAATTATTTGACTGATCTTTGTCTTTATTAAGTAAATGTTCTTCATCTGATAAATAATGTTCGAAGATAGAGCAGCGTCTACATCATCCTTATACTCATCAGTATCATGTTGATGATTTGAGCGATAATCCTGTAATTGCTTCAACCGAAAATCAGTTTATGAGTAGCAGTCCATGCTATTATCTTCTTCTCCGTGTGCATCGCCTCGTCCTCGTTGTTTGGCTCTTATTCTCTAACTACATGATTGTAAACAAATATTATTCCATGCCGAATGTCCCATTAAAAGACGAACACACTGCTGGATGCAGTTTTGTTCAACTCAACAAGTGTAATTTAAGCAATGTTCAGTATGTATGGCACAGCTGATATTAAAAAAAAAGGTTCGCAAAAAATTGGCTCCCATTTATTATCATGAGGTAGTGGAAACGAGAAACAAGTTTTCATAAAATGTTAATCCAGTAGGACCTTCATCGCGACAAATAAGGCCCATTCTCTCGGTGACATCTAATTGCTCCACGGCTACGGCCAATGCTAATTTCTCAATTTCTGCCAGTTGCAACGCTGTTAAACCACCTCCTTGTTTCTTGACGTGTCTTAGCACTCGAGAAGCGGCTCTGTTATCATTCATATCTATGGACTGAATCACGAGTAAGCCACTGGGAAATTTTCTCAAACGAAATGGCAGCTTGAGTTGCTCAAACTGCTGGCTTGCTTTATACAGATCCTCAGGGGAAATTAGTGCTGGATGTTGAGCTATTAGCAACATGCATTACTTTTTTATAATGAACTGAAATTACCTGTGCCTCTTGCTCGATTAAACAGACAGTACACATCTGTCAGGGACTCCATGTCGTCTTCTTTCTGGAAAAATTTCGCCAGGAAATCAGCCAACTCTCGAGATAATTCTTGATGGTATATAGAGCCAGCTGATCCTCTGTTAAAATTTGACTTGGTAAGTGATAGACGCAATAAATATATAACGAAATTTACTTTGTAACAGGAGAAGCAATACCGAGATTGAGCAAGTGAGTACGCAGGGTGGACATCTCATTATCTTCATTGGCAGGATCTTTGCTCACTTTGTTGGAAATGGCTTCAGCTAGCTTCACCATCTCCGTGGCCTTCATCATCAATCTATCTAAATCTTGAAATGCGTCTGTCATGGTCTCATTTGCTTCCAGTGTTGTCTTGTGAATGCGATCTTCAATTGCGCCTATTATTTACCATTTCGTTTAGTATTAACTGCAATTCTTGATTCATGGATGCTTACTGATGCCAACGCCTCGCACGGTTGGGGCTGTCGGTTCTGTGGTTGGAGTGGATATCTAGTTTGTGTAATCTTTCAGGACAAGACGCTCTGGTCACTATTGTATCTCATACCTTTTCCCATTGCTTTACGCGCAGTGCTCCCTTTAAATTACTCATAAAACCTGATTGTCCTCCTTTTCTAAATGAGAGCCGGATTTGCTTTGATGATGATGACAATGAATTGTTATTTGTAGAACTAGCAGAGCTTGAGCTTGTTGTGGCAGTTGGTACGGTTTCTCGCGGTAAATCGGCACCACACATCTCACATTGATTTAAACTGGGATGGTTGATGAATGTGCAAACAGGGCATGCGCTGCTGTCGGTAACAGTGTTTGTATTTATGCTGGGAGATGCTGCATCTGCTTGCTTACGAACACCGCATAATTCGCACATTTCCGACGAAGCTTTGTTTGAGAAGAAGCAGATAGGGCAAGCCCATACGCTGCCATTTGAGTTGCCTGTATTCAAACTATGCGAGGATCCTTTTCTCGATGACGGCTCTATTGTTTCGGTTGTTAATGCCACTGAATCAATGTTGATAATGATCTTTGGCGACGATCTCAAGAACCCGCCCTACACAATAATGTAATGAAACGTCTGCAAGCAAATCTTGGGTTCATCAACTTACGTAGCTCTCAATGTCTTTTACGAGATGTAGTCCAAGTTCGACCGAGGATTCCAATGGATTTTTATTGTCAACGTAGATGATGCGATGGGAAGTCAGATAGCACACACCGTCTTGATACTGGTCTACTTTATGCTTTCTGTTTTTGCGTTTTGAGTCTTGTTGTAAACATCGCACTAAATTGGCAATATTACCCGTCATAGAGTCCAATATTTCCTTGTTGAATGAGCAGCGATTCGCCAGGTACTAGCTCTGGTCTTTTAGCAGAAGATAAAACTGTGCTCTTGAAAAACTCCATGAAAAGTAGAGAAACAAAAAGAGGGTGCAGTTGGCTTCTTTCTGTTCGGGCGCGCTACCTAAGTCTATTCATGTTGTTTTAGGCAGCTTCAATTCCCGCCATTATTCGACAGAGAGCCCCTTAAAAGAACACAGTTGACATGTATAGAACTGAAAGGTAATTTAATACAGATAGTGTGATTTGGAGATATGAATAGAACTAGTAGTTATACATCTATGCATTAAATAAAGGAAAGTAAGGTATTAATATATATATATGCTTACTAAAAATGACCAATATCCGAGCAACAATGAATTTTATATATATATATATATATATACATTGATCTGGTATAAATATCTAGACAATTTATCCATCATGTTCTCATCGTTCTTCCTTTCTGCAGATATTAAATTAAAGTCCATTATACTCGTTTTTTTTTTTCATTCGTTTACCTCAATATGCCCAAAATGAACATCACCAAGACCCAGAGTAGAAAATCAGTCATTCCTCGTCCATTGAATAGCTTCATGATCTTTCGCATGGAACATCAAGCCAGTGTCAGCAAGGAATATCCGGGTGCAACACATCAAGACATTTCAAAGAAGCTATCAATGAAATGGAAAGAACTCACGGCTGAAGAAAGACAAGAGTATTACACGAAAGCTCTTGCTGCCAAAGAGGAGCACAAACTACAGTGAGTGTTTCGCTGCTTAAGATATGTGCTCGTGCCATACTGATTGACTTGTCATATAGATACCCTGATTACAAATATCGCCCTCGTAGAAGATGTGAAACACCAAAAAAGATCAAGAAATCAAACAACAGTAGTGTCATTGCAGTGCAGACTGAGTCATCAGGTGGAGATCTCCATCCTCAAGTTCGACCGATTGATTGTTCAAACGAACAGCTATACCTATTGCCAGACACTACGTTCTTCAACCCATTGCAAGCAGTGGATATCACTATTAATTTGACCAATGCGCTGGATGATGATTCTTTGACGACTACAACTTGCTTTGATAATCTACTTCTGTGCCCAACACTGAGTGAACCTTCCTACCAAGACCCATCAGCTTCGCCATCTGCATTCTCAATAATGTCTCAATTCAGTGGTCTCTCGCCTTCTCTCTCGAGCGATTATGAACCTACAGCTACTCTGCAATCTCTAGAATACTATGATGCAATGGGTGTTCATCCTTACTATTGTGGACCAGTATCAAATACATATACGCCACCACCGTTCGAGTGCGCTTCCATCATCGACTACTCGCAAATGGATCAGGTAGCAATGCCTTTTGATGTCCTAGTTGCTCCTATTGCTGATCTTATGCCTCCTCAAATCAACTTTCCAGAAACCCAGCATCAACTGCCACCTGCAATCTTAGATCATACTGAACCCACGTTGGGATTTGATGCTATAAAGACAGCGAACGATTTGAGCTCTAACTCTTTCGACACTTATGCCCCCATCAGTGGCATTCCACTGCTGACACAACCATACTTGTACATGGACTTTCAAGCTATGTCTTATAGAATGGATCAATAGATTACTCAAACCCATAATAATTACAGCAGATCAATAAAATGTCATAGTTTGTTCTAACCAACTTGAAACTAGCCTGAACGTTTGTGATATATCAGCCATTGAGTCTTTTGTAATGGTTTTCAAGTCAGTGCTTTCAAATCAAGCCTTGATTGGTGGGCAGTAGCACAAAATGTAAAGTTTTCGCAGTTGGTGCTGTTTGCATTCTTTCCTTCTTTTCTCTCTGCAACTTCACTAGCAAACTAAGTTTGTGGTTGATATATAATGAAGGTAATTCTAGCATGCCGAGAAGAACAGCATCGTATTAACCAGTAACCTGCTTGCTTTAGCTTATCAGCAAATCTCTAGAAAAGGACGCATCGGGCTCAATCACACTTCTTCCTGAAGAGTTGGAAGATATGTGGCATGTATACAATTTGATATCCAAAGACGACTTGATCAAAGCAACAACTATTCGGTAAAACTAGATTTCAAAAGTCTATTATTCGCCTTTTAATCGTCTATCCATAGTCGTTTGCAATCAGAAAGCTCAACAGGCTCTGTCTCGAGTCAGCGAGTGCGTCTCAACTTGACCATCACTGTAGAGAGTGTCGATTTCGATCCCAACGTGGGCTTGTTGCGTATCAATGGTAAAGTGGCTAGTGAGAATCAATATGTCAAGGTATGGACTCGAATTGAGGATCAATCACTGTATGCTCATGTGTCTGTCTGTATGATAGATGGGCAGTTATCACACAATTGATTTGGAACTGAATCGAAACTTCACCTTATTCAAGCCTGAATGGGACACCATTGCACTGGAGCGTGTGGAAGATGCGTGCGATATCACCAAACAAGCAGACGTCGCAGCAGTGGTCTGTCAAGAGGGTTTAGCCAACATTTGTTTCCTAACACAACATATGACAATTGTTCGTCAGCGTATTGAAAGTCCTATTCCAAGAAAGAGAAAGGGTTCTGTAACAAACCACGACAAGGGACTTACTCGATTCTATGAGCAAATCTACCAAGGCATCCTACGTCATGTTCATTTTGATATTGTGAAAGCTGTGATCATTGCTAGCCCTGGCTTCGTCAAGGATCAACTGTATGCTTACATCTTCGACCAGGCAGTGGTAGGCAATTGATATCGTCAGTGGCTTCTTAATGTGCTCACAATTTGCATAGAAAACTGAAAACAAGGTCATTATGGAGAACAAGTCCAAGTTTGTATTGATCCATTGCTCCAGCGGACATAAGCATGCATTGACTGAGGTCATGCAAGACCCCTCAGTACAGGCCAAATTATCAGACACAAAGGCTGCTCGGGAAGTGCAAGCATTGGATAAATTCTATGAAATGATGAACCTAGATCCTGATAGAGCGTTTTATGGCTTTGCAGATGTCGCTAAAGCCAACAACAGAGGGGCCATTGGCACACTACTAGTGACTGACGAGCTGTTTAGATCAGCAGATATCGCTACTCGTAAAAAGTATGTGTCCTTAGTGGAACAAGTGAGAGCACAGAATGGCAATGTCTATGTGTTTTCCAGCATGCATCCTTCAGGAGAACGTAAGTGGATTGGGTTGATCTATCATCGTTTGATCTGGCATACTGATGGTTGTTGTGTAGAACTGAATCAATTAACGGGTGTAGCAGCTATTTTGAATTTTCCTCTTCCTGACATTGAAGACATGGAAGACGAATAAAACGAGTTTAGCATAGATGTTATATTTTAGACGAAAGATTATTAATTATATACAATGTTTATTTCTATGATATTCAAAAAAAAAAAAAAAGGTGTATCTATTATTTATTGTAAGTTTCGTTTTTTTTTTTTACATATTAACGTCTTCTCCAAAAAGTGCAGCAGCGGCTTGAGCCACTACTGCTTGGGCAGCAGCCTGAGCAGCAGCATAATTCATAGCCAAGATGCCATCAATAGCCGCCAGTATGTCTGCCTCCCACCATCCCATCTCATAATCCACCAGACCGAATCGCTCCAGCTTATCTGCCCAGGACACGACCATCTCTCGTAGACTGTATAAATGTTGATCTGTCAAACGTTCAGCATCACTGCTAGGTTCATGTCGTTGAGCAAGTGCATATAACCAGCAATTGTTAAGTCCAGCCCAAAATTGTTCTCTATCTATGGCATTGTAAGGGTGATCATCCGATGTTAAACCTAATGCATTGATGAGGTTTTAGCATGAAATTCATTTCTGACTATATATAAATCTTACCTAGTTGTTCGCAGTGATCCACCACAGCACCTGTAGCTTTACTCAGTGTTTGGAATCCACTGACCATGTTTCTTTGTTCCACATGATCTAATGTATTTTTCAATTGTTTTTGGATTTCTTCAAATGTTGTAATTGGAGTAGGAGCGGGAGCAGGCGTGGGTGGTGTAGCAACTGGGAGTGAAGTAGTCGCTGTAGTCGCTGTGGTGGTGGAAGCTGTGGTGGGAGTAGGAGGAGTGGCATCTGTGGCTGCTTGCGATTGCGGTGGTTGTGTAGCTTGTGCTGGCGTTGGTATTGTTGACTGGGTCGTAGCAGCTTGCGTAGTAGGTGTGGTTGTTGTAGCTGTAGCTGTTGTAGTAGCTGTTGTCTGTGCAGGTGTTGTTGTTTGAGAAATTGCATTCTGCGCATGAACGCTGACTGGCATTTGTGTAGCTTGAACATTGGCAGTTTGCGCTGGTTGCCCTGTTGAAGCAGGAATGAAATCAGCATGCTGTGTAGCAGGCTCATGGGCTGCAGTATTCTCAGTCGTAGTTGCAGCAGGATCAGGAACAGGATTTGATGTTGATGCATTGACAGACTCAGAGCTTACAGATGTGGTTGCGGTTGTAGTAGACATGGAGGCGGTATCAGGAGTAATTAGTGAAGAAGGTCGTTCGGATTGTACAGTGGATTGTTGAGGTTGTACGGGTTGTTGTTGGTGTTGTTGTTGTTGCACTGATGGTGGTTGCTGTTGTGGTTCAACCGAAACATCCGATGATAACAACGACGACGACGACAATGCTGGCTCAACCGGGGTATCATCCTTCTGTGCTGCTGTTGCTGCTGCTGCTGTTCCTTCAACGGTTTCTATTTTCACTGCTGAATCACTCATCAGACTGGGTTCATTGCATATTGGAGCTGCTTCAGCCATGATGGTGTCTTGCTCCACTTTCATCTCAATGGCAGGATCTGGATGTGGAGCCAGGGCCCCGCTCTCATTTTCCTGCTTCACTAATTGAATGAGTAAGGAGTCTTGGGTGCCATTCGCTGTTGATTCTATCGTCTCTGATACAGATGCAGTTGATTCTTGGGCCATAATTGAGATGAAATGTGTTGATGGTGGATTGTTGTATCGTTGATGTTAGATGTAGGTTTAAAAAGAGTGGGGTGATGATGGATTGTACGAAACACAGTTAATTTAACAGTGTTTCCCTTTGAGTATATCTCAAGAGCTACAGAGTTAGATGAATTCTTAAAGTGCCTTTCTTTAAAGTGTCTAGAAAAGAGACAAGTTGCGAAAGCAGAAAAGGACGAAAGAAATGTAGATGAAAAGAAAGGTATTGGCTTCTTTGATGCTGGGGGTAAGGGTCAAAAGTTACCAGGCAAATTGCGGCATTTTAAAGAAGAGTATCACTTGCCATAATCAGATCTGAAGTTCTACTATGCAAGTGTGTCGAATTGCCTGCCTACTGGCACTTTTGATCTCGATCATCTTTGTTATAAGTTTCTAAACAAGCTGCGTGGTGAATTTCTAATGATTTGGACCCATCGATTTGCCCTAATCAGTATCGATGTTGACAAATGTCGAACGGAAAAAATTTACAAGATCAATGGAGGTTCAATAATTTGGCCAATTACATGAATAAAGTCTCTCCCTGGTCCCCTGGATGCAAAATGCAGCACCTGTCAAAAAAAATGTTGCAAGCTTCTAAAAAGTGTTTACGAGATATGGGACAGAAGGTTCATCATGGCCAAGTCGAGCGGTATCAAAACGTGAGCATTATAGAGAATGGCATTTAACGTCAATGCATATGACAAAGTATCCGAGATTTAGGATGCATTAACAGTTGCGAAGCGTAGATCAGCCTTTCATATTTGGTACATCATCACATATCCCATGTGTCCTATTAGAGTCTTTCAAACGTACCTCATTAGATAGCTAAGGCTGTATTTTGTATTCTAATGTGATCTAACATGGCATGCTTCTATTAAAGTGAAGATAATGTAGTTGCACGGCTTTTTATATATCCATCTTTCATGCAGGGTCTACAATGAGTCAATTGATCTGATTAGCGAGTATATTTCTCTCATTAGATCACCTAGCAATATACTACTTGATTCAATGCTTAATTTAGTCAAGCAGCAATACCAGATCGCTGTATACTCTCTGATTTCGATCAGTATAAAATACCAACGACATCCGGGCTTTCAATGGTGTTACCAGAGACATGGATTTGTGGAAAAAGAATAGTTTTCTGTTTTATCATTATATACACCGTGCGTGAAAATCCATTTTAATGTTGCTTGCGATGCTTTTAGAAATTCTATTTTGCAAGCACCAGGACAGCAAGGCATTTTGGATTGCAAGGTCTTATCACCAACAGCTTGAGTGCTACATTGCACATGTTTTGACACGATTCCCAAACTTTCAACGCTTTGGTTCACTACATTTTCTCATAATCTAAGCTTGTTAACATTGAGCAAAATTTAGTACAGGCAATGATATTATTCAGATTCAATCTTTCCAATGAAAACATTGAGAAATCTCTAATAGTTCAATAAGAATTGTATATAACATATATATATATATATATATATAAAACACTCTCATTCGCTGCGTTGAGTCATTAGTCATCATAAGCTTACTGTCCAAAAGCTGGAAATCGTTCGACATTACACTGGAAATCTATATGGTCGTGATATAGGAGAATTCAGGGCTCGCAATAGCTAAATTTTGCTGTGAAGCAGCATAGTACTGATCAGCGTTTAGGAAGTGTGCCTTTTCTGGTCTATTTAGTCGTGTGATACAGAGTCTCATGAGAGACGCCATCGCTTAATGCCTCATTCAACACCCTACGTATAGACTCATCAGTTTTCTAGTCAGGGGCACTGATCAAAGGATAGATCTATATGTGATGAATATGATAACCACTGATGAGCTCAAATTTCTAGGGACCACAGCAATTTAGAGTTTACGTTCAGATTTACCAGGCTGGTCAGTTGTCACTTATATCTCATTAATGGTAGTACTGCATATGAGATGTTGTGCTAGGATGCTCCATTGGGAAATTTGGCTATAGAGACAAGTGAGAAGAACAAGCATGAGCAAGCTTGTAAGCAATTTTGAGATGATGGTGATGTTTGACGGCACTTTCTATTGTTTATTGACAGGAGATTACGGAGATCATTGTAATATATTTTAGCTGATAGGAGTAATACAAACCAACATCCCATGGACTGGGCATATTATGGAAACATCCCGTTCATGTTGCCAAAGGGTGGGGCTGTATAACTCCAAGTAATTAAACCCAAGATTTATTTTGCATGACAAAATTGAGAGATGTATACTGTGCTCAGAAAGAATGACATTTAATCAAACCAGTCTTTCCTCTATAGCTTTTGTGCCGTGTCTTCGTATTTCTTTGCACTACCATTGATTATTCAGTGGCCATTCCGCGTTTGAAAGCGTTATTCCACGGGAAACCTTATAACATAAGCAATCTGTTGATTGGTCCGTAATCAAGGGTCGTCTGAGATGATGCATCTGGCACAAGTTGTATGAAGGATACAATCAAAGACAGAAGCAACCATTCATGGTTTTGAAAAAGAACGTGGGCGTCTGATAGGAGTATTTAATGCAGATGATTAATGTATATGATGGTATTGGACTGCACAGCACCCAAGACTCATTTCGAATGCGTAATGAAGATGACATAACTATGTGTAAACTTGTTCGGGATGACACGACCACATACACCAAAGCTCCGTTCATTTCACACAAGTATATCTTCGTGTCATTTGTATACAGACAAGAGAGTAGATGATAAAAAGTTACATGTTTTATTTTTAATATATATCAAGAAGAGGGTTATTGTTATGTGTTCTTCTGTATGAAAGTTTAGTGTGATTAATGTAAAAAAGAAATATGTATATTCACAAAGCGAAGAAGGGAAAATGTTGGTACAAAATAGTGTGGTGGCTGGCTAAATTTACTTCTTGGTGGCAATCATGGCAATGATAGCAGCACCGAGACCAGAACCATCTCTAGCGAGGTCAAACTTGACCTTGGAACGAGCCTGCTCACCAAGGATTTCAGACAAAGCTTGACCCATGTTCTCTTCAAAGTTGGGATAGAACTCAAAGAGAGAGCCATCAATGGCAACAATACATTCTTCGCCCACCTTACCAGTGTGCTTCATGACACCAGCAATATGGCAAGAAGCAAGACGAGCAGCACGGAGACCAACAACTTGACAGATCTTCTTGACAATTTGACGGTCAGCCAAAGTAGTAGAGGCAATGTTGAGGACAGATTCCAAGATATGGCCAGTATCAGACAAGTCAGAGGTATCGTCGACTTCAATGGTAGACATGTAAGCAGTTTCGAAGCTCCAGTTCTTGTTCAATTCCCTGGAGGAGTGGCCATCAAACAAGATTTGTTGATCAACCAAGTCGAGCAAGGCGTTACGAGTGATTTCGCCGAGATACATACCAGCAACCATCTTTTCATAGTATTGTTGATAGACGTTGATAGACTCACGATCCAACTTGTTATCATAGATAGTCATTGGCAAGACACGACGTTCGCAATCGAAAGCACCACACTCCATGTTGATGACCATTTCTTCGTGTTTCTCGCCATTCCACTTGTTGACCTTGGTCATGTCCTCGTAGTAAGAAGCGTTGAAACCAGTACCCATGATGACACCCATAGTCGTGTTGGGATGCTTGTAGGCGTAGGCCATGAGAGTACCGACAGTATCGTTGACAATCTATTGTTCAGTGTATGAGAAAATGTTTCACTCTTCGTAGCTCTCATCTCATGTTTGAGAAGGGTTTCAAACACGAGAGAAAAAAAAAAAAAAAAAAAAAAAAAAAAAAGTTACACTTACAGCAGCAATGTTGACGTTGATGTTCTTGCGGCGGAAAGAGTCTTGGAGGAGGATAGTGACATCCTTACCAACAGCACCAGAACAATTGAAACCCTTGGTCCATTGCTTCAAGACACCACGGTTGATAGCAGTTTGCAGGATAGGGAAAGAGAAGGTGTAACCCAATTGAAGAGCCTGGGTGCTCTCAGTGCCATTCTCGGTCAAGAAACTGTCAACGCAATCAGCGATGAAATCACAGAGGTGGCGCATGGGACCAGTCTTCAATTCCTCAGAAACGACGTACTTTTGTTGACGGATAGTGTGTTCACCACCGCCCAACAAGTTGACTTGGCAAACACGCAGGTTGGTTCCACCCAAATCAAGAGCCATAAAGCTACCCTTCTCCTCACCAGTACAACGACCAGCAACAAAGGAAGGAATCATAGCAACTAGACTCACAACGTGAATATCGAGAAATGTCAACCGAAACAAGATGAAAACTTACCAGTAGCACCTTGATGATCCAAACCCTTCTCCATCTCCACGACAAATTGGTCGGCAATCTTTTGCAGACGTTCAGTACTGACAGTGAAGCGGCCAACAACAGTGTTGACAGCAGCGGCTTGAGCCTCGGTGAAGTTTTCAGTGGGTGCCATGTTGATTAAATGTAAAGAAAAAAATGAGATGTGTAAAGGAGAAAAAAGGATGGAAATCACAGGAAATCACTTGGGTATTTATGTGAAATCCGTGCTTGGGGTGACGCTACTCTTTTATGGAAATAGAGTGTGGGTGGGCTCATTTTTTTGCTTACTTTTTCTTTTCTTTCTAATGAGACATTGTCTTTTCCCGGTGATCCAATGTTGAATTGTAAAATGCGGGTAAAATAATAGAAAAAGGGAAAAAAAGAGGTGATTTTCCAAGCTTTTCCCTTGATAAATGCTCTCTCTTTTTATGTTTTTTTCCTAATGCCATACAGAGATACCGTTGGGGTAGAAAAGGAGACATTTTAGTTTGATTGCATTGAATCTTTCTTCAAAAACCTGTTATCAGCCATCATCAAATGTCATACAAGGCATTAGGCCCGATAAATGAACAGGACATGATTAAATGCGAGGGTGGGGAAGTCCATATTAGGAGGAGATGAAATTCAACAAATTCATGATTAGTCGGCCTTCCAATGGCATGAACATGGATTCCCAAATGTTTTCCTTGAATATTGGATAGATTTTATCGCTTGGCTTATCAAGAGCTGCTTGCATGATTCTTGCTTTCCATGAGGGAAATCTCTCTTGAGCGATCAACATGGCACAATGCTTGATATTCATCCTTCAAATGATGCTCTGCAAAGTCGAGTCATATTGATTAAGAGCCAATGTATCCAATCATAGATGTCATTTGCGCATTAAAGTTTTCTCAAGCACCAACATCTCTCTCGTCGAATGTGCTTTATAACTGTACCTTTTTCTTTTTTTTTTTTTTTTTTTTATTGCCATTGGAGAAAATGAGCTCTTTTTTATCCAGGCCACTGATAAGGCATGCCAGATTCTACTCATCTAAAACCTTGGTTCAACTGGAGAATGCCCAAGTACATCGCTTTGGAGTCAAAGAACCCGCATTTAAGAATCTCTCACTTACGCTCAAAGATGATCAGCGCCTAGTCATTGTTGGGCCCGTCAGTGCAGGGAAAACTACTTTGGCCGAAGTAAATATGTTTGTTGAAGACACACGAGATACACGGAAAACTGACACTGATGTAGACAATTGCAGGCAGACATTCTATTCAACCTCTCAGCGCTGGGAAGTGGCCCATCATTGACGCTTCCATATCACCCTATGCGTCAGATCATGTTCACTTGGTGTCCTTCAAGGAAAATTCTGGCACATTTTCGTACAGCAAGCATTATTATCAGGAGCGTTTCAATTTTAGGTAGATATGTATCCAAAATAACTCGAACGGGAAACGGGATATCATCTCTTTCATCTGTTACTAATGTGATATTCCCATTCACAGTGACCCAGACAATGATTTGACGCTGCAACAATACTTGAATGGTGATCACGGAGACACCGCAGACATTGAGCGTGTTGCCAAGCAGCTCAACATTGAGCACTTATTACCATTATCCTTTGTCAAGTTGTCAAATGGCCAAACAAGACGTGCGCGCATTGCAAAGGCGCTACTGAAGAACCCATCGATGCTGGTATTGGACGAACCCTTAAGTAAGTGTCGCAAGTTGGTGATACAATGGACTTGCTTGTTCTAAGCATTGATGATAGTGGGACTTGATGTGGAGCATCGCAAGCATTTACTACAAGTGCTGGGTAATCTGGCCACAAAATCATCTGTCCCTGTTGTCCTCGTTCTGAGACCCCAAGACGAGTTCCCCTCTTGGGCAACTGATGTGATTGAATTGGGAAATATGGCGATTCAGTGGAAAGGAAACCCCTCAGAATACCAAAAGAGAAGAGCCAAACATCTCGAGTCTACCAAAGCAAGCAATGCTTCTGCCAAGACTATAGATACCAGCAACAATGATCCAATTGTCGAGATGAAGAACGTCAAGGTCACCTACAGCGGAAACCCTATTTTACGAGATATTACATGGACCGTAAGAAAGGGTGAGCGTTGGGCCTTGCTGGGGCCCAATGGGTCAGGCAAAACAACCCTATTATCTTTTCTGACAGGTGATCATCCGCAAGCTTATGCTAATGAACTGTTCCTGTTTGGTCGTCGTCGTGGCACAGGTGAATCTATTTGGGAAATCAAGGAAAGAGTAGGATTGGTCAGCCCTGAAATCCATTTATACTTTAATCAGAATCTGACAGCTTTGGAAGCTGCAGGCACAGGCTTTTTCGATGTCGTTGTGCCTCGATCTATCAATACGGATCAAACCCAGACCATCAAACGTCTGTTTCATGAGTTTGGCATCGAGTCCATGATGAACCGCAAACTGCAAGACATGTCTACGGGTGAGCAGCGCATGGTATTACTGGTTCGATCACTGGTAAAGATGCCTGATTTAATCATCTGGGATGAGCCCTTCCAAGGACTGGATGATACCATGATTCATAATGTGAATGGATGGCTGGAGCAGCATATGAGACCTGATCAGACACTGATCATGGTCACTCATCATGAAGAAGAGATACCAAATGCAGTGAGCAAGCGCTTTAAACTTGGACCAGGAGGGGTTCAGGCAAACTAAACTTTGTGGTATCATTTAATGTATAAAATAATAAAAAAAAAGAGAGAATATATAGTACAAACGGATGGGAGGGGTCTAATCTAATGATAATATACAGGCAAAGCGTCTTACTCATCTATCTGCTGTTGTGCTAATTTATAGCTCTTGTGCCATTCCTTAAGCTGCTCAAGTACGATGAATGTCACTATGGTATGAGGTCCCAATCTGACAAATGCAGGCATCCAACCGCGGAAGAGAGATCCAACGCCTTCGCTCCTGATCATGTGTGCCATAATTTTAATAGGATGTCTGTTGTCAAGCAAATGTGCGCTCATGATACGGGTTTTAACGACGTCCAAAGGAGAACAGACTGTCGTCGCAACCAAGCCCTACAGAAAGCAAATATAAGCAACAACCTCTTTTACAACGCACCCAATCTACCTACAGCCAACAGACTCGAAGCAAAATGTGTCATCAAATCGTCATTGAAATGCAGCCTATCAATGAATGCTTGCTTGAACATATCATAACTGGACATCTGTGATACTGTAATAAGGATTGCGCGGTGTGTGCTAGATCCAATGCCTCTCAATAGCACTCGAGGTCCCTCCTCACGGCAAATTCTAACCATACCATCCAACACATTTTTGTAATTTCTTCTTTGATTGGGTGGTAATTGTCCGTCGTTTTGCATACGCACATTCACAACATCGCTGGGGTTACCAAAGGCACCACCTAATGCTCCTGCCAAGGTCGAACAAAAGATCAATTGACGGACGGTGGGTTCTGACATTATGTATAAGTATATTTAGTCCATCCATGCAAACAGCAAACAACAACTCACTTTGATCGCCAGCGACAGACCACTTGAATTGATCGTACAGTCCGAATCGAATGGTGGAATAGGTGCCTTGTCGTAACAAACTAGCTGATAATCCACTGTACAGAGCTTGAACGCCTTCTGTTCGGCTGATGGTCCACATGGTTTTAAACATTCTAGCAGGGCTCAGCAACTTGAATTCAGACCATGCTGTGCTATTCTCCACCCGCAATGTCTGCAATCTGACTTTTGTCAAGTCAAATGGATGAGAGACAAATGTAGCCAGGCATGAAGCAGCACCTCCAAACCAAAATGGAGATTGTATTGACGTTGATTTCTTAATGGTCGTTGTGTTGGAAGATGGAATGCTGATGGGTGTCGCTGAATGTGTGGTGGACGGTGCAGCCACAAGCATTGTATTGATAACTGAGAGAAAGAAACTCAAATTGTATGGGGTATCTAAATTTGTCAAAATATAGCCCAGGATCGTCCTCCGAACGGTCACATTATTGAGCCCTATTCAGGCAAGTTTCTGGTTGCATGACACTGGCTGTTCGGTGTAATACAACAGAATCTTGATTTATAAATGACAGACTGCGTGAGAGTTTCCCAAGATGATACTGCTGAAATCATATGGAATGTCTTTAAAATGCGATAACTACGTTCTTCGTTGTGTCTGCCGTCTTTTATCAGATGTCAGCCTTTGTGTAGTACATTCAACCTGTCTGGATTTCTCCTGAAATCATAACCTCCACCGTAATAAGGTGGACATTAAAATGCTAATAAGCATGTAAAGAATCTGCTCAGATATGATGGAGGCCTACTGATTTCTTTGGCACGATGTGAAGCTTTTTTTTAGGCTGTTGTGCATCATGAAGTACATTGAGTCTCAACATTCAAAATCGGGCTTGATACGGACCACCTACTGATTCCATACTTATGATACTTGAGCGCAACATGAGGTATACTGACTCGTATAAGACAGAATGTTACACTTGTCTCTTTCCATGACGACGCATATGCTTGTGGCCTAGCTTGTCATTGCTGTACATGGTTTATATATATTGATAAAATGCATACTGCCTACATGTCATGTTGAAATGCTGCAAGTCATGATTAGGAAGTTGCGATCACATCTATTTTGGTGGTGAGCCAGGCTGGCTGGCATTGTCTGATATGAAAATGCCCAACGAAAGCAAAATAAAGCATCCAGGCTAAGTATTCGTCCTTTCGACTTCATGATCCCTATTTAATCAGCATCTCAATCATCATTATCATCATCAGAAAGGCATTTTGGTCGGCCAGCAGCGCCAAAAAATATGTTAACTCCGAACCTGTTTTTCTGCTCAAGATTGGTCATATTTTATCTTTTTTCGACTTCTTTGATCTATTTTTTTTTATTCGACTATATAAATTGTAATGATTACCCTGCGCTTCCTAATACATTCTTGAAGCACTTTTCAAGGCGCATCCAATGGTGATATTTAAAATAGGTGTTTTGAATGAAACTATTGAGCAATTTGGTAGAATATGAAATGAGGTTTTTAGCGAAAATAGCCAGATTTTACATATCAAAGTCCCACAAAAATGATTTCAGTGGTTGCTTTGGATCGAGAGAAACATTTTGATTCAATACATACCATAGTAAAAGTCTTCGTTTTCAACGCGAAAAACGCGATCGTTTAATTTTCGATGAAAACCATGTACCCCTCATGGTTTTGGGTCGATTTTTGGTCATGTTTTTTTTTATCCCCAAAAAGTCGAGCAGAGGTGTCAGAAAGTAAGTGCTAGATGAGAGCAAATGTTTGGTGCTATTCGGATGATCTAAAACGGGCTTGAACGCGAGAAAACACAGCTCAAATGCACTCAGATTCTGCTGTATCAGGGACGCCAAGGACTAAAAAGGGGAAATACCAGTATGCTGCTTGCCCGTATATGAAGTAGCTACGTATATATGGATGTAGAGCAATACATAAGGATTAGATCCACAGATAATGTAAAGGGTTTTCATGTGTAAATAAAGGATTAAATTTAATGTAGCAGTATTTAATAAGATGAGCAACGACAATCGGTGGCGTGAGCTGCCGCTGCGCAGGCTGGCTATCGCCAAAACGAAGCAAAGGTAGAGTGTTATCCGAAGCATAAACAGTCGTTACGATAATATCAGCAGCAAAAAGCTACTTGATCTGCTTTCTACTGACAGAATCATCAACATCTAGCCAGATCTCCGTGACAGTGTGCCATAGATCAAATGCAATTGACTCCTTTTTCATGCCTATACTTTTCCCCCTCTCACAGCTGATCCACTCTATTACATACAATGACACGATCCTCTTCAATAGACCACGATGCCTTGAGAAACAAAGTACCTCTTCATATAAACTTTCACTTCACACAGACCATGTGAAAATGAGTGACGTTGACAGACATAGTTCGGAGATGTAATGGAACATCTCATAATTGATAACTCAAAAGGCATACCATTTCCCCAGGTTTTCTTGTTTTTTGTTTTTGTTTTCCACACAATCTTTATAAATACTAATTCATAAAATGCTTGCTTCTACCACCTCACGTATTGCCCTTCAAGTAATTCACCTGAGCCAACATATGACCGTATATTGGATGTTAACCCATCTCATTTGATAGGCACGTGCTACTCTTGCTCAACGTTTCTATGCAACTGGTGCTGGAACCAGCACCCTCTTATATGTTGAGCACAAGGATGGTGCTATTGGTGGTGCCACTCTCAATGCTTTGACTGCTGCCAACAAGTTGGGCGGTTCAGTTACTGCTTTGGTTGCTGGTGATGCCCCTGAAGCTGTCGCCAAGGAAGTTGGTAAATTGAACGGTGTCTCCAAGGTTTTGCTTGCAAAGGATGCTGCTTATGCCAACGCATTGCCTGAGAATGTTGCCCCTCTTTTGGCTGCTGCTCAATCTCAATTTGGATTCACTCATTTGTTTGCTGGTCATACTGCTGTTGGTAAGAACATCTTCCCTCGTGCTGCTGCCTTGATGGATGTTGCTGCTGTTTCCGATATTGTCGGCATTGAAGGTGAGGATACATTTGTTCGTCCCATTTATGCCGGTAAGTTAGTGTAGTTCAAGAGCAAATACAGTTACTGATTAGTTTCATAGGTAATGCCATTGCTACCGTCAAATCCAACGACAAGATCAAGGTAGTTACTGTCCGTGGTACCGCATTTGAAGCTGCTGCTGCCTCCGGTGATGCTGCCTCAGAGGAAGCTGCTCCTTCCGCTGACAAGCCCGCCTTGACTCAATGGGTCAGCGAGGAAATCCAAAAGAGCGATCGTCCTGATCTCGGTACTGCCAAGCGTGTCATCAGTGGCGGTCGTGGTATGAAGAATGGTGAAAACTTTAGCTTGTTGTATGATTTGGCTGATAAGATTGGTGCTGCAGGTACATTTACATATATCATCACGTGTTTGTGAGAATTTTGACATGAAGATGACTAACCTATATCAAACAGTTGGTGCTTCTCGTGCTGCTGTTGATGCTGGTTTCGTTGACAACTCATTACAAGTTGGTCAAACCGGTAAAATCGTTGCCCCTGGTAAGTTGATCAAAGTTCAGTGCATAGAGAAGCAGTTACTCATCTTTGTTCATCTCAAATAGAACTCTACGTTGCTGTTGGTAAGAAATAGATGGATTGGAGTCATTTTGGCCGTGGGAAAATTGAACCTTAAAATTAACACACACATTTTGTAGGTATTTCTGGTGCCATTCAACATCTTGCTGGTATGAAGGACTCCAAGACCATTGTTGCCATCAACAAGGATGCTGATGCTCCTATCTTCCAAGTTGCTGACTATGGTCTTGTTGAGGATTTGTTCAAGGCTGTTCCTGAATTGACTGAAAAGATCAGCAAATAAATGCAGCTGCAAGGCAAATCAAAAAAGTCAAATGTCATAGATATCAATGAACAACTGTAAAATACCTTAAATCTTTCTTATATTATTAAAGCGTTGATTTTTTTTGGAGTTCATGTGTTTATATTTTCAATGCTCGTTGTATTAGCATGAATTTCTACTTGATGGACTTTATGCAGAGGGGAGGAGTATTTTAATTCTTTCATGAAATTCAGTTGCCGTTCTCTTGAAGCGAATCTGGCATTATCCTGCAGAGTGCTAGATAATTAGCAACGCAGAGAGTTCTACATCAACAAATTGACTTGAAGGGGTTTAGACTACATAAGATAGACATTTAGTAAAGTACACAGCAGAATTGTTCGTTTGGGTAGATTTATTTGGTTATGCTATCTCATGTATATGTTGTTTTGATAGATTTTGATCCAACCAAATAAAACATTTCTAATACCCAGAAGACAAACTGCCATCATTGATTCACCGTCGTAGAATATCATGCCTTGATTATATGCTTAAAATCCAAGGGCACGCTTTGTTACAGAATAGTCTAAACATAGCTATCTGAGGATTCCAGTCAGTCAAAGAATGATGCTTTAGGCTAGCTGGCTTAGTACATTGACGAATGGGCTGAATTTAGGCAAATACAGCAAAATCTAAGTGCATTTGAGCTGTGTTTTCTCGCGTTCAAGCCCGTTTTAGATTATCCGAATAGCACCAAACATTTGCTCTCATCTAGCACTTACTTTCTGACACCTCTGCTCGACTTTTTGGGGATAAAAAAAAACATGACCAAAAATCGACCCAAAAGCATGAGGTACCCCTCATGGTTTTCATCGAAAATTAAACGATCGCGTTTTTCGCGTTGAAAACGAAGACTTTTACTATGGTATGTATTGAATCAAAATGTTTCTCTCGATCCAAAGCAACCACTGAAATCATCTTTGTGGGACTTTGATATGTAAAATCTGGCTATTTTCGCTAAAAACCTCATTTCATATTCTACCAAATTGCTCAATAATTTTATTCAAAACATTTATATTATTTGGTACCATTGGATGCGCCTTGAAAAGTGCTCCAAGAAAGCTTAAAGAAGCATGGGATGATCATTATATTCTATATAGTCGAATCTGCTAAAATAGTTTAATCGGGTCGAAAAGCATAAAGATTTGTCCAATCTAGAACAGACTAAGATTCTGGGTTTGAATCAATTTTTGGCTAGTGGGGCCAACTGGCAAACTCAATGCCCTTTGAATCATTGTAGTCGATGTATTGATGGGTTCTACAAATTATGAATCCTGCTTTCCTCCGAGCATTGCCCGCCAAAACATTTAGTAGCGTTGCGCATAATCTGATTGATGTGACTGAAAGCGAGAGCGTGGCAGTTCCTATTGTAAAACACATGAGGGCATTTACATTGGATGCGCTTGGCCTATCTGCATTAGGTATGTGCGCATTAGAGAGCAAAAAGAATGCAATATTGGCTTATGATGAAACCAAAGGTGTGCCTGAGCATGAAAAGGGTTTGCTTACACTGATGATTGTAGCTGATATTCGAGACGGCTCTGAAACCTCTACTACTGAATTGAGTGTGAGTATTCTGTCCTTGCTATCGATGTTGCGTTAACATATAGAATAACACAACATTACCATCTTCTTCTTGGCAGGTAAAGTGCATTGTTAATTTCAGATGTGAGGCAAATGGCTCGATTTTCATGACATAAATGCTCACATTTTGGCGCTCTGCTTGTATAATCTAGCACAGTACAAGGTAGCCATTGCTGTTTACGTTTCATATCCACATGTGGAACTGACGATAACAAACAAAACAACAAAAGAATGGACAGAGAAAGGCACGTGAAGAGGTGTTGTATGTTTTAGGAGATGAACCTAGAGATGTAGATCCTACAATGGAGAATTTAAAGAAGATGGACTACATGGCCTTGATCATCAAAGAGGTGAGTGCTTACGATGATATCAACGTATCAGCCTACTCACAAACTGCCTATAAAGAAACTTCGCAGATATGGGCCAGTGGACAAACTGCTTTCAAGAGACGCAGCAAAAGACATCGAATTGAATGGTACCTTTATTCCTAAGGGGCAAAAGATTAGCGTTGACTTTAATGCCATTCACATGAATCCCAAGATTTGGCATCATTCAGAGGAACTCATTCCTGAGCGATTTGAACAAGGAGGAGAGCATGACCAGCATATAGGCTTCACATGGCAATGGATCCAGACAATGAATTGGTATGAAATTTAGTCTGACTGAGCAAAAGGTGCTGCTGTCCATGATCTGTGAGTATTTGCGGTCTTTAGTATTAGGTTTGATGGACTTATACACATAGCGCGCAAATACGATATTGGCATTGATGTCAATTCGCCTCACTACCACAATGTCTTATTTGATACGGCCTTTACCTTTGCGCCTCAGTCACTGTATTTGAAGTTCCATAAACGTTACTAGCGGCAGTTACACTAACTACCAACGCAGAAGTCCTCGATGGAACACAAACCACAAACAACGCAATCGGCGGAACACAGTTCCCGCGCACTTGGGTTGGCTCTATCCAATGATGGTAAGCAATCCAGTGGCCCGAATGGCACCCGGGAAAGTCATAAATTTGACAATGATTGTATCATCTTTTTCCCAGATCTCTTATACTCCACACATTGACGCATATTGGGGAAGGTGGAGAGGCAGCAAACAAGGAAAGAGGGAATCTATTATCCGATGCAATCGCACGATTGAATTATAAATATAAAGTTAGAGTTTTTGCTTGCTTTTTTCTTCTCTCATCTCAACCCTAACATTGCCATGATTTTCATCAATAAACTCATTCAAACATTGAATACAAAAGCAGATGTTTTGGTCAAACTTGTTGGTCCCAAACTACGCACAAAGACGGGAGCTGCCAGCATCAGTACTGCTGTAGCCTTGGCTTTGCTGTATACTGCAATTAAGAAATACATGAGGCCACCAAAGGAATTGAGACACTTGGCTACTGTCCCTTACTTTGATTTCCTTAGCTACGCTTTCAGAGACGAATTATTTGAAAATTATTCCAAAGACAAGGTGATGCCCTTGTTCAAGCAGGGCGCTAACGGCGTCTATGTGGTAAGTGAGTTGGTTCTAATGATGTGCAGTTTCACTCAATCAATGGATGTAGAGACCCAATGTCATCGGGTGGAATGTTGAGCTTGCCAATCCCCTTATTGTCAAGCATGTCTTGTTGAAGCCAGGTACATATCATCTGCTTATCTAAGATGCATCTTACTCAATCGATAGATTAGAAACTACTTTTCCCAAGGCAACCATGGATCTCGGTGCCTCAGGAACATTGATTCACCAATTTCTCGGTGGTCCTAGCATGGTCTTTCTCAGCGGTGCTGATTGGAGAAGGCACAAGAAGGTGAGCTCAACGAAACGTATCTCTATTCGATAGTGTCTAACTTGATTCATACATAGATTGCTAATCCTGCCTTCCAAAGGTCAATGCCTGTGAAAACCTTTGGCAATCTGACCATCAAGATGTTCAAGACCATGGAAAGCTACGATACCAATACAATTGATGTCCTTGATCTCTTTGAGAGATTGACTCTGGATGCCATTGGGCTTGCTGGTTTTGGTACGATAGAGATGCTATGCAGGAAAGTTACATACGTATTCATCACACGCTATTAGATTTTGATTTCAATGCTCTTGGTGACAAGAACAACAAGTGGGTGCACTATTATGATTCCATCAAGATTGGCATGGCAAACCCTTTCTTTATGATCTTCCCTGCCTTTGATACCAAATGGGTGCACTGGTTCAAAAAGAGACAACAAGTGCATGATAACATGGCTAAATTTAAAGAGAATTTAGACAATATCATCACCGAAAAGAGAGCTCTTGTGGCCAAGAACATGAGTGATGGCCTGGAATCTGAGAAAGATCTGCTTACATTGATGATTGAGAGCGAAATGAGTCTTGGTGGCGAGACCATGTCCAATGAAGAATTGCGTGTAAGTAGTACCAGCGATGGACGTATAAATGCCAGCATGCTAATCGCTTGGAAACAGAGTAATCTCTATTTGTTTATGCTTGCTGGACACGACACATCGAGCAACACATTGGCCTTTACACTGTACGAACTAGCACAAAATCCTGTATGTTCTTTTGTATGTACACAGTAATGATAGCAATATTACTCACAGTCGTTTGCTTTGCAGGAGATTCAAAAGAGAGCCCGAGAAGAGGTCATTCGAATTCTAGGAGATAGCCCTGAAGATACCATTCCTACCTTGGAGCAAACCAAGCAATTGACCTATGTCAACATGATCATGAAGGAGACCATGCGAAGACATCCACCTGCCTACAATACCACTGCTCGTGTAGCTACTGAAGACATCAATATGGCTGGTATACACATTCCAAAGGGAACTGAAATGTGTCTTGATATCTACAACTTGCACCACAACCCTGATGTCTGGATGGACCCTTACAAATTTGATCCTGAAAGATTCGCTCCTGGCGGTGAAGCTGACAACCAACAAGGCATTGCTTGGGCACCTTTCTCTAATGGCGCTCGTCAATGTATTGGTATGAACTTTAGCTTGGTTGAACAACGTGTTGTTCTTTCCATGTTGTGTAAGTCTTGAATGCCATATGATTCTTTGCAATATTGCTGACCTTATCTGTGTATAGTGAAAAAATACACTTGGACATTGCCGGCTAATTCACCTCACAAAGACACCTTGCAGAACAGAGGTATTGCTTGGGGCTTGGTCATTACCAAAGACAAGCTTGACCTGATCTTTGAAAAGAGATACTAATTGTCCTTCCTGACTCATTGAGATTTAAGCTATCTCATATAAACATCCATGTACTACTATCCTTACTTTTTGCTTGTTGATAAGTGATTGAAAAGGCTTTGAGAACCATATAAATGCTACCATGACTCATTCGATGTGTGTTAGCCCGCTTGATTTGCCCCTGAAGAGCACAAAGGGTTGATTTTGGTGATGGCACGAATTCAAATAGCGTTGCAATGTTGCGAGCTCCTTTCATAAAAGTCACACATCACAGCAGCTTTCAAATGTAAGCCTTTCTCTTTTACTCTATTATGGAATGCTTGGAGACTGAGCAACTCTTATGCAAGACATTTGCTACAGAAAATACGAAAACCACCGCAATAACAGAATGCCACTACCATAGCATTTCTTTTGCGATTTCCGAACAAGGACAACTGTTGGCAGTAGACGCAGCCCTTGAGAATCTGGAATTGGGTAGACTCGACCTTTCAGATAGAGTGGAACAAGTAGTGAGTCGCTGCTTACACGATCCAGCAGAGTGTATATATTATCTGAGAACATCCACCAACAAAGTATATCAATTCTCCATCGACTCGAGGTAATTGACTACCGATGACAAAACACACGCGCAAGACTGACAGACAGTGACATCAGTGGCAATCGACATGCTCGAAAACGAGCCAAAATCAACGATGAATGCTCGCAGCACACTCAATTCATCGAACTGAAAGCCGTGGCAAGCAATGTGAAGCATATACTCGTCCACCACGGTCTTATATTGATATCATCCGACAGTGCGCAACAGTTGACGAATGGCACATTGCACAACACGAGCGAATTCTACACTACAGATACCAGCATGAGCTACCATTTGCCTGTTCAAAATATACATACAAGCTTTATCAGTTTTTTTTCGCTGCCAACACATTCGGGTCTGATCTATGGCACAGCATGTGGAGCCGTCTATTGGAGGGATGTTGATTCAAGGCAGGACGCGCTGTTGTTTAGAATGGAGGAAGATGAGAAGATTGTGTTTCTAGATTTGCTACAGACATACAGTACAGTCCATACAGTGATCGCTTTTGGTGAGCAAGGCACCGTCATCAGCTATGCAACGTCAGATCAAGAGAAATCAGGGTTGCAAATGCGTCAATTCAACATGCGAAGCCCTCTGCGCTCGATAGACAAAGTGCAGGACTCCAAGTACATAGTGTCCACTGGTACTGGTAGAGTTTCCATACTCGATGTGATGAATGACAAGAGCGAACTGGCATCGATACGCGTGTCTCGACTGTCTAATGTCCAGCACTTGCGTATCCTTGATAAGGAGAACTGTATCTTTGAAACAGTGTCCGAGCAGGAAAACGGCATTGAATTCAGCAGAATTCAGTACAACAATATACCCATCTCAATTGCAAACAACGCTGAAGCTATGCAGCAACTGATTGAAGACACCCTGGAAGAGCTAGCGCAAGAGGAAGATACGGTCAAGTCGATGGAGATCAAAGAGCAGGTAGGTGGACCAAGAAGTGTATGATTACTCGATGTATTAACAGACATGTCAGGCATTGAGCGACAAACTCGCATCAACCAACCGCACCCTATACGCACTACGAAGTATCAATGATAAGCGAGAGTTGGGCTTATGCAACTCGCTTGATTCAACAGGTTTCGAATTTACAGTGCGCCCTATCACTCGATCCAATTCAAACGAAAACTGCAGCCTCAATACCAGAGCTTATCTTAGGATTTGCATCAAGACATCACGGTTCTTGGAGCTGGAAGGATGGGACTTGTCGATTCAATTATTTCCTATGGATTCAACATTGATAGGACAAACGAAAATGATATCCGTCATTGGTTTCGAACCGCATTACGAAAATGGCATTGAACGCCATGTCATTTGGGAAAGAGACATTGAAGTCGACCTAAACAAACAACAACTACCCGCCAAAGTGAGCACTACATTGATCATGACGCTGAATAATACAAAAGAGCTTTTATTTCCTGTTTCAGAGCTGATTTTGGATGATATACACTTTGCTTGTCCTTGTAGCTCACACATAAAAACTAGCATAGAACGACGCGGACTAGACGAAATCTCCAACCGTCTGATGCAGTCCTATCGTCAGCAGAAATTGCACGATAGAACAGGAAGATACCCGCTTGCTAGACTGTTGCAAAACGATCAGCCATCACTGCTACTGAACCACAGAAATGTACACGTCCGATACACGGTACCGTCGTTGAGCGATGAGCAGTATAGGTCGCTTCTGCCCAGCATTCTCGGTGAAGGGCATTCGGACAGCATCAAGGATTTTTTTCATGGTAATGCAGAGCAGGCACTGTTTACAATGGCAAGCTATCCTGGTTGCCCTGTCATCATCAAGTTGTCTCGAGGTATATGTAGAGTGGATACGAGCAAGGATCATCGACTAATACATAAAAAGTATAGTCTCGCCAGACATGATTGACTTTAGCATCCAGTGCTCTTATACGCCAGCTTTATTCAAGGTAGAATGCATCTTGTTGCATCGAATTCACCGACTGTACATGCACGATACACCGACCATGGACACCAAAAAGCTAAAATCATTGGAAGCGTCTATTCTAGAACTTCAACAAGTATACCAGCGAGAAGATCAGCAAGAAACACCAGCAGCATTATTGGCTCAATTGAGAAAGACGATTGATGTATTGTACAATGTTCATTATCAACAGCCAATTGGATCTTTCACCTCCCTATAAGAACCGAGACTGATTTGAGAAAACCAACTCAAAATACATTTTGCCCACATGTTCATGCGTGAGTGATATTTAGTTTCACCGAATTTTTTAGGGTTTTGCATAAATAGGCCTCAAAATTGGTCCTCTTCTTTTTCATTTCTTTTTATTTCTCACCAACAAAACAAATAAAAATGTCTAATAAATTTGTTAATTACGTCCTTTTTCCAGTTACAACGGTAGCGTTGTTAGGAACCATCATCCGCAACCAAGCACGACCATCAAAAGCACACACTCAATTCATCAAAGATAACTCACAAAGCATGCATCAGTGGAAAAAGGCCAATGATGGCTTGGGTGTGAATGATGTGGGCAGAAGGTAAAAATTGCATGTGCCTTATACATGTTGAACAGATGTCAACTCATGCGTTTCTGACAGTTGTGGTGGTGTATAAATGTTGTGTACCTACATTCGGTTCTCTCTCTCTCTCTTTATTTTTATTATTGCCTACAAATTAATGATGAAATGAATCTGTAAAAATATAAATAAAAAAAGATTTTATGTGCTAAATGTCGTTAGTTTATGTGTGTGAGAGTATAACATTGCTGTATGTGTGTGTGAATTACAGAATAGGCGATCATTCTAATGTAGCCCTCATTATTGGCTGTCGACTGTTGCTTTCAATGCACAAATGAATGTCAGGATCATCAATGTGAATGCTAGGCACTGTATATTTATTTATTAAGTATATGGCTGGTATTTAGGTGGTTGTATCAAACAACCAAGACTAGACAAAGATCTAGAATTTTGCAATAACTACTACACATCCCACTAGCCCAAAAGATGCTAGTATTCTCCACACAGTATATGTTCTTTTAGCCACACCCACCAAAGCAAAATGGTCAATTAAACAAGCCATAATAATCTGTAAAGACAAGTTAGTCTTCCATGCCATGTCCGTTGTCATTTCTACATGATTTACCTGTGCACAAACAAAAATACTAGCAAAATCAAGATGCATCAGCGACAATGTGTTCTTTATAATGATAGTGTGATAGCTACCTTAGCACGGTGGCTGCGCCTAATCTTGGCACTGTCAAAATGTTGATAATCACGTAGTAGGCACCAAGAATACCACCAATCCAAGCATACCACGGTGCAGTTTTGACACGATCGTTGGGCAAAGGTGTGTTGCCAACAGTAACATCGACTGCAAAAAATATCAGACAACAGGCTACCCCCACAGAGAATGATATTACAGAAGAAAAAGCTCTTCCTCCATATCGATTTAATGTAGCATTACAGCCTTTCAAGATGGAATATGGATAAGCATGTCAATTGCGTGGAACGACTTGGACCTTACCTGCTTGAAATGCGATTGTGACACCAGCTAGAATCAGCAAAAAGCCAGAGAAGATTGGATTATCCAACAAGTTGCTCATCTTCTTTTGTACGGATTGAATAGTTGATGTTCTTGTAAGTTGGTGTCCTAATTCAACGTCGTTTGTAGTATCAGCTTCTGTTTTTGTAGGTTGATCTTGTGTAACAATTGAATTATGAGTGGTAGAGGAATCCGAATGCGCAAGATCACCCTCAAGTCTATTTACTTGTACTTGGTCTTTTTCTCTAATTGAAGACATTCGAAAGAAAGAGAAAGAATCGTCAAGAAATGGGAATAATTTGGGAAATAGAATGGAAAAAAAAAAAAAGTGAAACTGATGGCTTTAAATGGTTTTGGATTCTTGAGATCTCAAATGGAAATGTTGCAAGAGGAGAAGGACAGAAAGATGGGGAGTTCTATTTATTAGAAATTTTTTCTTTCGGTTGAAATGTTGAGATCAATAGAGGCAAAAGAAAGGAAAAAGGGTCTTCTTACATATGGCTGTACATAGCTCGCAAGAGGAACAAGTATATCTCTCTTCCGACCATGGGAACACTTGTTAAAAAGTTTACCCAAATCTGTTTTATACCCTTTCTACATCAAATAGTCGCCGTCGTGTGGTACAACCAATATCACATTTCAGAGTCTCCGCTGACTCATCCTCTGCTTATCGCTTGTAGATGACCTTCCAGGATCTTGTTGTTTCTTTTTAGTGAATCATGAATACGGCGATAATCATTTTCTAAATGTCTAGCCTTATTTCCATGTGTCTTTTTTATTATTAATCTTGGAAATATGCTCCGAAAATCGAAAGCTTACTTTTTTTGACATTTTGGTTTCGAAAATCACCAATGTGTCTAGTAAAAATTTGGAGTAAGGTTTGAATTTTGAATTCTTGCAATAACGGTTAAATATGGTCATGAGTGCTGATGCCTTCTCCTGTGAGACGTTTTAAGTGGCCAGTGTACTACCAAACGACCTCTTCTGATGAGCATTCACGCTTGATGCGGTTTTTTTTATCAGATTTACCGATGATAAACGAGCTGTAGTAAGGTCTACTGTAGAGTCTTGATTAATGGCACTTTTAAAGAAGGAACGAATTGTCCTGGTGTATATATGATGCCAGAAGGTTGATCGTACAGGTTTCAAATACTTGCTGACGTTTGAACACGTCGGTGAGAGAGTTTATTCAGTCAAATGCAGGTAAAAACGGCCTGTTTGAAGCAAAGTTAAGAGGATATATCTGATCTGACAGCCCTGGCACAAGAGAGATAGATCCACTGCTTCCTCCCTATTAGGATTGGGGGGTTTTTTTTCCTGAAGAACAAAATGTAGCTAAAACCATGTTGCAACGTGAGTCGTTGTTATTTACCCTCAAGGCTATCAAATCATCATAACATAATAAATGTTTTTTTTTATAAGGAAGTGAGCACTTCTGTTTTTATTTAAAGTCCTTAAATCGTCACCTAATATAGAGGGAGGGGATATAAAGACTGGAGGATATAAGGGGAAGCTCAGATAATTGTATCGAAGGAAAGTTGGGAGTCTAAATTGAGGAGAGTACGATGAATGGAGTGGATGACAGTAGATGGGATGAAAGGGACGTGTTGGAAAACTTGGCGGTAATGAGCAGACCAGATAGCCTGTTGGATGCAAGCAAAGACCTGGAACACGGATAATGCAGGAAAAAGTTCATGAGATGAGCGGTCAATATCAAGGCGAAGGTGGAGGATGGCAATGTATTCCTCGTACGCAAAGTAAGAGAATCGAGGTGAGATGTAAAGAGAGAGAGTTTGTCGCCAGACGTCCAATTTTCGAGGACAGGAAAAGAGGAAGTGCTCAGTATCTTCGATGATAGTGGGGGTTGTGGATGACGAAGACTGACAGTGAGGACAGTACGGGGTAAATGAATCGCGAAGCCGTTGATGTAATAATTGACGAGTAGTAACTTTTTCATGAAGGATCCGGAACCAAGTATTGCGAGCATTCAAAGGAATCTGGAGAGTCCAAAACTGCTTCCATTTGGCAACATCTAAAGGGGACGAATAAGAGGAAGGGTTAGTGTGAAGGGGGAGGGATTTGAATCCTTGATTAGTAGGGAGGGATAAAAGGAATGAATGAGACTCAAAAGAAAATGAAGTTGCCAATAAAGAGAGTAGAAGGGTGGATACGAGGCTGATACTATCGGAATAGTTGGTGATGGTGGAGAGGTCGATATGTGTGATGTTTGGACGAGGGACAAGGAGCAACATGTTGAAGTGAATGAAGTTGGTGAGCAGTAGGTTTTGAGCCTGAAGAAAATTGATAGCGCGTAAGCTGGTGGGTTGGTGGGGTAGGCCGATGACCGAAGTGCGAAGTTGAAGAGCTTGAGTGGTGATATCAAAGATGAAAACATCATTACCTGTAAGTTGAAGCACTCTGGGGTAGTGTTTTACCACTTCCTTTGGTGAGCGAAATGTAGGCGATAAGCTATGGTTGGGTGGAAGGTTATGTTCAACCAAGGTCGAAAATGGCAGGCGTAGACAAGTACTGAAGGAAACATGACAGACACCAAACTTGCGAACAATGGTATCTACGGCGCGAAGAAGGTTGTAGAGAGGAGCGATGACCTTTCTGGCGCTTGATGGCCTACAGGCAGGAAAGAGGAGAGACCAGTGGTAGGTGGGGTATGAGGGAGTAGCGAGGAAGAAGTTGAGGATGACACGGAGATAAGGAAGAGAAGTCTTGGTAGGGGGAGTGGGATCGGATGGGTGCAAAAGTGGATGAAGCCAGCGCCACTGAAGGGCGTTGATCTGCACAGCAGGATCCAAAAGACCAAGGCCGCCATGAGAACGAGGGAGGCAGAGAGTAGCGAAAGAGAATCGAGTTAGTTTGGCATTTTGGTTAACGAACGAGGCGCCCAGCTGTTGTAGCTTGTGAATATCGTTAGCCGAAAAAGGAAACAAGCGTGCGATATGCCACACTTTAGAGAACAAGAGTGAATTGAGAACAGTAACCCGTCCTCGAAAGGTAAGGTTGCGTACCGAATGAAGGCGACAAAAGTCCCGGAGACGAGTGAGAAGAGCATCGAAATATGAGTTCTTTTGAGCGGTAGATGAACAGATAGGGTATCCGAGATAGATGATGGGAGCGGTAGCATTCTGGTCATGCCAAGACGAGATACCAGACGCGCGAAGGCCGAGAATCCAGGATTCGTGCGGTACACCAGAGAGAGACAATGCTTGCGTCTTGTGATAGTTGAGAGAGGCATTGGACGCGGCGGCATACTTATTTATCAACTGTTGAAGCTGGTGGAATTCACTAAGATCGTTGAGGAAAACTAGTGTGTCATCGGCATATGCCAGGACTTTGACTGGATCTGCGAGAGGAACATTGTCAGCGAGAGGGGAGGAAAAACGAGGATTAGTGGCTGCAATGCGTGTAAAGTCAAACCCAAGTATGTTTTGATGTTGGTTGATGGCACGGAGGAAGGGGTCGAAGATGATATTGAAAAGCAAAGGACTGATAGGGTCACCCTGTCTCATACCACGTTGGGTTGGAAATGCTTCAGAGAGAAATCCGTTGATGTTGACCCGTACCTGCGTGTTAGTAAACAAAGAAAGCAGTGATGAGATTAGAGAAGATGGCATGTTAAAAGCTGTGAGTACAGCGGTGAGGTACTCCAAGTTGACACGGTCATATGCCTTTTCTTGATCTAACAACAAGGCGATTGACGTAGAATGGGTGGCAGTGGCGAGGGACAGAGCGCAATGTAGGGTCATGGCTGGTTCGCCAATAAAGCGATGGGGCATGAAGCCGGATTGTGAGGTGGTCAATCGTGTGCCAAAGTGGAGCATGAGTCGAGCATTCAAAAGCCGAGTGAAGATTTTGGCATCACAACAGATAAGACTAATGGGACGCCAGTTCTGCAACAAGGCAAGATCACCTTTCTTAGGGAGCAAGACCAGACAAGTTTCTTGCCACGATTGCGGGAATACGCCGTTTGACAAGGCATCAGAATAAACACGGAGAGCAATGGCAGCGGTGAGTGGGTGGGTGAAAAGCAATTGAATTATGGCATATGGTAGGGAATCAATGCCAGGACTAGATTGTTTAGGGGCCCGAGTACCGGCTTCGACTAATTCATCGAGGGTAAATGGGGCACATAATGACGGGTGGTCTGAATCTAGAATTTTGTCAGTATGGGGAATCTGATTAGTAAAGTAGCGAATCGCTTCGGTGTCCACTATATCCGCAGTGTAGAGCCGTTCGTAGTAGGCTACCGCAGCTGCCTGTTTGTCCTTTGTAGTCGCACAATCGGAGGAGGAGATGGGGTGTCGAAGAGTGGGGATGGCTCGTTGTTGGGATCGCTGGGAGGTAAGACGCTTGAGGAAACCAGCGGATTTCTCCCCGTGTTCACGCCATTTGATGCCGGAGCGTAAAGCTTGAATATCAGCCAATTCTTGTTGTAAGTTACCTATCATTGATTCGATCTTGGGAAGGCGATCATTGCGTACTTGAGTCGTTTTGTAGAGTCGTAGCAGCTTGTTCCGCTTGCTTTGGAGACGACGAAGTAGACGGCGACGCCATTCCGATTGACGACGACTGCAAGATTTGGCTACCTGTCGAGTTAATTCCTTGATTTGATCCCAAATGACTTGTGGAGTGAGATCATTAGCATTGGAAGCGAGAAGGGTGTGGAAATCGTCAAGCTTTGTGAACTGGCGTTGGCAGAAGTATTCGTTGTGGACTAATTGTGGATTGGCTCGCCACAGACCTTTACCGAGATCTGGATTATCAAAAGTTAGTTGGGTAGACAGCATCGCATGGTCAGTCCAGTCCGAGTGGACAAAGTGGACAAACTGGTCAGTACGGAAGTCCATCAGTTGAGGATTCAAGAACATATAATCGATGGTAGTGAACGTAGTGTTGCGACGAAAGGTAGGTACTTGAGGTTCGTGGATTAATTCATGAGTACTTTCCTGATAGTAGTGGGTGAGCATCGAATGAAATAGCCATTGTGATTGAATGCTAGCTGGTTTGACAATAGATGGTGGACGGTATTGGCGGAAATTGTAATTAAAATCACCAACGACTATAGATGGGGCATCGGTGACATTAGACAGGTGATTGTTGTGTAGACCTTCCGCCGTGTTCATGTTGGTGACGAGAGTTTGGAAGAAGGAGCGTTGAAGTAACTGATCATAAAAGATATATCTATCTGGAGTAGTGACGGGTGCATAGATATTCATGATCTTCAGGGGAGGAAATAGGTTAGTAGTGTGGGAAATGGTACAATATATGATTCGACCATCATCCGAGACGAAGATGGGATTGATATGAATATTAGGGTGAAGACTTACTATCCCGCAATGGGATGACCATATAGAAGATGTTGCTTGGAGTTGTAAGTCGAGGCGAGCTTGGGTATTGGGATCGGAAGCGTGGGTTTCTTGAAGGCAGAGGATGTGTGGTTGTTGATCATAAGACTGACGTAGGAATCGACAAAAGGCTTGGCTGTTGGGGACGTTTGATGGTTTAGCAAGGCTACGGCAGTTGAGACTACGAATAATCAAGTTAGTGTGTTTGTTAGAAGAATGAGGAGCAGATACCGGGGGGACATAAACATTATCAGGGGATGCAGAACGTTGATTTAAAGGCTGTGATGAGGATTCACTCATTCAAGAGAGTCATCGGTGTCTGAGTGGTTGGGATCATCGTAAAATTCCTCAGTAATCTCCATTGCATTGGTTTCAACGACGTTGCCTAGACGATCAACCAACTGGCGTGAGCGTAACTTGGTGGCGTAGACGGGATCAAGGAGCAATTGACCAACGGCAGAATGAGGGTCCATAGCACGTTTGGCAGGACGAGGAAGCAGTTCAGCAGAGAGATCTTGAGCAGTGACGAGAGGTATCCAGTTTTGGGCCATGAAAAATTTGAGGACGCCGGGGACAGTATGTTTCTTGATGTAGCGCACAGTACGGATGCATCGGTCAGTGTGAAGGGCGGCAGCAATACGGGTTAGTTGGGGAGCAGGCATGTCAGCAAATTGGGGATCGGCTACATGTGTATGGTCAAGCGGGTTAAAGTATGGGACTTCAGTCAGTTCACCGGCGGCTAAGAGTTGAAGTATATCCGCCTTGTATGCAGTGTGGATCAGGATGGTGGAGATGTTGCGAGCAGGAAAAGTGACATCTAAGATACGTTTGCTATCGATGCCGATGGCAGCGAGGGTAGCACGATATTCGGTGTGAGTCATACGATGAGCACGATGGAGGTGCAGAACAGTGTAGTTGGAATTATCAGTGGCAGGTTGAGGAGGTTGGAGTGTACGGAGAGCATGTTCGCGGCGGCGCTTGTTAGAGGCAGCGGAGGGACGTTTGAGGACTTGGCTCCACTGGGGTGGGTTGTTGCGGGGTTGTTGAGCCTGAGCCTGAGCCTGAGCGGCAGGGACCACAGGTGTAATTGGGATAGCGGCGATGGGGGGTTGAGCAGTTACGGGTGCAGGAGAGCGGATAAGCTTCTCGAGATTGTTGATGATGGAGTGAAGATCATTTACTTCTTCTCGGAACTGAGCGTTCAGGGCTTGCTGGGCTTGTTGAGCACGTTCGAAAATGTCGAGACGGGAGTGTAAGGCTTTCACCGACTCGACGAGAGCCTGGATGGTGGTTTGATCGATCACAATGTTTGACATGCTGATCAAAGTTGCAATGTTTGTTGTTACTATCGCTTTTTCAGGGATTTTTCTTACAGTGGTGATTCAAACTATGTAAAAATTTGAAAAGCGGAAGAAAGGTATGCATAACATAATAAATGTTTAGTCCTTAGACACTTTACAACCCTAATATGGAACCTGAGTTTCAAGGCATCTGTTAAGCCTGGCTCATATGTGAATAATGATTTTACAATCAATCAACAAAAACCACTGTTATTTCTACCCTCTTTCCTCTGCTCAATACTGTTAACGCTTTCTTTGAACGATGGCTCGGAGCCTCAGAGATTTCACTACTTACTGGAGACATTTTGTGCAACTCATGCATCGTCAATGTCCAGACTAACGTTATTAAATATAGAATGCAAGAAAATATCATTATGAACGATATAGAATGCAATATAATATTATTATAAAAAATAGTAGTATGCCATGACACCTACTTTCCATACGCTTCAAGGGCATTTACTACTGTATTGCCTTATGTAAAGGGCATTGAGCTTTCCAGCTGACCCCACAAGTCAAAATTAATCCAAACCCAGAATCATATTCTGTTGTAGATTGGACAAACTTAAATAATTTTCGACTCGATCGATCTATTTTTGCAGATTCGACTAAGTAAAATATGATGATTACCCCATGCTTCCTTAATCTTTCTTGGAGTACCTTTCAAGGCGCATCCAACGGTACCAAGTAATATAGATGTTTTGAATAAACCTATTGAGTAATTTATGGAAATACGAAAAGAGGTTTTTGGCCAAATAGTCAAAATTTTGCATATGAAAACCTCATTTAAGTGGTTTCAGAAGTTGCTTTGAATCGAGAGAAACATTTTGACTCAAGATATACCATAGTAAAAGTCTTCATTATCAAGGTGAAAAATGCGATCGTTTAATTTTCGATGAAAACCATGAGGGGTACCTCATGCTTTTTGGTCAATTTTTGGTCATGTTTTTTTTGATCCCCAAAAAGTCGAGCAAAGGTGTCAGAAAGTAAGTGCTAGATGAGAGCAAATGTTTGGTACTATTCTGACCACCTAAGACGGCCTTGAACGCAAGAAAACGCAGCTCAAATGTACTGAGGTTTTGCTGTATCAGGGACACTGAGGAATAAAAAGGGGAAATACCAGTATGCTGCTTGCCTGTATATTAAGTAGCTATGTGTATATGGATGTAGAGCATCACATAAGGATCACACCCACAGATAATATGAAGGGTTTTTATGTGTACGTGGAGGTTCAAAATAAAAGTAGTAGTATTTTGAAGGGCAATCGATAGCACGAACTGCCGCTGTGCAAGTTGGTTTTCACCAAAGTGAAGCGAAGGTAAAGAATCATCCGAGGCATAAGCTTTCATATGATTAGCGATTATATATCAATCAACAATCAAAGCTCTTCTAACATTTTAGCTATATTAATTTTGGGATATTAGCCAAAGGCCCGCGGCAGCGCGAGCCGCCTGAACGTAGGTTGGTTTCCACCAAAGCGAAGCGTAGGTCAGGAAACCACCCAAAGTGTCGAAAGGCTCGTATGATATAAAGTCTGCTCCCTTTCGATTGTCAGAACTCATTACAATGTGTCACTTACAACAAAGATCAAGGTTTGAATAGATTAACAATAAGCTATCTATTGTTTCTAAAAGAGTCAAACTGAATCGTCGTTAACCTCTAATTCAGACGATCTTTTGAGCTTATATTATTGAAAACAAGCCTATGGATGGTGCTTTCCTATTATGCAATTAGCATAAAAACAGACGTCTTGAAAAAGCGATATTATAAAACTCTAAATAACTCTATTTCTTCGGTCAGGACACAAGTTTCGCATAGATCTAGACATATTTCACGATAGACTAAAGTGATTTGACCTGTTGACTAGACCTTAAATTGTATACTTTCCGTACTCTCACCGCAAAACAACATGATGTAGTTAGTAAAACGTGTACTGCTTGGCATCCATTCACGCCTTGATCAATCGCAAGCCTTGAAATATCGTGCTGCGATATGGAACTATGAGAATTACCAATGATATCAGCAAATACGAGGCACGTCTTCTGACTCCAACTGACATTACAGAACAAGCATTTATAAATAGCGGCCAAAAGAGCATTTTGATACATTTGTGCCTTATATTGCAATGGTTGTCTTGAGGATCTTATTTGGCTAATCAAAAATTGTCAGATTTCGTAATAAATGCACCATCAGTGATGTTAATCGACAACAACAAATACTTGTACAGAAACCCCACATACTCGGTAAGCTACTCGATTATGGAATTCTGCTGCAGTATTTTCTTGTAAAGAAACAATAAGCTTAAATATCATCTCGGATGCAGCGTTGGAAAAATAAAAAGGCACTAGCTTCGCATGTAATCATTAAAAAAGAAATAGAGGTTGTGATACAAATAGAAAGCATCGAAGATACTCTATACATTACAAAAAAAAAAAAAAAGAAAAAAAAAAGTAAACTGCTTGATGATAATGAATATATATATACCCTCTCCTTATTTCAAATAGGGTGTTATTGCTTGAGATTACTATATCGATACCCTTTGCGTTCATGTATCAGATTCCATTGCAGTGCTCTGATGATAAGAGGGATTTCGCACACAGTTTGTGACACCACTCCCTTTCCTTCTGTCTTCCTCTGAGCTTCTTGTTCTATAATTATTGACAACAATGAACCCATTAAATTAATTTCATATATTCTATAAATCTCAATGCGATGAATTAGAATGTTATTGATCTCCTGATGAGTTGGCTTCAATAAATAATGATAAGCGAAAACTACAACTATATACAACGACGACGACGGCATAATAGATCTCGGGTGAAACGATTGAAATAGCTGTATCCTGTGTACACACACAGATCGAGTTCTTTTTTTCATCTATTAGTGCCACCCGATGGTACCTTGCACAGGGCCAAGAGATGAGAGACTTGGTATTGAAAGAGCGTCATTTAGAGGCCATTATAACAAAAGAAGTGCATCATCACATTAAAGTGCCTTCTCATTGATATCATATAATGGTACGATATTTCGCTGTTGTGTCCATCTTCTCTCTTCGTAGGATGTGTCACAGTAAATACAATGTATGTATACATAGAATGACATAATGATGATTTATGCGCTGGTTACAAGAAGGAGCTGTTTAACCTTTCAAAAACAACAAAATGTCTATTAATACAAGCAAAAAGAGCTGATAGACCCGATCAATGATTAAGGTTCTTTTTTAAGGAGCATCAGTTTTTTCAGGGTATAAATATAAGGCATTTTGCATTTGACAATAGGATTTTCTTCTTCTTTGCTTCACTATACCCTAATCATTATACAACCATGCAATCCAAAGCTTATCTCCTCGTCTTCACTGCTTTGATCTATCTCTTTGTTCAAGTCGATGCCGCTTGTAATTGCGATCCCTCAGATACCTCTTGTCTTCAAAAGTGTGGTAAAGTATAGCTTGGTACCAGAGACTCTAAATGTTGCCGTTCTAACTTGACATTGTAGTAACTAATGGCCAACAATGTATCTCAAACTGTAATGGTGATACCAGCTGTTACAACAGCTGTATCGAGAACAACTGGCCCGGCCAAACTGAATCCTCTGCCACTGCCTCTCAAGCTGCCTCTACCTCTGCCTCTGCCTCTGCCTCTCAAGCTGCTTCTGTCACCACTGAATCCGCCTCTTCTGCATCTGCCAGTGCCACTACTGTTGCCCCCTCCTCTGTCGTTGTTGTTCCCAGCGGTAGCTCTGCTGCCCCTTCTGCCACTGCTCTCTCATCCATTGTATCTGCTGCTTCCTCTGCTGCTTCTTCTCTCGCTAGTGGTAAGTTTTTTATTGACAGTGCGTGATGGGGTCACTGATAAGTTTTGATAGTCTCAAGCGCTATTTCATCGAGCCTTGCCTCTGCCTCAAGCGCTGCCACATTCACGCCTACCCCACCTGCCTCTTCCCAAGCACCTGCACAATCTGGAGCCGCTTCCAAGCCCCTCCTCGTACCTGCTGTTGCCATCGGTGTTGCATCAATCACTGTTATTGTTCAATTCTTCTTCTTGGCTCGCATGGGTAACATGTTGTTCCATTAAGTCTGTTGCTCGACATATGAATTTGTAAAACTAAACATAAATATATTACCTAATTATCTTATATTCTCTGGTACACTCCTCCTTTTTTCTCTGAAATAAAATATTTATATTTTTCCCTTACAAAAAAGCAAACGGTTTATTGTTACAACCTAGGGCCTTAATGAGTGCATGCTAATCAAACGAAGTTGTTGTTTACTAATGATTGCCTTATTAATTAAGAGAGTTAGTTCACAGTGCTTGTGAAAATCAAAAGTCTGACAGAATATACTGGTATTTGGGATGAAACTTTATTAGTGAAAAAAAAAAAAAAACAAAAAGAGCACACACACACGCACACTTTAGAAATAGGGGAGGGCAAATTTGTATTATATCTAGATCGATTAAAGAGGTCTGGTAATAAGGGAATAGTATATAATAATGTCTAAACGAAACAACGCACACAGATATTTAGCTGATGACACATCGACTCTTTGTTCTTGGTTTGTAGGATTCAATGTACTTTAATTGCTTCTTATTGATGGCTCCTCTTCGTCGTTCACGGATATAAGATACTGCATCTAATGCAGGCATGCCGTCTTCAATCAACGCAATGGCCACCAAAACAGGGGCTCTAGTTGAATGATACATGAGTTCGCTGGATCTTAGACACCCAAAATAACCATCAACACAAACCTTCCTAGTCCCGCTACACAATGTGTTGCAATGCATGGTAGTTTCTCGCCTGGCTTCTTTTCCTCCTCATGTGCCTCTTGTGCTTGGTTATTGAATCGTGCCTCAATCAGTTGGAGCCACGCATCTACAATGAGTGCTGGTGGTGCCTCACCATCAGCAAACACAAAATCATGTACCTGGATATGTTTCTCGTTCAATGGCTCTTTGGGATAAGTAGCTTCGCAGCAACGTACGACGTCCGTTACGTTCCATCGCTCAAATTCCTAATCCAACGTTATCACCAGCTCATCTACCGCTTATAAACTGATCCCCTACCTTGATGTATAAAGGCAAGTTGTTTGAGCTTGGTGCATCTACAATCAAGAATCGCAGGCCATTGTATTCAATGTAAGTTGGTGGATTGATCAATGGTCTAATTCCACCCGTAGTTCCTCGAGGATACATGATTGATGTTGAATTGTTACTTGAGGGGGTAATATAGGTTCTCGTTATTTTTATCGGTGATTTGACTAGATAAGATCACTATCAATTCAGTTTAGGTTTACACACAAGTACGCATTCATTACACATGTATCCCAATGCCTTACCTATTTGCCTTTAATGCACAGGATGAAGAAGAAACAAGGTATTGCAAATATTGTAAATGTAAGTGCTTGCTGTTGATAATGGTGCTGGTGATTAAATAATAGTCTATAATATATGAGAGAAAAAAAAGGGAGGAAGATAGAAATCTACAACAATTAGTATTTACACACAAGCATTTTATCCAAATGTGTGTAATATTTACCTATTCTTTATGGATATGTATATATATATAGAAGTCTTAATTGTACAGAGGTGATATAGATAGAGGAAATACAGCCTAAAGAATCATCAACCTGGATCTACCATGTAATGAAGGGAAAAAGAGAAAGACCTTTTTTTGTTTTCATTCTCTTCCCTTTTTTTTGGGTGTGCGTTGACGACGACGTAGCTGGAAAACGGCCCACGGAGTGCGAATGCCCATCTTGCTTGAGGATACTCTCTTGATGCAATGTGAATGAAGTTTGTCATTGATCTTTCTTAAACTCGCTCGTTGTTGGCGTATTCAAGTGCAAAAGTTCATTAGTTTTACGGTTTGATCCTTGATAAATGCGATAACGGATGATGAAGCCATGCGTCTTGATCTGGAATCGCTCAATGCATTACATGGTTACGTCGTGTGTTAGTACGTCTTTATCTCGGGAACGAATAGAAACTGTTTATTTTGAACATCTCGAGGTTGCACACAAAAATACCTCATTTTCGCAGTGAGATTCCTACTTGACCAGGAAAACCGGCTTGAACAGATCTTAAAGCCGACATTTGCGCAAGGATGGGCATATAGGATGACTTTTTATTTATAAATTATTAGGGGTATGTGGCTATAGAAGGACGATATTCAAAGTAAAGATTGAACACTCAGAGCTTGTATATAAATGTTGTATTTTCACGATCTGTCAAATCATCATTGACATCAATGACATCGTTGGAAGGATTAGCAATCCTCGTCTTATTTTGTCTTGCCATGATTTGCCGATTAATAAAGAGAGATACAAGCACACCTGCGTTGGCAATACTATAGATAATCATACCAGTTTTGTAATTTGGTGCCTCGTTTTCAAGCATGACCAAGGGGCCCACAAAATTACCCAATGTGAAAGCAATCATATACATGGCATTGTAAAAGATCTTCTTAGTATATCCATTGACATTGGCTGCAATGATTGTCAGCAAGGTGCTATGGCTTTAAACGAAATGTATCAGTGGGAGCGTTATCGTACATGTATGTACGCTGCACTCACCTTCCCGCCATTGCCCATGCTAACAGATATCCCAAGAGTTTGACACCACTAGGCGGAAGAGCAGCCAACAGAATGACACCGACCAATGATACAGATGTACACACGACAACAGCGAGATAGAGCTGGCCCGTTCTACGTGCTACAAAGATAGCTACCAGAGAAAAGATGGCAGAGACGCAACCACTGCAAATTTGGAATAGGATAGATTCTTGACTCTAGACACAATATCAACATTAGTTCATGAATACACGCTAACGACGCGTACAACAACTTACAGAGTAACCCATACTTTTGACAATCAAAGTATTGAAGACGACAACGCCACCAGTCAACAAATTATTAAAGAAACAAGCCAAGCAAATCAACCACAATCGCACTTCGTGTAGAGCTTCCCAGACATGGTGCATCTTGATCTTTTGTACACGAACAACGCAATTGTCTCTGCTTCTTTCAGATACAATTGGTTTCTCTTCTTCAGTGAGTCTAAACATAAACGATTGAGGCGTGTCAGGAAGAAAAAAGAAGCAGATGACACCAAAGAGGACAGTTAAGGCACCCCAAATGATGTATGGCCATTTCCACGAATGAATGCCTCGAGCATTATCAATGTAAGAGATACCGTAAGCACATGCAGCACCAATCATTGTTCCAGTGCCATTACTGAGCCAGAGAAAACCATAAGCAGCAGATTGCTCAGAGCGACGATAGACTGCATTGATGATGATGAGCAGACACGGATAAGTACCGGCTTCAAAGAGACCCAGAAAAACACGGCAAACTACCAATTGAGCGAAATTATGACACAGTGAAGTGAGCGCCATCACAGCACCCCACAAGATAAGCAGTGTTCCAAGGTATTTGGAAATGGGAAACTTTTGAATCAGGTAGTTGTTTGGCAGTTGGAAACTAATGTAGCCGAGGTAGAAAAAGGAACCAAGCCAACTATATTGAGAGCCTGTAAGATGCGTGTCTTCAATGATGCCCAAGACAGCAGAGATGCCCAATGTAGACTTGTCTACGAATTGAATAAAGACAATAGCGCCTACAAATGGAAGCAACGTCCAATTCAGCTTTTTGACGAGCTTTTTCTCTGCCTCGCTCTTTTGGAAAGGGATATCATCACTTGAGTTACCACTAGTATCGCCCCTGTTGCTGTAAACGCTTGCTGCTTTCTCGTCGACAAATGTGTCAATATCTCTTTTGATAGAATGTGTCATTGTTTGTAGTATTAAATGGGAACAAAACGAGAAAAAAGAAGCATATTTATAAAGAATCATTCTTCCCAGGACAAAAAGGTAGTGGGTAAAACAGGCATTGAGTCTCTTTTGAATGCTTGGGTTGATTCATCTGTTCTCGTACACAAACTGCTCTTTTAGATTGAAATAGAAATGCTTAAAAAATGTCAAGAGTGAAAATATTCACACAGAGATCAATGCAATATGGTGCTTTCCCCACATTGTGTCTGAACAATTCAATGAGAGTGCTCAAACTTTAAGCTTTTTACATGACAGCATTGGCAGTAGAATAGATAAAAACCCGGATATAAATGTGCCAAAAGAAGTTGAAGAATCAATGGCAATAATTTTCTCATCGGCTCGTTAGTTTATTATGCGAACGCTGCAATGATAGGGACAAACTTTTACAATCTACAAGGACGAAAGACTGAGAAATATTCTACTTTTATATATATATATACATAAAGATACTACACGGAATGGAGTCGGATGATCTAATGTATTGTTGCATTGTATGATGTTGTTTAAACCTACTGCAACTTTGATTCCTCTGTATTTAAACAATGCAGTAATAATACAAAATGATGTTTGATCTGCTTATTCTTTGTGATCCCATCGTAAAAGGTTCCTACTGGAAGGGCACGTTTCCCATCGGATTTATATCCGGTAAACTAAGTACGAGTCGACGCTGGTCATTTATATATAAATCCATGCAAACCTGTCGGGTAGTCTTATCGTTTTACGTGCAGCACACCAGACCTTAGACACGAAATACCGCATGGCATTCTAATAAGGGTGCCAATTTTGCATTTGGCATTAGGATTTGCTTGAACAAGTAATTTGCAACGGTTAGTCCTGATGGATTTAATAAGATTTAATAGCAGTAGCAAGCTTTAGCTAACTTATACTATAGTACTTTTCGATTTGCTCTTCCCTGGATATTAGCTTCACAAACATCGTTTGCACTCATGGCTCAGAGAGGCATTATACTCATCTGCCAAACCTAATTAAATCATTGCTTAGTTTTTTGCTTCAGATTGGACTAATTTTGAAGAAAATCGACCTCTTTGATCTATTTTGCAAGAGTAGACTATGTAAACTGTGAAGATTATATCATGCTTCCTAATTCATTCTCGTAGTGCTTTTTAAGGCGCATTCAGCTGTGGAAATTATAATAAAAACTTTATATAAATTTACTGAAAAATATCTGAAAATATAAAATGAGGCTTTTGGCCGAAATGTCGAGATTTTGAATATCAAAGCCTCATAAAAGTGTTTTCAAGGGTTGCTTTGGAACGATAGCATCATTTTTATTCAATATCATCATCATCATAACATAATAAATGTTTAGTCCTTAGACATTTTACGACCCTAATATGGAACCTGAGTTTCAAGGCATCTGTTAGGCCTGGCTCATATGTGAATAATGATTTTACAATCAATCAACAAAGACCACTGTTATTTCTACCCTCTTTCATCTGCTCAATACTGTCAACGCTTTCTTTGGACGATGGCTCGGAGCCTCAGAGATTTCACTACTTACTGGAGACATTTTGTGCAATCCATGCATCGTCAATGTCCAGACTAACGTTATTAAATATAGAATGCAATAAAATATCATTATAAACAATAGCTTTATGGCCTGCCACCTACTTTTCATACGCTTCAAGGGCATTTACTACTGTATTGCAGTATGAAAAGGGCGTTGAGTTTGCCAGCTGTCCCCACAAGCCAAAATTAATTCAAATCCAGAATCATAGTTTGTTCCAGATTGGACAAATTTTGATGATTCTGGACTTGATTAATCTATTTTTGCAGATTCAACTAAGTAGAATATAATGATCATCCTGTATTTTCTTAAGCTTTCTTGGAGTATTTTTCAAGGCGCATCCAATGGTACTAAGATAGATGTTTTGAATAAACTTATCAAATGATTTATGAAAGTATGAAAAGAGGTTTCTGGCTAAAATGTCGAAATTTTACATATCAAAGTCCCACAAAGATGATTTCAGAGGTTGCTTTGGATTGATAGAAACGTTTTGATTTAAGTATACCATAGTAAAAGTCTTCATTATCAAGGTGAAAAATGCGATCGTTTGATTTTAGATGAAAACCATGAGGGGTACCTCATGCTTTTTGGTTGATTTTTGGCAATCCCAAAAAAGTTGAGCAAAGGTGTCAGAAAGTTAGCGTTAGACGAGAGATAACGTTTGGTGGTACTCTGGTAGTCTAGAACAGATTTTAGCAAGAGAAATTGCTGCTCAAATACATCCAAATTTTGCTGTGTTTTGCATACTTTTGAGTGGTGAGAGGCAATGCTACTATAATGTAAGCGCGTATATGGATCATTCCGGTTGATACAGGTGTGAAGTATTGTAGAGGAGTCAGATCCACAATTATAGATTGTTTCTGGAGGGTTCTCTATAGGACTGGAAAAGTGAAATATTTCATGCCTTGATATAGCTGTTTAGTGAGGTAGTCTCGAATCAATGTATAACTTTGAAAGTATATTAACGTTATATCGGCTATTTCAATTGAATGATATAGTGAATCTCCTGGAATAATCAACTGATTCCATCGCAATCCTGACGGTGGGCAGTTGGATGACTTTTAGGCGCTGAATCAACATGATAATTTGAACTTTTAGAAAACTTTTTTCTCCACCTGTCAAAATGATTTCAACCTGGTAAAACATGGCTATTGCCAGTAATGCACACAACATTAGTAGCTTCTTTGAATTCTTTGGAACTCATAATTTTGTAGCGAAGTCCGTATGGGCTCTGACTGTTGCAATCAGCATCAGGATGTGGTTGCGTGCAGATCTGGATGCCCTCGTTTAAAATTTAATGACTGCCATTGCAATGAATTATTCTAATCGAAACCACAATTTGGCGCTATGGTGAACCCGAAGTATGGCTTTCAAATTACCTGGCAGCAAGGGTAACTCTTTAATGGGGTTTTAAAGCTTGTGGATGTGTGTGGAACTGACTCTGTCGGCCTAATTGCATGTTACACAACACGGCCACCAAAGACTCAATGTTTGCTATCCACACTGTGGCTCTCGACTATGGATTTATTCATAGGGTGATTACTAGGGAGCACCGGTACTAAAATGCAATCTAAATTTTTATTATATAATGTAAATTTTAAACGAAAAATGATTCTCTATTTGTTGAACCATCCAGTCCACTTGCTTGTAATTGTATCAACAGGTTGTCTTGGCTCTGTCCACATAAATGTGCCTCCTTCTCCACCTCGGCCTCTCTCATTACCTCGAAAATTCTCTCTGATATGATGGATCTTACGAATCAATGGTTCCCAAATGTGTCTTTCTCCGTAATACATGTATCCTAATCCTAAACCAGCACCTGCCAAATGTGCCTAGTTTAATAGTGATTAGTGTATGACAAGCAACGTTGATAACGTGTATATGACTTACATAATGATCAAACATTCTCCATTTGAATACGATACCAGCTAGATCAAAACTCATTAAAGCAGGGAGTGCATACCTATCAAAATTGATACAAATTTTAGCCCGCATGTCAAGCTATCCAAAACTTTCGACTTACCCTAATTTAATGGGGATCATTGGCAAAAATATAAGACTGATGCTCGAATTGGGATACAAAACAGCAGTGGAAGCCACCAAACCATAGATGGCACCACTTGCACCTAGACTAGGCAGCAACGGTCTTGAATTACGCAATGCCAGACTACAAGCATGACTGACGACATTCGCACCGATACCAGCACTCAAATACATGGCTACGAATTGCTCTCTTCCCAGCGTGTCATGTACAACTTTTCCAAAGGACCATAGACCCACCATATTCAACGCAAAATGAAAGAACTCTTGATGGGAAAAGCAACTTGTCAACAGTGTGATGTTTTGTCGACTGCCGGGTAAATGCAAAAACCACTTGCTCATGAATGGCGCAAGTCTTGGTATCTGCCAACAAGCAAAAACGACTGTGTTGATGGCGATGAGTCCAGCTAAAGTCTTTTCTGCTTCTGACATGGTTGCTAATTTCTCCCCTACAATCCAAATAGCTTGTTTGACATCTCGAGGCAAACTCATATTATCCAATCTACGAGCTAATCCTTCCAATAAGCGTTGCCTTTTTTCGATGAGCAAATCTCTTTTCTCTCTCCATAAACCAGACAAGATGGACTCTTCATCAGCAGTGCCAAAAAACGACCATTGACGAGAATGCTGACGAAACCGATCCCATAACGTTTGCTGATTTTTATCAAATATGACGCCTGCAGTGATGAATGTACCCGCTGTTAATGCAATGCCGTAAGCGATAGGTCCTGTGTATCTGACATGAGGGAACGAAGATTGTGGCCGCCAATGCTTTGGTGGGGGTGGTGGGGATGGTATCTTGTTAAGGGGTACAGTAATTGTCGTTTGGGGAGTAATGGATTGAGTAGATACGTGTCGAGGAGGCCTGCAGAGAGGTCTTGATGTGGACACAAAACGTCTATTGATTACTATGTTGCTTTTTCTTGAAAAATGTCTAAACATGAAGAGGGTCTATAATAATAAATATGGAATAAAAATGAAAGGTATCGAGAGCTGCGAGGTTGGGCTTTTTATAAAAAGGACATGGCAGGTCTACGGAGCTCTAATAAAATGGGTGGTAGTAAAATCACATTGGCGCTCTTTTCGTCTACTATTGATCATCTTTTCTCAACACTTTAACTATACAATGTCAAGGTATGAAGGCTCATATGGAAGTTTAGACGAAGTCAGGCTGTATTAATATGCACTACTAGAAATCGTATCACAGCTGGCCCTAAATCAGTTGTTTGTCAAGAGACCGAACTGAAAGGCGAGATCTCCATAGGTACCGAAAACAAACTGTATATACACTGTAACGCTGATCATTTACACGCATTTATCATACTCCAATAGGCGCAGGTAAGAGACGCGAGATTTGAAGGGATTGTATGGTAGAGATCCTTACACGATATGATGAAAGGTACCGTCATTCATCCTCAATGCCGAGTTATTGCTGAAAACGGGCCCATTTACATTGGAAAAAACAACATTATTGAAGAAAATGTAATCATCTTCAACAAGTAAGGATTTGCATGGCTCTGATTTATTAATGAAACTCAAATCTTTTTTCAATAGAAATTCAACCCCTTTGGTTATTGGCGACGATAATGAGTTTGAAGTGGGATGCTGTAGGTTTGACTCAATCAACACATTTGTCATAGATACTGATATATGGCGGCACGATAGATGTTGAAGGCACCCGCATTGGAAACAACAATATAGTGGAATCCAGAGCCCGTATCATCGGCAGCACTTCCTTGGGCAACTACTGTGTTATTGGATCAGCTTGCTCCACAGAGAGTAATGAAGCAATTCCTGATTTGACCATCATCTATGGATCGCAATCAAAAAGACGGAATCAAAGTGAACCATTAGCTGTAAAGTATACACGACATTAATTTATTCCAGCCATCTACTAAACAAACAAACATATAGACACAAGCAACACTTCATGCGAGACACTTAGATTATTTACGTGAAGTTTTACCAAAATACAATCATTTGAAGAAGTTGGAATCCTCCTAAATTCGACATAGTATATACCATGATATGAATAAATAGCACTTTAAACTGTATCACACCAACCATTCACCGGTAAGCATGATAGATATTTACAATTGGGACAAATGGTGGATAAATCAGAGGAGGTATAAAAGATGCGCAAGAAGACAACATAGAGCACAACGGCAACGACGAGTGCTGCGATTCTTGCAATCCAGGTAAATAGGATAGCGCGACGAGTTGCAGTGCGACGATTTGGTGCCAATAGGATGCCCAGGAGCAATCCCATGATTAGGCCACCAATATGAGCGAAATTATCGAGGCCAGGCAACAAACCCAACACCAGGGAAATGGCAATGACAAACAGCAGTTTTACTAGCTCTCTGCCAGGGTTGAGAGTTTCTTTCCATTGAACAATCAATTCGATGACTGTGTAGCCAATGATGCCGAACAATGCACCTGAACATCCCATGGAGGCTGTAGTGAGCAAGTAAGATGATCAGTAAAGTGTGGAATTTAGTTGGTCTTCATGCGACTTACAGACAAGAGGCCCAGCAAGCACACCACTCAATATAAAGCCCCAAATCCCAGATGCAAGATACAAAAAAGCATAGCGAATAACACCCAACGAGCGTTCGATTTCGCTGCCTGTAGAAAAATGAGTGACCAAATTCAAAAGAATGTGAACGACACCCGCATGTAGAAAGATGGGAGTGAAAAATCGAAATCCTTGACTGGGCGGTTGACCGTTGAAACCACCAAATCCACACACTTGCTCGATTGTACATGTCGATTCCAGAGATTGATAGCAGTTGCTCAGTGTAAATGATGCTGGATATTGTGCAATATTCCTCATGCAAGGTACAAATTTACTGCCCATGTTGATGAGTGCCTATTTCCATGTCAAATCATTAGCATTTCGAATTGCGATCATCAACACTGCTTGGTTTAATTACCATGTAATTAGGTCCAATCATTGGATTAAAGGGGTTGGTTTGAATCACACTTCCCGCCAGAGTATTGTTCCTGATAAGTTCGTATACAAAGACGCCGACCATGATCACACCTGATACCCAGGTAAAGATGGCAAACCTGGATCCACCGCCAAACAAGTGCTTGTATACAGTTCCTCTTTGCTTGACTGGCATTGGCTGAGCAAAGCCTCGACTTGTGTTGATCCCTGATTCCAGGTTATTGTAGTCTTTTGGTTGCTGGTACCCTTTCAACTTGCTCATGAATATATCGACTCGGCTCTGTTCTGGTAGTGGTGGTGATACATTTGCATTTGCATTTGCATTGGAAGGTGAAAAGTTTCTATTGTTGTTATTTTGATTACTTGTTTCGTACAGTTGTATTTCTTCTGTTTGTTCGCTTGGTGGCACAAAGCCCTTGCTAAGCAAGGCGCCTGTGGCTGGAGGTGCGTTTGGTGCGCTATTGTACTGATCTTCTGCAGAGAATGTCGGCCCATACACTTCTGTTTTGTCATGATCGCTTTGATCTGTTTCATATACTTGTCTCCCAAGAGGCGAAGGCGACAATGGCATCGCTGTAGATGGGGTAGACAGAGCAGGAGACTGATATGGAGACGATCCAACTGAAGATGTATCATCGTATATAGGAGTTGGCATGATGGAAGGTGATTTCGCAGCAAAATTTACGTGAGGAGAGCCTGCCGGTGGCGTTTCGTTTTCACGGAATGGATTGAAGTCGCTGTTATTGGCGTTGTTCATGTTGTTGAATGTACAAGAAGAAGAGAGCAGGAAAGAAAGAGGGCAAAAGGGCTATTTAAACCAATTTGGGCTTAGATAATAGCAACATCATTTATCGGAGCATGGAAGACCTGGAAGAGGGAAGAGAGCCCAAAGGCTTGGCTAAAAATACATGGACAGACTTTTATTTGCTACTAACAATAGCTACATGACTGGCATAAAACATATCATTTCTATTATTCGATTCAATATCGTCTTCTTGTACTTTGTCTTGCGTTTGTGTATGCGTATGATAATCAGCTTTGTCGTTCAAAGTAATACTCTTGTGCGACAAGTCCGAAAACAATCTGCCCGCCATGAATGTAATCACAAAGTTGGGTGGTGCCCAAGTAAACATCAGACAAAGGACAAATCTGGCCAAATAATCAAGCACAAGCAACGCCTGAAAGTATTCCCAACTCTGAAAGAAGAACCATATATAAAGCACCCCATAGACCATGTACCATGTAGATTGAATCAGCAAGAACCATACCTAATCGAGTTAAAGGTTATTTCATGCTCTTGTTATCAAACTATTGCATCGCACTTACACCTAAAGATGTTGTCTTTGCCTGTCCTTCATGGATTCTGTGCTTTTTCAAATAAATCAACGAGGAAAATGAGTACATATAGGCCGCACCATCACAAGCGATAGCTAAGCATACACCGGTAATGAATGCTGCACGGATTGGATATGGTTCATTTCGAATGAGCAATATGATGACCTGAGTTGTCAGGCAAGTCATGGATCCACCAAGGCCTGCTGCACCAGCCAAGACAAGCGGGTGTTTCCAATCGATGCCACCCACTCTAAGATGCTTGCCAATATCTAAATTTAGCCAGTAATGCAAAGCAAGCATAAACAATGTTGATACCAGATACGCAAATGAGTTCCAATGACTTGTTATCAGATTTAAATGGGACAGTGTGTTGACGATACTCGCAGCCAACGTAATCAAACTGAAGATTAGCATAACATAGCGAACTTTTCTTGGTTGAAGGAAGGTTTTGATTGTAATAAATACAGACAAAACCGCTTCCAATGCCACTGTGGTGATATATAATGCTGCAACTGTCGAGATCATTTCTTAAAATATATATTCAGTTGACGCCCCCCGTCTTGGCGCTTGATGGGCTTAATGATAGTTGCGATTGCAGAAAATCGGCTTGGCTCGATTTATAGATGAAGCAAGTATGAGAAATGAGGATAAAAAGAGAGAGACGGAAGAAGAGAAGAGGGAAAAGGGTGCATGGTTGATCGATCCCTTTGACCTTATATATAAAGATGAAATTATGACACCCGGCTAACCCACGAATTGACCTGTGCTATTCACATCTAAGTTTTTGGGGTTTATCTCGGGCAGTAAGATTTCTAGTTCTGCCTTGATGAAACGTAACACATTGAATGCAAATACTATAATACACGGACTGAAAATACAATTTGGAGTAGCACCTATTAAATTAAAACAGCTTTTCTTGTCTACAATTGATTACATTCATTTATGATTATTTCATTTTGTATTTGATTAAAAAGGGAATCCCTGCTTACAGCCCTTTGTGCTATGTGCTTATGATTGTTGGAAAGCACGGCCACTGAAAAACATGCAGTGTATATATATAAACTGCATGTTGGACCTCTTGTTCTATGAGCTGTACAACTTGAATATATTGTTACTGACCGTTAGCTTCCCAAGATCAGAGATGAAAGCATCAATCTAACTCGGATCACCTAAAACAAAAATGAAGATCTATTTGAGAATCCAAAAATTTATAGCATGCACTATTCACTAAAGCATCTTTAAACCAAGGTTTCTGGAAGAAATAGACTTTATAGTGACATTTATATGTTTTCAAAACAGTTTAGCTCACTTAACATTTGATGCAATGTAACATGGAAGAAATTAAAATCAGAATGGCGGATAACCTCACTGAAGATAGATGCTATATTAATTTAAGAGTTTTCATAACACTGTAGCATTACCAGAACTGCTTATGAAACATATCTCTACGGTATGACCCAAGATTTTTGCGCAGAGACTTACAATAATGCTCTTTAACATATTCTATTACCCATCTCAGTCCAACAAGTTTGTTTGGTTGTTACATTTATTAGCTGAACAAGGTAGCATTTCTATTATAATGTAATGCATTTCATTACATCTCACATGAAGACTGTGCGTTTATCACGTAACTTATATGTCCTCATAGGACCCAAAACGATTAAAACTGCTGTCTAACCTTCTTTTCTCATGAAGTTACAAAAAAAAGGCTAACTACCTCATGTGTCTACATGCACTACATTTGTAAGATTGTAGTAAAAATAATATCGTCGCCTGCAGGATTTGAACCTGCGCACGCAGAGCGTATATGATTTCTAGTCATACTCCTTAACCACTCGGACAAAGCGACTTTCTATATACTGTCGTGCCTAAGTTTATATTTAGGCCAAATCTTAAGGCAGCAACTAAAAGGCGCCAGCACATACTTGAAGGTTATGGAAACTGATAGCAGCAGACATTGATCTGATTATCAGTTGCTATATCAAGTATTATATCTACTCAAAAGTTCTATTGATTAAGTAATTATCGATCGTAGAAATAGTATAAATATAAGTTGTACATGCAATCAATAAACAGTATCTTCGAACATAATCTCAAATCTATTAGTTACACTCTAAGTTATTTGTTAAACTCCTACCATTGGATCTATCTATCAAGACGACAATACTGTGAGATGCTTATATATAAACATAGCATATGCAATCTGAGATCTGATCGGGATATATAAGGAAGTAGATATGAAGAGTGTGCAAGAAGATATTATATATGTGGAATACATCCACTATGATCTGCATTCCGACAGTTCATCCAGTTACCAGATTTAGATATAAACTGTATGTACACTGGATTAGATGTACGATATCGATTTATACTATAAGAAGATATGGACTTCAGATACGCTAGTACTATAAGATTCATACTATATAAGATATAGGCTATAGTTGGCACCACGGACATGGATGGCGCTATAGACTTATACTTGTATTCCGACATTGACTACGGATGTTTACCATATCTGGATAAGCACCAAGATTAATGCAATATAAGCTTGTTGCTTCAGATGTGCACTTCATGATCCACGCTATAAGACACATGTGCAGTAAAAAGGGGGTTAAAAAAGCAAGTAGAATACTGTTAAAATCCTTCTTTATTTGAAATTAGGATAATGTGCAATAAAATGTATATTCTACGTCTCTATTTATATTATTTGGTTTATATCTCTTATCTGGCAGCAGTTTAGTAGTTGCCAGTGATTCCATTACTTTATATATTTTTGTTGGGTCATTTAGTTGTTGATCTGATGGATCAAGAACGGTATTTCAATATATGGTTTTTGAATCATGCGTAAAGAATAGCTCTTTATTGTTGAGCCTGTATCCTTTTTAGGCATATTTATGTTACAACACATTACAATACCCTTGACATTTACTTTAGTATCTGTCATCTCTTATTTTAGAGCATTTAACCCTTGCTATCATCATGCTAATACTATTATTGTGCATGCTTATCTGCTGATGGTAGCGTGATTTGATTGAGATGACATTTATTTTGGGTTTTGTTTATGATGGGAATCTAGTCTAGTTCACTTCAACATGCTTATATCCGTGATACTAGCTACAGATACTTTATGTACTACAGACTTGTACTATATATGAGACATGCTATAGACATGCATACGATATGCTATAGACATGCCATATATCCAGAAGATACATGCTAAAGATGTATGCTCAGCGATATACACTCAGATATGTACTGTTGATATACACTAAGAAGACTGTACCTATCGGATACATGCTACTAGATCGATATTAATTATCCTTATAGAAAGGATAGATCAGGGTATTTCGGATGAGAGTCTAATTACTCATCCAGGCAAAGCTAAATCATGATTAGCTTGCTGGAGTTGTCTTTTAGCATGATTAGACATTAGTTGATCTGAGTTGACTTATTTGTTAATCTAATTAATAGAACTTTTATCCATTGTTATAGTATATAAGAAGGATCATCTACCTGGCCAGTAGAGAGACTTCAGTTTACTTTACACCTGTCAGTTTGATAATAAAACATACCTTTATCAAGTTGACTTTGCAGTGAAATCAGGTTTAAATAAATTTCACAAAAAAAATAAAGCAAAGGTAAAATACAATAGAAATCAACTGTATTTTATTTTGTGTATAAAATGAACTGAAGATCCTGGAATTGAGTAAAAAAAAGAAGAGTATTTATACATTTGCATCTGGCTTGTAGGATTAGTGATGATAGAGAGCAATAGGTGCTGCTATTGCGATATCTGGCAAATGTTGTTGATGTTTGATTTAAAGTGGTAATCAATGCAGGAGCACTGGCCATAAGGGTCGATTTGAGTAACCTTGATGGGCTTGGGTGAGCTATCGTCATAGCATGATTTAATGTAACCTTGATGGTTTAAAGTGTGATGTTTGTTATTGAAGCATGGAATCCTTTATCTGGGATATTGTGCAACTATGGCAGCAGGGCATAGTTGTCATATTTGAATATGCTTGTTATTGATTTAATTCTATTTGGATAAAGATACCATCACCTATTACGACCATCATGGGTGTGATTGAATACACTGTGATCAGGAGTGATTCATTCACACGATGTGCGATATAAGCGTGTATCTTTACTTTAGTATTTTTAAATGGGTTTTTGATGTACATTTGAGCGCTTTCATTAATAGATCCAAATAGCATGAATTTGAATGAGTGCTATTTGATGAACTTTGGTTTTCAATTAAGTTGCGTTTGGGTGGCTATTTCATTACAGACTTTACTACTGTTTTTTTTTTTATTCTTTTTTTTCCGTGAATTTTAGTCTATAAAGCCTCAAATTCCACAAACCATTCTACCTACAGAAATTTGGTTTACACCATCGTCCTCAGAGGAGAATCTGGGTTTCAAATTAACCCGGGACTCCGATATAGGAGTTAAAATGTATGTTCGGCTTATAAAATGCTCTCCTGAGCAATTTGTTATTGAATTTTTTCAGGCAGTTTACCACTGTTTTTCTTTTTGGATGTGTAGATGTATTTACCTCAAATTGTAATCTTCTCAAAGCTATAACAGGACTTTTATGTCAGAATTCAGTATAAATTAATCTATAAAAGAGCTTCACTATTATTGAGAATGCAAAAGAATATATTTTATACTTTCATTTCGCTACTATTTATTATTATGCTCTAGAGCATAAGGATGCTTATAAGACAATAGGGTATACAGCATCCGCAAGTGATTTGTAAATCACGGCAAAAAAAAAAGCATATTCTATCTAGGAACTCCCAAGAGAAGCCCAGAACTTCGAACGGGAGGCGTTGCTGCAACACTCAACACAACACAGGAAAATTATTTCATGTTCTCAAATAGCAACCGTTTGCAAATCCTTCAACACTGGCTCTAACGATTCAAAGCATTTCTATTATTATTACGCAGAAATAACTCAGCACATATCCTCATCCTCGCTACTATCATCACTGTCATCTTCGACAACTCCTGCCCTTTGTCCTCTTGGGTTGTATCTTACTACAACATTGGAGAATAGCTTGGTTATGCTCTTTCTCAACTAGAAGCAACGAACGATTGTTAATGGATGAACTAAAAAATAGAGATCCCACCGCCTTACCGTTCTGACATGACCCGTTTGTAACAGATTATGAAACACTTCCTCGCTAGTATTGGCAAAGTAACGTCTATCATTGACAAGGCTGCGCACTTTCTGGAACATGTGGGCTCGGAAATGCTTCAGCTCGTGGTAAATAAATGCTTTTTTGCTGCATTCGCTTCCAATGTGATATGTTTCATAGTCAAGCTCATCATCTGAATAGAGTTTGATAGACATGCTGGCAGGTTTGTTGGCTCGACAGGCTTCACAGACATCAAATCCATCATACACATAATTGCGAATTTCTGCCCATTTTGGATATTTATCTACGTCAGACTACAAGAAGCTGTCAGATTAATCATGCACAGGCGCTAAGTATTGTGTTGTAAATCATACCTTAAACTCGGGATACCAAACGTCGCTGGTAGCCATTGAGTCTCTGTATGCCTGTACCCTCCTGTTGATGGTTTCATTTGCTAAGGCGTATTTCTGATTTGATGCTGATGTTTATCGAAAATTAGCAATCTCTTATTTTCGGCATCTGCAACTCTCCTTACACATGTCAAAAGCTGGGTCCAACACAAGTTCTATGAGGGATTGGATGTAGAAGTCCATTTGCCGTTTGAACGACATGGATTTCGTTGTGCTGAATTCGGCTATACAAGGCTAATGTTATTACGCGAATTTCATTGTGCAATCAATGAGTGTACCTGGCAAAGCGGCGTTCACAATGGGTGTCTCAACCCTTTGTCCATCGACAATATCATCATCCACGACAAAATCATCTTCATCGTCCGAGCCACTGCCCCCCTCAGAACTGTCTTCATCTCCATCACTCTCACTTGATGACGAAATAACGACAGGACGACGCCTTGACGAGACGAACGAGTCAATTGGACCATCCTGTACGTTGTCATACTGCGCTGCTTTTACTTTTCGATCTGATAAATGTTTTAATCATGCATTGTACCTTATGCGTTGAACTGGGGAAAAAAAAAATACCTTTCAGTTTCTTCAGGCTCTCGGCATACTTGTCGAGACGTTTGCCTCTTGTTCGTGATGTAAGTATATCTGATAAATGCCATAATCAATAATGGGGTTTTATCATCTGCTGCGATTTTCAGTTACCTGATTTATCCAAAAATTCTAAATCGTCCTCCATGTCTTCATCAGGGTCTTTACCAAAGTAAGCATTAGCTATTTTAGTAGCTTATTGAAATCCTTGAGGGTACCTGAAACAAGCCCTTCGGATGCGACAGTGCTGGGTGCTTCCACATCCTCATCTTCATCGCTACTTTCCACAATCAATCTCCTTTTTTTGTTTGTTTTGCGAGGAATGACTTCTTCGTCCATATCGTCATCTTGATGATCAGTTTCTTCCTCGTCGCTGTCGATAATGACAGGCCCTTTCTTCTTTCTGAGGGGCATGGTAGGCTTTTTCTTCGTTCTGATGAGAACAATAGGCCCTTTCTTCTTTCCAAGGGTCTCAGGCGTTCTATTCGAGACAAAAAAAAAAAAAAAATAAGCTGTCTACTCATGATTACGGATAGCAATCATTACTGTTCGTTGCGGTTTGTCTGAATAGACGTAGAAGGGGAAGTTTCTGATGCATGTTGAATAGGCCTCATGGGTCCTTCCTGGCTGGATGCTTTAAAGTAATTTAATAAATTTTGTTGTCTTTTACCGCTGTTGGATTTTGTCATTTTTGAAACAAGCTTAACGGGAAGAAAAGATTCTTTCAGGTTGCACTGAACTGAACATGAAAAACCGGCAGTTGTCAATGAAGCGACTTCCTTTCTGATCTCGCATTTATTTGGCGAGATTCATCCAAGGTTTGTCTTAGATTACAGGCACGCTTTCTTGAGATGTAAATGCAATTAGCATGTAAGGGCCCACTTCATAAATAAATGTTCAATATAGTGCTGTTTTTACTTCTGCCAAGGGCTGCGAGTGACTGATATAGTGCAAATGCCAACTCAATGCAATGATAGTTTTATAGGCAAAGGCTCCATTCTCATCGATGAACATCTGCTCTCAATACCAGCGCAGTACACCAAATCCAGAGCTATCCCAGGCTGTAATATTTGAGAAAAAAAAATGTAATAAACCGACAATTCAAAGCATTTTGTTGACATGCTGTATATCAACTTGGGACACGTTTAGAGCTCTCCACTCAAATACTGCAAAGTTCATTCACAAAACTGGCTTGAGCGAGAAGTGTAATTTCTTTAGACACTAGGTAAACCTACTAAGAGTTAAAGGATAGTGACCTTAGCCACACCCTATGACTATATCAGTCTTCAGGGTTACACTGACAATGATTCTTTTGCCAAGATTGCTTGGTTTTCTGGTCAGATGATTACTCTCTTAAGCCCAACTACGTATAAATTTCTCGGTTTGATGATAAAAAGGACTTTTCTTTTTGCATTTCTTCCACTTTTCAAACAAGAGCCATTTGTGGAAATGAGCAGTTTACACAACAACCCTCATCTAGAGCTGCCACCACCACAGCCTTCATCTCCTCATCATCCACAACAGCAACCACAACAGCAACAGCCTATTGCCTCGGTTTACCCAAAGCTACCATCTCAGGACGATTTGCCTCCAAGTTATTCGGTGTCATCACCTAGTTATACAAACATGCCGCAAGCACCCTATCCACAGTACAGCCCACATCAGCAACCGCATCAGCCATCATATCCATATCCTCAATACCAAGCATCACCTGCTCCTCAAAATCAACAGCCCAATGGACCACAACCTCCTGTAATGTATTACGGCAGTATGGCGCCGCCTGATACCACTCATCCTCATCCTCTTTCCCAACAACAAGCACAGGCTCAATCACAATCGCAGCACACAGTTCAACCGATAACCGCATTAAGGACATCATCTGAGTTGGTGCAATGCCCACATTGCCAACAATTGGTATACACAGTTTTGGATTACGACTCTGGTTTATGCACTGGATTGTCAGTTGCAGGACTCTTCTTGGCTGGCTGTCACAGTGGAGGCTGCTTGATCCCATTCATTTTCCCCTACACAAAGGACGTTACGCATCATTGCCCCTCATGCAAAGAAAAGATTGCAACATTTACAAGACTCGAAAGAGACACAAGAGTGACCGCAGCCCCAGTTGGATTATAATCTTATCATTAAACTTTATACATAATTTCTTTAAGCAGTTAAAACTTGATCAAATTCACCACTTTCAATCTAAATCACAATAGTTAGCAAACAATATCCGCCATACAATCATAATAAAACCTTACCATTTCCTTTACAATATCTAAGCCGCCCAATAATTCGCCCTTATAGAACAGCATGGGGAATGTTGGCCAGTCTACATGAGCCTTCATGCCTTGTCTGACGTCGTCATCTGATAAGATATCAAAATAACCGTATTTAACATGTCTGTCGTTCAACAAAGCAATCAACTGTCTTGAGAATCCACAGCGAGGCTCTTCAGGTGTGCCCTTGATAAACACCATGACAGATTGCTTTTCGATCAATTCCTGCAGGCGAGTGCTGAGGTCCTTTTCTTTGGGTAACATTTCTTTAAATTCGCCTGATGCAATCATCTCTTTGATAATATCCAAACCGCCCATCAACTCTCCATTGACATACACTTGAGGGTATGTTGGCCAGTCAGAGTAAGCCTTTAACCCTATGTTGATGTATTACTAATCGCCCTGATTTGCTTCATGTATGACAGATATATGGTTTACCTTGACGAACATCCTCATCTGCAAGAATATTGAACGAGCTGTATTTGACCTTCTCCTCTCCTAATAACTCGACCAATTGACGTGAGAAACCGCAACGAGGCTACACATTGTATTACTAATCAAATCCCAAAAATCCACGTCAAGTTGCATTTACCTGCTGAGGAGTACCCTTAATGAAAATCATGACAGGTGCGCTATTCACAAGTGCTTTGAGACGAGCGTTCAAATCCTTGACAGGCTTTGCTCCGTTATCTGTGCCAGCCGCTGCGGAATTGGCAAACTTATTCAACACACCCTTTGCATGCTTAGCTACGGCATTTGTCAATTCAGCAGCCTTTGCACCTTCAATTTGTTCAGCAATTTTGCCACCCTAAGCACATCCATCAGAGACAGATCAATCATACTCACAAGTCTAACTTACCTTGAGTACAATAAAAGTAGGAACGGCAGAAATCTCGAAAGTTTCAGAGATGTCAGGGTATTCTTCTGCTTCAATCTGTAGCCGCAAAACAAGGGTATCAATTAGAGGCCTTGATTCATACCAGCCACATCCAACCTACCTTGAGGAATTGAAGAGCAGGGAATTTACCAGCGAGTTCAGCAAAGACTTCATTCATTTGCTGACAAGGTTCGGCCCAAGAAGCCCAAAAGTTCAAGACGTAGACAGTATCTTTCTTGGAAAGGAGGTCGCCAAATTGCTCATCAGAGCTGATTTCTAACAAATTAGACATGGTGCTGTTATTGCAAAGTGGGAGAAAAGTTGATCAATTAGAGAAACAAGAAGAAAAAAGCAACCTAAAGATTAAAAGTGTGCCTTTTAGATGTAAAAAAAGAAAATATTTTATAGACTACAGTGTGGATCTGATTGGGTTATCATATGTTACAAACAAATCTCTGGATGTGATTGGATACGTTGGACAGATCAAATCTGTAGCAGAGCTTCATATGCTTGTTCGTGTCCCTTTAGCCTGAGAAAGATTAGATAGTATCAGCTGCAAGCGATAGGCTGTAATTCCTGGTTGAGTGTATCTTTCACTGATTAAACTTATCCGATTTTTCACCATTAAAACGCTTCGAAAAGCAATCCCTTGATCTTATGTAAGAAAAACAGACTTAAACTGTCAAATAGACCTAGTAGCCACACTGTAGCATTGGTTCACTGTTAAAAAGCTGCAAATCTGTCAAATGGACAATATTGATTGACGTCCCGCTTCTTTAATCCATGATATTACAAGGTGGCACTATAATGGATATCTGAAGTTCTGACAGTATGTAGCCAACAAAGACTATCCTAGCAATGGCGCTATCCTAATACTTGGCTTTAATCGGTCAGAAAAGAGACCCTCTAAGAGCAATGTGATGTATTCATCACATGTAAGCATAGCAGTGTATAATACATGATTCCACTTTGTTTTTTAAATATCTATTTACATCACACTGATATCGTTCTTTATTGTTGAGTTGATTATTAATTAAAGTTGATCTATACAGAGGTAGCTGAGCCCTTGACGCTTCTGATGACTTCGGCAACGGCAAAATGCTTGTGTTTACTTAAAGGTCTGCAAGCTTCGATGCGCACGACATCGCCCAACTTACAAGCTTCCTTTTCATCATGAACGAGGTAGTTTTTGTGTGTTTTAATAGTCTATTGCGAAATTGAATTAGCATACAATAGCCAGGGGTGTGTGGCATATGTGATGTGATTATACCTTGAGAACAATAGGGTGAAGCTTTTGGCTGGTAACCTTCACTTTGATTGTCTTTTGCATAGCATTGCTAACGACCATACCAATAAAGTTTTGTCTCATGTTGTATATGATATTGTTGTGTCTAAAGTAGAATGAGGAAGAGATGTGGATGGGGTTGCAAATGGGATGTAGGAAAAAAAAAAAAGCTGTGAAAAGTGACAGGGTTATTATTACAATTACCGAAGTTGAAATGGCCTTCTTCTACCCCTCTCCTTCTCGTTGCAAATCGTTTTGACCCCGCATATCCACATACCAGCATGTTACCTACACTGATTCGACTCCATAAAGCACCTCCTATGCCCAAGTTCTTTCAAGAGGGCTTGACATTAGATCATGTATGTATCCATTGAACAGTCGCACATGTACCATCGACTCACTCATTAGCGCTAGTTTCTGCTGCGAGGCCAAGTCATATCCTTATATCGACAGATTGTGCGCTGTACTAAAGGCATGGACAAGGGAGACGCTAAAGAATTGATACAGTGGGCTAGAGCCGACTTTGAGCGTCACCGCAATGAAAAGAGCATTGTAAGCACTTGCCATAATTCAGATGTGGATCCATCACAATTAATACTTTGTTTAGGATCACATTAAATCACTCATTTCATCCGGCAAACATCAAATGCATTCATTACAGAGTTCAGTTACTTTAGCGCACACATCCAAGCAATAAAAAACACATATTTATTTAGTAGACAATGATAGACCAGCCGCATTGAGTTGCAGACACCTTGGGGTCCTTGATGGTAACAGCTTGCCTTTGATAATCAAAGGTGAAATCACTCTCGATTGTCTTGCCCTGTGTAACAACCTTGACACCAGATGGCTTCTTGCTTTGACCCAAGATGTGGATACGCTCAATACGAACCTTGTCAACAGTCTTGGCGAACGCCTCGGCTTCTTTGCTGGAGGCATTTTCGTGGATGTTCTTACATGTCAATGCGTTGTCGGCAAAGCTGAATTCAGTGTGAGCGTAGGCACCGTTTTGGAATGCATAGGTCTCTTCATCGTCCATGTACAAGCGGCCTTGAGCATGTCCTTGTTGATTCTTGGCAATCACCAAGGTGAAGGGATCCAAACGCATAGCTGGAGAGCTGCGACGCACACGCTCACGACGAGGAATGATACGGCCACCTTGATAGAAAGCAGGAATCGTGTCCAAAGGAGCATCAATCGTCTTCCAGCCCAATGTGGAGACTTGTTCATGGGATTTAGTATGATACCAAGGTCCTTCGCCAGGGAAATACACATCTGTGGTAACAGCTCCTTCTGTTGTAATGGGCTTGACCAAGATGGAATCACCTACCATGAACTGATCATCCATCGTGAATACAGACTCATCCTCAGGGAACTCCATAAACATGGGGCGCATCATGGGAGTGCCATTCTTGTAGGCGTCATAGAACAAGGTATACCAGTGAGACAAGAGAGCATAGCGTTCACGCAAAGTATCGCGCGTAATAGACTTGTAAGGCTCTGCTGATAAATAAGGCTCACGACGCTTGGTATCGATATGAGCATGACCACGGAAGAAGGGTTGATAGGTAGCAGCTTGATACCAACGAGCCAACAACTCGGGAGTAGGGTTCTCAAAGAAGCCAGGTACATCAGCGCCTGTGAAGGGGACACCACCCATACTATTGGACAAAATCATAGGATTTGTATACTTGAGAGATTCCCAATTGGCAATGTTATCACCCGTCCAAATGGGGCCAGCACGCTGTACACCAGCGTAGTAGCCACGAGCCAAAACAAAGGGACGCTTTTGAACCTCTGTGCGTTCACGAACACCGTCAGCAGTAGCAATGTGAGACAAATGAGCATACAAATTATGCAGCACACGGTTCTCCCATTTGCCATCATGAATCATCTCTTTTTGAATAGTGATTTCGGGTCCATTGAAGATGGAGGGCTCATTCATGTCGTTCCAAATGTGGACATTCTCGCGAGTTCCCTTGAACTTGTCAAATGCAAATTGCTTCTTCCACCAGTCGTAGGATTCCTTGTGCACAAAATCGACCCAAGAGGATTGACCTGGCCAGCACCAAGCTTCGTAGTCAGCCCCATCAGGCTTCTTGACGAACAAGTTCTTTGACTTGGCTTCGTCACAGATGCGATAGTTGTCAGCACGCTTGATATGAGGATCCACGATAGCCACCAATTTGCGGCCCTTGTCATCCAGAGCCTCTTCCATGCCAATAGAGTCAGGGAACTTGGGCGTGTCCCAGGTAAAGTACTTTTTTTCATCCGTGTACTCGATATCCAGCCAAATTACATCATAAGGCATATCATTTTCATCAAACTGTCTATCCACCTCTAGCACATCTCTTTGGTTGATGTAATTCCAGCGACATTGGTGGTAGCCCACAGCAAACATTTGAGGCATGGCAGGAGGACCTGTCAATCTACTGTACTGACGAAGAATGTCCTTGGTGGAGGGGCCAAAGAAGACAAATAAATCGAGGACACCTGCCTCTGACATCCAGTGCGTTTGTGTTGAAGTGCCCTCCTTGTGTAGTCCCAATACCTTTTGAGCAGAGGCCTATAATACTACTCGTCAGACGAGTGAATCAACCTAATTGAGTCAACTTACCTTGACGCCTTCCTCAGACTTGGACTTTACAATATCAATCCAGGTCTCGGCAGGGTTCATCCAGAAAACACCGGCTGACAGACCTTGCTTGTGAGCAATCATCAAAGGTACAGCACCATAGAGAGCAGTAGGACTATCCAAAGCGTACTCAAATACATCCGTGTTATAAAGACGATAGGGCTCAGTATAAGCGTTATCACCACCACGAGTCTCCTTCAATGCAAGGCTGGAAGCATGTTCTGGAATGCCATATACATTGGGGAAACCATGGAAACTAATATCCATAGCAATGGATTCAGGGCCATTGGGCTTGGGGTCAGTCCAAGTCTTGAATGTTTCCTCCCACAAATCCTTTTCCCATTCAGCTTCGACTGTACTAACAGTGCCATCTTCGTTCTTCTTTTCCACCATCTTGGGCTTGTGAGTATCTTTGGTACGCAAATGTTCAAAATGGAAAAAGCCACGATCGTTCAAAGTGATGACAGGTGCATCGTTCACCAAGAATTCGATACGAACAGGTTGAGGGTGGATCACAATCTTGCGCGTCGTATCGATATGCAAAACAACAATGCCTTCGTTTGTCTGTTCAGAAGACAACATGTCCACTAACTCGGGTTCTTGTACAAGTGTGTATTTGCCGTGCTCGTCATAACGAGGTTTGATGGGTGCCTTTTCATTGATGCGAACGCGTGCTGTGTTATCTTGGAGAATGTGTAGATCCAAAGTCAAGATGACTTGCGTGTCTGTGTTTCTGATATCTGCATGGACTTTGTTGTTTGATAGGGAAATGGAGTCTTTCACCAAGGTATAAGGAGACGAATCGAGAGACGCTTCATCCGCATAGGCTCTGTTGCGACGACAAAAGCCGGATTGTGAGCAGGTTTTGAAATCCTCAAACTTCATTGCATTCGCCAAGGTGGTTGAAAACACAACCACCAAGGCTAGTTTAGGTAGACAGGTGCCTAAACTAATTTTCATATCGAAAGTCGTATATATGCGAACAAAGAACAAGGAAGGTAAAAATGCTTGTTAGAAGCGGAACCATATACTTTTTGTACGTCGAGAAATACCATTGGTCATAAAAGAGCACCTCCTTCCAAGCCGAATGGGGAGATGGGTAGAATTCCTTGGGTCGATCAGCCCAGCATTCCCTGAAGGAGTGTTAGCTATAAACAGCTGTATCAAATTGGGATATCCATGATGATTGATCCCAATGTGTTTTCTGCTAAAAAATGCCATGCGAGAAGCGATGTCAATCATAAATGTCCTGAAATGAACTCTCAAAGACATGCCATCTATATGCAAGTAGCTCGCATTCATCTACGGCCCGTAGAGAGCCTACCTTACATGTTGATGTGCAGCCAACCGACTTGAAATTAAGAAAGATGCAAAGAGAGTGTACATAAGCAAACGCTCACTTGACTCACAATGTTCATGGTAAATATGGCAATTTTACCAGATTCGCAATATTTGCAACTCTACGTCATGTTCCTAATGATCTCAGTGCATTAGTGTGTGTTCAGCATGTCATTTTTGTATAGTGTCATCAAGAGAGTGCTAGCTTTGATGATAGCCAGCAGTCCAGCTTGATTTGAGAACGGATAACATGAATCCCAATTATGCAAAATTTATGCCACAGGCATACATGGTGGGTTGCCCCCCCCCCCCACATGTCAAATGATCTTGCTTTTGAACCATTCATGTGGGAAATCCAATATTCTCAACTCGAAAAACTGCAGGATTTTGATGGGATGGGATGTATGTGATGTACATGCGGTCAGCCAAACGTCACATGAATTGCATTCAATGCTATAAATCTCATTTCATTTAAATAGTTGTTTATTTTTCCTTCTTTTCCATTTTTTTCATTACCAACAAAAACAAGATGTCTCTACCTGTGTACGATACAATAACAGCTCCACATTCTCCTCCCCAAGAAAAGAAGGACCATGTGCCTATACAAGAAATGGCCTGCGACGTTATCCAGCAAGCCATTGATCTCATTCATACATTGCAAGATGAACAATATACCCAGACTTCCAAAGTCATGTTTGGAGGGAGCATAGGCAAACACATTAGGTATCTAGGAAAACAATTGCGTTGCTACTACACAACACTGAGTATAGACTCGAAATAGACATGTATCCGATCATTTCAACCTACTGTACAAACAATGCCAGCCCATTCCATCTGATTGGGTTGTGGATTATGATATAAGAGCACGAAATGTAATACCAAAACTTGATATGGATAGAGACCATCTCCCTCACTTTGACTGATTGACTCGCTTATTTAGAATCCGTCAGAAACGAATCGATTCGCTGCTATTCAATACTTGGAGCGGCTGATATCAGTAATCAAGGAGCATGATCACATTCCACTAGAGCAGCCGCTGACTCTTTTAGCGACCATTGATCCAGCGAATGATAGCAAATATCGATTTGCATCGTCTTTTGGGAGAGAGCTATTCTACAGCTGTATACATGCAGTGAGTTGAATTGCATACGATTCGCTGCAAAAAGACTAATTCACTCGTTACATAGATCCATCATTATGCTTCCATTAAAGCAATATGTATCGAGCAGAACATTTCTACTCCTCAAGATTTTGGAATGGCTCCTTCTACATTACAGGATCAACAAAATAATAAATAAAATAGCTGGCGAAATTAGTGTTTTTGCTCTACATCTTAATCTGATATTGCATATTATGCAACTTTTTCGTTTGATCCTGATTTTAAGTAATTGTGCTTTAAAATCAGTCTATCATCGCGTGAGAATCCCATAAACGGCCAGTAACTGTAGATCTGACTCTTCTACGATGCACCATGTTTGCATAAATGAGAAGGATTCGTGTAAGGGCTCACATTATACTTGCACCGCCTTTTACCACCCAAAAATATGTCAAGCACAGTGAAATGTGGATGCATTATAGCAGTGATTTCTAGTGCTAGAAGTTGTTTTAGACTGCCAGAATAGCAGCAACCAATTGCTCTCAATTAGCATTAACTTACTGACACCTCTGCTCAACTTTTTAGGATAAAAAAAAACATGGCCATAAATTGACCAAAAAGTATGAGATACCCCTTATGGTTTTCATCGAAAATCAAACGATCGCGTTTTTGACCTTGAAAATGAACTTTTACTATAGTATGTATTGAATCAAAATGTTTCTCTTAATCCAAAGCAACCCCTGAAACCGCTTTTGCGAGGCTTTCATATGCAAAATTTCGACATTTTGGTCAAAACATCATTTCATATTTTATCAAATTGCTCAATAGCTTTATTCAAAACATTTACTTTACTTGGCACCATTAGATGCGCCTTGAAAAGTACTTCAAGAACGTATTAGGACGTGTTGCATGATTATCACAATTTATATAGTCGAATCACTCAAAGTAGATCTGTCAAGTCGAAAAGAAAAATGATCTGTCCAATCTTGAGCAGAAAAAAATAAGCGGAGATTGAATTGGGTTTGGCGGCGGCGCTGTTGTTGGCTGACCCAAATGCCTTTCTGATGATGACAATGATGATTGCGATGCTGATTACATGGGGACCATAAAGCTAAAAGGACAATCATTAGCTTGAATAATTTATTCTGGTTTCTCTAGGCATTTTCACATCTTATCACCAAAATATATGTAATCGTAACTTCCTATTCGTGATCTACAGCATTTCAGCATGGCATGTAGGCAGTATGCATTCATTAGTTCGTTTAAAAGAGACTATTGCTACTGACTGATGAAAAGCTTTTCGATGTGTGATGAGGATATCTTTAAGACTTGTATCAGAATATTAATTGGGAATAACGACGGCACTCTGGTTGATAGTTGGTAGATTCTGAGTGTGCCTATCTTCATTGACGATTAGCTCCAGCCTCATTTGTGAGTTGAGTCGAATGTGAGCATCCCCGTTGATATTATTTCAAGTTTGCCATTCTTTTTCTTCACTCAGGATCGCATATACGTGCTTCTAGATGTGAAGAAAGGCTTTTTGAACCTTGTCCAATGCCCAATGTTTTATTTTTTTTCTGCCTCTGACGACGTTTTTTACATTGTATTATTTGGGTATGCAAAAGAAGTCGTCTTCAAAGTCTACATTATAAACATTGGAGGATGTAGGAATAAATTTATTTACAATAGAATGCGAAAACAGAGAGTGGGGAGGAGATAGTTCAAATGTACATGTGTACAGACTAAATAATGAATGCTGTTCAATTTGGCATCATGAATTTAGCAAGCAGGGTTGATTGGAAAAGGCTATCTATTTCCTTCTTTTTATGCTGATGTACTGTGGGAACAACAGCAGTAGAGGAATCATCATTGTCATCATCTAATTCATGAGGCCGCTTATGCGGATGCTCATTGACATTGCAATGGTTCAGCTTGTGTTCCAGCTCATCCAGGCGTCGTTGAAGATCCTCTTTTTCTTGCTTCATCTGACAATATCGATCACGCATTTCAGCCATTTCACGATCATGGATAATATTCAGCTCTGTAGTAGTTGAGATGGCAGCCAACTCGATGTGTTCCAACTGCTGCTGTTGTTCTTGTTGTGAATGATGTTGTGATTGTGGGTTGAAGATATCTAAATCTAGAATATCGAGTGCTGTTGGCCTCAAACAAGGATCTGGATTCATCATACGAGAAATGACCTGTTTCTCCACTGGATACACTTGACTAAACTTGTCTGGGAATATTCCTTTCTTGAGCTGGTCAATGGCGATGGCACGTTCCATGGCAGATGAGAAGGGGTTATAGAGTTCAAACAGAATGATACCAAGCGAGTAGATGTCAGCCTTCTCGTCATAATTGTAGGATGGGGTTGCTAACTGCTCAGGGGCAGCATACTATATAATATATGACGTACATGAATACGTGCTAGCATTCCAAAGCTACTATGGTATATACTTACTGTGCGAGTACCAACACCACTAGTTCTGTTTCTTCGTAAACGAGGGCGCCCCGTGTTCTTGAAGGAATTTGCAGCACGAAGTGACAAGATGCTATCTGAATTGCTGCTACTAGCGTCATGCTTGCTACGATGATGGCGATGTCGGTGTGAATGAGGGTGTGAGGCGGCGAACAACTCAATGATACTACTACTACTGTTTGAGTGTTGGCTTTCGAATGTAGATGCTAAATAGTGGTCGTCTTCTTCATCGTCCATGACTTCGTCATCCTCATCCTCTGCGTGCAAAACACTAGCTGCTAAACCAAAATCACCAATTTTGGGTATAAGGGCTTCAGTGCAACATTTGCAATTTATATTAGCATCGCTCAGGCTGGTGCCACTGCCATTAGCCGTACGACGACGATTGCGATGTTCAGGTACGGTGGCTGGACGTGATAGAAAGATGTTACTTGGTTTCAGATCACGATGGATGAGTCCCTGTTGGTGGATGTAGGCACAGCCTTGAAGAATCTGGCTAAACAAGTCAATGTTTTGTTGATCATCAAAGTATTCGCTAGGGTTTTGATTTCGAAATTTGAGATATTCATGCAAAGTACCTATAGTGTTGGTGAAAGAGAAAAAGTTACACAGAACTGATGAGGCTGACGAACTACATAGATGACAAAAAAAACTTACTAGGACAAAGTTGCATTTGGATAAAGAGGATGAAGCCACCCTTTTCTTGCTTTTGCTTGGTACTGCTACCTCCATAGCAGGACTTTCTGATCGTCGAGTTGGAGGAAGATGCACAGAGCTGTACGTTATCAGCTTCGGAAGGCTCATTGTCGCTCGTTCCAAAGCTAATATAGGACATTTCTTCAGCAGTTGTGGGTCGATTATTGTTCAACGAATCTTCCTCGCTTAGGTCAAAAGTAGGGTCTTGACCATTGAAGATGCTTGACTTGTCATCATCATCATCAAATGTGAATTCGTTGTTTGGAGACGAACTTGATATCCATGACAAGTCTTCGTCTTCATCATCTTCTCCATGATTTTCATCGATGGAAGCAGCATATTCCAGCCAGGACGAATAGTATCTAACCACGTTGTGATGCTCCAAACGAGCCAGATTCTTAATTTCTCTGAATATTTTGTCGTAGCCGTCATCTTCTTCTTGATCCAGGAGACGAATCTTTTTAATAGCGTATTCAATATCGTCCAACTTGTTGCGTGCTTTGTAGGCACAGGCAAAACCACCACGACCCAACATGCCAACCTGTACAAAATCGTTGTTGTATCTGGATTGTTGAATCGACAGGGAATATTTGAGAGGTCGAGAGATATCTTGATCTGCTATCTCTTCATTGCCACCTAAAAATGACTCCACTGAGGAAGACGATGAATGAGACGTTGATAAAGACTCGATTCTCTCCTTCAGTATTTCTTGTTGTTGTGCAGAGGTAAGGAGCTTTGGCTGATTTCCTGAGCGCAACTCTTGTTGCCTAACTGTTTGAGCAGCAGTGTAAAATAGCTGCTCAAATGCCTTGTGATAAGTCGATCGTACACCAGCTACTTCATCAATGAATTCAGAATCAATGAAGCCTAAAGAACTGAGTGTTTGGCAGATCATTAAAAATATTTTACGTGTTGATTCTGGTGAATCGCCGTAAGTTTGACACAATGATTCAATCAAAGAAACCAACAGCAGCTTTGTTTGACGTTTGCTCGATGCGTCATTTGAAGCGTTCCTAGTGACAGCCAGGTTATTCTCATGGCGGCGGTGTTGCTGCTGCTGATGGTGTTGCTGTTGGCGACGATGCTTATTGCTTGATGGCAATGATTCCTTTGCTATGGCGTAAAAAAATGAAGCATCTATACATGATGATCAGCCCCGGACTATTTTGTTAGATTACCCCATCTGATGTGCTACGTAAATTTCTACTGCTAACCTTGATCCATCACATCATTATTGCTCTCTGGATAGTCTTCATGGGAGGTGTCTTCAATAGTGCTATTATGCTGATGGTGGTGAGGCTTCTTCCATAGTTTTCGAGAGCACTCTGCTGTTTCTACTGAGGACGACGATAAAGAGGATGATGAGCTACTTGGATGACTTGAATCGGATTCAAATACAGTATCAATTTTCGTTTTATCAAGTGCTTTCATTATTTACAAGGCTAAAGAAATGAGGGTATATGACATTTAATAGGTTTTTTCTGTGAATAAGGGAGAGAGAAAAAGGAAAAAGAGCATTTTGTGTAGAAATTTATGCTTTTTATAGTGCCCTTGATTGGATACACACACACTGCTAATCAACTCCACACACACCTAAGCTCCCTACCTCGTCTCATTTTGCATATCCGTAAATTAAGCATTTATGAAGGTCCTTGGTCAGAATTGACAGCGTTAAAGCAACCACTACCAGAAGATGGGGGGTTTTGCTTGAATGATTTAGATTCAATTCCTTGAAACATCTTTAGCAAGTAAATTCTGTCTTTTCTGCAAAGAGAAAATAACAGAATGTAGTTTAAATGTCAATGCATCACATCATGTCTTGCTGTATTTGATTAGTTTCTGCAATGAGAAAGAGGTTTTCGGTTTCACGGATGAAATTCTATTATTTTTTTTTTTTGGTGATTTTATTCTTCAAGTTTAGATACACGGTTGTTTTTTCGATGCATTTCAATGGTTTCAATAGGTTGAAATAGAGCAGGTTCAGGCTGTGATAAGCTATTGTTGCTATGTAACATATTTACATCAAAGAATGGAGTATGGTGAGTGGGTGAAGTGGGTGAGTCGGATTCGCGGTAATCGTATGTGCTCCTCATTATACTTGCTGTTCTTCTTGGTATGTTGCTATGCTGTGTCAATTCTGATGTAGGTAGAGAGCTTGCATTGGTACGTTGACTCATGGATCGCTTCAAATTTTCACATATTTGCTGCATGTTCAAGTGCTCAGGGCTACCATCTTCAACCAGTGTTTTGTTTGTGGCGTTTTGTTCCGGTATTAATAGTTGTTCTAACAGCTCTTCAGGAGCAGGAGCGACACATACAACCGGGAATACACCTTTCAAGCCAGTTGTCACATTGAATCCAAGTGCCCAGCCATCATCAAAGTTCATTGCAACACATACAATATCGCCCACATGCAATCCCAGCTCATCTCCCATCTGCGGTGGATAGGGATGCTTCACTTCAAAGAATTCGTCCAAAACGGGCTGAACAGAGTTTGTTGACATTGTGTTGATAGGTGGTGGCGATGCCAAATTGGTTGTACTGATAGCGGGCGGTGGTGTCATCACTTTTTGTTGGCTTGCATTGTTGAATCCTTGCTGTGATACCAATGATTCATATCCCAGTGCGCTGGAACTGTCGTGAAGCTCATGTTTTTGGTTTTGGCTGTTCATCATAAACCCATTGTATTTCTGCTTCTTGTTCTTCTTGTAACAGAACCAAAACACAAAAGCACCCACCAAACCTGCAAACACCAGACAACCAATAATGATACCTATGATAGCGCCCACTGATAAAGATCGGCATCCACTCACTGTTTCGCAACACGAATCAGTACCATTTGATTTACAATAGCCACACGCCTGTGATACTGATCCAAATCCACAATTGCTCGGTTCATTTGCCATGCCAATAATACAGTTGTATGTACCATTCAGCCCACTCCAATATACACAAGACGAATTCAGATTCTCTAGTTGGCTGTGCTGCTCCCGCTGGTTAGGACATACTTCTGTGTTTCCTGTGATGGCTTGTAAACTTGCAGTATAATCAAAGCACGTTGACTGACACAGTGGTGGCGGCGAGAGGTTGTATTGATAATTACATGGTAACGAGTAGTAATTGTCTTGAATAATAGTGGCACACATAAAGGTGAGTGAGTAGCGTGCGTAGGGTATCGTTGGTAGGTTTTCGGCTCTATTTGCACAGCCCAATGCTGATAAATACGAATCCGAGGATTTGACATAGCTTCTCATTGCTGCATCAAAGGAAGCTACATCTGTCACATTGGCAAGAAAGGGGTATCGACCAGTTGTACTAATATAAAAGCTTTGAAAAGCACCACATGTTGTTGAACCTTTTAACGATAGACAAGTGAGATTATCGTCCTGTGCTATACTTGAGGCTGCGAATAACAGTAATATGGTTGCTACTGATTTTTTCATGTTGTGTATATGTGTATATTTCTGATTCGGAACTCTTTGTAAGAAGATAGACAACGAGAGGATGGTAAAAGCGAGACAGAGAGAGTAGCAGACAGAGTGAGGGAGAGAGGAAGAGAAAGAAAAAAAAAAAAAGGAAGAAAAAAAGAAAAAGTCTATATATAAAAAGGGCTGAATAAAAAAAATAAAGACGTAGTGTAGCAGTAAGGAAAAAAGAAAAGGGGAGAAATTGGATACAGTGTAATGTTGTATAATTTTATGTGTGAGTTTGGGTCTTTCTGTTGAGTCAAATGTGTATTGTAATTCAAAGTAAGACAAGGGTTGACGAATAAGCTCCGTTTGTAAGAAGCAATCAATATTAAGAGAACTAATGCTGATGCACAGTGAATAAGCATACGAGCCATATATAGAGAGAGAGAGATTCGAGACAGCGTGGTCTAGTAATGCCCTACTGAGAGCATGGTCAGTTGGAAACAAACAGATTTGCTTGATCTTGCAACAGAAAGAGACCAAAGTGGCGTTCATGTCGTCGATATATTTTTAGCACCTTCTTTATAGTAATTGGAAAATATGTTTAGTTGCCATATTCAATCTGGTTGAGCCACCTGTAACATCAGCCAAGCGATTTCGTGCTCAAGCGATTATTGTAAGGTATAAAGTCTTTTTAGTGTGATTTCGTGGCAACAATAGGCTGTAAATTGCTAATTAGATGATGCAGTTTCGATTGATTGATAGATCTAATTTACCTGTTGTTCCGACTTGCCAAATAAAGAACGAATAAGTTATATAATTAACTTTTTCTCCACCACCGCAAGAGACGACTTGCTTCTTCACCTGTGGATGTTTAAACTAACATATTGAATTGTTATTAAGCTAATGATTGACTGATCCACTCAATAAATTAGAGTAGTACATCAGGTCCAAATTGAATAGAATTGCTATATAGGACATTTTTAGGGATGCACGTAAATCAAAACTTTAAATCGCTTTGAAGAGGAGCCAATCTGTTCCATTTAGACATATATTCTCTTTATCGTTGTAAAAAACGAGTGTTTTCTGCTGCTATTTGTGCGTCTGCAGGTTACATTACGTTATTTTTAACACATTGAACGACACTCCTCTTGAAACCTTTATTTTTAGCTATGAGATAAAGTGTGCGTGTGTATGAGATTGGATCTGGTGGCCCATACTATGCTGCTGTCACTGCTGCTACATGTCTAAAAGGAGAGATGTAGAAAATACTTAAAATAAAAAGCTTGCAATGCTACTAAAATTAGATGATCTCTTTTTAATTTGTTCAATTTCAGATATAAGTGCATTGAGCATGACATCAAGCAACCAATTTCTACAATTCAACTCATCAAGTTTCAGTTTGGAAACCAAGCGGAGGGCATAAATTTATGCAAGTTGAGTAGTTGGTAGATCAGAAAATTTTGATCTCGGTTTCAGGTAAACACAGAAATGTCAAGCTTTCTATAGGGAACTAAAGCTCAAGTCCGTCCTTTAGGGAAACAAACATGCAATCAAAATGCGAATGGTTATTGTAGCACGATCGCTATCACTGGGAAGCTTGAAAGAGGGACAGCACCGAATTGAAACGTTTGGGAGATTTTGGGAATTGCTGTCCGTATATCCTAATTGTCTTTCAACTTCCCTTATCTCTCGTTCAGGATCTTTACAATATTTCCAAGCTGTGAGTCTTTTTTTTAAACGACATAAAATAGCGTCCTCTTCGTAGCTGATGATTCCATCAAGAATAATGAGTTGATTATTTACCCCTGAATTTGAGATGGATTTTTTGATCCGTCAGTTAAATCTCCGACGCTTTCAGTTAATCGCTGAAGCAGCGTTGGAAGCTACTTTACATATTGGTTTGATATCTAATGTAGTTTAATGGCTACATATAGCCCCTGGAAAAAGCTTTTGAAATCTACAGAGTATTGATAGTTGGCCTTGATTTGATCTTATATCACCAATGTCATGCAAAGTCTCACTGCATACGTAGTTCGTTATGTTGAGAGAGTTTAGAATTACACCAGTGGCCTTGTCTAATGATATGCGTAGTAAAGCTATGCTTGTATTGTTTTGATTTTATTATTAACGTAAAAAGAATTAGTATTAAGAAGATGGTCAGTATTTGTGTTTGTAGTAGAAACGGAATTAAATGATCATGTTGTTATGCATGATCAGGGATATTAAGTAAATGTGTAGATGTAGTGTATTCTTTTCTTGCAAGTAATGGCGTTTATAATTAATCATCTAAATCGTCTGAATCAGAATCTCCATCATGATAAAGAGTAACTATTATGTACAAATCTAAATTTACTCGACCAAACAATCAACTATTTTGTTTCAACTTACTTGAATTGAACTTTTCAAAAGGATTTGTTTTGTCAGACTTAAGCGAAACCAATACATCATCTGTTTCGAGATCAAAACTTAGACTCTCTGGTGGCATTTTTCTAAAATTAAGGGCATCAATTCCGTTTGGTTTCTGTACTAGAGGCGTGATAGGTGGACTGCAATGTCTAAGCAAAGCAAAATTGACCGATTTGAAGAACGGATGCGCTTTGATGTCAGATGCTCCTGCACGGCACCCAAGTCTCTTGTTCTCGTCTTTGTGTAATAGCTTTCTAATCAGGCTTTTACCTGAGCTTGATATGTTGCTTTTGTAAGGTGCCGGCTGCTCTCCAAATTGAGCATCACAATGAAGGATGCGAGAAAATGTTTCGTTACGTCCTGCGCCTTTGAATGGAGTTGTGCCATACTACATTCAAGGTTAACCCACATGCGCGGCTTGACTTGCAAGTGTGATTTACATACCAGCATTTCGTATATCAAGATGCCCAATGTCCACCAATCGACAGCACTTGTATGGCCACAGCCTTTGATTACTTCTGGCGCAATATATTCTACAAATAATCTTAATTTCTCTTATGTCTTGGCTGTCTTATCTCAGTCTACCTTCTGTTCCAACAAAACTATTCGTTCGGAGGTTAACAACACAGCTTTTAGTATCGATAGAAGGTGGCTGTTGAGTATACGCAACATCTTAGTATTGTCAGTTTCTCGAATAGAAATAAAACTTACTACATGAGGAGATCCTGATTTGACAACACAAGGATTACCTGGGGGCTGAGATCCCTTGCTCAGATCAAAATCAGTCAACATGATATGCCCACTCTGATGAAGCAATATATCTAATCACATTAATTTAGTTTAGTGTTACCGTTAGGAGAAGTAGTAAAAACATGTTGGGTAGTTTACTCTCAGGTTTTAAATCTCGATAAATGTGTCCTTGAAGATGCAGGTATTCTAAGGCAGCTGTAACTTCTGCTGCATAAAACTTTGCGCCTTCCTCTGTTAGGCACTTGCCTGGCCTCATTTGAAGTGCTATGAACAGGTCAGATTTTTCTGCAACATGGTGATCTGATACTGATAAATAACAAACCTCGGAAAAATTCCCCACCAACACAGTACTCCATGACAAAGTACAGATAATCTTGGCTCTGAAAAGAATGATACAAAGTGACAATAAATGGGTGATTCGATGTAGTCAGAATCTCTTGCTCTGCTAAGGCTCTTTTGATCTTGTTTCGTCTGATCATTTCTCTTTTCGATAATACTGTATAATCAAAGGTTTAAACCTTGCTTCCATGAGGTTTATATCATCACTAGTATGTATATACCTTTCATTGCAAACAGTTTATCTGTTTCTTTTTGTTTGACCATGTAGACTTTGCCCACATCACCCTTACCGAGCATTCTAATTTTGACAAAACTAGATGGCCCAACTTCAACTTTCTTCACTTTGATGCTGCTGCTAGAGTATGTGCGACGACACGTTCTGCGCAATCTTTGTAATGGAGGTGAATCGGTCATGAGAGATGGTATAGAAATAGTGGAGGAACTAATGTAGTTTGGCGTTGCCATGTTCAAGAGTTTGGCGTTGGGTGCTGAAGCCACTCTACGGATGGCTTTTTGCTTTTCTTCTTCTTCCGTTGCAGTGCTTTTGTCATTTACGTTGTTGTTGTTGAACCAAGAATTACTCTTGAAGCCTTTCTGCGACGTTGTATCAAAATCATTTGGTACAGCAAAAGGTGGAACGGGTGGAGTAGCGTTGAAAAAGGACTTTATTCTCCAAGCCATGTTTGGGCCATAAGATGGTGGAGGTATTGAGATCTCCATAGTAACGTCTTTTGTATCCATGGCAACCGATTGTTTGTTTGAAATCAAACAAGGTTACTTTTTAAATATACAATAATTTGGTCTTTAAAAGAGATACGAAAGAGAAAGAGAGACAGAAAGAGAATAAGAAGACCAGAAAAACAGAGGGATAGATTCTTATTGGATGATTCAGTGCAAAATGGTACCTTTAAAAAGCCCAATGTTGGAAGCAGACTAAACTACTCGGACCATCTAAATGATTGGTGTGGTTCTGAGTCAAAGATTGCTATGGATTGCGAAAAAGTGTCAAATATTTAAAGCCGATGCAATCTTTTCTCTCATTTTCTTTTCTTTTCTTCTCTCAATTTTACCTCTCTTTTTCAAGAAAACAAATCATGCTATCTTCATCCAACAGTAACGAGGTAAATACAAATTATCAGTCTATATTGCAATGTGTTTCTGACCTTGGGCAATACAGCCTCATCATCAGTTTCCTCGCAGAGTAAGCTTCGATTTGAGCCACAATACTGTTTATCTTCTACCTACATTGGAACAATGTCGTGATGCCGCCAAGCAAAGAAGTCGAGAAGAATGGCAACGCAAAACACTCAATGAAGACATGTTGAGCGAAGATATCATTGTGGAAATCCAAGAAGATTGTTCTGCTGGCTCTCGTGATTCTGAAGAAGAAGGTGAATCAGCTCATCCTGAACCTGTTCCCACCAAAAGCTGTTTGAAAAAACCACCTGTTGTAACTGTCACCACCTCAACTCTGAAAAAGAAGACCAGCAATAGTAAGAAGAACCAAAAGAAGAGAAAGAGAAACCATGCTGCTACTGCTGCTCACAAGCAAAATTTGCAAAGCGTTATTTCTGTACATTGAATCCATGCTGAACCCCCTCAAAGGGAAGGCTTTAAGCATCAGCATCGACATTTGCTGCTCCGTAGATCCAATTCATTAGGTGAACACATGGATCAAACTGCTTTGCCATTGTTTATCATGGCATTTTCAGGTTTCCGCAAAAAGAAGAAGAAACGCAAAAAACTGTAATGAGGACATTTGACCTCTGCTATCTCCCCACTCTATTGCTTTACGTATCATGGCTATTTACGCCTTTACACGCATGTTTAGTCGTTCTCACGCATTTGTTTAATAACAAAATAAACTAATCCCCCTGTGGGAATCCTTTTTAAACAACTTCAATGCTAAATGGCGTTTTTGAATAATTCTTTGATAGAGATCTTAAAGAGATGGTTTTCCAATGAGACAGCAATAATGACTCATAAATTATTAACAGAGAGACAGTTTAGCTTCCCAATTTTGTGGGTTTTCTTGAGCTGAAAGTTGCTTATCACGAGCTCATGTGATAGACGTGTTTAATTGATAGGTTTTGAAGCTTAAAATACACTTGTGTAGCCATCTTGTTTATGAATGGCATAAAATAGGTGCCATCATCGCAATAATATTTAACCGTTGTTGTCCTGTCTATGTGACTCCATACTGATCAAAACCCTGACGGAAAATAGCTACTACACCTTGTTGAAGCATTTGTTCTGCTATTAATTACTGCAAATGATGCTGTCTGTACTGAAATATGCTGTGCCAAAACGAAGCATATCTACTGCAGCTTTTCCATATCCCAGAGTGCACGTCCCTGTTATGTTACAACAAGTAGTAAGCCATTTGAAGCCAAAAGATGGAGGTATCTATTGCGACATGACATTTGGTGAAGGTGGTTATACCAAAGCACTATTAGGTGAGCTTCCTTATGAAAGGCATCGGCTTGAATGACTAAATATGATATCTTGAAGATTCTTTCGATGACTGCAAGGTGGTTGCTGTCGATCAGGATCCAACAGCATACGCCAAAGCTCTTCAATTAGCCGAGCTAAAGCCATATAAAGATCGTTTGTTTCCATTGTTGGCAAAATTTGGCAGTATATACGAGCAGATAGAATCCGAGTTTGACTGGGAGTAAGTGTATATAATGATGGGCTCAGATCTTTTTACTGAAACATGGATTTCAGTATTCCATGCTTTGATGGCATTGTGATGGATATTGGTGTGTCCAGTGGACAAATTGAGATGGCAGACCGAGGGTTTTCATACAAGCTAGATGGACCATTAGACATGCGAATGTTCTCTCGAGGACGCAATACAAAGACAGAATACGAGAATGAAGCACATTTGATGAAGAAGTCAATTTCTGCGTACGAGATTGTCAACTTCTTTTCGAGAGAGCAGATTGCAGACATCATATACCAATACGGCGGTGACAGATTGTCTCGCAAGATTGCTGCTGCCATCGTTACAGCTAGGCAGCTTGGTCCAATAGAAACAACATCATCATTAGCTGCTGTTATTCAGAAAGCATGTCCTCAACCTAGATGGCAACGAGGCAACGACGATATGGTGAGAAACTCTGCAGCACGCACTTTCCAAGCACTTAGAATATACATCAATAACGAATTGATCGAGCTTGAGAAAGCACTAAGCGCAAGTGAACACTTGCTGAAACCAGACGGACGCCTCGCTGTAGTTACTTTCCACTCACTCGAAGATCGCATTGCCAAAAACTTTATGTATCATTGTGCTGGAAAAAGACTCATGGAGGAAGCTGGACACAACCAATTTAATCTCAAGAGGGCTGCAAGTAAAGAATATAGAAAGGCAATGAAACAAGGATTGATAGACATTAGCCATAAGCAAATTGTGGAGAAACCAGATAAAGTAATCCCCTCCTTCGAAATTTGCACCAAGCATGTCATTCAGCCCACAGAGGAAGAGATAGAGGAGAATCCCAGAAGTCGATCAGCAAAGTTGAGAGTGGCCAAACGCACATCCGCACAACCTCTTGAGCCATTTGGTGGATTGCCATAGCTCTGCTGTAAATAACACGCTCACCTTAACAAATAACCCCTATTGTATATCGCATTATCATCTTCTTCACTATATATATATTGTAAAACATTCAAAAAAAGTAGACAAGCCAACCATATCCTTTCAAAATTTTAAAGAATTGTGTGCCGTATAAGATGAACAAAACCACCGGCAAAGCCGGCAAGGGGGAGGGGGGTTGGGGGAAGAACATAACAACGCGTTTAATTCAACACTTGATAGCATTGATTTATAGGGGGTTTTACCGTGGCGAAGCAAAGGTGCCTAGCCATGGCAACTAAGCATCTAACCCAACATTTGGTAATATTAAACTCAATAAGGGTTTTACCGTTGCGAAGCGAAGGTGCAAAACCATACAGTAGTATTCAACAAGCAGCAAAATCGGGTTTTCATTTCCATTTTTAATAAGCTTACCAGCAACATAGCGCATCAAAATTTGCATGAATCAACTTTACCAAAATCAATAGGCTTCTTATTTGAATTAAAAATTGCTCAAGCTACAGAACTGTCTTTCCAGTAAATTGCAGCAACCAAATATGTGATTTATGCCGTGTAAATAAACTCTATAAAGCAATACATAACCAAATTTTACAGTTTTCGAGTCTTCGTATCTTGACATGTAGACCTTTCTGAGCCACCGGAACAACGCCAAACAATTGCACTCGAGTAGTAGTAACTTCCTGACACCTTTGCTCAACTTTTTGGGGACCAAAAAAACATGAACAAAAATCGACCAAAAAGCATGAGGTACCCCTCATAGTTTTCATCGAAAATCAAACGATCGCGTTTTTCACCTTGAAACTGAAGACGTTTACTATGGTATATATTACATCAAAATGTTTCTCTCGATCCAAAGCAACCTCTGAAACCACTTTTATGAGGTGTTCAAATGCAAAATATGTCTATTTTCGCTAAAAACCTCATTTCATATTGTATTAAATTGCCCAATAGTTTCAGTCAAAACACTTATTACAGATAGTACCATTGGAAGCGCCTTGAAAAGTACTTCAAGAATGTATTAGGAAGCGTAGGATGATTATCACAATTTATATAGTCGAATCTCATAGAATAGATTAAAGAAGTCGAAAAAAAGACAAAATCTGTCCAATCCTGAACAGAAAAAAAAATAAGCGGTATTTGAATTGATATTGGCGGCGGCGGTGGCTTGCTGCTGGCTGACCTAAATGCCTTTCTGTTGATGACAATGATGATTGCGATGCTGATTGAATGGCGATCATGGAATTGAAAGGGCAATTGCTTAGCGCAAATACTTTTTTTTTGGGGAGCTTTGCCTCATGGAGGTGTCTTTTGCAATGACAACATCTCAAAAAAGTCATTGTAGATCTTATACAAGGCCAGCTTTATGTTGCCATCTCAAGAGCAACGCGAGCAGATGGTTTGACAATACTACTATCAAAAAATGTGGCACGAACGGAAAATGTAGTAATATACAAATGCTGCATAAAACTTGAACTCTTTTTCACATCGTTTCAATAATAATTTTCGTCAATAACAGTGTATAAGCAAAAGGAGGAGGATGCATGGAGGAATACCTCCCCTTCTGACTCTAATATAGCCTTTCTTCACTATTAATTATTTGCTTAAAATCTACTTGATATGCCAGGTTTTTATTATCTCTGATTTGGAATGTGTTTGGCGAGAGCCCACTAGGCGACACCGTCATCGAGTGTAGCGAGATTGATCGGCTAGTAATAAAATACTGCACTTGAAAGACTGCGCAAGCAGTGTCACTATCATATTCTCATGTGTAGCATCTTGACAGTTCAGAGTAGCCTAGTTGCTTTTGCCCAGTTATCCGGTAACCATGGTAGTCATCCAGATTCAAATGATGCCACTGCCACATGTTTCTTGTCAGTAGACATTCTTGTTCGTCTCATTTGCATGGCTCTTATCTACAGTTGTGATTTTTGGAAGACCTCCCACAAGGTTGTTATGTGTAAAATTAGGGCTTAATTTCTTTTTATTCATAGTTGCCATCTTAAGCGGTAGAACCCAAGACGCCCATCTTTTCCAATGAACGAGGACCCATCTCTTCCCATTCTTGTTTAGTGACCCACCAACTATCCTTATCCTTCATAATATCGGCAAGTACAGCGCCACCGAGGTACACCATGTGCTTACGTCTAGGGGGATCTTCGATACGAATTTTGAATTTCTAGGATTAAAAAAGCGTTATAATGCCATCTCATCATCGAAAGATATCAATATACGTACATTTAATCTACTTGCGTCGCCATTGAGCACATTTGTGAGGTAAAGTTGCTTCATTTCCTTTTCTAAACGACTGGGTAAACCAGGATACATGGTTGAACCACCAGACAAAACAATATGCTTGTAAAGATCGGCACGAATATCGATATCGGCGGATTGAATTGTGTTGAAAAGCATCTCTGATAATATAGAAACAAGTTAGATTCACCCCATCACAGTTAAACTTTGTACACCACTTACCAGCCATGCCAGGAGCCTCCACATCAATCAAGTTGGGCTGGAACAAACACTCAGGAGCCTCGAAACGCTCAGATCCTACCTTGATGACACGACCATCGGGAAGCTCGTAGCTTTCGACTAATGTTGTTGTTTCGTTACCCAATTTTTGATCCAACTCAAGGTCGTAACTACATGTATCGAGTCCTTTCAATAAGCAGCTATTCATGCCAAGGTTTCGATGTAAGATCTACCTGACATAACTGAATTTCTCTTTGATTTGACGAACAGTTTCAAAATCAGCGGTACGATTGAATGCATAACCACGCAAGAGTAATAGCTTGATCAAATATCTTGTGACATGACGGCCAGCAACATCAAGACGACGTGTCAAGTTTGCAGGCGCATAGCCTTGATAAACAGGTACCTATAGATTCAGCACATGAGTTTTAAAATAGTCTTGGCTTTTCGTATAATACACTCACAATATGTGTAACACCATCGCCAGAGTCAACAACGACACCAGACATCAGACCTAATAACAGACAATAAATAAGCACAATTTGCCATAGTAACACATATAGTTTAGCTCTCTACCTTGTGCAAAAAGAGTCAATACAGCTTGGATAGCAACATAGATACCCTGGAAGCCATATTCCTCAAACATAATCTCGGCCATTTTTTCACGGTTCTGCTTGGGATTCATGGGAGCTTCGGTTAACAAAATCTTTGAGTCTCTTGGATCAATCTTCAGCTGTTCGTCGAAAGTATAGTTCCATAAATGGCGCATATCTTCCCAGTTACGAATGATACCATTTTCCATGGGATACGACATTTGAAGGATGTTTCTAAGCTGAGCAGCCTCCTCACCGACCATAATATCCTTGACCTGGAGGTCACCCACTCTTTCTTCGGCACGCAGGATAGGACGGCCTACAACACTGGGGAAGACATGCTCAGGGAAGTTGGAGCCTGCATAACCGCACTTTACAAACTACAAGTAGAGAAACAGCAAGAAGCGCGTTTTTAGACTTGGTTGAATACGAAATGTGTGCCGGTTCACTTACACCTGTACCGTTATCTACAACAAGCGTATTTGTAGCATTCATTTTCAACTGCTGTTTAGGTTTTTAATGAAATAAGAAATTAAGAAAAAGAACAAAAAAGATAGGTGTGAGTATGAGTTGCTTTTGGTTTGCTTTGTGAAGCACAACGATTAATTGAAGCTCCATTTCAGCTCTCTTCAGATGTTCATTAAATACCCGCATCATGGTGAAATTACGTCAATGCCACTGTGAGATGTAGTTACAAAGTTGGATGCTGAAATACATTAGCATTTGTAGGTACCTTGGCATTGGAATTGATTTCGAGAGCAATTGCAACATTGGATTAGTAAGAGGATAGATCAATGTAGATACAATGACAAATGCAAGGAATGCTTGGTTATTCTGTGATGCCTTTGGTCCAAATCCTTGGTTCATAGCTTGCGTTGCAGCTGTCTATTCAATTTTATGATGAAAACAAGGCTTCAATCCCTCGCAGCTACAGCAATGTTGTAGATCAAGAGCAGTGTTCATCCACATTGGGTCGTACATCAACCAGACATTGAATCGAGCAAGCCTGCAATGCCAAGTTTCTCGACAAACTTACCAGTATTATGAGGTTCAATCACTTGGATGCGGTGTCATTGTGTCTCCTATATCACTTACAGCTTCATCGCTCCAAAAGTTTATCAAATGGAACAGAATCTTGAGTCAAATTCATGACGTAGACACTATTCCAGATGTTTAGAGCCCCACCCCCTCCCCTTTCAATTCAAAGACCCCTCGAAAAATTCTGGGGAAACTAAAAAAAAAGTTAAATAAAATTCAAGGTGGGCAAGTGCTCTCTCTTTTGTCTCAAACAATATCTTACAACAATGCTTAGAAACGTTGCTCGTATTGCCCGTCCTTTAGCTGTTCGTAGCTTGGCTCCTGCTGTAAGCACCGTTTTGACTGAACAGAGAAAGTTGGATGTAGAAATGTAGATTGTCTCGTATTATCATCCAATCACCTAAAAAAAAAAAATCAGAAATTTTTACATTGCAACATATTTACCATACATTTGTCTACTCACATACATACAAGCATACACCTTGAATCCTATCAGTCGGACAGAGGATCACTCCTTTTGCATCATATAATCACTACATGCCAGTGTCTGCTACAAACAACCTTCGAATGCCTTGAGATGACTATGATACGAGACGACTTCATTTCTGAACCCATCATTTTCTCCCAAACTGTGATCCAACAGGTTACTAATGAACATTGATTTTTCATGTAGGCCCGTGTCAACCTCGGTGCTATTGCCACTGCTGCTCGTGGTTATGCTTCCGCCAAGCCTTCCACCTCTGAAGTCTCTTCCATCCTCGAACAACGTATCTTGGGTGCCAACTCTGAAGTTGACCTCCAAGAGACTGGTCGTGTCTTGTCCATTGGTGATGGTATTGCCCGTGTTTACGGTCTCAAGAACTGTCAAGCCGAAGAAATGGTTGAGTTCTCTAGCGGTCTCAAGGTAAATAGTCTTTGTCATGTCTATATTGTTTGCGTGATTTACTTACAGCTCTGTTTAGGGTATGGCCCTTAACTTGGAAGCTGATAACGTCGGTATTGTCGTCTTTGGTAACGATCGTTTGATCAAGGAAGGTGATACTGTCAAGCGTACTGGTGCCATTGTTGATGTCCCCATTGGTCCTGGTATCCTCGGTCGTGTTGTCGATGCTCTCGGTAACCCCATTGATGGTAAGGGTCCTCTTGACACTGTTGGCCGTTCTCGTGTCCAAGTCAAGGCTCCCGGTATTTTGCCTCGTCACTCTGTTAACGAGCCCATGCAAACTGGTATCAAGTCTGTTGATTCCATGGTCCCTATCGGTCGTGGTCAACGTGAATTGATTATTGGTGATCGTCAAACTGGTAAGACTGCCGTCGCTCTCGATACCATCTTGAACCAAAAGAACTGGAACAACGGTTCTGATGAAGCCAAGAAGTTGTACTGTATCTACGTTGCTGTCGGTCAAAAGCGTTCTACTGTTGCTCAACTCGTCAGAACTCTCGAAGAGAACGGTATGTATAAAATGTGTTGAATGAGAGATTGATTGTGTGTATTGAAAGGTTGAATTAGATGCCATGAAGTACACCATTGTCGTTGCTGCTACTGCCTCTGAAGCCGCTCCTCTCCAATACCTTGCTCCTTTCTCTGGTGCTGCCTTTGGTGAATGGTTCCGTGACAACGGTCGCCACTCTTTGATCATCTATGACGATTTGTCCAAGCAAGCTGTTGCCTACCGTCAAATGTCTCTCTTGCTTCGTCGTCCTCCCGGTCGTGAAGCTTACCCTGGTGATGTCTTCTATCTCCACTCTCGTCTTTTGGAACGTGCTGCCAAAATGAACAAGAGCTTCGGTTACGGTTCCATGACCGCTCTTCCCATCATTGAAACCCAAGGTGGTGATGTCTCTGCTTATATCCCCACTAACGTTATTTCCATCACTGATGGTCAAATTTTCTTGGAAGCCGAACTCTTCTTCAAGGGTATTCGTCCTGCTATTAACGTTGGTCTTTCCGTCTCTCGTGTCGGTTCCGCTGCTCAAACCAAGGCCATGAAGCAAGTTGCTGGTTCCATGAAGCTTTTCTTGGCCCAATATCGTGAAGTTGCCGCTTTCGCCCAATTCGGTTCTGATTTGGATGCCTCCACTCAATTCTTGTTGAACCGTGGTGCCCGTCTCACTGAATTGTTGAAGCAACCTCAATACTCTCCCTTGTCTATCCAAGCCCAAGTTCCTATCATCTTTGCTGGTGTCAACGGTTATCTCGATAAGATCCCCGTTAACAAGGTCGTTGATTGGGAAAAGGACTTCATTAGCCACGTTGCTACTCAACACAGCGATATCCTTGAGGAAATCCGTGCCAAGGGTGTCCTCTCCAAGGAACTCGAGACCAAGCTCCGTGATGTCTGTGATAACCATGCCAAGGGTTTCTATTAATTTATAGTATGATATAACAACTTTTTTCTTGTAAATGCAAAAGAAAAGATGACATAAAAAGAAAGAGAAGATGAAAAAGCAATTCTACACTTTGTTATAAAATAAAAATATAATCAACATCAAAATGCCTGTTAAAATGCGTTGTCAGAAGGAGCGAAATTCTTGACGATTCAGGTGCACGATGGCTTCTTTGTAAGCTGCTAATGGTTGATGTGATGGAGAGCACTGCAGATTTGGGTAAATTTGAAAGTGGATTAAGGGTGAATCAAAGGGTATTTTGAACGTATAATTAAAGGTGGATAATGGAGGGGCTGTTGGGTGGATATCCACCTTTAATCCATTCCAGTGCCCTTGTGTAAAGAATTTCTTTGCCTCTGTTCGTCACATTTGCACACTCGAGTTGTATGACATCCAATGTCAACTAGTAAATCAAAGAGATACTGAGGTGGTGCATTCGCTACATCTAATAATCAAATACTACTACATCTATTCCTCGCACTTTTAGCTCACAAACAACAAAGTGCAGCCCTAGACTTGATTGAATGAAAGTTATTCACGCCAAATCAATACTCGAGATAATCTAGTCGTTTGGAATTTTATAAAGGTCTAGGATTTATTCATAATCAAAAAAAGCAAATCTCAACATATTTAGTTCAATGCCATACAAACTGGTTTACCAGAGTAAGGGCAACAGGGATTTGCAGGGTCTAAGCGAAAAAATACTTGTCAGAATACTGCTGGCTATGTCAAATAATGAGATATCTTACTCTGGAACTCGCAACTGGAGGGACATGCTTTAGGACAAGGTTTGAAAATAACTCTGGGACATGGACGGTCCAAACAGTTGGTTTCCTCAATACCATCATCTTGTTCAGAAACAACGGTATTGCTTCTGACGGTGGAATCAGATCTCTTCTGGTGAAGTGGCCAGTGCTTGGGCGTTTCATTTGGACAATGTGGAGGGTGTGTCTTGGGGCAAGGTACATCAGGATAGATGCAGGTATCACGGCATCTCTTGGGGCTGTAAACATGGATTAGACACATGGTGCTGTCTATCATAAACTAGCACTTACCAAGGAACAATGGACAAGATACAGATTTCTTGGTCAGGCTCTGCGATAGTCGTATCGTTCTTTAATGCAGAAGCAGGGGGCTCGATCGTAGAGGCAAGGACAGATGCTAATACAGTAGCAATGGTAAAAAAGAGAAGCTTCATAATATAGTCGTAAAAGAAGACAAAAAGGCGATAATAATATCAAGGAATGAATGTAAAGGAATTGATGAAATTTATACTATAAGTTTCACAGCCCAGGCATACCACGTTCCTAGAATCATGGCCATCTTGCTTTGCGGGTACATGGTGCAAACAAAGGTAGCTGGCATCAGTAGTGGTCTCGTTCTTTTACATCAATGCTACCTGTACCGTGAAAAGATGTTATAAACAAAGCATACGGCATCATGTCCAGTGGTTGAAAAATGAATTTCACACACATGCTGGTCCATCCTGCTCCTATAAGAAATCCATCGTCAATTCACTTCATTTGCCATGGCATGAATGAGGCTGCACCTATGTCCAGTCTGACGCATCGTGATCTGTGTACAAGCACAATGATGCTGGTCGTAATAGCTTTACATAATGCATTGGTCGATATTCAAATTTGCATTGTATATGTATTAAATATAAAATCGCTTTATTAAACAAAAATCTACGCTTACAAAAAGTTAAGACCAAATCCAAATTGGAACTTGGGTTCAGGTAAATCTGTGGAGCTATATTTCAAAGGTATACAGTAGTTGAGTTCGATTCTAGCAATGCTGTGGTGGAAAATCAGACCAAAACCAGCAGAAGTACGAGGAGTCTCACTGAGAGCCTTGATAGTGTCACCAACGCTGACACCCTTGGTGCTGGAGACAATACTACCAGCATTGGCAAAGGCATGAGCTTTCACAGGTAAATGAGTCAATCCAGGAACAGAGGCAATCAAGCTAGCACCAGCAGCCCAATAGCCCTCTCCACCAACAGGTTCCTCTGTATGGCACAATCAATACATGTTGTCAGATTGAATGCTGTCCAAACTTACCTGTCTCTCTAATACCGCCCATCTTGAAGCCTCTGACAGATGTAGGGCCACCCACGTAGAAACGATCAGAGATTTTGGGCCCATCGCTGCCCTTGGGAGCGTCCAACACGGTAGAAAACAAACCAGCTCTGAAGCTCGTGCTAAGAATGAACTTGGCGTCGTCCTTGCTCTTGCTGTCGATCAATGACTGATGACAAGACGCATTCAATTCATGCTTCAAGTAGTTGGTATCACCACGGCCACCCAAACCGGCTAATTCTTGAAAGATGCCAAGATAATGACCTTTGGTAGGAAGCACAGCATCATCGCGCTGATCACGGACAAATGAATGGAATACAGACGACTTTTCGTTGGTACCTGATTGACTGCGAACACTGTGACATAACAACATTAGCCATCCAATCCATACAGAATCATGCAGTAACTCACCCTGCAGTGGCTGTAGGCAAAGCAAGAACGTCTCTATGTGTTACGGCATAAGCGACTTCGTGCTCACCGTATTGAGTCCAACCCTTGAGACGAACACCAGTTGCCTTTGCGCTTTCCTTGTAGGCGTTGATTTGAGAATGGTCTCTGATAGAGCCATTTACAAACACACCAATCTTAGTATTAGCATTTCCACGGAAAGGTGTTTCAATGGCACCCTTGATTTTATATCAGCATGAGTTACATGATGCTGTCCTTAGACGCTTGAACCAGACTTACCTCAACTGAAGCCTTTGTGCGATTACCGAATGCAAAATTGGCAGAGACGGATTCAGCACCACCGAAAATGTTGCGCAAGCCAACACCACCGTTCTTTTTTACATGCTAATTAGATTTCGATACGACATGATTAATGAGCTGCTACACACTTACCAATTCAGCTTGATTGTTTCCAACATTGACCTTGGTCTCGAACAAACCCTTATCTTTTTCCTTCAGATGGAGTGTCACATCGACAGTATCAGCAATCTCGTGGTTAGTATCAAGGTAGATCTTGATTTCATCGAAAATGTCGTGCTTTTGCAATTGTGCAGCAATATCTTGCACTCGCTTGAGCACTTGTTCAGTAGTATCAGCATTGAACACATTTGAAGTGACGCTGTTCAAGAACGAGTTGCGTGTGGCATTTGTGCCCAAGATACGCAAGGCATTGACCCGAAGAGGTGCCTCGGCGGGGACATGCTATTTGTATATGCTGGATTAGTACGCATACTTAAAGCCGTGCGCTTTATCTCACTTACAGGAATAGGTGTGTCTGAAAAGGCTGTATTTGACATTTTTTATGCAATTATCAAGAAAAAAAAAAAGAGAAAATGTGTGGGGAAACTTTCGACAACACAACAATCATTTAATAGTCTCTGTTTGAGATGTATTTAATAAAGTCACAGCAATGTGTGTTTATTGAACTTTGACGTGATGTATGATGATTTGGATGTCCCCCTGCCTCAAGATGCTTATATTATACCGCCGAGATCTCGCTCTAAATTTGGATCTACATCCACTGGACTTGTAATTAGCTGATCTGCGTATCCCATCTCATTGACTTGCGAGTTGTATCGTGCCCTCTTTGATGTAGGTGTTGTAATGCTAATCCCCAATGCAACACATCTTGAGTTTCTATTCAGCATGTCATGATGATCTCATCTTACCTGTTTTGACGTCGCAACCCTCTCATGTCCAGCCTCAAGCTGTGCTTCCTTGCCTTAAACATTTTTACCTCGTCAATGATCGTCTCCCTCATCTCTTCGATAGTATTCAGTGACTCGAAAGAGAAATCAACGGTTGCAAAATGTGTGGGCTGAATCAACATTTCAGTACATAAATTGGAAAGCATAGTAGCCCGTGTATACCTCATCTTCTGGATCATGAAATAGCTCGAAATATGGGTGATCCAGGGCATCCTCAACCTCTATGCGAGACATTGGATCAAATGTCAGCAGCTTTTCCAATAGATCAAGGGCTGTTTCTGTTGCATTGGGATATAATTGATCAAGTGGTATCTTTGCAAATCTTTCCAGGCTTCTAATATAGGTTTGTGCCTACTTGAATGTCAGTCAAACATGTGTGTTGCAGTGATATTCGGTGATTTTACCCTTTCGCTGCCTATGCGGTTCAGTGTGTCATCGTCAGGCGTTCCCAATATATACAAGATTTGATTCAATTGATCCACGACTATACAACAGCGATGAGCATGACATTCACAATATTTGCTACACCTACTTACAATCTCTTCCTTTAAACAGCGGTTTACTGCCCAGTAGTTCAGCAAAGATACAGCCCAAAGACCACATGTCAACTATATTACATGATGTGTGTTAAAAATAACCTACTCTCTTCTACGTTGAAGCGCTCCTTATTAAAATGTTATATTACTTGCTTGCTTTTGTGTAACTTCTAAAGCTCAACATGATCTCAGGAGCTCTGTAATATCGGGTCGCCACATACTCTGTCATGAATCCAGCGTCTCCTTCCTGTCCACTCTTTGCATCTACATAGCCACGAGCCAATCCAAAGTCGCAAATCTATTTATAGCGTTGTTGGCCATCTCTTATATCTATTTTTACATTGTTTGTATCTTTTATACCTTGAGCTCGCATTTGGTATTGACAAGCAGGTTACATGGCTTTAAATCGCGGTGTAGAACCTATTTCATGTGTTAGTTCAATGCTTTTACATTACTGTAGCAGTGCTTACGTTGGCACTGTGAATGTACTTGAGCCCACAGCATGCTTGATAGATGAAGCTCTGATAGTGCTCATCTGTCAATGGCTGACCGGATCGAATAATTTGGTGCAAATCAGCTTCCATTAGTTCTTGATACAAATAACTATTCACATGTACATATCAGTCAACAGGGTCGTGATCCATAACCAAAGCCCTTACATTTCGTTGAAGTCTGAGTAGTCCACGATATCCATATCCAATAAGCCAATAATCTGTGTACAATGTGTGAGTCCTCGTATATGCGACCTCTCTTCTACCTATATCTACATTCTTGTGTCCATTGAAATGCTCCAGCAGTTTGAGCTCTCTCAATGCTCGTCTGGTCAATATGGGTCGTTCAAACAGTTTGTTGACCTGTTTCAGCAGCATTAGTCTTGACACTCACAGTGCCATGACAAAAAGGTACCTTCTTGATTGCGCATTTCTCTCCATTTCGCGTATTGACTGCTGCACTGTGTATCATGTAGAGATGTGTTTAGCATGCCATTTGAATGCGTCAAATCACTTACCAAACAATGCCATATGCTCCTTGTCCAATCTCTTTAACAAGCTCGTATTTCTCGGCTACTTGAAATGTTTGGCTAAAGCAGCTCAATGTATGGTATCCCATACTGTGTCTAGTTTTAAAGAAAAACGGGTTAAACAAGAGAAAAAGGAGAATTGATTAGCTGATTTTTCAAGGCACAATGGCAATGTAGGATTTGGGATATTTATTGCTGTTGTGACTCAATCATTTGGCTGTGCTACTCTCAGATTCTCTTTGATGTGATACAAGGGATCAATACATTTAACCTCACAAGATGCACATACTCGAGTAAGCTGAACACTATGCTGATTTCATAGTTTGACAAAATCATGAGTTGTATTAGATGCAACTTATCCTGCCGATTCATTAGTTAATCTGTTTAAATGGAGCACGCAGGCTGTTAATACTGCATGCCAACTATATGCTTCAGTTGGCAAGAGTTGTATTTTGTCATTACTTACTGCGTACACGGATATGATATGGACCACCTAGTAATTTGAGCTGCCGAGCTATGGATTACCTAATTTTATATTACAGTTTTACTAGAAGCAGACTATCTATTGCGTAAAATGTCCAGTGTGCCTTACAACCGCCATCGTCTCACTAATAAGCTGTATCACTGTGCTATGATACAGCGATACAACAGTGCCACTTCGCCTGATATTTCTAGCTGAATATTTGGATGTAACAGCATGCTCTGAATCTATATCACTGCATACAATGTCTTTACGCCTTTGTATCATAACAAAACGCGCCTGTTAACAAGCAAATGTATGAAACACAGCTACATCCGACAGTTCTCTAGCCTTCATATCTTGGCATGTAGGCCTTTATGAGCCACCGGAACAACGCCAAACAATTGCACTTGAGTAGTAGTAACTTCCTGACACCTTTGCTCAACTTTTTGGGGATCAAAAAAACATGAACAAAAATCGACCAAAAAGCATGAGGGATACCTCATGGTTTTCATCGAAAATCAAACGATCGCGTTTTTCACCTTGAAAATGGAGACTTTTACTATGGTATATCTTGAATCAAAACGTTTCTCTCGATCCAAAGCAACCTCTGAAATCATCTTTGTGGGACTTTGATATGTAAAATTTCGACATTTTGGCCAGAAACCTCTTTTCATATTTTCATAAATCATTTAATAAGTTTATTCAAATCATCTATTTTACTTGGTACCATTGGATGCACCTTGAAAAGTACTCCAGGAAAGCTTAAGGAAGCATGCGGTGATCATCATATTTTACTTAGTCGAATCTGCAAAAATAGCTTTATCGAATTCAAAACCATCAAGATTTGTCCAATCTGGAACAAAAAAAAAAAAAAAAAAAAAAAAAAAAAAATTAGCCGGAGGTTTAATTGGTTTTTGCCTTGGTTGGCTGCCAAACTGATGCTTCATCTATCTTGAAATTATGAATGAAGGCAGTATCTATGAAACTAGTCAGAATGCAATTACGAATTTAAAAAGAGGCACTATAGTTTACTTATAATACGGCTTATTACTCCAACTGAGTACCTTGGGCATGATTAGTTTGAGACTTGCAAATTGCTTATCCAAATGCGAAACGCAACATTGTCACCTACTTCAAATGCTTGTCTAGATCTTTTTATTTCATGAACCTCTTCCATACACTTGCCAAATAGCATGATGCAGCATTGTGCTAAATAATAGTTTCTTTAAATTCCAACGGCATGTTCTCTTCTGGATAAACATGTAAATACAATCGAAAGGAAATGTAATACAGGTTAGGGCAGTCGAAAAGCTTCGAAAAGAAGAAAGAAAAAAAGACTCAGGAGTACATGGATGTTGCTAATTGAATGTTGCAAAAGAAAAGTACGAGATGCTATCTTAGCACTGGTTAACTCCAATCAACTAATCCCAGTGCTATTTAGTAATTGAAAGAGAACAGGACATTATTTTTCTTGTCACATGGCAGCCCCATCGAAAAAAAAAATCATACACCATTTATGAACGCACAGACATCTTTCCATTCTGCAAATGCTAGAATTCTCTTTTAGATTAAATAGTGCAAAAGAAAAAAATATCTTGATTTGCGTAGAAAACAATGAAAAGAACACATCTTTATGGCTAAACAAATAAAGCGCACCATTGCTGTATTGATCGACTTCTGTAATTGGATTTTCTATCGACAAGAAAGATTTCCAACCTATAGAGGGAATATAGCGTGGAAAATCAAGATTAAGAAAAGTTATTGGTTTAAGTCTCCCAATTAGAATTGAGAGCAATGGAAAAGATACTTTAGAAATCAAAATGATTTTCCATTTATCAGTGAATGAATATAAAAAGAAGGCTTTGCAAGCTTGTCTTTTTATTTTATTTTTCATATAAATCCACCTATCACCCTAAATTTTTATAATGGGATTCCAGCTCACACCATTTGATTTTTATTCTTTTGAAACGCAGTTGAATCAATTAGCATCGAAAATCATCACCAGTACTAGTCAGTTACACATTTGGACAAATAAATTGATTGAATTCAGAGCATTGCAAATGGATGGCTTGATTGTAAGTATTTGATCTCTTTTATGGCGTAACCAAGATGGCCAATTATCAAATAAATAGGACGATAATGATGAACTCAATGATCGAATCGACATGATGGAAGACTACGTCAACAACGGCAATCTCATCCTCCAAGACATGGCACAAAACGTGATCTATGCTAAGCAAATCTACCAAGAAAATCAACAAGCAACATCAATGACAACACAGCAAGAGAGATTCTTGCGGTACCACTCGACCATTATGGACAAATTACTCTCACATTCACCCACTGTATGATATACTCTCGCGCCTTTCTTCCTGTTCCAACTTAGACTTTAACACTTGTATTGATTCACTTCTACCCTTCTTCTATTTATTTATTTCCATTTTCCTTTCTGTTTACGCTCGCTTACTTATAATCATTAAACTACTGCATATCCTAAATCTTACTGATTGATGATCTAATTACTGTCATGGATATATATCGTGTGGTCCTTGATTGCTTACACATCTTGTTAGCATTTTGTGCTGATTCCCCGAAATGAGCAGAAAATTGAGACATTTGTGTTTAGTCGCTAATTTAGCTTGTAAATTTGGCAGAAATAAACCAGTGTCGTCAAATCACTAGAATGGTTAGCAGAGATCATCGATATGGTTTAGTGCCGTTTGGGTGTAACGAAAATGCAATTTACAATAAATAGCCATAAAAACATTAAGCGGTGAACTCTTTTTACAATAGAGGCCAATAGAGATAATGGCATTGTTGATGTGATGGCAAATCTATACACACACCAATGCTGCAATGCAGGACAATTGTTGTAACAGCATACCGCCCCAATATATAAATAACCGTACTGTAAAATGAATTGCTTACCTTGATGAAATATGGTCATTGCGTTATATACCATTTTGGAAGCAATTTCCAGTTACTTGCTGAAGATGTCGCGTGGTTGATTCGGGCAAAAAAATCACGCATTGACGAAAAGAAATAGAGCAGACTGGATGAATACTGAAATACATGATAAAAAGAAAAAGAAAAAGGGTATAATTATGAAAGTTAGGTTAATGATAATTGCATAGAGTTTATATATGCTCTTCTTTTTGTTGACATTGCAGATGAAAAGGTCTAGATTTCTCTGAAGAAAGCGGGGGGGGGGAGGGAGATAAAAATAATGGATCAGGTGAAAATCTAGGTTCTTCATCAGAATGTCTTTTTTCATGTCGTCTTGTTCTTGCTAGTTGGTGAAACAATGGCTCATCCTTACTTACTAGCAGATCAGACATCTTTGAGCGCTACTGCTAGGCATGCTAGAATGGCCAGTAAATGGACCCATCTCTGATTCAAATGCCATGAAACATAGCTTGGGAGAGAACTCATCAGAGAATACCGGGCTTTTATTTATTCCCTACACCCGTGCAGGTTTCGTACCACGTACACCCCTTTTTCTCTTTCTCTTTTTGATCCCGGGTTGCCTTTAAATTTGGTTCACCCAAGAGAAATTGTTCCACTTTCTCTCTTCTTTTTCTTCCTTCCTCTTGACCTTTTCTCAACATTTCCCCCCCATTTTTATGTTATTTTAATTCACAAATAACATAAAAAATCGCAGCACCACATATTCGTTTTGACACTCCAATCTAAATTTGCAGTTACGGGTTCTCTATCCGACCTGGATAGACGTAGTAAACGTAGAAAAATATCAACACAAAAGCCATCAATGACACACTCGCGTCCCTTGCCGTCTCCTCCAGATTTGAAGATCCAGGACTATGAAGAACTAAACAACAAATACATGATAGAGCAACAGCAGCAAAAAGCAATGCCTTTGTCGCCGCCACTACAGCCCACTCTTAAACCATCTCCTCCTTCAGCATTACCCTTGATAAACGACCTGTCCCAATTTCATGCATTGGATATCATACATGACCCAGGTTACTGTATGTTCAAAATCCAATTGGACAAACAGAATACTGGTAATTATGTATGCACACAATGAAAAATGGAATGTGTACTGACTTATGACAGTAGCTGCTTTATGCTATTTACCAACTAGATGTAAAAATATTGTCGAGTTTTATCATATTGTAAATATTACTACCTTTCGCCATCTAGTGTCTATACTCACTTTATTGCCGTTATAGGAAATACCAGTTGCATATCGACATCAAGGTCTAGGCGATCTTTTATTGTATCGAGCATTCCAATGGGCAGAGAAAACACATTTGCTAGTGATACCAACATGTCCCTTTGTTCGCAAATATTTAGAAACACGTTTTCCCGACCAAAAGAGTGGAGATTGGTCATGTATTGTCCTGAGCGAAACACCAAAGGCCTCATAACGACACCAACAGCAGCACCATTATAGCCCATTCACTTCATCCCCAATGCATCTATCATATAACATTTTAATTTCTTTATCATATCTTCATCTCTCTTGTTTTCTCTATTAATGCAATTCCCTCCTATATATTATTTCCTCCTCTTTTTTTTTTTTTTTTTTTTTTTTTTTTCTCTCTTATATATCTCTCAACTCGTTCAAAATCCATCTCGCTCTCTTTTGTGCCGTAGCAAGCGACTCTACAAATAAATTATATTCTTGTGCGCCAGCCTTTTCATTACACAGTTACAAAATGTGTGTAAATTAAAATCAACAAATAGTTTTACTGGCGAAATCGTTTCTTTAACATGGAGCTTCTGAACACAAACTGTACAAGATCGGAAAAACAGCCTCTCTGTAATGGACAAGATGATAATTTACACATGCTTTGTTTTGATTCCCATGATCAGCACCTAGAAAAAACCATTGTAATCAAAGTGAACGATGTACAACGAATGACAAGCAATGTATTTTACAGTTTGAGAATGTCGCTCTAGAACAAGCCATGTATTTATAGGAACTACAAAATCACGGCAATCTATAATTAGCCTTTTTCGCAGTAATCATGGAGTGTATATGCCATCGCATTGTGCTGCCTCTTAACGGAAATCTATGATATTTTATGCAGATCAGCCTAGATTTTTAGCATCATTCAAAAAGATACATGTCTGATATAGTGGCCTTATTTCGGCTTATGCTACTATACATATTGGCCGCGGGGGTGGTACAACCATGATTAGGGTTGGCTCCAAGTAGTATTTTTATTTACTGTTTGGAGTCTTGATCAGATATTTCTTCAGATAATCGCCTAAAATAAATCCATGGTGGTACCATCTTAAATTCCTCGTACCAGGCACAGATTTACCTCTCAGCAAGAAATGCCAAACAATCAATGCCTCAGAGCTGTGTCTCCCCCTCCCCCCTGTTTCTCCCTCAGACGTGTTTTGAGGCACTCAGGCACTATGTAAGATGTGCCGCTAGTGCTTCATTTGATACAATTCAGGGCAACAATGAAACGTAACAAAATAACATTTGGCGCAGCAGGAGAGGAAAGCAAATGTAACTATGATGCTTTGATCAAACGTCTGTGCCCTGTATTTCATCTTCTTTGGATTGCTCCTTCTCTAGTTGTTCTCCTCCTGGAAGTACTGACTTATACGGATTAGGATGTTGGTATATGTCTAATTGATCTGGCAGTATACATAATGAAACAGAGTACCTATTCAATTGACTGACTGACTGATTGTATTCATGGACAAAACCCCGCAATTTCTTTCTCTCTCTCTCTCTCTCTCTCTCTCGTGCCTTGATCAATTTGTTTGTGCTTGGCGAGAACAACCATCTGTCAATTCTTTGTGCACTAAGGAATTCTACTTGATACACTAGGCATTTTATCACATGAAACTCCCTTGAGACCTTTTAGAAGATATGTAGCGCTAATGGTGATACACTTTCTTCACTACTAGTTTATACATCACGTTTCATATACCATATCTGTGATGATAAATCATGTACACTGTCGATAAGCGTTTGAAATCAATCAAGCAAGGTATGCCATTGATATCTGGCAGCAGCTAGTTTTGTAGCAGAGAATATAGCATTACTTATGACTTGGATCTTCTCTCTGTTCTTTTTGCCCTAGAATAAAGCGTGTAGTAGTAGCATCATATCTTACAAACCTTACACAAGTGACCCCTCTTTAGCAAACCCCCTTTCATTTTTTGTGTATTAAGGTTGGTCGCACAGGTTGACCTTTTTTAAAAAAAGAAGTTAGAATATTACTTTCTCGTTCTCCTTCTTTCTTCTCTCTCTCTCTCTCTCTCTTTTTTTTTATATTCTTTAAACCAACATAGAACAGGACTATTCCAGGCACAATGGAAGAAACCACCACAACGACAGCCAATCAACCAAATCATCGTCGAAGATCGAGTTCCATGTCGGCTACCAGGCAGCAACAGCAGCATAATAACAAAGAAACGCTCAGTCGCAAGCATTCTGAGCGACACCAAGTAATGAAGATTCAAAACTATGTCATTTACAGAAAGACAATTGGTGCTGGATCAATGGGAAAGGTCAAGCTAGCTGAATGTCTCACAGATGTCCACAAGCAAAAGGTAAATTAATTATAATATTTAAGCCCTTTTTAATTATACAACATATGTAACTCACACTAAGCCTTCTTTTCATTAGTATGCAGTGAAGATTATGCCCAAAGTGGACTTGGGTTCTATTCCTGCATCAGCCAAGCCAAAGGATCCAAAAGACACGCCTGAGGAACGTGAGCAGCGCACTATTCGAGAGATGGCCATCATGCGTTTACTGAGACATCCGAACATTTGTCAATTGAAGGAATACATTACAGAGGGAGACAAGTATTACATGTTTCTGGAGTACGTGGACGGCGGTCAGCTGCTGGACTATATCATCAAGCATGGAAAGTTGAGAGAGAAACAAGCGAGAAAGTTTGCCAGGCAAATTGTAAGTGCACTGGATTACTGCCATCGAAATTCCATCGTCCATCGAGACTTGAAGATCGAAAACATCCTCATTACACAGTCAGAGCAGCTCAAGATCATTGATTTCGGCCTGTCGAATGTATATTCACCCACACAGCAGCTCAACACGTTTTGCGGATCACTTTATTTCGCAGCACCCGAGCTGCTAAGAGCAAAGCAGTACACTGGCCCTGAAGTAGATGTTTGGAGTTTCGGAGTGGTGCTGTATGTACTGGTCTGCGGCAGAGTTCCATTTGATGATACCAACCTACCAGCCTTGCATGAAAAGATCAAGTCGGGTATTGTGGAAGATTATCCTGATCACCTGGGCAAAGGTAATGCAACAGATTTGCCCATTTAGGCTATATGCTTTTTATTGACATCACAGGGTAGATTGCTTGGATCTGTTATCCAAGATTTTCGTGGTTGATCCCAGTCGTCGCATCACACTGTCAGCCATTCAATCACATCCGTGGATGAACAAGGGCTACGAGGAGCCCATCCGCAACTACTTGCCTCATAGGCAGCCGCTCGAGCACATTGATATGGACATTGTAAACGGCATGGACGGATTTGGCCTCGGAAGTCCTCAGGAAATCGCAGAAAAGCTGCAAAAGATCATTTCATCCGCTGCGTACCAAACGGCCGCATTAAAAATTGATCAAAACTTTCAGAAAAAGGTCAGCGATGACCAGTCTCTTGCAAGCAAACCTCGTTGGAGAAGAACACTGTCCACTCGAAAGAAGACGGTGATGCAAGATGACTTCCAATCGCTGCCAGCCATGTACGACCCACTTGTATCTATATATCATCTTGTCAAGGAAAGACGAGAATCAGATCAGAGAAAAAAGCAGCTACTGGAAGCAGAACCAAATCCGCTTGCCCTCAGCAGATCTACAAGCACATTGGTTGTCAGCAGGCTGACAAGCGATGCTACTGGTGCCAGCAACAATACCAACCATACCCGTGGATCATCGCCACCTCTATCAAGCGTGACCCCATCTCTCACCAGAAGAAGAACATTTGATACATCGAAAAAGTTACCTGATTTGCCTTTGCTCAACAAGACGTCAACCAGAGAACCTGGCACGCCCATTCCATCAGCATCACTCAGCAGAAGCGAAAAAGTCATATCAACAACAACATTGATAAGAAAAAAGAGCTTGCAGACAGTGCGAAAATTTGGTATCAAGCTACCAGGTAGCGTACATCAAGAATTATCCCCTCGCGCATCAGCTGACGATGCAGCAGCACCACAAAACGCCCCTAAAAAGACTTCCAATACGAGTATCATTGATTCATCGCCTTCGTCTTCTGCTACAACGACTACATCCAACACAGCAAACACGACAGCGACAGATCACTGTGCTACTGCCAACAAGTCGACTAGCGCAACCAGCATCCCATCTACTACGCCTCGAAAATCCAACTGGCTTAAACTCGAGTTAAGCAACAACCAGCAGCCCCTACAAAAGCGTCAGTCTACCAACTCTACATCTTCTACAACTACCAGCAACCGTCCGTCTTGGAGAAAACTGTCGATTAGTAGAAAGAGCACTCGTCATTCTATAGACCATTCCACAAGCAATTTACCAACTCAAAAAGATACCATGTTAGCGGACAAGGCTTCCAAATTGGATGCGCCCATCAAGAAATCAAATTCAGTCTCCTCGACCACGCAATACACTGGTAATGGTAAGTATGCACTTGCCATGTAATCTGGCAGACAGTTGACATTGGTGTAGGTCTCTCCTCTCATCAGCAACAACATCCGCAACAAGCACCACCCAAAATCGTGATGGTTACTAGTAAATCAGAGCTCATTCAATCCTCGTCTTCCTCTCGAAAAAAATCCATATCGAATAACCCAAAAAGCTTGTTCCACTTTAACCGAGGCCATCTTATACGCACCACACCTACTCAAATGATGACAGATCTGGTGCACGTTCTTGAGCAACTAGATGTTGACATTTTGGCAAAGGAGCAATTCCAATTCCACTGTCGCTGTGCATACCCTGTTTGGTCAAAGTATCTGCAGGAAGGCAATAGCAACAACTCTGATAAAGCACACAACAGTAACCAGCATGGTGATCTCCAGTTTTTGGTTATGGTTTATGAAGCAAGATGGGCAGGTGGTAAGATGGGTATCAAAGTGAAGGATGTGGATGATGGTAATTTCCACACAAAGCAAGTGCTTCGAAACATCTATCATGCTATTCTTAGCGATATCAATAGCATTCAAAAGCGCTCTTCCTCATGATGACGATCCTCTTTTCTGCAACCATTTATCATCAGCTCTCTCTGAACTGTATTACATACAATTTATTTAACATACTGTATTACCTGATCATATTACTATTTAATTTGCCTAATTTAATAAAAGCTACATCAATGCATGTACTTTAGCCGATTTCTTTGATTATTATTAAAGGATCTATTATGTGCTAAAGCCAGTTACGTAGAGTCAACCGATAGATAGAATTTGCCTGGGTTAGATGCCCTCTAATTATGATTATGTTGCCTAGATTTAGTTAATTCTTTCTAGGCCTACTGTGGATGTTGATATTTTATTTTGGAGTCCAATAGATATCTGCTTAGAATTCTGCAAGTATCCGTAAAGACCATGTATCGGCCCACCATGATATTAGGGCCGTAACTCTATATTTGGATAGTTTTGCGTCGTGATATATAGTTTACAAAGCCTGTAAGTTGTTAGATCTGCTCGAAATATTGTATATTTTTCTAACACTACGCTGTTTGTTCATCATAACACAAAAATAAGCAGAGCAAATAAGATAATGAACATTTGGCTGATGGCATGTTGGGTAGTAGGGGGTAACAAGCAAAACTATTTATTAGATGGCAATGGCAGTGATTAATTGAGGTAGACTAGGCTGATGTACAAAGACTTCAGCATCGTCCTTTTCGTCTGTACGTACAGTGAGTTTCCATCTATTAATATCATACACTCCAGGTAAATGGAATGTAGCAAAAATTTGGATATCCAGCTTTTCTTCTGGCCTCAATATGCCTGAAAATACAGTGGAGCCTGTCCAATGGAAAGGAAAGATGTTGAAATTGCCTGCTTTGCTGGTTTTCTCTGGTTTCGATGATGGTAACAATTCTAATGTGTATTTACTGCTTCTGTTCCAAGAACAGTTGCGTATGGACACGAGGACAGGTACTTTCAAAAGCCTATATATTGAAGCAGTGTCAGAAAACGAGTAAATTGTGCAAACCATGAGACTAGACATACCCTTCCTTGTCAAAATCATGCTTCTGCTGATCTGGTGACGAGATTTTTAGCTTGATAGGACTCTCGTCCTTCAATGCGCGGTTACGTGTCAAACTGCTCACTAACAGAGCTCTCTCCTTGGCAGTAGCTTCAAACAAACTACGGCTTTCCTTACCCGTCAGATAAGAAGAGCTGCCTTGGAAGGGGTTTTGCTGAACGCCTAGGTTCACGCCAATAATGTAATGATGGCCATGGCGCTTCATCTGAGGAATGTCCCAATACAAGGTCAAGTCGACATCAGCCGTATTATAAAGAGTAAAGAGATGACTGTACTTGTCTTTTGAAATGTTGGGGAATTGAGCTTCCAAGCTACCTTGTCTCCAATACATGCGAGAGTTCCGTGCAAAGGATTTAAGCGGTATGATGTCGAATGGAATGTCATTCTGTCTGAAGGCTAATTTGCTCACGTTGAGATGGATAGGAGGTGGGATCGCTTTGGTGTTTCCCTTGTTTAGCAACGTGCCTAATGCTTTGGATGTCCATGCTTCTGGACAAGATGTATCCATCTGCTCCGACTTACGAATCTTGTAGTAAGCAAATGTAGTTTGTCGTGGAGGTATGACGGTCTTGGCCAAGACATCCTCCTCAGACGAGAGATCAATACTGAGCGGTGTGATAGACCACATGGGACTTGTTGCTGTCAGTTGCGTCAAATCAAAGTTGGCAACCGTCTGCAAATTCTCGATTTCAATGCCTAAAATATACTCGTTTACAGCCGTGGTGCTGGGCCGAGTGAATGCGTTAATCTTGAGCGAAGGAAGCACCTGTACGTTTACAGTGTAGCGTAGTGTTCTATGAGCAATCATGGCGTTGTCTTCATCCGACTGATACGAGAACAAAAGCTTGAACGTGTGCTTGCCAATACGATCACCACGGATCCACAAGGGTACTAGCGTCGTTTCACCGGGAACGACCACACCATTCTCATTACTGCGTTCTTCGTTCTTTTTAGCTGGCAAGGGGATAGATAACACACTAGCATCAAACAGCTTGTTTTGCAGTTCCACTTGAGGAGGTGCATTCGATGGATCGGACGCTAGGAATAGGTTCAACGACTTTTCTTTGGGATACTTGTATATTTATCACTGCTTACCATAGATATCCTTGTCCATGTCTTCTGGATTACCAACACAAATGAAGCTGGGATGGCTGGTCTTGAGTCTGAGTGCGGTCAATCCCTTGTTGCCCTTATTGTTGATCTCCAACACAGTTTGAATGACTTCGCCCGAGAGAATTGTTTCAGGCACGTTATGAAAGGCAAGATCAAGCAGTGGCATGGGCGATGTCACAAGAATATCGAGCGATCTGTCGGGTGCATAGACGACCGACATCATTTCTTCCTTGGTCTTGTTCAAGCGCCTGCCCTTCTTGTGGAATGGCCTGAATGTGTGCACCAGTTCATTCAACGTGTAGTGCAATCCATTGATTTGCACACTTCCTTCATGTCGGGGGACAATAGCAAGATTGATCTAGCACAAAAAGGTAAATACTACAACAACGCACAGTGGCTGACTGCTTACCATTTTCTTTTCCAAGGGCTCCAAAGTGATTTCATTGATCTTTTGCAGGTCAAAGTTCTCGAACTCAAACATGTCAGAATCCCCTTGCTGCGTGCCTTCGGGCATGACTTGATAAGCATCAGTTGTAACTTTTTGCACTTCAGTGGACGCTTGATATTGGCATCCAAGCATCAAATGGCCCAATGAGATTGCTACTTGCAGAGGATTGAATAGCTCAATATGGACAATAGCAGGCTCTATTCACACACAAGGTTAGTAGCTGTCTCATCCCTATCCAGTACAGTGCCCAATATATACCTCCTACAGCGCTGACAACACGATGATCGTCCTGTTGTTGCACTGCCATCGCCCTTTTGGAGCTCGAAATATAGCCATTGGCGATACTCTCCTCTAGCAATTCCAGCTCCATGGAAGCCCATTCCTCTCGGAGCGCTGTGTTCGACTGTGCGTTGGAGAGCGTCACTTGTATATCTTTATCATCAATGACAGGAAGCGCCAGAAGCGGCAATGACTCCTTGAGAGGGTCCATACCAACGGATGCCATATACTGTTTATAGATGAACAGGAACTCGCGTATGTGAGCCACTTGCTGCTGAGGTGTCTGCTTTGTGTCTGTCAACACATTGGAAAAGTATGTAACGGCGTCTTCCAAGCGGCCAAGATGGAATGCCTGACGACCTAGCGCAAACTGAATGTGTGATTTGGCAACAGACCATGCATTACTCTCCAGCACAAAAGAGGCCATCTTGTACGATCTGTAAGCGTGTAGACGCTGGGATGCCTTTCCGTAGCGATGTCCAGCCATGACCAAGTGGAAACCGTACTTTCTGACCATGGGCTTATGTGCTCTCAGGAAACAGTGAGCCGCTTGTTCCAAGAATAAGCCGGACCTCAGATCCGAGTCTTCGCCCGTCATACGCACAAGAGCAGTAGGAATGTCCTTCCACATGCGACGAGCCTTGAGTAGTTCATAATACACAATGGTCGTCCGAGTAGCATGATAGGGCGACCTGCAGCGGCCCAAATACTGTTGCACAGCCAATTCAAAATGTCTGTCCACGTCCGTCTTGTTGGTCAGTGGTTGATTCGTCATGAGCAAGCAGATACCCATCATCTCTTGTGTTCCTGCGTGGTATTTATAAGCTTTCTCGGTAGCATAGTCTCTGCGCACTGTGTCGTAGATGGTGTGTGCAAATTTATAGTCTCGCAGCATGAAGGCATAATCTGCTAATTTTCGCATTTGTGCTTCGGGCGCTGCATAAGGGTATATCGTTAGTGCGTTTGCACCCACAGGTACATTGGCACCATGCACTGTGATCGTTTGCACGGATTGCGAAGTTGGGTTTCGTGTGGAGGTGCCAAAGAGGCGACGACTGGCACCAAACAGTCTACCTGTGAGGCCACGACGTGCTGAAGCTACCTGCTCATTCCAATGCTGAATGTTGCGCTCCATGAAGGGAATCATGCTTTGAATGGTAAACTCGCGAACCATCGCCTTGACGTTATTTACATCACCAGAGGTCATACATCGCCCATATTGTATAGCAGGCGCAGCTGCTGTTACTGGAGTCTCGGGTGCTGGAGTTGTGTTATCCTCTGTACTGAGCTGCTCGTCCAATAAATCAATGGGGACTGATTGAATGGATGTACCGTGAATGACGGTAGGTTGTAAAGGATTGCTGATGCTGGAAGAGACCGAAGTTGAGCGAGAGTGTCCAGGCGTGGACGAAGCAGTTGAGACGATAGGCGAAGATGGAAGCGATGGGCTGGGAACTGCTTCCATTAAGTTTACAGATGTAGTGGATGAGGATGCGCTGAAAGACTGTAGCTTGGATTCTACAGCGTACGACTCTGTCAGTCCCTGCTCCCAGATCGCCCTGATTTCATCCTCTGAAAGATCCTCTATACTATCATCGTCCAATGGATCTCTAGGGTTTGAGTTGATTCTAAGCAGGTAACAATGCAATCCAACGGTGCGCTTTAATTTCTCGAATACTGCATTGGATCTGGAATCAAAAAGTCAGTATATGCTGGCCTCTTTACAAATTCTTTGTTTCTTACTGTTCAATGCTGGTACGATTTGGATCGTGGAGCACAACATAGTATCTCAAGATATTTGTATCCACGTAGGGCTTATCAACGGTAAACGATGGCACATTTGGATTGTAGAGCTGCATGATTGTGCTGACAGGATCTGGATTGGATGATGATATCACAATCATAGTGGCTACTGGATGGTCAAATGTCTCGTATTCTGTGATACCTCGAAGCGATAGCACTGCATTCTTAAAATCTGCGTACCAAGGTGTCAAATCGTCCAAAGGGGCTTTGTTTTTTTCCAAGTGCGTTAATGGACATTATTATGCTTGCTAGTTCAAGACAACTTACTTCTCAAGTACTCTTCACTCACATCACTTCTTGTTTTAATCTCTTCTGTAAGATCTTGAAATTGCTCACCCTTTTCCTTTACATTCTCCTGCACAAGGTTCATCACTGCCTGATGGTTGGGTTCCTCCAACTTGTTGATAGGTCGAAAACGTATGTTGAAGTTGTCGATAGGAATAGGCACACCTTGCCAATCACGAGGTGTTACTAGTATCAATGAAGGTAGTCAGCAAGCATTGTCTTTTGCGTAGATCGCATCTGAGTATCCATACCTCGCCCCTCAATCATGTCCCCAAACGGCTTGATAAAGTCGGCAAAGGAGGGGATATGATTTACTCGACATAATTCTTCGGCATCTTCACTTGCTGCCACTGCAACCAAGGGCCCTAACGTGCGAGCAATATAATCTCGAGTAGAGAGATTGGATGGATTCAAAGGCAAAGGTTTCTCCATCACTCTCAGGTGTGTGTATTGTTGAATGGAAGAAAAAATAAGAGAGAAAAAGAGAAGAAAACTTGTTGGTGCCGTTGTTTTGTTGTTTGCACAAATGTTGGCGTCTGTTCATCATGTTGCATTTGAATACCCGCGTCTCTTCTCTTGCTGGCCATTCAGCTGTAGCAACGCATTGTGCCCTCTCTATACACGATATGATAGGTTTCTGTTGTAAAGTCGCTAGATTCCTTTAGTTTATGTCTGTTATACTTCTACTCTAGAGTCACTACCGAGTGATGCTGATCCTGGCAGGCATTGCAAATTACAAGCTACGTCCGACACACAGACAAGCTTCATTCCTTGAATCTAATAAAGCCCTCTGTCTTTCTCTTCTCCTAAAAACCCTGTAGCTACCAGGTCATATTCATACAGCATGTGTAAGATATACAAACTCTCAATGTAGCAATGTATCAATCTCTATCTTATATTAATGTTTCAGGCTTGCTTAATTGAAGCATAGCTCACATAAAAGTAACGTGAGTGAATGCTTGGAAATGGTTATCACTGCCTTGTTGACAACAAATTAGTTATGTTTGATACATAATCCTGCGACCATCAAATTGAGCAAACCGTGCCTGATTCGAGAACGAGATTTTGCTTGAAGCTTATTAACAGTAGCGGTAGTTTGTGTCCCTTACACATATTGAAATCACTGGTGGTTCTGAGAATCTCTATGTAACATCTCATTGTCATCCAAAAAACCTATATGCTACTGAAAAACAATCAAGACATTCAATAGCAAACGGTTTCCCCACTCTTCTGAATCATCTGTACTGGTATATGGTATCAAAGCAAACACATATCTTTGACCCATCATACATTCATCAATGGATTGAGGTGCCATAACCCGCAAGAGTCAAGAGATGTTGGTTTTGAGAACAGCAATACTATTTGTTGCTGCGGTGAATTTTATTGCAAACCCAAGGCGGTAACCATAGCAACCAGTATCATAGTAACAAAAAAAGGGTACTAATCAGTACTCTTGTGCCAACATATCAACTAAATCGTAATACTGATGGTTAAACAAAAGTATGAAAATACTCGTGCTACCTAGTACCATGTCTGAGGATGGTAAATATATAAATACAGCAAGCATTTCCCATTTTTTGTTTTCAAATCAAGTCTTATATTACAATCACCAAGATGTACAGTTTGAAGAGGTGGGTGAATGCAATTGCTATGCATACACAAGATATTATACTTACCGACTCTAATGTCCATTTTCGCAGCTCTCTCAGTTTTAAAAAAAACAATAATGATGTCCAGCGATTGATAAGTAAGACCATGATTAAATCGCATGTATAATATAGAAGCTCTAAGCTTTACTTTCGATAGAAAAAGCAACCCATCATACCAACGTTGAGGAAGACTGGAACATTTTTATCAAAATCTGTACAGAAATCAATTGCACCAAAGGAGCAAGCCAGAAAGCGAGAATTGCTTTGAGCAAATACCTATATGCTTTCAAAGAACCACAAACACAGTATCTTGCTTTGAGTGTATGTAAAACTCTACTAGTAAAAGCAGGATTTGTATTCATGTGTAACTGATGATTATGCCTCAATTAGCTGCTACGAGAAATTTGCACCAATTGTGGCCAATTTGAAGGTATGGAATAAGTTGATGTTCTGTAACATAAAGCTGACTAACATGTATAATTTAGTTGAATTGAGAAACAAAGAGTTTATCAATCTGATTCGAAATATCTGGTTTAGTAATGTAAGTGTTACTCAAAGGCAGAGCAATGAAATTATAGCCTACTTACGATGAGGCCATGCAGATACATCAGAAAGTGCGGGACAACTTTTCTTTATGTATATCGATTTGGATCAATGCTTACCATGATGATTTGTACTTTCATCATTTAATTGATTTCTGTAATTCTGTTTATGCAAGAAATGGCGTTGCGATTACTTCTGTACGAAACAACGCCAGTGCTCAAGCTCAAGCTTGGTACCGTCAATCATCGCTACCTCAACCACAATCCCCATCACAATTGCCCAGCTACCAAACCACCAATGCACCCATTGATCGTGTCATGGATGTAACTCAAACATCAGCATCTCGTTACCAAAACAACCCATATACCTTTAATAATACTAACGATAATATTGATGATAGTTGTTCCATCTTGAACGATATTCAAAGACCCAACAGAACAACCTCTATTGTTAATCCATTCCTGTCACCTTCCGAATTGCACGCCTCTGCAAGCTCTTCGACTTCTAAAAGAAATACAGCCTACAATATGATATTGAGAACTTCAAGTTCCGTACCTACAACTGACAAAGGAAAGGCTAGATTGAACACTGTTGCCGCAATGTCTAGACACGATGTAAGTCGAGTACAAGTGTATGTACGATAAGATTAACTAACTGACAGTGTACTTTCAGATGGATGCGCTCATTTACGAGGCTGAAACAGCAGCTAAGCTATTGACAGATTTGGCTGAGGATTCAATCGATAGCAATGATGATTTATTAGAGGTAACTTGACCTTCAATTAAAGGGCCCTAAATGCAAATGCGTTTAACCACATGTTATGTTTAGGATCTGCTCCAGAGTTGTCGTAGTACCCATTCCCGCATCATCAAGCAAGTATGGTCATTAGAGGGAGATCAGTTATATCATGGTGAGTACGTTCAATTTGCGAAAACTGACAGGTTCTTATCATTGTTTCGTTGATAGACGCTTTAACTGATGCTGCAAGAGGCTTGTTCACTGCGATTACAAAGCACAAGAAGCTTGCCAATGAAAAGGCATGATGTATTACAGATTTCTGAAATATAAACCTGTGTTGACACTGCCAGCTTTTGTAGCTGCTGTTTGAAGCTTGATGGCAAGCCATCAATGTTATAAATCGTCTTCTAATAGCATGCCATAGATTAGATTTACCATTAAATAAAAACAGAAATTGTCGAGCTGTCTAATTGCAAATGAATATTTGACAAAATACGCCCATTTTGAATTTTTGAAGTAAAGGGTGAATTCTCAAAATGCATATGAAGTTTGTAGAATTATTTTGATTTGATGAGCCTGGTTTCGTACGATTCACAATTATCATCAGAGGCGACAATTCTCATAAAGTGTTAGTCATACATCAAGCAGAGATGACACTACTCAACATATGACTACTAGCCAGTCAATCTCGCTACGCTCGAAGACGGCGTCGCCCTGTGGGCTTTCGCTGAAGACATTTTAAATTAGATATAATAAAATTTTGGTATATTAAGTAGATTTTAAACAACTAACTATTAGTAAAAGAAAGGTAATATCAGAGCCTGGAGGAGGAGGAGAGGAGGTATCTTCCTCAGTATCCTTCTTGCTTACACTGATATCAAACGAAGCCTATTATTGGGACAATATGAAAGAAAATTCAAGTTTTATGCAGCATTTGTACATCACAACCGCTATTTTCTGATAATAGAATTGTCGTATCAATCGCTGCTGCTGATGCCTTTAATAAGATGGCGATTTAAAACTGGTCATAAGTAAATATAGGACTTGTGTAAGATCTACAGCGACTTTTTCGAGATATTGTCATTGAAAAAGACACCTTTTTGAGGTAAAGTTCCTCGAAATAGTATTTGCGCTAAGCAATTGCCCTTTCAATTCCATGATCCCCATTTAATCAGCATCGCAATCATCATTGTCATCAACAGAAAGACATTTAGGTCAGCCAACAGCAAGCTGCCGCCAAAAATAATTCAAACTCAGTTTATTTTTTCATGTTTAAGATTGGACAGATTTCGTCTTTTTTCGACTTCTTTAAACTATTTTATGAAATTCGACTATATAAACTGTGATGATCACCCTACGCTTCCTAATACATTCTTAGAGTACTTTTCAAGGCGCTTCCAATGGTGCTAACTGTAATAAGTGTTTTGACTGAAGTTGTTGAGCAATCTAATAAAATTTGAAATGAGGTTTTTTGCGAAAATAGCCATATTTTGCATATGAAAACCTCATAAAAGTGGTTTCAGAGGTTGCTTTGGATCAAGAGAAACGTTTTGAATTAATATATACCATAGTAAAAGTCTTCATTTTCAAGGTGAAAAATGCTATCGTTTGATTTTCGGTGAAAACCATGAGGTACCCCTCATGCTTTTTGGTCGATTTTTGGCCATGTTTTTTTTTGGCTAAAAAAGTTGAGCAAACGTGTCAGAAAGTTACTACTACGGAAGTACAATTGTTTGGTGTCATTTCGGCGGCTCAGAAAAGTGTACATGTTAAAATACGAGGGCTTGAAAGCTGTCAGATTTGGTTATGTATTGCTTTATAGAGTTTATTTACACGGCATAAATCACATCTTTGGTAGTAACAATTTGCTGGGAAGGCAGTTCTGTAGCTTGAACAATTTTTAATTCGAATAGGAGACATATTGGTTTTGATAAAGCTGATTCATGCAAATTTTGATACGATATGTTGATGGTAAGCCTATTAACAATGAAAATGAAAACCCGGATTTGCTGCTTGTTGAATACTATGGCTTTGCATCTTTGTTCGGCTACGGTAAAAACCATTAAGACTAATATTACCAAATATTGAATTAAATGCAATCTCGCTACGCTCGACGACGGTGTAGCCCTGCGGTCTGTCGCCGTAGACATTTCAAATCAGTAACAATAAAAATTTGCTATATAAGTAGATTTCAAACAATCAATTGTTAATTTAGGGAATGAGAAATCGAATTTGCTGCTGAATACTATGGCTTTGTACCTTCGCTACGCTGCGATCAAGCCCTCATAATGTTACCAAGTATTGGATTAGGTGCCTGATTACCCTAGCTTTGCATCTTTCTTGGTGGAGGGGCTAAACCCCTCCCCCAACCCCCCTCCCCATTGCCATCTGGGATGATCTACAACGATTAAGCATATGAATCAATATCATTCAAATCAGCTTAGCAGCGGTCCAAAATTGAAACAAAAATAATGGGCAATTTCCATGTTCATTAAAATGCAGCTGAACAAAAAAAAAATGTCTCGTATTCATCTCAACTTGTATCTTTTCAAGATAACTTGATTTGGAGATAGCCGAGATGTGAGTCATAGAAGTGTTCCTTCAGTAGCTGTATGTGCACTTGCAAATGCCCATAAGCGCCGTTTGTAGGTTGGTTTTCCAGAATAATGTATGCATGGAAGCAAATCAACGAAATCAGGCACCATCTTCTGCCATCCGGGCCCTTTCTGTCCTTATACGCCTCTGCTCGCACATTGCTAAATCGGGCCGATCTGTTGATGATTGCTGATTTGCTTATCGATGGTGGAAAAAGTGGCATCATTGAAATAAAATAGGTATACATCGATGGTAAGAGGTTTGATGGATTGATAGCAATCACCAAGAAGGCTCTATCCCTTTTACTAGGCCAGGCAAACGCGATAGCAGTTGCACTCTCGGACCACATCCAATCATCTATCTCCCATGCGATCAAACATTGCATCAGATAAACATCACAAGCGTTGGTAACACGAAAAAAAGAAAGAACCCATGCTTTATAATATTGATTTGATGCATTTTTCTTAATTTTATTCACAATGAAGAGGGAGTGCTTGAGATGAAGGGTTAATATTGCGTTGTATTTTCAAGGGAAGGAGGAGAGGGAGGAAAAATATATATAAAAAATTGGTAAGATATTAGACAGATTAATGCGTAAAATGGAGAGAAATGATTTACTCCATGTCAACCTTGACATTGCGAGTACGAAGATCAAGAGCAATGCTCTCAGGAGGAGCATGTTCATAAACAACACGGTAGATTGCAGTCATGAGAGGGAACTCTTGTGTCATGTTTCTAGCAGACAAGAAATGATAGACTTCTTGAGATGTGGTAGTACCTTGAAGTTTTTGACCATTCAACATTTCCTTTTCAATTTCCTCGATGCTCTTGCCAGATTTAATGAAGGCAGCGGCTACCTTTCTATTACGACCACCAGCGCAAGTGGTAATGAGATCAGCAACGCCACAAGACTCTATTATAATTGCATGTCTTAGTTATTCAGCTCGCTTGTAGATTCATGCATTTTAAAACTTACCGAAATAGGTTTCAGTATGAACACCACCAAAGAAGGTCTTACCAAACTTTCTCATTTCGAGCAAACCACGACGAATGACAGCTGATTTGGTGTTGTTACCATAGTGAAGACCGTCGCAGATACCAGCGCCGAGAGCGACAACGTTCTTCAAAGCACCACAAACTTGGAGACCTCTCCAATCACCAATGACATTGACATCAAAGTAGTCAGTATGGAAGAGTCTGTAAAAGATTTCACCGTCCTTGGGATCTCTACAGGCAATGGTAGTCTCGCCAAATTGTTCTTCAGCAACTTCACTAGCAATGTTGGCACCACTCAAAGCAGCACAGTGGATACCCAAAATCTTTTCGATTTCTTCAGAAAAGATAAGCAGGTTGTTGTTTCTATAATCCAAACCCTTGATCAAGGAGATGGCTCTGCAATCCTTGTCAAGAACGCCACGGAGAGACTCACAAACTTTGTATACGAATTGATGAGGCAAGACAAAGACAAGGACATTGGCTCCTCTGGCTGCTTCTTGGACATCGGGGACAGCCACAACGTTTTCACCGAGATTGATACCAGGGAGATATTTAACGTTTTCATGCTTTTCGTTGATGATATCGGTCAAGTTTTTGCCGTCAATTTTTTCCTCAAACACCCACATACGCACTTCGCGTTCAAAGAGCTCGGGATGTCTGATAGTGTTTTGAGCACAGACACGAGCAATAGAAGAACCCCTACGTCAAATGTTGAATATACAGGCGCTTATCAATGCATAAGTCATGTTACACTTTACCAGTTACCAGAACCGATGATGGTTACTCTTTGTTTAGGAATACCAGGCATGTTGTATGTATTTATGTGTGAATATATATTTCGATTTATATGTAGAAATCAAGAAGAGAAAAGATGGGAGGTGGGGGGGGTGATTTGTATCTGTTTATATATACATGATTTGAGACGAGTCTCAATTTCGCATTTAGCCTATCAAGCCCCGCGTAGGAGAAACCTACCACGAATGATGAGATTCATCACAGTAAGACATTCCAAGGTTTCATCACATGTATGACTGTTGCAAAGCTACAAGTTGGTTCGAAACAAGACTCAGCAAAGCTTTCATATTTATGGTAAAGACATTTTGATTGCATGACGTACATTTGGCATGCGCATTTTTCATCATGGTGGACTCTTGACAGCTTGAATCAGAAAATTAGCCTATGCGTCGCCTAGCAACAAACTTTAAAATGAATGATTTGGTAGATCGTCCTTTTCCTTTTTTTTCGTATATATTGAACAACTACAAAAAACTTTATATGCATTCTACATAGAAAGAATGTTACAATAGTAAAGTGAATTGCTATTCGGCATCTAAATCACTCGAAAAAAACGTTTCCATTTTCTCTTAGGCGAGCGGGAAAACACCGAAAGAAATTTAGTGTGCAACGTGTACATAAAATCCTTGAGAGATCACTGATAAGAAATAGAAATTTCGAGATCACAACGAGATAACTCCCTTTTTACAAGTAAAGGGCAAAAGGCACGCCACATTTACGACAAATGTATTAGATATATGTGAAAAAGCAGGTCTCGGTAACGAAATATAAGTATACTTCCATTCTATTTTGGGGGGAGATAAGGATTCATGGACATCAAGACATCAAGTCGGGGGGGGCCCTTCATCTCGAGAGATATTTTGAGCAACAGTGACCCTGCACTCATATCACACCTTCAATTTGGGTTTCTTGTATTAATATGAAACCGAAACGTTGCCTTATTTGACTTGATAGTCATTTTATAGTAATTGATACAATAGCAAATAGATGGTGAGGATAGTGGGATAGATATAGTCATACACAGCGTCAGCAAAAATGGGAACCCATTTGGCTTTGGGCAAGAAAGCATAGGCTGTATCGCAAACCTGTCAAACAATTTCCATATTTGGTAATTGAGAAAGGGGTACGTTGAATTCTCTGCAACGACTTTTGCTTTGCATGTCCTAAATGCCATAGCCCCTGCGAGTAACACATGCGATGTATATAAATGATCGGAATCGGTGCAAGTGAGGTCATAATTTACAAAAACTGTATAAATCAATTATAAGTGTAAGGCTCCGTCTTTCAACGGGCACATTCGATGTATAGTGTTTCTCAATACAGAAAGATATACATACCAAATCAAAAGTCAATGGCATCATCTTATTAAATACAAGCGTGAGCAGCAAAAAGTTTACTTACTTTGCTCCCCGTTGAATGTTTAGGATTCGTTTTGGTTAAGTTGATCAGGCGAAATATGGGTTTTTATATTATGAAGACAAAAAGAAACATGAAAAGCTACGTCGGGATCCCTAATCACCGCATTAAGGGCAACGTATAATTTATGTTGAGATGGGTGCACTCATCGCATATAAAAGAAACAATCGGCATCTGTAAATCATCAATCGCTCAATTATGGTAGCTGTCAGTTTTACCGTCATTGCAAATTGAAACACGAACGGTTGAATGTTTGTAAAATCTATATGATGGCCAGAATACCATTGATTTACCTGGTAATGATCTAAGGGTCATCTGACGAACGGCCAGAAGACGCAACTGTTTTTATTACGGAAAGTAAGGGAAGTTTGACATCAATTTCTTCGAAGGCATTGTTATTCAAACAAAAAGTACTTTGTTTGTGATCACAATCACACATATAAACAATGGTTTGAACATTGGCGCCGTTCGACTTGTTTGACAAGCAATACCTGTCGAAGAATCAGTTGGACAGAACCAGTCGCACGCAATTATTGGCAATTCGTTTGCTTGACTCTAATAAGACAGACCATGCTAGAACCGATGGAATGCACCACGATGTGATGGAGTTCATATCATACATTAGATGCTGACTGGATATTCGTTGTTACAAAATGTATAATATTCAGAAAGTCTAACTCTTCATTACCATCATAAATCCTTCTATAAATGGCCTGTATAAGTGTATGAGGCTCTTACGCGATGCTATACGTCTATATCGACGGGGTCAATTCATAAACAAGCAAACAGCACACTTGCATTACCTCTCACTACTCAAAAGTAAGCGATAAACACTGCAATTTAGATGGCTTTGAGCCGCGATTTCTCGCGCTGTAAGCCTCTTTGAACCGCCAAAATGGTACCAAACAATTGCTCTAATCTAGCACTAAATTTCTGACACCTTTGCTCAACTTTTTTGGGATCGCCGAAAATCGGCTTTAAACCATGAGAAATGCCTCATGAATTTTAACGAAAATCAAACGATCGCATTTTTGACCTTAAAATTGAACACTTTTATTATGATTTCTATTAAATCAAAATGCTAATACGAATTCAGCGCAACCCCTGAAACAACTTTTGTGATATCTTTGTATGTAAAATCTCGACATTTTGGTCAAAAACCTCATTTCATATTTTCCAATATTGCTCGGTAAGCTTGTTCAAAACATGTTTCATAGGTAGCACCATTAGATGCGCCTTGAAAAGTACTCCAAGAAAGCTTAAGGGAGCATGGGATGACCAGCACAGTTTACATAGTCGAATTCTACAAAATAATTGAAAACGAGTCGAAAATAATCAAATCTGTCCAATCTTGAACTGGTTTTTTGTAATCGGCGATTTAATAGTTTTTGGCTGGTGGCAGTGATCCATGCCGCTTTCTTGTCATGAAGGCTTGGTCAGGCTGATACTTTTACAAGCGGAAATAAAAGTCAGATACAAGAAGTTTGCTTCTTACTGTCATGACAAAAGTATTTACTATTGGTATAGGGTATGTAGCTTTAGCTCCAAAAGACAGCAAAGTAAGTTGATAATAGTAATTTCTACATAGCGGACCTTCTTGCTCTGGAAAGACGGTAAGCACCAGCTTCTATCGATTATTTTCAAATGGCTAATGAGCTTCGAAATAGACAGCAACACGTATCCTTCGTCAGATACTCAAAAACACGGCCATCATCTACCAAGATGACTATTACAAGGTATATCACACTAGATACGGTTTGCAATGAGTTACGATAATGAATTGCTAGCTATAGCCTGAAAAACTAGTTCCTATTGATCCCAAGACGAACCTAGCCAACTGGGATTGCCCTGAATCCGTCGATTTTAATGCATTTGCACGCAATATAGAATACGCAAAGAAACACAGTGGACAGCTGCCCAGTGGCTTCCAGTCAAACGAAGAAAGCAATGTACACGATGGATCCACTCTCATCAGCCAGGAAGCATCTGCCAAACTACGAGACATACTGGCCCCATTGCTAGAGAAACACGCTCATGTCACATTTGTTTTTGTGGATGGATTCCTGCTTTACAGCAGCGACAATGTCTCTCAACAACTGGATTGCAAAATAGGCTTCAAAGCTTCTTACGAGACTTTAAAACTAAGAAGAGAAAAGCGGCAAGGATACCATACATTAGAGGGGTACTGGGTAGATCCACCTGGCTACTTTGATAAGATTGTGTGGCCCGAGTACCTGAATCAAAGCAAACATGACGAAACAGTCGACCAGCTATTGATCATCAACACGGACGAATTCAGTATTGATGAGACAGCGATCAAAGTAGCTGAAAAGATAGTACAGGACTTGTTGGAATAAAAAGCAAAGTTTATTGATATTACTATACATTGGATTTCGCTAAAATACTATTCAACCTTTCCAGCAATTCAGGATTTGGCTCAATTTTAGCTGGCTCACTGCGGTCCATTCTTGACAAGCGATCTCTTGCCAGTGTCGCGACGGAATTGGAACGTACGTTTGGTTTTTCAGCATGATGTTCAGTGGGGGGAGTGGTGGTGTTGTTGTGGCGGGTGCTAAGATGAACAAATACTTCCAAAGCAGCTTTGGTATCACCTAAATCAAGAAAAGCGGATACGAGGGTATACATTGTTTCCGAATTCGGCTTTACTTGAGTGTCTTTCATATGTTGATATATTTTTTCTAAAGTGTCTAAATTTTGTTTCCGCTGAGGATCGCCCTCCTCGTCGTGATGGTCGTTAGATGTGTCGATGTCGGCCGGCCCAAAACGAGGTTCTTGACTCATAAACGAACTGAACAGCGTGTTGTATATAGTGATGATAGGCTGCACGCCGACATCCTTCATCGAGTACAGTGTTGAAATGGCCTCATTCCGTTTATCGTCATGCAGCATCATGTCGATGTATATCCTAAAGCTCTCCGCATCCACGACCGGTGCTGCTGTCTTGTTTAACGGCCTTCTTCCGCTCCTCCTTTGACTTTTCAGCATGCGCTTAAACATGTTGTAAGCTCGATCCTTTGCCCCGTTGCAAGCGTAGCCTGTCATCACCACATTCCAAATAACTGTTGTATTCATGACTTTGTTTAATCCGCTTGATTGCACATCTTCCAGCATGCGATCAATGCCATCCACATCGCCCATTTTACCCATGGCATGCAGCAAGGTGGAATAAGTGAACTGGTCCGGCTGAAGACCTCTTGACACCATGTCGTGGTAGAGCTTTTGAGCAGTTCGTAGGTCCAAGAGTTGAGCTGCAATGTGTATTAGCGAGTTGAATGTCGTTACGTTGGGCTGCACCACATCCTTTTCGATTTTCTCGCCCGTATTCTCGTCTATTCTATAAGGTTGCTGCATTTCGTCGAATAACTGAAGTGCATCTATCAAGTGATGAGGATGCTTGTGAGGCACCGTCTTTCCGCCCACCCAATTGATCAAACTGTTGTATTCTGACAGCCGTAACGAGAAGCCGCGCTGCCTCATATCATCTACCAGGGCGTTCAATCGGTGCAGGTTCTTTTGGGATGCTCGAGATCGAATCGTATATACAAATAGGTTGTGATAGTTTTTTCGTGTCAGACAGCTCAGGTAGTCATTGTTGTAAAGGTATGTATACAAGGGCCATATTCGATCAATGTCTTGCGTTGACAGGGAGCGGTAGAAATCAGCAATCAGTGTCGCCTTGTTTCGACGCATCGACAGCTCAATGTCTTGTACATTTGCCATCAAATTTGTGTGCGGCTTTTGTGTTGAATCATCAGTCGTGCTAATGCTACTGTCGCTGCCGTTATTGCTACTGCTGTAAGGTCGAAATAGCTCGAGTGGAAAGAGAGGGGCCGCCCGTGACAGTAAGGATGGAAGTATCACATTTCGAGACAGGGTATTGCAGTATATACATCTTGTTTGACTCGGCACGCTGTTCAATCGATGCCAGAGCCTTCGCATGGTTTTCTTTCAATGATGTGTGTAAGCAAAAGGGATTAGACCTGATAATCTCTTTGGTAGGCGATGCAGGGAAGGAAAATATGTCAAAATAAAAAAAAGGCCTGACTGGGCTATAACGCTGTTATAAAGAAGGGTGGGGAAAAAGAAAGAAGGGACACAATCTTTGCAAGACGTCACTTTAAGTGACTTATAGATCATCCCATCATCCTCAGGCCAATGTACCCAAATCTATGTCTTGCTTGTACAGCATGATTTCACAGCATGTTTTATTATGTAGATTTAACATATCATTGCTTTTGCTGTTGAGTTTCGTCAATCACCTCGCCTTCGACATCCAAAAACCCATATTCAGAGCACAATTGCACTAATTGCTCGGCTTCAGGTACAGCAATCTTCTCCAGCACCTTGTTGATCTCGTCCAACTTTTTTGTCTTGAGCGCATCTTGGAATTTGGGAGGCATGGCAGTAAACACTTTGTAGGCTTCGACATGCTCAGGCTCTGGCACACGAATGGTCAATTGAGTGCCATCGCCCATGGGTTGAAGCTGGATTGTCTCGACGCCATTGTCCTCTGTTACTTCTTCAGCTGCAATTTCGGCACAACGAGTTTGAATACGAGAGTATGTCTTTTCGACATCATCAAAGAACATCTTGCGGCCTTGGGTATTGGGTGCGCTCATGCTAACAGGGTTGCGTGTTAACCACAACCATCTATATAAACATCTCTTGGCTTACTTACCGAGAAAAGAAAAGGCTGACACCATCCTTCCCTAATTGACCGCAGTATTGGATCATCAAAGATTGAATGACACAGTTTTTAGCGTAGGCTTCGTCGCCCTTGAGTTGTGCAGTGAAAGCTTGGCCCAGGATAGAATCAGAGCTCTTCTCGTTGATAATGCTGGGATGATTTTTAAGATATGTGTAACTGTCTTCGAACCCTTTGATCTTGGAGAACCTTGTAGCTTCGGGTGACATCTCAATATCCTCCTCTTCCTCATCATCATCGCCCTCGTTGTCGGCATCGTTGCTGGTATCGTGTAGGGTCAAATCCTTCATGGTCGAGTTGGGATTCAAGGTCTCTACCACCTTCTTCTTCTCCGTCTTCTTGTCGGTCTTCTTGGGCAAAGGCTTTGGCTTATTGAGGATCTAACATACAGCATATATGAGCAAACCAGCAGCAAAAGCCGGCCATTTTGTACTTACTGTTTTGTTTGATTTCTCTGATGTAAACATGTTTTCACTAGTCATCTTCTTTTGGCTCTCTTCGTTCAGTTTAGCCAACTCGCGCGATGCCTCCGTAACCGTCTTTTGAACAGTAGCTTCTGTCTGGTTGAATCTTTCGAGTAGTGTCTTTTTCACTTCAGCAGGAGTGTTGGATGCTAAACCAGCAGCGATTTGAGTCTTCATTGCCGAGAATACTTGAGCGACATCCATTTCTTTGCCACCGGCAGAGGGCACCTTCATATGAGGATCAGCTTCTGTTTGTTGCTGATCAAGCACCTGAACCACCTTCTTAATGCCAGCCAAATCATCCTCGGTGTTCTTGAGCATGCTAGTGAGTTCCTGCACCTTCTTCAATACGTTTTCTTGCTGAGGCACAAACTGTGTAAGATATTCGATTTTGGCTTTGCGCTCAGCACGTTCACGATGAATAGCTTCTTGTTTCCATTTGATCATAGAGCGCTTATCGACATTGGGGTGGACTTCAATATCCGAGTCATCAGACAACTCGAGGTTATCCCATTTACTGTAATCCAAAGGCATTTTGTAGTGTATGAGAGAGAGAATTGAGAGAAAAAAATGAATTGATAGAATGTTCAAGAACGATGTGAAAGTAGCATACCAGCAAAGTGACGTTTGTTTGAGTGTGCACTTGGCTGTTTAAGGGTGTCTTGCCCATCATAGAATACCAATGTAGATTTAATCTACCATAGAAGAAATAGTGAATTCCAGTGTTATTAGTTATTTGCTTCATTGAGTGCATCTCAAATCCTTGCTATCAGGGTATGGAAGAAAGCAGAGAAATTTGATCCAGATTCCTTTGGGCGTGTGCCTTAATCTCTCAAGCAATACAGCGTCTCCTTCATCCTGCATAGTCGCTCCAAAACGTCAATACAAGCTCCCTAACATTTAGTCTATTAGCATAGATTTGCGCTCTTTGTAGGATACTATGCAAACATATTTAACACAGAGAATTAAGTTTTGGCAAATGAGAACGGTGAAGGGACATTGCCATTAACTTGGAAGAAAAGGGCTATAATATCGATGTCAGCGAAGTCGAACATGCCGTTTGCATCACGATTAGTAGTTTTTAGAGCGTCTTTCAGCTGATGCGGGTATTTAGATCCATTGCTTAGTAGTAAAAACTTTATAACTCATGTACAGATTATGGTTTTTACTCTGAAATCCTTTAGGACCATCGCATATCAAATGGAATAAGATCAATCGCTCCAAATAATTTAGCTTTCAAGCATCATGTTTATTATAATTAAAAGGTCAATTACCAACAAGACGCATGAATAGTATGTGATGAGGTACCAAAATCAATGTGGTTACAGTACTTAGATACCATAAGCGGTCTTGGCGGAGGCAAAGGAGGTGTTGATTTGAGCGACCAAAGCATTGGCAGCAGTCAAGTGAGAAGCAGGAGTCTTGGCGATGAGGCAAGTGTCCAATGTCTTGGTTTGAGTATCCAAGTTCTTGATGTCGCTCTTGACCAAGGCAGTAGCCAAAAGAATGGCATCAAACTCGGGCTTCTTGGTGACAATGGAAGACAAGGCAGCAGTAACTTGAGGAACAAGAGTGTTGACAGTGGCAATAACAGCATCAGCTTCTTCGGCAGTGACGGTACCAGCAACTGCACAGCAGTCAGTACCGGCCTTCTTGAGGCGAGTCTCAAGAACTTGCTCCTTGTTGTGAACAGCCAAAGCACCAGAGTAACCAGCAGATCTAGTGAAGTTATCGACCTGTTGCATATTAGTTAAACAGCACTTTTGAGTAGAAAAAGGTACTTACATCAGTCTTGACAATGGCAAGTTGAGCAGCAACAGAATTGATATCATCAATACAGAGCTGAACAGGAGCAGAGACGGCTCTCTTGTCGAGGGCAGCAGCATTGGCAGAGAGAGCAAGAGCAGCAGCAATGATTAAAGTGGAGAAGGCGCGCATTTCGAAGATGATTGAGTAGATTGTTTGATGAGGTTTTTTGAGAAATGGAGACAGATTTCACTGTATTTATAGCAAAATTGTTCATGAATCTGTCAGAGACAAATTCCATCTGTCGAGTGTGCAGTTATTGCTTTGTACACCTTGTAATAATTAGATGCATAACAATGTTACTATAGGGATACTCAAAAGAAACGATACATGTGGAATTCACGCACGTCAAACCACAATACATGAAAGTAATTGACTCGACGAGGTTCATATGACCTTGTCTCAATGACACACAAAAGATACGTGCTATTTGTATAATGGGATTGATCCAGCTGTATGGTTGTTTAACTGCATCAGGGAAAAGGTGCTTGTCTTTGTAGCTTTTCTGTATTACAACAACATTCGTCTTTAGATGGGGCTGTTTTGTGTTTAATAGAGAGGCACACAATCAAAGGCATGACCTCCTGTCTCGGATAGTTTGTATTGTGAACATTCAATCTTATTTCATTAGGTATACAATATGTCTACGCGAAATATACAGCGGCGCATTTGATGGAATCGGAAAGATTATGCTTTAAAGTATGTAAGCTACTACTGGGTTGCTTGTGAGGATCTTATTACTAGAGATTGCAATAACATCAAGATACGATTCTTTACGACGATTCGAGAAAGATATAAAGAACAACCCTGAATACATTCAAAAAAAAGCGATTGATCACAGTACCTCATAATAAGTTTATTGAAAGCCATATGGAAACCATGCTTAATGAACTTAGCTGTTCTACATTGCAAAACGCAGAATAGAATGTATGGAAGAGTACATGTTATATATCTCAAACACACACGCACAGTGAGAGATACACACACATACATATTGCGCGCTGGTTTTACGAGGGCAATTATGGCATGTTTAAATTGGGGTTCCTCAATATACACTCAGGTACCGCCTTGCGATCAGATATAATGCAGGAATCGTGTAACCGACAGAACATTAAATAGGGATTTCGGTACATATTTACCATAAATACAGGCACAAAATCACACTTAAAGTAACATTGATGGACAGGGGAACATCTCCAATTGGCCTCCAAATAAATTCAAACGTTGCACTGACCATTGAAAATATTCTCAGTGGTACGAAGTATGTACTTATTTCTGTGCATTTTACGCTACTTGAGCATTGTTTACGATACGCCGCAACAAAAGGGTTATGTCTGCAATGTCAATCGTCAGTTTGGCGAGGTATTCAGCTAAAGAGGCGCCGTCTTGCTCTTCACATTTCGATCCCCTTTGTTGCAGTGGAATCAATTTCGGTAGAAAATTGCACTCCTGCAATTTATGTCAACAACCTTTTCTAACATTTGTACGTTTTCAAAACCAAATACTTGCGTTTACACTGTAGCTAGCATCAAATTACTTACTGTTGTGCCTGAGAAAATCATAATTTATTTGAATCTGAAGGAAAATTCGCACACGTAGCTTCTCATTTAAGAGACTAGGGCTGTAAATATCTTGCAAAGTCTGGATCCAGCAGTAATTGATTTGTTAACATTTTCGTCTAAATATACCTGTTTGCATTTTGTGATCAACTTCCTGAGCTCTGAGCAAGTAAGGGTTGAATGTAACACGACCATCAGTACTGGCTTGTTTCATTCTACATTTGCCAATTTAGATCAATCAAAGCTGCCATCATCAAAATACATTGAAATTGGAAATTGAATTGAATACAAAGCAGACCGATGTAGAAGCTTGTGTGTTTTTTCCAGGAGCACAACTTAGTAACGCTTGATCGGATCGATGTGCGCCCTCACCATCAAAGCCTTCCTTGATTTCTCCTCCCCTCATTCATTTTCGACTAAGCTTCTTTGCCTAGAGAACAAGCATGACCTGGTGCAGGTCATCTGAATGATCGAAAATCAGTTTGGTGCTCAATTTGCCTGACGTGAATGCCACATGAGGCCCCATATTTTATCTGTGATAGATGTGAGGCAAGTCAAAGTGCATCTTTGAGCAATTTTTTTTTCTCGTTTGACAGAAATTCTGAATACATTTGCTGTTCTCAATAGACCTTTCGTGATATCAGTGCTTCATGCACATGCTATACGCGCTTCCGTGTGTACTTGTGTACGAAACGTATTCATTAAAAGCTTTATGAGAATTACAATTTGCTATAAATACAGTGAAATCTGTCTCCATTTCTCAAAAAACCTCATCAAACAATCTACTCAATCATCTTCGAAATGCGCGCCTTCTCCACTTTAATCATTGCTGCTGCTCTTGCTCTCTCTGCCAATGCTGCTGCCCTCGACAAGAGAGCCGTCTCTGCTCCTGTTCAGCTCTGTATTGATGATATCAATTCTGTTGCTGCTCAACTTGCCATTGTCAAGACTGATGTAAGTACCTTTTTCTACTCAAAAGTGCTGTTTAACTAATATGCAACAGGTCGATAACTTCACTAGATCTGCTGGTTACTCTGGTGCTTTGGCTGTTCACAACAAGGAGCAAGTTCTTGAGACTCGCCTCAAGAAGGCCGGTACTGACTGCTGTGCAGTTGCTGGTACCGTCACTGCCGAAGAAGCTGATGCTGTTATTGCCACTGTCAACACTCTTGTTCCTCAAGTTACTGCTGCCTTGTCTTCCATTGTCACCAAGAAGCCCGAGTTTGATGCCATTCTTTTGGCTACTGCCTTGGTCAAGAGCGACATCAAGAACTTGGATACTCAAACCAAGACATTGGACACTTGCCTCATCGCCAAGACTCCTGCTTCTCACTTGACTGCTGCCAATGCTTTGGTCGCTCAAATCAACACCTCCTTTGCCTCCGCCAAGACCGCTTATGGTATCTAAGTACTGTAACCACATTGATTTTGGTACCTCATCACATACTATTCATGCGTCTTGTTGGTAATTGACCTTTTAATTATAATAAACATGATGCTTGAACACTATTTGCTCTACTTTCTTCTCTATAACAACCACTTATACTATCGACATTGCATAATTCTGGCAAGATCCAATGTACTTGACGTGTAGTAGTAGTGTTAGGAGTGTAACAACATCACAGCTATTTTCTCTATAATAAACTTCTGCCACCACACTTACACAATGTAAAGTTCGTTGATATACAGTACTAAGAATTACAGGTGCCATGAAGGAATAATCGTCTAAGCTTTATTGAGGATATATTAGCAAAAATTTGGTTTATTGCTGCCCCTGGGGCTGTTGTTCAGTATCTTCTTTTGAGAGGATCAATGGCACGGCGTTTTTGCGTTGAAAACGAGCGACCATTTCGCTGATCAGAGATAGCGAATCGCTCCCCAACTCATAGTAATGATCTGTCTTTTTAGGATTAAACATACTGGTGTGTGCAGCAATTTCGTTATCAGCAGAGGATGGTATAGGCACAAATAAATATGCAATATCTTCGGGTGGTAGTTTAATGAATGTCTTGGGCCTATGGTCGTTGCCCAGCTCATTTAACTATATATCAACACAAGAGTGATTAGCCATCCGTACATTGGTTCTATTGTTGATGACTTACTTGGACATAGAAGCATTTGAAAAACATGTCGGGTATCTCCAATAATTTCTTTACTCTCTCATCACAGCCATTCATATCTGTCAGGTCACTGATGAATGTCAACTGATCGTACGCATCTGCCAAAGACGTCTGAATCTTATCACGGGCAATGTAAGCAGCTGCGCCTATAGCAGCTGCCCCCACAACGCCAGCAAATAATCCCCATTTTTTGGCACTGCCACCGCCACCTCGACCTGCTGCACTGCTATGATTATTGGCAGTAATTGCTCTAGTTGCTGTAGCTGCTGTTACAGTAGCCGCACCTGTGTTCCACAAACTACCCAATCCTCGAACCTGATCAACACTAGACCACGCTTTCTCTGCCACAAAGTTTTGGTTGATTGAATAAAAGGGTGTATCGAAAGCAAGCATGCCGATGATTTTGGCTCCTTGTAATTGATCCGCACAGTCATTGCTGTTGTTGTGAAACTTTAATATCGTCTCTGCAGCTATTAGAGAGAGTTAGGTTATCGAATCCATTGCACGTTATCCATGAAGACTTACAGACAATGCCTCCCATAGAATGGCCTAGCAGAACAACCATGATTTTGCCAGAGCTCTCCAATCTATCCATCTCCTTCTTTATATCAGATACCTGTTGGCATAACCATCCAGAAAAATTTTCCACGGCAACTTTGAGATCCCTATGATATGCATCGGTTTGTAAGCCATAATATTTGATGGTTGCTGCCTCTGCACTATTTACCCAGCAGTTTTGTATGATGGATATACGATGGCGCTGACATCTGCTTTGACTGTATTCGTCAATATCGTCTGGAGTCTATTGGGGAAGTCCTGCAAAATACCTATTGTTAAAACATTATGCTCGCCTTGATAATCAACGCTCTACTTGCTTTAAAACTTGTATCAGTGCCCCTGAATCCATGAACAAAGACCAGTAGCAGTCTATCTAAATTATCATGATGCGTTGTCATTGATACTGATATAGAGAAAAGAGAAAGAGTGCAAAAAAAAAAAAAAAAGAAAAAAAAAAGAAAAGCTTAAATTCAGCATTTTATTAGTTGGTATTACGAAATAGTGCATCCGCCTTTTTCTTCTGTGGGGGGTTTATTAGCATTTTCAATTTGAGCGATAAGCAAATCAAATATTTTAGCTGGAGTAATTCAAATTAGCTTAATAGAGCATCTTTTTCAGGTACAACATGCAAACTTACAGACATTTTCATCGTGCTTGGCTGAAGTCTCAATGGTGGGACATTGCCATTGTTGGCCCAGCTCTTTACCCTCCTCCAAAGTAACTTGTCTCTGAATGTTCAAATCAGACTTGTTGCCCACAATCACACAAGGCACACTTTCTAATCCTGTGAAATCCAAAATCTTGTCGCGGATAATCTTGACCATATCGAAGCTGGATCTTGAGGAAATGGAATACACAAGAACGTATCCATTCATGCTAGATGCATGATGAGATGATAAAATAGAGTATTCATCCTGGCCAGCTGTATCCATGATTTCCACACTATACTCTGTATAAAGCCGCCACCTCAGTACTCATTATTACCATCACTAGTCTATATTACCATTTCCTCTGTATTTGATAGTCTTTGTGAAAGTGTTTTCAATGGTGGGATAATAGCTATCTACAAAATGATTCTCGCAAAACTGGATGACCAACGATGATTTGCCTGGTTGATATTGAGTGTATGTTTGCAGCATTCACCCTTTGCCTTTGTACTCACCAACAGCACGAGCTCCAAGTACTGCGATTCTTCTTGCTTTAGGTGGATTTGTACTCGACATGATTCAAGATAATAAAAGATTGTGATAGAGGTCAAGGAATTGTTGGAATTGCGAGATTTTTAAATATAGTGCAAACATCCGCAAACAATCACACAACGTCATCGCATGTTAAAAAAGCTCACCTGAGCAAATCCATTCAGTCGAAGTTTGGAGCCATTGTCAATCATCGAGTCCCTTCACCCTTCTTATTCGAAACTTGCAATGTGTTTCAAGGAGAAAACTATGAAACAACTGTATACCTGAAGGTGCTTTCATGCTAAGCGGCAAAGCGCTGCCATTGGTGCAATGGCCTATTGTTTTGCTTGACTTTGATGTTGATCTACCTTAGATGTCTATCATAACCTATAGAATGACTATCTACACAATATGGCAGTTATGCCTCTTGGAACCACATGGTAACTGAATTTCATGGCATAGCAGCATACATGTTGCATAGCAACCGCAATATCGAAAGGAAGAAGTTTGATCCGCGAAGCAATGGTAGAGGGCTCTAACTTACTTTGGGTACGATACGGACCATTTAGTAATTTGGGCTACCGAGTTATGAATTACCTATATTTGAGCTAATTTTATAGTAAAGTTTTTACTACATGCAGACTATCCAATGCCCCTAAAATCTCCAGCCTGTCTTACAACCGCCATCACATGGCTAATAGACTGTATTATTGTGCCATAATGCAGCGATACAACAGTGCCCTTCAAACTAATATTTCCAGTTGAATATTTGGCAACATGCCCTAAATCTAGATTAACGCATTCAATGTCTTTTCGCCTTTGTATCATGACAAAAATGTGCCTGTTGACAACCAAATGTATGAAACACAACCAAATTTGGCCGTTTTCAAGCCTTAATATCTTGCCATGTAGACCTCTCTGACCTACTGGAATGATACCAAACAATTGTACTTGAGTAGTAATAACATCCTGGCACCTTTGCTCAACTTTTTGGGGCCCCAAAAAACATGGCCAAAAATCGACCAAAAAGCATGAGATACCCCTCATGGTTTTCATCAAAAATCAAACGATCGCATTTTTTATCTTGATAATGGAGACTTTTACTATGGTATATATCAAATCAAAATGTTTCTCTCGATCCAAAGCAACCACTGAAACCACTTTTATGAGGTTTTCATATGCAAAATATGGCTATTTTGGTCAAAAACCTCATTTCATATTTTCTGAAATTGCACAATAAGTTCAGTCAAAACATCTATTTTGCTTAGTATCATTGGAAGCGTCTTGAAAAGTACTCCAAGAATGTATTAGGAAGCGTAGGATGATCATCACACTTTACATAGTCGAATCGTACAAAATAGTTTAAAGAAGTCGAAAAAAGACATAATCTGGCCAATCTTGAATAGTAAAAGAGGACTTGAGTTTAAATAAATTTTGGTGGGGGCGGCGGCGGCGACCAGTGCTGCTGGCTAGCCCAAATGCCTTTCTAATGATGACAATGATGGTTGCGATGCTGATTAAATGGGGATCATGAAGTCAGAAGGCCTATCTGTTATCACAAACACGTACTTTTTTTTACCTTCTTTGGGCATTTATATATTTGCCAACGCCAGCCAGACTGGCTCACCACTGAAACATATGTGATTGCAACTTCCTAATTATGATTTGAAGTATTTCAACATGGCATGTAGGCAGTATGCGTTTCATTGATTCATTTGAAAGTGACTATTGCTGCTGGCTGAAAAGTTATTTCCGTATGTGATGAGGATATCTTTGAAGCTTGTATCAGAATATTCATTAGGAATGATGGCTGCCAAATCATTAATAGTTGGCAGAGTTTGAGTGCGTCTATCTTCACAAACAATCAGCTCCAGCCTCATTTGAAGGTTGGGTCAAATGCGGGCATCCTCTTTGATATGATTTCAGGCTTGTAGTTTTCCTTCTTCGCTCAGGATCTCATCAGCATACTTGTAAATGCGAACAACGGTTTTTTGAGCCTTGCTCGGTACTCAATGTTAAATAATTGCCTGATATCAGTAAACAGCATCTCCGTATACATACAAACAACGTAAATCAATGGCAAACTAGGCCGTAAGCATGTGCGTCGTTATGGAAACAGACAAATGTAACATTCTGTCTTGTACGAATTAATATACCTAAAATTGCGCTCAAGTACCATATGTATGGAGTCAGTAGGCGGTCCATAAAAATTTTAAGGTAGTCCGTACCAACCCTGATTTACTTTGATCTTCAGGGCAGGCCACTTTTTGCACAGATAGTGGGCTCAAACTTTTTTTCGCTCGGAAGAAACATGCTGCTGATTAGATAATGCCTAAAAAAATGGCTTTTAATGATAAAATCTTGGGTTTTCATGCATCAGTTCCACAACTCAGTATTTGATTCGACTGCTATTGACAACACGAGCTGCTATGATTGCAATTACTTCATCAGCTTGACTTGAGAATCCTGTATACCTACTGAACATTGGCTATGGAGCCGGCAAATCTATCATACTATTATAGATTGGGGTTATCCGCATAAGCGATTGAGTGCCGTGTAAAGACTCATACCCCATTCAGGATGCAAGATACATACAAAAATGAGCTGTACGTTTATGAAGGGGCTAATGTAAGGACCAAGATTTGCTTGACATTTACGATTTTGACCATTATTTGTCAGTTTTTTTTTCTTTTTATGGATAAACACAAGATAGTTGGAGCTACCAAAATACAATGCATCATACGACAAAAAAAAATAGCCATATCTGATCAATAAATGATTACGGCTCGATCGGTTGCTCGCATTTCATTCATGTCAACAGATTGCTATCAATAGTTGAATGGATTAAGGGCTTAAACGTTGTCTAGTTTTCTGATGGGAATGGTATTTGGTAATGTGGGATTCAATGAGAACTTGGCGGTCTATTGCCTTGCTGTGCGTCTAAATTGAGTCAATTAAAACTTATGTGTGAGAGGCTATATCCCCACACAAAACACGTGATGAAATTAGAGTATAAATCAGATCTGGGAAATCTTTAGAGATCCAGTTCCATAGCCTCCTTTCTTTCTTTTTTCACAAAACATGTCTGCAGATCCCTTTCGCTTCCGTGTCGCACCTTCTATTGAATTCAACGAAAGTCAACTAGAGACACTCAAAGTCATTCTGGACACATTCATTGCACCTCTTCCTAAAGAACAAGAAGATGCACTTGTTTTAAAGCTGAAAGACACACACACCGAAGAGCAGGTCCGCACTTTCTGTCAACTGACCAGCACTTCACTTCAGTCATTAGAGGCCATCAAGCGTTTTGTGAACAGAACCGTGTTACCAGACAAGCGCAAAGAGCTCTTATTGATGCTCTCGTTGCTATCATCTCGCGCAGGTACATTTGCATTGACGGGTCATTTCGATGAGTTCAAGAACCTTTCCCTGTCTGAACGTGAAGCTATCTTTATCAACTGGAAAAACTCTTTCTTGCCACAATTAAGATTGCTATACAAGACCTTCCACTCGTTATCCTGCCACCCTGCGTACGCTGCACACACCAAGGATCTGGGCATTGCCATGCATTACAACGATTTGATCAAGGATCAAAAGTACGAAAATGTGCCTGACAGGTTAGACATGTTGAAGCCTGAACAGGTGCAAGATAATATGGAGTTTGATGTTGTTATTATTGGAAGCGGTGCTGGTGGCGGTAAATAGGCTGAACCAAGCATTGCATTTATTTTGTGTAAGGTATACAGAAATTAAGATTTTGCATTATCCTGTAGGGGTTGTTGCTAGCCAGTTAGCTAAAGCCGGTAAATCAGTCCTCGTTGTTGAAAAGGGTGCTTATCATCATGAAGATGAATTCATCGTTGACGAATCCAAGGGCTTTGAAAATTTGTATGAATATGGCGGGTTTGCTCCCAGTTACGAAGGTTCTATTAGTATGTTGGCCGGCAGTGTCTTTGGTGGTGGAACTACAGTCAATTGGTGTGCATCTCTCAAGGTAATTGATACAGTGACTGACTGCATGCGTACCGTAACTAACTCTTATGCAACAGCTCCAACACTTTGTTCGTGAGGAATGGGCTAAACAAGGCTTGTCGCACTTTTTATCACCAAAGGTAGAGTAGAAAAGCACTAGCCATCAGCCCAATTACTCACTGTATTACAAAGTTTGCCAATGATCTCGACAGAGTTTTCGAGAGAATCGGTGCTACCACGGATGGCATCATGCACAATAAATCCAACCAGGTCCTAATTGATGGTTGCAAGTAAGTATTTTTGAACATGCTATGTGGCCCTTACTTACAAATAATGAATCAAGGATCCTCGGTTATCCAGTTTCTGAAATTCCTCAAAACACTGGCGGCAAGCCCCATGAATGTGAATTTTGCTACACTGGCTGTAGAGCAGGCATCAAAAATGGTTCCATGAACACCTGGCTTCGTGACGCAAACCAGCATAATGCCAAATTCTTGGTCAAGACAAAGGTCAACAAGGTCATCACAAAGAATGGCAGAGCTGTTGGTGTCGAATGTGTGGTCAACTATGACCGCAAGGTCACTATCAAGGCCAATCAAGTGGTTGTTTCTGCTGGTTCGTTGCAATCACCCGGTGTCCTGTTGAGAAGTGGTCTCAAGAACAAGAACATTGGCCGTTACTTGAGACTTCATCCTTGTTCCATCACGTTTGGCTTCTTTGATCGTGAAATTCGTACCTTCCAAGGTTCCATTATGACCGCTGTCAGTGGTGTCGCTGAAAACGTGGACAATGATGGTTACGGTGCCAAGCTGGAAGTGCCCTGTCTTCATCCGGGCAGTTTCTCTACAGTTTTGCCTTGGCGTGGTGCTGCTGCCCATAAGGAACTGATGATGCGCTACGATCGCTGTTCTCCCATCCTAATCTTGTCTCGTGATAAAGACTCGACTGGTGTGGTTCGTTATGACGACAAGGACAATGTCATTGTTGATTTTAACTTGTCTAGTCGCGACCGCAAATCATTGCTTGTTGGCATTGAGCGTTCTCTTGATATCTTGGTCGCTGCTGGTGCTCGTGAGGTTCAGACTGGTCAATTCGGCGTAGATCCATTTGTCTTTAAGGATTCTGAAGAATCTCGCGTGGATAATCCTCGCTTTATTGCTTGGAAGCAGCAAGTCGCCAAGTATGGCTTCCCCCAAGAAGGTGCGGGTGTCTTTTGCGCTCATCAAATGGGTTCCAACCGCATGGGTATCTCGCCAAAGACCTCCGTCGTCAAGCCCACAGGCGAGACTTGGGAAGTGAAAGACTTGTATGTCGCTGATGCCTCTGTCTTCCCAACTGCTTCTGGCGTCAATCCCATGGTGACAACTGAGGCTATCGCATTGCATATTGCCGATTGTATCTTGAACAAGAACAGCAATGCTAAGCTTTAATTAATATCGTCAGCATGAATAAAGTCTCTTCATTTTGATACAACAGATTAAGGGAAAAAAGATTTATAAATATAAGAAAAGAGCAATGATAAGAAAGGAAGAAGAAAAGGTGAGGTTATATGTGAAAGCGGTAGAGAAGTGAGAGAGATTATGAATATATACGAGCAAAATGATGGTGATTAGTATCTGATTTTTTTGGGATCAGCATTTTCATCTTGCTGCTCCTTGTCGTTAGTTACTCTTTGCCTTTTCAGATCAGATGCTGAGGGAGGAATGTAAGAGCTTCTATGGCGACCCAACTTGGGTGGGATCTTCCAAAAGTACTGCTTGTCTTTCAACGTACATTTGCGAGCACTTCGTCCGACCTGTGTGTATGTTGCGCGACGCCATTCGACAGGATCCAATTCACTGTTGTAGTAGTACAGGTTCTCGGTGGGCGATCCATCTGCTGTCTTGCCTTTACGTTGGATTTCGCCAAAGAAAGGTCTTTCCTTCAATACTGAGGTGATGCGTTCAATCCAGATTTCGCGAGATTCCTTAGCGTAAGCTGGATTAGCCTTCAAAATACGAGAGCAAATATCACTGATAGGCATAGACGATGTGCGTGAAAAGACTGTAATGATACAATGTTAGTGCTGTTTTGCAACCCACACAAAAGCCATATCTGTTTTTACCAAGGGCATCAATAATGACTTCAGCGTAATCATTAGAATCTTCCTCGAGATGTTGCTTCTTCTTTTCTTGCAAAATTAAAGCCTTCTTCTTGTCCTCTCTCTTGAGCGCTCTTCTGATTTCTTTCTTGCTAAGTTTCTTCTCAACAGGCTTTGGTTCTTCAACAGGCGCAACCATCTCTTGTTTCACTGGTGAGACAATTTCCTCATCTACATTGATTTCAGGTGATAATTCCTTTTCAACTGGAGAAAGAGCTTCATCAGGTAGCAAATCAGAGGAGAATGCTTCGTCTTCTTGTGCATTTTCTTCCATTGTAGTTGTTGCGACTGTTTGCTCAACTGGGGGAACTTCAACTATCTCTTCCTTGGTGGGTAATGGTGCTGCTGTTTCCTCGACAATCAGTTCCACTTGCTGTTGCTCTGCTTCTGGCGACAATTCTCTGAGAATATCAGTGTTCTTTCTGATGACAACTTCACTGACCTCTTGCTGCTGTATTTGTTGTTGAATTTTATCAGCAAAATTGACTGAAGAAGGTGGAGGAGGCATCTTGAAATGAAATTGATCACCAACGACATCGATAAAACTGTTATCTTCGAGAGGTGCAACGCCATACTGATCATATGAAACGTTATCGACACAAGCACCATTCAATCCTAAAACTGTCAACTCAAACCGCTCTGTTTCGTTATTGAAAGCGATTGAAACGTGAACACGACTAATCTGTCTGTTACGGCGACCAATTTTAATTGTATTAGAACCGCCACGACCCAAGGTGATAGGTTTTTCATGGGATCCAACCACAACAAGGTTTTGCTGGTGTAAAATATGGTTGATGGTGGATGATGTCGAAGAGTTCAAATTGGATGTAGGTCGAAGATCATCTGAATTCGTGCTGTATTTATCCATATAATCAGGGCTATCAGGTAAAGCCTGTTGATTACTAGGAACACGCTTAGGACTCAAAGTGGCCCAATTATTGGCTACTACTTCGTTTGTTTCCATGACTATTTGAGATAAACGAGTGAAATAATCAGCATTACGTTTATTCAAGGTAGTGAATTTCTTACTTACATTACAATTAGTTGTGTTGAACAAAAGAGAAGAGAAAATATTTTCTTTGGGCCCCTTCATCTCGTGTGGAAATAAGCGCGTTTGTTATCTTCGGTGCCGACCCAATCATAGTGTGTTTTTTCATAACTTACCTTGAAGGCAGTCAGAGCAAGTTGACCTCTAGCATGCACTTGTACGTTTATCATATGTACATTGGTTTAAGAAGCAAGATGACAGTTTACTTGATCATTGATAGCTTGCCAATGAATGAGAAGGACCAATTAATTCGTGTTGTAAATGTGGTCTACGACATCCATTTCAGTTTTTGCATTTGTTAGCTTATTAATCACTATATTACCAAAAAGTGAAGCAGCGTATACCTATGTGTTTACGCAATTTAACAGGATACCAAGGCGTACTTGCTTTTCTTTGCAGCCTTTGCTGCCGGGAAGTCCCTACATACATACTGTTATACTAGTAGTTATATGCGTATTTTTGCAATACGTTTACATCTATTTCGATAGTTTTTACGATTGGCACAGTACATTATACCCCAAACAATACAAAATTAACCTGGAAAGTGTTCGAGTTTCATAAAATCAAGACATTTTAGTTGATATTAGGACGACTTCAGAAGAATTTTTATGAAAACTTCAGAATAGCAATTTTTGAAAGTTATACAATCAAGAATATGAACAGTCTTTAGTTTGGAAGTCTATCAAAACTCGTAGCGGTCTGTTTGAATACGTGTACCTGAATTTGGCGAAGAGAAATGTAGCTCAAACTTGATCTAAAAAAACACGTGACCACTGCAACTTTTTGTAGGGTGGTACTGAGGTCAAAATAGGGGCAGAGTGTACGTTTTTGCCTCTAGTATTGCCCAAATGGCAGAGTGAACATATTACACGGTTTGGTAAACTATATGAGGGAGTCACTCGGCTACTGGCTGCTAGCTGCTTCAATTTGATTGAAAAGGGACTCAAATGTATGAACATGTCATTTGAAACATGATTCAACTTCAATTTTTTCGAAAGCATCCATTTCTCGCTCTACAGAGCTCTTGAATAACTTATCAGCTACCTGCAAAAAGGGTATTTATATTTTGGCATACCCGTAGGGTAATATAAGATAATGTATTTAAGAGCTGCTACAATGAGATCTTCGATCGCATATACTATCTTAACACATAAGCATCTGACAAAAATTGATAAATATCGAGCTCTCTTTAACGATTACCTTTGCACTTGGTAATGAACATATAAATATTGCTGATAGAAAGAAAGACTCTAAGAAGCTATCCCAATAGTTATGAGAGATGAATTTCAAGGCTTCTTTAGGTGTGTTTGTACTAGATTGTCACTAGTAGTAACTAAACTCCAGATATAATAAGAAAATGGCTAATGTTTATTAAGATGAAGATCAAAACACTATTTACGCATTATATTGTCCTTTGTACTTTTGCTTTTATTCTTCTGTCAAGCGCAATTCAGATCTGAATGTCAGTTCCGTCATCAAAATGTAACCCCAAAGTGAATTATTAGAGATCACACTGATGAATTCGTAATAATAAGTCGATGATAATAATCAGTTGTCAACTGTATCTAAAACGAAAGCAAAGAGCTTCTTTATTACAGGGCATCTAGCTTGCTTAAATATGGTAGATCCCTGGTCAATGACTACTACGTTGAGATGGTATATAAATAGCAGGCCACTGGGGCCTTATGGATTGTTGGTATAGCTTGTTGAGAGGCCACCTAAGTCGGTATGTTTCATGTAGTGTAGGTGGATCTCGATATCTTGACATTGGGGAGATTGAATGTATTGTAGTTCCTGAGGCACCTGTGCACACACAATTGACTGGACTTGTAAACATAGATGTGATGTGATACGATAAACATCATCTATGCTGCTACACTGTAAAAGGTGGCTTGAGGAGAAAGTGAATGTAGCCTAAGATGCATGCTTGTATGCAACACACACCAACAAACATCTCTTTTCGAATAGACCATAGCAGATAATATACAGATTTACACCTTAGATCCATCACCTTTATACATTTCCTTATATTATAGAGTATTGCCTTTTCAAGAAGTGCAGAAGTAAGGAAAGAAATTACACTTATCAAAACTGATACTCTTCGATACTGGTTTTGTGAAATAATGTATAGCAAAAGGAATGGAAGATCTTGCAGTAATAATCGATCCCGAGACCAACATCAAATTATTAAGGCTTCTTAAGGTGCTGATGTGTTGTAATAACCTTGATGTAAATAATATCTCAGCGATACGATGTATATAACGTTATGTATCCAAAAGATTTAAACGTAAGAAAGTTTCTTTTATTTTAAAGGTGTTATATCGATCAATATATATAAGCCGAATTGTAAATAGAATAGCCATATTAAACGCCAGTGCAGGAACAGGCTTCTGATAGGCTCTAGTTCAATCACCGTTCTAATTTTTAAATTTAGTGCAATATAATTATTTTACTATTGCTGGAAAATGTCAGATGCTTATATATAGAGATAGTATATGCAATCTGAGATCTGATCGAGATATATAAGGAAGTAGATATGAAGAGTGTGCAGGAAGATGTTATAGCTTTTTAGCTGAATGTGTTATGTCAAAATACAATGTAAAATTGAATCTGCCAAAGAATTACACGTTTATTGAGAATGCATCCCAAGGATGCATTTATATACTTTTCATTATGCTAGGGTTTGCAGCATGATGATGAACTATAATACAAATAGGTTTACTATCTACCCAACAATTGATTTGTAAACCATGATTAGCATGATTTACCCAAAGGACCTAAGAATAGCCTAAAACCTTTAGTGTGAGACCTTGCTATGACATTTGATATAACAGAATGGATAAAAAGGTGTCTTTATTACTATTAGATTTGGATATTGGTTTTATCCAATATAGTTTGTGTAATGTTGCGTGCTATCCAGGTTAATTGCTGTTTGATGTTCCTGGTAGCTGGCGCTCTAGGTTTAAACCTGTGCTTCTTATTCTTGTTTGTGTTTGGTCTGTCAATGATATCCTGCAGATCTAAATCACTGTCAGAATACCCTTCAACCCTGACATTTTTGTCGTGCCTAAATTTAGGTTTAAGCCAAATTTGAAGAAAGCGACTAAAAGGCGCCAGCGTATACTCGAAGGTTCTGGAAACTGATAGCAAACATTGATCTGATTATCAGTTGCTATATCAAGTACTATATCTACTCGAAAGTTCTATTGATTAAGTAATTATCGATCGTAGAAATAGTATAAATATAAGTTGTACATGCAATCAATAAACAGTGTCTTCGAACATAATCTCAATCTATTAGTTACACTCTAAGTTATTTGTTAACTCCTACCATTGGATCTATCTATCAAGACGACAGTTTTTGTCTGGGTTAAAGGGTATTCTGACAGTAATTTACATCTGCAGGATATCATTGACAGACCAAACACAAACAAGAATAAGAAGCACAGGTTTAAACCTAGAGCGCCAGCTACCAGGAACATTAAACAGCGATTAACCTGGATAGCGCACAACATTACACAAACTATATTGGATAAAATCAATGTTCAAATCTAATATCAATAAAGCACCATTTTATCCATTCAACTAAAAGGCTATAACATCTTCCTGCACACTCTCTATATCTACTTCCATTTATATCTCGATCAGATCTCAGATTGCATATACTATCTCTACGTATCAACATTTGACAAAAACATAACAAGTCGCTTTGTCCGAGTGGTTAAGGAGTATGACTAGAAATCATATACGCTCTGCGTGCGCAGGTTCAAATCCTGCAGGCGACGATATATTTTGTCGATTTTTACTATCGCAGTGCATGTAGCGTTGTTAGTGGCATTCTCACAAAATATCCTTTGCATCTGTATAACAATGCTTCCTGTTTATTGTCATAACTAGTTACATCTTTTATTACACAAGTCAATTGGTATATATATTAGAGCTAACTGTCAAACTCAATGTTACAAATCGATTTTGGTTTTGTAACTGAATCTCTGTTTTTTTGTTGTAAATTGCCTACACTATCGTATAAACTACGTTTCACTGCTTACTATATTGGATTCTACTTCTGTTACTGCAAATTGACATTAAACTTTTAAATGCTTCTTATATTCGAATATACTCTGAATCCTATCTCAAGAATGACAAATCAGTTACCACTCAGCCTCGTATCATTTTGACAGATATATATTCAAACTCTTAAACATCTCTCTTTCCTAATGGAAGCACACAAATGGGAAGCTACTCCACATTACCCATGTGGAATACATCCACTATGATCTGCATTCCGACAATTCATCCAGTTACCAGATTTAGATATAAACTGTATGTACGCTGGATTAGATGTACGATATCGATTTATACTATAATAAGAAGATATGGACTTCAGATACTACGCTAGTACTATAAGATTCATACTATATAAGATATAGGCTATAGATGGCACCACGGACATGGATGGCGCTATAGACTTATACTTGTATTCCGACATTGACTACGGATGTTTACCATATCTGGATAGGCACCAAGATTAATGCAATATGGGCTTGTTGCTTCCGATGTGCACTTTATGATCCACGCTATAAGACACATGCTTATATCCGTGATACTAGTTACAGATACTTTATGTACTACAGACTTGTACTACTATATATGAGACATGCTATAGATATGCATACGATATACTATAGACATGCCATATATCCATATACATGCTAAAGATGTATGCTCAGCGATATACACTCAGATATGTACTATTGATATAGACTAAGGAGACTGTACCTATTGGATACATGCTACTAGATCGATATTAATTATCCTTATACAAAGGAGAGATCAGGGTAGTTCGGATGAGAGTCTAATTGTTCATCCAGGCAAAGCTAAATCATGATTAGCTTGCTGGAGTTGTCTTTTAGCATGATTAGACATTAGTTGATCTGAGTTGACTTATTTGTTAATCTAATTAATAGAACTTTTATCCATTGTTATAGTATATAAGAAGGATCATCTACCTGGCCAGTAGAGAGACTTCAGTTTACTTTACACCTGTCAGATTGATAATAAAACATACCTTTATCCAGTTGACTTTACTTTTTCTTTCTTTTTTTCCGTTAATTTTAGTCTATAAAGCCTCAAATTCCACACCTTGGATGTAAGATAAAAGATAGCAGACCATGATGATGTACATTGCATGCTTGGCGGGGGATTTGGTACTGCTGCAGTAAAACATATTATATAATCATCTTCCATGCATAATAGGTTTACAAAAACATTCTTTACACAGAATCGTTTGATGGATGATGAATTCAATCATTGCACCTTATATTACTTTTGAACGAAGAAGAATTTATATTGTATATTTTGTTAACCTTTTATTACAGTTACAAAATCATGATAAATGGCAGATCAATAGTAATTCAACTAGTTATAACCCTTCGCTGCTTCGACCCCTCAGCCAATCAAATCGCTTAAAAACTCAGCTGACCTAAAAAAAATTTTGCGAGGGTTTCCCCCTGTTTTGATGTGAGGCAAAATTTTAAGCGCCGCTATAATAGCATTATAGCCGCAGCTATCATAAAATTTCCCTCAGGTGCTAGAGCATGCCTTACTTACACCACCTAGCTTGAGATTCTGGCATTGAGACCCTCAATCATCACTAAAGTAAGTAGCAATAACCAAGTGGAGGCAGCCTATCCACCTCCTGGTGTCGGATGAAGTCTTGTTGAGCTTCAGTGATAGGCACATCCACACAACGTAAAAAAGGTATGCTTCAAAGAAACATAATAAGAATAAAAGAAAGAAGAAAAGAACATACTACTATAGGGGTATAGTAGTTTGTAGGCAAAAAAAGAAACACTCATACAAAATGAATCAACGAAAAGCATATCATGAATACGACATCAAAAATGTTACATTCTTTGCACAACAAAGTTTAAACTATATTCTTGTTGCAAAAAAAACAAGAATACATAAATGAGTAACATGTATGATAATAGTCGGATGTAAAGCAACACAAACACGCACAATTGCAAGAGCAACAGTAGTATGAGTGTATAATACAACATAATAGCTAATGTCGTTTTATGTGAAGCGGCAGAGGCAACACAAACAACAAACCACGGCCATATTACAAAGTATTATCACAAGAGTAATACAAATATATGGCAGTGCATCATGCTTGTTGTTGTTCGTACATGACATACAAAGTAACAACATTGCAAGTACTCGTTGAGCTGATCATATCACAGCTGATGAAAGAGAAAAAAAACGCAGCAAAGCAAACATCATGATAATGAATGCATTATTACGAGAAAGGAAGCAATAATAAAAACGTTCATTATTGCAACCAGAAGAAACAATTACTTACCACTTATTACCACAGCCAAAGATGAACCAGAAAACAGCCATACACCAGAGACAAGAGATCAAAGGACAAGAAAATACCAGGAAAGGATTACAGAAGCAACAATAGACCATCGAAACAGCCACCAGCAAGTGCGTAGCAAGGGTTCAGCAAGAGACTAGAAATGAAGCCTGAATTATTGGAGCTATTCCAAGTACAACGACAGTATAAAACGCGTTAACATTGTATTCTACGTCTATTGCGCAGTTGTCAGCTATACGTACTTTAGTTCCATCGACAAAAGTAGCGTTGTTTTATGAATGATAGGTTTACAAAATGCAATAAAAAACGAGGGGAGAATGCTAATGATAAAAAAGGGAGGGAGGGAGGAATGTTAATAGAAAGCTGCGGCTAAAAGCCGTCACTGGTATCAGTACAGATAAAGTAGACAATAGGAATTTGGTCGCTTGCTACAGGGTAGCAAAGCAAGATAGGAGTTTGCGGTTTTCATTACAAGTTTAGCCAACACCTTACCTATCGATCTATCACTTGCAATTAAGAGGTTGTATTTGGAAAGGTAGCAAATTTTGCGTTCCAATTGAGCCGCATACTAAAAAAAGCGGTATTTTAAACCATGAATAGCCCAGCTTCCATAATGCTCAAAACGAGGATTCATAGATCTCTGAAATCGCTTGATGTCGAAATCAAGCAATTCTGATAATAAAACTGCGTTCCAGCTAAACCAAACTTAGGATAAAATTTAAAGAAGAATCGAATGATACCAGTTTTGAGAGCTTTGACCAAATCTATTAGGCTGGTTTTTGATAGAATAGATTTTGCGTTTTTTCGGTAGTTTCTGAGAGATTATCAAGCTTTGGCCATCAAAACTCTACCTGTAATGCCTATCATATTGTAGAGCCAAAAAATTCCTATCGAATGAGCTATTCCTTGAAGCTCTAACATAATTATATTATGAGGAATCAGCAGTTTTGTATTTTCAAAAAATTGCTATTCAGATTTTTGCCTTGCTATTACAGGCAAATTTTGGACAAAAATTAGTGATTTTGCACGAAAACCTTTTTTGGTCGTATCTCAACAAATACTCATTGGATTTAGAGAGAACTAAAACCGTTGTATAGCTTTACTATGGATCTATTATGATGTAGAGATTTTAAGGTCCAAATGCACGTTCCTTTTATGATTTTACTCAAAATTCTGTATTTTACGACCTTTTATTAACCAGAAACGTTGTCAAACAACCGCAAATAAAGCTATACTGGCCATTTAAATTGGCACAGAATTGAAATGCGCATCAAATGGCACCCACGCATAAGTGATGCTATATAAGTTGTACACAAATAAGCATATATTTTGAAGGTTTTTTAAGACGAGTATGTATGTACCGAATTTGCGCTGTAATGAAATAGCCACCCAAACGTAACTTGATTGAAAACCAAAACTCACCAAATAGCACTCATTCAGATTCATGCTATTTGGATCTATTAACAAACGCGCTCAAATGTACATCAACAACCATTTAAACATACTAAAGTAAAGATACACGCTGATATCGCACAACGTGTGAATGAATCACTCCTGATCACAGTGTATTCAATCACACACATGATGGTCGTAATAAGAGATGATTTCTTTATCCAAATAAAATCAAGTCAATAACAAGCATATTTAAATATGACAACTATGCCCTGCTGCCATAGTTGCACAATATCCCAGATAAAGGGTTCCATACTTCAATAACAAACATCACACTTTAAACCATCAAGACTACATTAAACCATGCTATGACGATAGCTCACCCAAGCCCATCAAGGTTACTCAAATCGACCCTTATGGCCAGTGCTCCTGCATTGATTACCACTTTAAATCAAACATCAACAACATTTGCCAGATATCGCAATAGCAGCACCTATTGCTCTCTATCATGACTAATCCTACAAGCTAGTTGCAAATGTATAAATACTCTTCTTTTTTAACTCTATTCCAGGATCTTCAGTTCATTTTATACACAAATAAAATACAATTGATTTCTATTGTATTTTACTGTTGCTTTTTTTTTTGTGAAATCTATTCAAACCTGATTTCATTGCATGCGCCACTGTAAACTCCAATTTGAGGGTTGAAAACCTGGTTTTTGAAGGGAAGTATCGTAGTAGGTGCCAAAACGAGGTTTCATTTTGTAGAGCAAACAGAGGGAAGCAAGATTTAACTAATAGAGAGGAGGCCTGGTTGAATCGGCTGTTGTACGTTACTGATAATAATGTCGAAACACAGCTTTTTATTGTATTGGCTACTGTACACTTTTTTCGCTTAATTATTTGACAACCAATGTAGCAACTGAAAATCTGTTTATATGTTTGCCAACCCTTAAAATTGGGCGTATAATGGCCCTGATATAAAGGCTCTAGCATCCACATCAAGCATGGAATACCTGTTCCTCCTGTTTCGTAAAGTGTGCAGCTCAGCTTTAAACCTTTGCCGCACCACAACGAAGCAACTTATCACCAACCAGTTTTGTATAAAACCGTTTTCCAACATCGCATCCATCGATCTAGCACTCGCAATCACTTCTAATTAACAGGTTCTCATATGAAGCTCATGGTCCAACATTGGCTTATTTCGAGAACCATCTCTTGATAAACGACAACTCGTTCTATTCAAAATTCCAATTACATCATATCATATCATTGTTTTTTTTTTTGCAGAATTTGCTTCTAAGAACAGGCTACTTTCAAACCAAAAGCAAAATTTAAAATCGAAATTTAAAGAGAAAATAAAAGAGAAAAAAAGAGAAAAGGAGAGAAAAGGAGAGGAAATAGAGAAAAAGGAGTGCGAACGACGAGTTCATTTTATATTAATGCGAAAACGTTTGTGATGTGCAAGAACGGCTTTGGAAGGCACGATAATCACAGGTTTCTGCTGAACTCAGGTTTGAATTTAAATGATTACTTTACTGAAAGCGCACTGCTGACGTTGCCTCCTGATCTCTGACAAAATCAAGCTCTTCTAAGAAACGTGGTAAAAACTTGACTCAAAGACAGCCTTTGATGAGCATGAAAAAAAGAAAAGAAATGGTTTCAAGGCTACAAGGCTTGGCATTGAACCAAGTAAGCAAAATCAATCTATTTTCCAATACAAAATTGACCAAACAATACATCCAGCACGTTTTCCACGTCTATTCGACCAGTAATTCTGCCCAATGCATTAGCCGCCTGCCTCAATTCCTCTGCAGAAAGCACGATATCCTCCTCTGGCATATCTACAACACAGACTATTAGCAACATGAAAGACACATCCAGTCAAAACTATACTTGCTTAAGAATGCTTCAAGGTGTGATACACAGTGTTCCAAATGTTCTCTGTGTCGAGCTTGAGTGATCAAAACAGGGTTTGCAATAGTAGAGTCGAATCTACAGCATCAAACATAAGTATACGCTACATGTTGCAATCAAAGATAAATACATACTTTAGTTTCAAAATGTCAATCATTTGCTTCAAAAAGACATCCACGCCTCTACCCGTTGAGCAGCTCATTGTCCAAACTTGCTTGGCTCCAGTATCCCTCTGTATGTTGGTTACTAATTGCGAGAGATCGTTATGACTGCAGATATCGTCCTTGTTTAATACCAGATAGGTATCCTTATCAATGACACTACGCACAAGTGGATCCAGTGTAGGCAGACCAGTTGCAGTGATACCTTCTAATGATAGCAAGCAAATCTTTACATCGGCCGTGTCGATCCTGTAAAAGCATTCATTTATCATTGCTCTTTTCTTATTCGCCTGTCCCTTTGTTACCTTGCTTTTGCTCTCTTAATTCCTTCTATCTCTACTATATCAGAAGATTCCCGTAAACCAGCTGTATCGCATACGACGACAGGATATCCGCCTAGATCCAACTTGACTTCCACTACATCTCTGGTGGTACCTGGTATATTGGACACAATGGCTGCCTCCCTCTTGGCTAAACGATTCAGCAGCGTGCTCTTCCCTGCATTCGGTGGTCCCACAATAGCTACTTGTATACCATTTCTGACAATCTCACCTACATGACTGTCGTCGAGATGAGAGCTGATGGACGTATACAGCTTTTCAACATCATGTATCACTTGATCCATGACACCGTCTTCGATATTTTCGTCCTCACCAAAATCAATGACGGCCTCTGTAGTGGCCATGCATTTGATAATCTGCTCTCTCCAATGCTCGTATGGCTTCCGCAATCCTCCTTCTGCTTGACGAAGCGCTAGTCGATGTTGCATTTCTGTCTCTGCGTTCAGCAAATCCGCCAAACCTTCCAGTTCCGTGAGATCCAATTTATCATTATCAAAGGCTCTGGATCGTTGGGCTGTTAGCATGACGGTAAATTTGTTTAGTGTTGCGCTAATTACCTTCGAGAAAACTCTCCTTGTTCTGCCATACGAAAACCCTGAATATGATGCAGCGCATCCAGGACACTTTTGACGACAGCATTTCCACCATGGATCTGCAATTCAACAGAATCTTCGCCTGTGAAACTGTGTGGTCCTGGAAACCACAATACAAGTCCTCTATCCAGAATTTGTCGTGATATTGGGTGTCTAATGCGCCTGAAGTAAGCTTTTCGTGGGTCTGTCACTGTTGATTTCGCAGTTGATGGTAATGTCATTTTAGAAATTGCCTACACGCAGTGTTAAATTGCAGAAACACACCAATGTGGACCAAGCTACATACTTGTTTAGCATTGTTTCCCGATATACGGATAACAGCCACACCTGCTTTACCAGGGGACGATGAAAGTGCATAGATGGTTTGCGGTCTTGTCGTTATACAGCGAATTTTTCGAGAAATCGATGGCCATGGCAATGATTTGACAGCTCGAAACATGATGAAAAAAAGAAATGAGAATGAGGAAAAAAAAGCACAAGATGCGAGAAACGAAACCCCGGCTGTTGCAAACTTTTCTCCTCCTTTTCCCTCTTTACAACATGCTGCATTATCGACCTTTCACTCAAATACTTAAGCAAGCCATTGCTGTAGACAGACACTTGACATTTATCAGACCATTTGCCTCATTAACGACGACTATTAACCATGCTAAATCAAGCACCAAGAAAGATACCTCTGCTACAGATACACTCTCCAATCGACAGAAATTTAATCAGATCCAGCCCCCCATCAAGCTCTATGAGAAGCTTGAAAAATTGGGATTTGGCACTCTTTTGAAAACCAAGCGCTACTCGGGTTTGCACAAACAAAAGGCAAGACGAGATCAGCAACGTCAACAGTACACAGAACGTGTAGGACCTCCTCCTGAGCCGAAATATGCTGTAAGTTTAGAATCCATGTCAATTCGCACTGCCTGTCATTCATCAGCAAACAGTTTCCTCTGCTTTCATTTTTTGCAGGAGCCAAAGTGCCTACATCATTCCCACCTGAATCATTAGATGAAATTGCATTTGTTGGTATGTTGTTGTGCTGCTTACGTTGCTAATGCACTCACAATGTCTCTCAAAAGGTCGATCCAATGTCGGAAAATCCAGTTTAATCAATAGCGTAGCTGAATCGAGCGTTGTCAGAACATCAGATAAGCCGGGTTTGACACAGCAGATTAATTTCTACAATGTTGGTACACTCTTTCATATGATTGATATGCCTGGCTATGGTTTCGCCTTTGTAGATGATGCAGAGCGAAAGCAATGGAGAGAGTTGGTAGGTACTTGGGCAATTGTGGATGATTTGCCTCTCATACTCGTTATTCAGATGGAAACATACATTACAAAACGAAAAACATTGAAGCGAGTTTATGTGGTACTCGATGCTCGCCATGGCGTCAAAGTGGCAGATGTTGATTTCTTCAAAATGCTCAACAGCAAACAAGTTAAATTCCAAGTTGTCTTGACGAAATGTGATTTACTAGTGTTGCCCAACTTGGCTAAGCGTATTGTCACAGTGGAAGATCATATTAAGCAGCTTCGAAATGCAGTGAAAGATGTGGTTGTGGTTAGCTCAAAAACAGATGCTGGCATCAATCAATTCCGAAAAGAGATGCTCTTTTTGATGGGTCATTTACAACCCAAAGAGTTTTACCAAGCAATCCAAGCAGCCAAAGACGAAAAGGAGGCTAGAAAAACCAAAAGCCTAAGCTTCAAGAAATGAGCACATTTGTATTAGAGTTTGGTTTTTAATAAATAAGTGAAAATTTGCATAATAAATTCAGTTGTGTAGAAGGCGGACAACTTTTGAATGAGAATATAAAATAGAGACCATAGAGTATTTAAATAAGGAAAAAAGGAGGAGAGGGAGGAGGAGGAGGAGAGCGGCAAGAGACAAGGAAGAAGCAGAAGACTGTACATATAATTAGTAAGAAGAGGGAAAACATATATAAATTGAGATGATCCGGTTTCAAATGAAATATATAATATCAGGTTAAATAGCAGTAGATTAAATAACAAGAGCGCTATGAATGGTTCCAGACCACCACCGTCTAGTCTATGTAGAATAGTGCCCTTCTTTTTGTTGCTGTAATTGGCGTCTTGAAGCAAGTTGCACCATGGCAACAGCAGCGTCAACCTCGACAATACGTTCCTGATGTGGTTGCTTGTGCTGCGATGAAGTTGAATTACGAGGGATAACAGAACGCAGTGGAGGCAAATGTATAATTTCTTCATTCAGCGGAGAGCTATTGTGTGTAGAGGTAGTAGAGGATGTTGCCAGTGGAGGTGGAGGTGGAGGTTGGCTTGCCAATCGAGCATAATACTGCTGTAATGATAAACGTCTTGGACCATTCAAAAGTTGATGATGATGTGGAGAGTCATAGCGAGGATCTGCTGATTGTCTTCTTAAAGGTAATGTATCGTCCAAGCTCAATCGTCTGCTTGTGTCTGATTTGAAAAGGGAAGATTGAGGGGGTGGAGAAGGTATCATGCTATCACGGTGATAATTATGCGAACCACCATGGCTGTAATACGCATAATTTGGCTGTTGGTGATGAGGGTGATGAGGGTGATGAGAGTGATGAGGGTGATGAGGGTGGAGATGCTGTGGTGCGTGATCATAGTAAGCATGCCCAGCACCATGGCCATTGTTATTAGGACGGTGGTGATCATACGATTGGTGAGGGGGTGAATAGGGCACGCTTGGTCTACGATCAATATGTTGAAGGTGATGATAAGAAGATTGACGGCTATCACTATTTGATGTCATTGAGCTATTCATGCTGCTTCTTCTCTGTTGCAAATAATCATAGTCTAGAGACGAAGGCCAGGGTGAACGACTCTGAGGAGGATAGATGGTGCTTGATGCATTGCTGTAAGGTAAAAGCATGGAGGACTGGTGGGGCTGGTGAGCATGATGGCTGTATGGATGAGTGCCTCTTTCATCAGGCAGCTCCAGGACATCGTCTTGTGAGGATAGCTTTCTTTTACGAGATCCAGTCCTATCAGACATTCAATGAATTAGTAAGACAAGAAGCCAAGGGGAAGCAAAGGGGAAGTGGTTACATTTGTACACGATGTTCCTTTCGTATTCTGATTCTTACACCTTGGTCAGAAAATGAACGAGAAAGAAAGGTCGATTCTAACACGCCAGGGAAAGTTTTTGAAGGATACACTTGAAATACGTTGGAGTAAATCGATTTTAAATTGGTTGCCCCGTATGTAGATATTTCAAACATGGAGAATTTTAACCTAAATTGGCCTTCTAGTTTGACAGAAAGATCTCCAAACACAAAAAAACCGCCGTCTGCATTTGTAGCGCTTAGTAAATGCCTTGTAATCTGATCCCTATTACCTTACCATGATTGTTAATGTCTTTGAGTTTGTACATGGAAGACGATGTCTGCCCTGAAAGTGTATTTTGCGTAGAATGGACAATGTCTTCATGCGTAGATGGATTCACTAGAGAAACACTCATGAACAAGTAGGGGTTTTGTAAAAAATCTCTGTTGTATGAAATAAGTATAAGGCAATCAATGACCAGCTATACATATTCTGCTTACTGCGTCTCTTGAGCGTTCGAGTTGTCTAATTCAATCTGTACAATTGGGGGAGGATCAAGTGTTCTACGATCTACAATATCATTCGTTAGTGAATGTTGCTTGCTTCAAGAATATAACTACCTCTCTCATTATTGGTACTAAGGCGAGTCTGCACAGGCTGCTGTCGAATCTTGAGTATAAAGCGCCTATGAGAAAGCATGAGTTAATGATATGATTTGATGCAGTAGCGACCATTTCGTTTTACTCTGGGATGATTTGCTGGATGGCAGTAGAGTAATTGGGTATATATTCGTAACTATGTGAAACACTTCCTCTGGACATGTTGTATTGGGTATTTAATGATCAGGAAAAGAGAATCAAGCAATATTTTTAAGAGATATATTTAACGAGAGGTGTGCAAGAGTAGAAAAGGAGCGTATGTATGTGTAAAGTAGAATCCGGAAGAATCAACGGCTAGTTGAGATGTCTTTTGAAAAGATGTAATAATTTAGAAACAAAAAGAAAATGGAAAGAGGAAATCAACGAAACAGCTGAAAATGATTGCTTTTTTTATAAACGAATTGACTTTTTCATAGAACAACCATATGTATGAAAGCATCAGTGTTGAATCAGGTTACTATGATTTTTGCATTAATTTTATGAGTTCATGCACCGGGGAAAAATCAGTAGTGTAAAATAAAGCTCTTTTAAAACTGACTGGGGGAGAGAGAGAGAGAGAGAGAGAGAGAGAAAGAGAGAGAGAGAGAGACAATGTGTGCGTGCAAAAGACCACAGCAAAGAGACGCAGTACTTGTGTGTAATTGAAAGGTGCATAAATGATCAACTACTGGCTTTACCGCCGTTGTTATACCCGAGAGAGATTATTACCAACGCACTTGCTACAGTTGGAAATGTGCTGCATTCTATCATCGGATCTCCCTAGCTTAATCCAAGTATAGGAAATCTATGTGTAGAGACATCCAATAATCATCGCGCCATAGCATACAAAGCGATTTGACAATAGTTGAATAAAAGGAAAGCAGATTCAGCTAGATACAATGACCCGAGAACATCAACTTGATTTCAGTGATGCTAAATCGACCAAGCACTTGTCATGGCCGTTCGAATTCGGTAACCTGTACAGAAATTGGTTCCATCTCCTATATATAATCCCACTGCTACCATCATATAAATCAATCACAGGCAATTTATTGTTTAAAGGTATAGGAGACAAGAAACGAAGCAAGTAAAGAGAGAGGGGAAGCATGATTTCTGGGGTAGTATCGTAGAGTTTAAAACATATAACACTGTTTAATACTTGCTTTCTTCTCTATCCCGTCATTCAAACTGTAGAGGCATGACAATTTAGGCGATGATGATGATGATGTTGTCGATGATGATAACCCAAAATTTCATGGCCTGAATACTGTACCATGAAATCGGCTCTCCCGGCTTACCATTCGTTTTTGTGTGAATAAATCTATTTGCTATATTTAGGAAAACATGTATTTTTGTATCTTGGTAGACCATGTTATCAGACATCCATTGCTGCGTAGTCATGACACACACACACAGACAGACACGAGAGTATGCTCTTGCAATTAACCTGCGTCTTCTTTTGAATGAATTGCCATGATCGAAATGGTGTGCCTTTTTCGATTTGGTTCATGGATACATGACTTGAGATCATAGATGAACCTAAATTGAATCAGTATGAACCTTCTCCGTTGTTCCTCCTCTTCTTTGCTCTCTTGCCTCCCCTGAACACTCTATCTCGGCAAAATAGGGAACATGATTTATGCCGTTTGATACAAGGTGCTTGTTCTATACAAGGAGAGCAAAGTATATAACGTTGCGAAGCATCAAACCCTTCTTTTCTTATTTTCTCTGTCCTGTAAATATCATTTCCTTCAGCTGAATCAAGCTCTTTCTTTCCTCCTTCCTCAGGAAGATGCATGGACACATGCATTAAGGGCTCTTGTATATGTTTGGGCAAAGACCGTGTTTTGGTAAGGCTTGTCAATGACAAAACATGCTTTATCATCCTCGCTACTACAGCAATGTGTCTGTTGCATGAATCACTGATATAGGGGGGATGCGTAGCAGAGACTGTGTGCTCACATGAAGCTTACTAAAATGAGGAAAACCAACAAGTCGTTTAAGTGTTTCCCAGATCACTCTTGTCCGAATATTTTGGCTCAGTAGCATGTATACATTCTCCTTTGAATAGAGCACTCATAATCCAATCAATCTTCGATATCTGATCGCTCCATCTTGGCAAGCAGGGAAAGATTTCTTCAATGCATTGATTGCACAGCATTCAATAGTGCCTTCTTTTTGTTGCTGTGGTCATGATTTTCGAAAGTCTTCATTGAGCCAATTGTTCAGTTGCATTTGATCGCAAATTCTGGGCCCTGAAAAAAAAAAAAAAAAAAAAAACTTTCCGCTATATACGGCCACTACTTTGATAAGGTACTATAGCATATAACTGTGCTTTGACGCATGAGTACTAGAAATTTGGAACGATCAGATCTTATACATGTGACAGAATGTTAGATCTCTACCGAAAGGTCAAGGTGATAAAACGAGTAGCACAACATTTAGCCTTGAGCGGATCCTATAATAAGACCACAGTGATGGTGGCTTATTGAAGTGCTTTTCTTTTGATTTATCTGGAATATTTTTTTAATTAATCTTCCTGTCAAATTAACATCATGGCTCCAGCATCAAAGAGAAAGAGAGGAGGAAACAGCACTGTAAGTGACAGTTTGATAGTTCCACAAAGCGCTTAATTTAACTGATCTATTACTGCTCTATCTAGACTGAAAACTTCAAAGACGTTCGTCAAAAGATCAGAACGCTGGAAGCAGGTTTAAGCGACAAATCCAACTTGAACAACATTGTAGAGATCACAAAGTACACCAAAAGCAATAATGCACAGATTGCGCATGCTGCCATACACTCACTCAACCGTGTATACACATCACTCTTGATGGCTGGCGATTTGAAAAAGCTGAAAAACGCCGATGAATCATCTGCTAAAGCCAAGGTCAATGCCTGGCTTCGTGAGCAATACAGCGACTATTTGGCTCATGTCAGAGGTTTGCTGTCCAGCGATGAGCCCGGTCTTCAGTTGCCAGCCTTCACTATTTTGATGAACAACATCAAGTCTGAATCAGAAAATTTCATGAACACCAATGGATCTTACCATTTCGCCAACAATGTGTACGGTCCCATTGTCAAGGAGATCATCTTCAACACCAACTTTAATGAGCATTTGCGCAAGGAGGTTGTGGACAAATACCTGAATGTATACGATGATTTGAGACACTACTTTTTGAAGGACGCAGCGTAAGTACAACGAAAGTGTTTGCAGGGAACGCTGATGTTGACATTCTGATTAGTGAGTTGATGGAACAGGCCTATGAAAAGAAGGAGACCGCCAAAAAGCAAAAGAGCAGCAAAAAGACAAAATTTTCTACAGAGGAGACAGAGGCTGGCAATGGCCACCTTGGTTTAGTTGCAAACAATGTATTTGCTATCTTGGAGAGCATTCGCACTATGCCAACTGAAGCATCCGAGATTGATGAATTCTGGACCGTCAATCCATCTGTATACGATGCCAAACCCACCACCAAATCCAAAAAAACAGACGATTTATTGGGCGATGAAGGATTACTGTCGGATTCAGACATGGAGGACACGGAGCAAGATCAACCAACAGCTACAAAGACAAAAAAGAGAAAGCATCCACTTTTGCAGCTGTCAGTACACAAGCGTGGCTTCACTGACTGCTGGCTCAAATTGATGAAACTGCCCTTGTCTGAAGAAATGTACAAGAAGATTCTGTTGATTTTACACAAGCGCATTTTGCCTCATTTGTCAGAGCCCAAATTATTGATGGATTTTTTGACAGATTCATACAACGTGGGCGGTGCTGTCAGTTTATTGGCTTTGAACGGCTTATTCACATTGATCACAGAACACAATCTGTAAGTGCTCGATAGCTGTGGAGTGGAGTTTTAGAGGACAATGGCTAACAATGTACTGTGTAGGGACTATCCTGATTTTTATACAAAGCTGTACTCTTTACTGGACAGAAATGTAATGCATGTCAAGTATAGATCTCGCTTCTTCCGTCTTTTGGAGCTTTTCTTGTCGTCTGCGTAAGTGGTACCCAATGCAACATGTAGCTGCAGCGATGCTTACATGCTTTATTGTGCTATAGATACCTTCCTGCTGCACTTATTGCTGCCTTCATCAAGCGTATGGCACGCTTGTCCTTAACTGCACCTCCTGCAGCCAGTGTCATTATCATCCCATTCATCTACAACCTCTTGAAGCGTCATCCTACATGCATGAGTTTGATCCACAGCAACAAGGCTGTTGAAGAAGCCACTGATCCCTTCAGCATGGACAATTTGAACCCTTATGAATGCAAAGCCATCGAGTCATCGCTTTGGGAAGTGCAGACCTTGAGCCAGCATTACTATGCAAATGTGTCAACGCTTGCTAAAATCTTTAGTGAGCAATTCTTGAAGCCTAAATACAACCTGGAGGATTTCTTGGACCATACTTATGCAACAGTAAGTGTTTGTTCATATACGCAGATCTATTTCTTTGTTTACTCACGTTGATATGCTAGTTCTTTACTACTGAAATTAATCGCAAGAGAAAGAGGGAACCAGCATTGGCAATTGACAAACCAGCAGCATGCGTTTGGGAAATCTAGAACCTTTGTTTTATATATTTGTAATACATCATGTGAAATAATTAAAAGACAATAGAATGAGAGTGATTTTTTTCGTTGTAAAAGTACAAAGTAAAGCGATGATGATGCCTTTTTTTTTTTTCGTAGACGAGTGTGTCTACGCTTCGGATGACTCTCTAATTTTGCGTTGCTTCGATGAGGACCAAGCTGAGCAGCTACCAAAATACTGTTACTTTTATTTTAACCCTCAACCTACGCATGAGAACCATTGGTATTAGCTGTGGATCTGACTCCTACGCCATGTCGCACATCTGGATACACGTAAATACTTCATATACTAGCAAGCAGCATGCTAGTATTACCACTTTCTATTCAAGATTGTATCTAATACAGCCAATTTTGATACATTTGACGAGTGATTTCTCGAGTCAGAAGCCGCTTTAGATTGTCAGAATAGTACCAAACAATTGCTCTCATCTGGCAGTTACTTTCTGACACCTTTGCTCAACTTTTTGGGGATCAAAAAAAACATGGATAAAATTCGACCAAAAAGCATGAGGTACCCCTCATGGCTTTCATCAAAAATCAAACGATCGTGTTTTTGACCTTGATAATGAAGACTTTTACTATGTTATATATTGAATCAAAACGTTTCTATCGATCCAAAGCAGCTTCTGAAATCATTTTTGTGGGACTTTGATACGTAAAATTTCGACTTTTTAACCAGAAACCTCTTTTCATATTTTCGTGAATTACTCAATAGGTTTATTCAAAACATTTATCTTACTTGGTACCGTTGGATGCGCCTTGAAAAGCACTCCAAGAATGTATTAGGAAGCATCGAGGGATCACCATATTTTATATAGTCGAATCTGGCAAAATAGTTCTTTTTTTTTTTTTTTTTTTTAAATTTTGTTTATTGATTGATTCGCGTACACTGAGAGTAATAGGTCAGAGTGAAGAGGCGAGTGCAATTTAGATAAAGAATTGGATAACTATAAGCTAACATATGAAGAATAATATACTAAACTAAACTGTATAAAAAAAAAAAAACTATCTAATAATTGGCTTTGGATTACAGGAGGGAATGGCACTGATCTTCCGCAATGGTCTGACGAACACTGGTTCGAATACTGGCCAATATCGCTGTATGGTCCATAGGAACATTGTCATAGATGAACCTCATGTGGGCAAGCCACAGTTGACCAAGGGTGATGATGAGGATTCGGAAAGGCTTGATTCCAGCAATTTGGCAATACCAAACGTTGGAGAAATCAAGTTGCAGAAGAGCCTCTTTAATATCTAGAATCGAGGTGGTAGGCCACAGAAACTCGAAGATGACTCCCTGCCAAACTTTCTCTTTAGAAGGACAATGAAAGAGGAGGTGACTTGGGGAATCGTTCATAGACAAACAAACTGGACAGAGAGGAGACTCAAAGACTTTGGGCATAATAAAATGCAAAAATCGACGGTGAGGAATTCGACCCAGAATGAGACGGTATATCACATTACGTTGGACAGTGGTAAGAGACAGGGACCAAAAAAATTTCCAGCTGGACGCAGAGATTTTGCGCAATGCCAAAGGAGAGACCACAGACGAAAGGACAGCCCGACGAAATGCCTTAGCCGAGGCCTGAACATTACCAAGAGGTTGATCATCAAGGAGACGAAACTGCTCAATCAAAGGAGCAAATGAGACGACTGAATCCTCTAAAGGAGCTGGGCTACAGACTGGCTCGAAGTAAGGTTGAAACTGTAATTTCCCTGTCGCTAGGCCTTTGAACACTGTGGAGGGAGTTCTTTTCCAGGTGAGCAGAGAGGGGTCGCGAGTATCCTTCCAATGGACGAAATTGAGCCGGGAATCATACTGAAAAACGTCGGCCACCATCATTTCTTTGACACGAAGAGGAAGCACGAAGCTGGAGGAGGGAGGGACAAACACTGCAGCCTGCAGTGGCAACGCCATAGCAGTAGCTGTATTAATGCGGGCAGAGCCAAAAGAACGAGGGAGATAATCAACAGCACGATATATCATATCCACAGTGCCAGTTCGTTGTTTCAGTAACCCTTGAGAACGAGACGAGGGAAAAAGCAAAGGGATTTGGTGAAATTGGCAGTTGTTAACATTTCGAATGTGATGGCTGAGAAGAGATGACACAGGATGGGCATCAATGGTGGATTGATCATACACCAACAAAGGTTGCAACCATCGAAAGTACAACGCCGAAGCTTGTAGCTGGATGTCGATCACCCCGAGACCACCTTGTTCCTTTGGGAGAGTCCAGACAGACCATGGGATGACGGGGAATATGTTCTTTCTCAAAAATTGTATGGCAAGAGATCTCAGCTGTTTGAAGTCTGCCAGAGTCAACGGAGTAACCCGTAGGATGTACCAAAGTTTGGAGAGCAAAAGAGAGTTCAAGACAGTAGCTCGACCGACAACCGACAGTGATCGAGTAGAATGTATTTGAGTGGCAATTTTGATCTTTGTTACCAGCGAGCCCATGAAGTTGACACGTTGGAGACGACTTTGAACCAAAGGAAACCCCAAATAGATTAAAGGTACATCGTCTTCGACGGAATGTAGATGATTGATGTGGATTTGAGCCAACGAGGTCTCCCAAATATCCCATGTATCTCTGCCAGATACCGAAAAAGCCTCCACCTTATCGTAGTTGAATTTGGCATTGGAAGCGCCGCAATACCTGGACATATGTATTTGCAACCGAGCGAGATCAGCAGAATCGTGGACAAATACCAAGGCATCATCAGCATAACAAAGAAGCTTGGTTCGTTCAGTTCCTATAAGGTACCCTTGGAATTGACGATCGTTAATAATGGCCAACAAGAAGGGTTCAAAAGCTAGATTGTATAGGATTGGAGACAGTGGATCACCCTGCTTCAAACCTCTCAGTTTCGCCACTTCGGACGATAAGTGTCCATTGAGGTTGATGCGAATCAGGTTGTCACCCATTAACTTGTAGATGCATTTCACCAAAGGACGGGGGAAGCCAAATTTCAGCAAGACGTGCCGAAGGTAGTCTAAATTTACACGATCATATGCCTTTTCTTGATCAAGGAGAAGGCCAATATCAGCATCCAAAGAGCCAAATGTAGGATCGTCGTCCCGTTGTTCCGCAACTGTCCATTTTCGTTGTGCGTCTTCCATGATTAGTTGACAAATCATACTATTTTCAGCAATATATCGTCCTGGGATGAATCCTAACTGGTGGCGGCTGATAAGCTGGGTAGAGGCGTCCATGATACGCCGGTTGATGCATCGAGTAAAAAGCTTGTAATCCGAGTTGGCCAAGGATAAAGGTCGATAGTTTTTCATGTGAGCTGGATCGCCTTTCTTGTACAAAAGACACATAATGGTTTCGTTCCAAGATTTAGGAAACTTACCCTTCTGTAGAGCTGTGTTGAATACATCGGTGACAAGGGCATGCAACGGAGGATATTTCAAAACCAAGTACAGAATCTCGTAAGGCAGGCCATCTGGGCCAGGGCTGCTGAGTCTGCGGGTGTGTTTGCTATCTTCCAAGAGTTCTTCCATGTCGATTGATAACATCAGAGATTCCTGCTGTTCACTAGAGATTTTCAAATGACCAGGAATGGATCGGATCAAGGTACTAAGAGCTACTGAATCAGTTGGGTCGGGAGTAAATAGAGTAGAGTAGAAGTTAGTCGCTATGGTGGAGATACCCTGTTGATCGCGACAGAGTTCATCAGTAGTGGGGTCCCTCAATTCAGTGATAGAGCGCTGATTCTCTCTGGCCAAAGCTCTCCTCTTCAGGAAACCAGCAGACTTCTCACCATTTTCCCTCCAAAACTTGCCGGCTTTGAGAATCTCAATTTCCGCTATAGTGTGTTGCAGTAGTTTGATTTGAGTATTGACATGATCTAGGCCTTGGAAAACCAAACCTCTATGCTTGTGTTGTCTCATCATCTTGTTTCGCTTGGACAGTAACTGATGCAGTTGTTTCTTCCTCCAATTCAGATCTTCTAATTGAAATGACTTGATGAAAATCTTGACTTCAGCTTTTACCCAATCCCACTGTTGTTGAGGAGTAGAAAAGGATTTGATTAGTGTAAATTGCTCTTCATTAGCCAAGAGAAATTCGGCTAATGCCTTGCGAAACTGTCGATTGCGAGCCAAAAATGGGTTAGCCTTCCAGCTGCCAGGTCCTCGTCCATTGTTGTCTTGATACTTGAAAGTGAAGCCTAATAATTCATGATCCGTCCATTCTGGAGAGAGATACTGTTGATGGATACTAGGAATTTGATGATGAGCATTCGTACTGCAAAACACATAATCCAAGATGGCCGAGTTTCTCCCACTATGCCATGTTATCTGTTTGTCATCTCCAAAAATGTCAATGTAGTAGTCATCTAACAGATCCGTCCATTCCTTAGGGGCGCTAGACAATGTTCCGTCCATCCTTCGATCCTTGTATTGATAATTAAAGTCCCCCATAATAAAAGTGTTGTGTAGTGTGTTGGTAATAGTATCCTTAACAATGGGTATGTCAAGGAGTTCTGTATAAAAGGCTGATCGAGCTGATGGAAGCGATGATCGACCATATATGTTTAGAATAGTTGCAATTGGTGTTGTAGTTGTAGATTCCTGTATATCGCGAGTTAGGTGAACAGAAGCTAGTATATAGCGTCCCTCATCGATGCCTTCCGATATAAGATTAATTGTTAAATGTTTGTTGAGGGCTATGATGCCACAATGTTGTGTCCAGAGACTTGATTTGCTGATAAAATGATTATTGAGTATGTCAATTGATGTTGAGTTTGTAGCATGTGTTTCTTGTAACACCAGTATATCATATTCTAGTGTTCGAAGATATCGAATGAATTGTTGTCTTTTTTTGGGATTTTCTGATTTGATTAAGCCACGGCAATTGAGGGTGGCTATTTTGAGTTGATAGTGGATATTATTCATATTTAAAGATTGGTGGAAGGTGGTGTACCTGAAGGTGCAGGTGGTGTCAAATTCCTATCAATCGTATCCGTATCATCACCAGACATGCGCCTGGCATCACTGTGGGGGTTAGAGGTTTCAGCGTGTTGATATCTGGCATAACCGATATCTAAAGATCCTTCCTGGCGGGTTAACTTCTTCGCTGCTTTCGAGGGATCAAATTCAGGATGAGATCTGCGCACATCCTTGGAAACACTGTTTAATGCATCCGCATCAGAAAACTTTGTATTCGTGTTGTTCTCTTCCATAATGGTATCTCCAGTTATTTTGGTTTGTTGTTGAGAAGCTTCAGGGGAGGGTGCATCAGCATTAGGTTGAGGAGCATCCTGCATGATATGATCCTTGTCTTCTACTGGTTTGCTTCGACGTTCAGAATCGGCCCTCTTTGGAAGAGTAGGCTTGGCTCCCTTTCGTTCCTTGGGCTTAGCAGAAGTTCTGTCAACAGCACGAACCTTTGCAGGTACCGATTCTGCGTTGTTTCTATCACAATTCTTCGATACATGTCCACGTTTGTTGCAGTGGTAGCATATTGCCCATTTGTGGTAGTCTGGGCAGTCAGCACGACAGTGATCAGGTTTCTGACACTGGCGGCAAAAGGCTGGCATTTGATCCCATTGTAATAGGATTTGTCGCTGGTCATCTTCCTTCGAGCGGGTGTCCCAAATGATAACTCTCTTGAGAGGTTCCAAGTGTCGCTGTCCACTACATTCAACTCCAGCTTCATGTGAATCCATACATTCATTACCAGGAACATTGGATAAGGTGAGATTGAGGGTGACATATCCTTCACCTTGAAAGATACCAGTCTCTGTCTTGAAAATACCATGATCCAATACGTCTCCAAAACAAGAGAAGCGCTCCGCCATTTCTTTCTTCAGCTGGACAGCAGGAAGAAAAGGTAGCTTCTCCATAGTGATACGCACAATGTTGGCATCTTCGGTAAAAGAGGGAAAGCCCTTCAGGTAGGTCCCATCCTCCAAGGTAATTCCCTGTTCGATGAGAGTTTTTCGGCCAGCTGCATTTGGTAGCCAAAGAGTTTCCAAGAATTGGTGACCAAGGTAGTGTCTAGTTTGTTTTCGATATCCTAGAAAATCCTCATACAGATCATCTCTTTCTGCCTCTTCATTGAACTTGACAAGTGCCTTGTCCAGAAGAGTTCTATCTTTAACTATAGTCAAGTCTATGAATACCGAGTCCTCTTCTATACCATTCATGAATGGTCGAACCATTGCAATAGGTTTGGGAGGAGTGGTGTTAGCTGCAGACGCGTTCTGGATCGAGTCGGCAGGAGGGGTGATCAACGTAGGGTTGAATGAAACATTTTGCTGTTGTTGTCGTAGTTTGCCCTTCTTGTTGTTGCGAACGACATGAGTCCACAACTCAGGAAGTGGGTGTTGCGATGTCATTGATACAAAATAGATTGTAAAAATACCCAAAATTGATTATAAGCAAAATAGTTCGATCAAGTCGAAAATCATCAATATTTGTCCAATCTAGAGCAGACTGAGATTCTGAGTTTGAAATAGTTTTGGCTGGTGGACAGGCTGGCAAACTCAAAGCAATAGTACTACTAGATGCTTTTGAAGCCAATAGAAAGCAGTAGGTGACGAATTGCAGGGTATTATTATCGTTAGCCATGCTATTTCTTTTGAAGTCTTGCATCTAATAATGCTAGTCCATCAAAATACTTGTAAAATCAACTTGTTTCCTTTTTGAAATTTTGAAAGTGTGTAGGAACAACAAATTTATTATGTTAGGATATCGATGTGATAATTATGCAAATAAATAATTGCGAATGCTGCTTAGTTTGGACTGAATATCACTGATACCATGTAGCAATCTTCTCATGTAAGCCCGCTTGATTTTGAGCCATTTCCTGGAAAGATACAAGCAAAAATTCCATACCTTCTGTAACATAGCATAGCACTGCTGCCAGTAACTCAAAGGTTCGCCTTGCCGTATGTTTGCTCGAGGCCAGTCAATCCAGATTGCCTTCATATGCCTTGAGGTGACCTTGTATGCGGTTCTTTTGACATGGATGGTATACTTGTGGTCGGGATGCAATGTATTGTAGTAAGGTCCTCTCTCCACATGGATCGATTCATTCAGAGCACGATAAGAGTTTTGTAATTTCGCAACCATGATATCTTTGGTATGAAAGAGCTTTTTGAGCATGTACATTTTGGTATAATATAAGCTTTCATTTCGTTGCGCATCGAGGAAAAGCTGTACTCGACGATATGATGTTCTGTTCTCGTGCAACGCTGTTGAGTGAATGCAATCACGGAAATGGAAGTTTAGATTCTGGTAATACTGTTGCCAATACAATAGTTCAATTTCTCGAGTCATCATTTTGAAGTTGTGTTTAAGCATTAAACTGGCTATTCTTTGCTCCATCTTATCTTGCTGGTATTGGCACGGTTGCTCGCTTTCGGGCAATTCAAGTGGTGTATTCCATGAGCGAGCAAGAGACTCCCATTCTTCCGAGTGCAATTTTATCGTTTTCACAAAGTAATTGGCGAGCTTTGTTGAGTTATCCTGGTATTGTAATAGCAGTCGATCTACCACCTTTCTTTCGTATGGCGATAATGTTGATAGAAGCCTGATGTATGTTTCGTTCTGTATACTCAACGGTGGCATTGGAAAAGCTGGAGGTGCGATTTTGAGGCTTCTGTTTGTCAGCAATATATACACAAAGCGGATTTTGTCTAGTAGTATCACCGTTGTATATCTCACTTCCAGGGTTATAACGTAGTATGTGTAATTGGCGTGAGCAAGCATTTTTTCGAGCGCATTTTTACACTTCCATTTTATTCTTCTTGAATAGGAAAAGGGTTCCAGATGCTTGCTTATGCCTGTGTGTTGGCTAGAGTTGCTGTGAAGTCTCGAGAATTGCAACGAGAATAGGATAATGGCGCACAATAGTAAAAGTAATTTGAAAATTCGCATACAAACTGTGTGGAAAGAGAAAAAAAGTCTCAAATTAGATGTGTAGCCTCCCTCCCGCAAAGTGTATTTATGCAAAAATGTGTTTGTAGCACCATTGACATCATTTCAGACCATCAAGTCCAGATGAAATATCTTTATTAGCGTGTAGGGGGGTATACAGCATAATATCATTCATAGCCAACACCGAGAGGCTATCCCATAGCGTCATCCTCCACATCAAGTTCCTTTCTGGCCATTAGACCTCTTCCATGACATCAAAATTGAAATTAAAGATAAAATTGGGGTCATTTGCAAGATTGGGATGAAAGTCCACATAGACATCTGGATCAACGTCGTTCATAAACGTATCGTAGCAGAAATCAAGCCAATCTTCATCTAGCATGCCTTGTCTTTCAGATGAGCTGCCTCTTAAATCACAAACATATACAATATCGTCGTGGTAATGGTTGAAATGCCTATAGAATCTATGCTCTACGAAATGTCTAGGCGTAGGCGTGGGAGATGGACTTTCCGTTGATGAGACCGCGTTTGTTAAGCTAGATTTGGCGAAAGAGTTGGTATAATAATAAATCAAAAGCCAAAGTCGAAGAACTCATATACATTTATTTCTTGACAAAAATATCAGAGTGAATTTGACGGCTTTGATTGCAATGTTGCGTTACTCTCGTTGTCTTGATAAACAATGGACAAGATCTTTAGAATGCTACTCAGAATTGAATTCCATGATCGAATTCATAGTAGTCTTCGTTTATCTCTTAATGCTGATGACTATCGTATTCGCAAAAAAGAAGCTCGTGGTAATGATAATAGCCTACAATGTCACAACAGGCTGGCTTCAAGTGATGATGGTGTCTGTGGATATGTTGCTCCTGATCGGTTTGACGAGAGCATGTGCCTCCGACAGTGTTGGTGGGAGGCCTAGTCGTTGCTAGATCGACGGTCGATCAATTGATGCACTCGCTGGCCACACTGTAAAAATGCTAAATTGACACCTCCACAGTGATAAACATCATTTCTGATATAGTTTCGTTGTGTTTCGCTCAAATGGTACATCCATTCAATTGAGATTAAGCAGCGAATTATGACTACCCATGGAGCGAGTAATGGCTGGATCAGAGGGTGCTCTGGTATTCAACTGCTTGCAATGTATCCGGAATATGCATTATGCCACATGTCAAATAAAAGAGCTCTATAAGTTGAGATGAGCAGAATGAAAAGCCCCAAAAACCGCATGTCAAACCTCAATTATAGGCATCTTCGTCTTGCATCAAATATTATTTGGTACCTGCGTCCATCAACAAATGTTACATTTTGTGAGACGGAGCTTTGGTTTGTCCAATGTAGACAGATCATGGAGAGCATTTAATCAAATTGTGCGTGCGGAGAAATCTCTTTATCTTTTGACATGCAAAACGCAATTTATGTGTACCATATCGATAATGATAGTGTTGTATGACTCATCTCAACCAAACAAACAGGTTTCAATTTATATAGCGTTTCTTCGCCTGGGAAAGTACCAGCAACGGCTAAAAGATACTGTTGAAGGAATACCCAAATAAAGGAAATACAATACGGCTTTTATGTAATAAGCTTTCCGGATGGATTATAATCCAGTCCAGATTGATTTTCGCACGCCAAAGGAGCGTCTTGTATTCCAAGGATATGATAAATCCATTACTCTTTATAGAATGCACTATGCTTTCATTGGCTGCAGCTGACAAATGCTTGAAAAGCAAAAAGGCTCACGATAGCCTGATTGGGCAAACTAATGTCTTGATGCAATAGTATATAAACTCCAGCATCATCTTTACTTCATGTAGCCTCTTTTTTTTTTCTCTTTTCTTTTGCTTTTTTCTCTTTATATATTCAATATCATGTCTGGTGTATCAAAGCTCGCTCAATTCGGTAAAAAGCACATTGCCAAAGGTATCGGTAGATCTACCGAGCTTGTCATTGACAAGGCAAAGGGAACCTACGTCTACACTGCTGAAGGCAAGAAGTATCTCGACCTCACCACTGGTATTGGTGTCACCAACACTGGTAATGTCCTTATTTGTTTTCTGTTGGTCAGGACATGCTGTATATACTCACGCGTTTCGAAACATTAGGTCATTGCCACCCCACTGTAGTGAAGGCTGTTCAGGAACAAGCTGCCAACATGTCTCATGGTCAAGTCAACATTTTTTATCAAAAGCCCATGTTGGATCTCATTGATGGTTTGTTACCCAGAATGCCCTCTCCCAAGCTCGACACCTTCTTCTTTTGGAATTCCGGATCTGAGGCTGTTGAAGCTGCTGTCAAGGTCGCTCGTCATGCCACCAAAAAGCAAAACATCATTGTCTTCCAAGGCTCTTACCACGGTCGTACCTTTGGTACTATGGCCTTGACCACTTCCAAAACCATCTACAGCGCTGGTTTCTCTCCTTTGATGCCTGGTGTCCACGTTGCTCCTTACCCTTACTTCCAACAATGGTCTGCTCATAAGGCTGATCCCGAGAAGTTTTCTCCTGAGTGGTGTGGCGAAGAGGCTTTGCATCAACTGGAGCTTTTGTTGAAACAACGCTCTGATCCTCAAGACACTGCTGCTATTTTAATTGAACCTGTTCAAGGTGAAGGTGGTTACGTTGTTCCTCCCAAGAGTAAGTAGAATGGCTGATGTGTGTATGCGTGCGTGTAAAAAAGATAGATTGACTCACGGCTTGTTTGCTATATTAGACTTCTTGGACGGCCTTCGTAAGATCTGTGATAAGCATGACATTTTGTTGATTGCCGACGAAGTACAATCTGGTTTTGGTCGTACTGGTAAGATGTTTGCTGTCGAGCATTTCGGTGTTGTTCCCGATATTTTGGTCATGGCAAAGGGTATTGCATCTGGTTATCCTCTTTCTGCCATCGTATCTCGCAAGGAAATTATGGATAAGCAACCTCCTGGTTCCATGGGCGGTACCTATTCTGGTAATGCTATCTCTTGTGCTGCTGCCAAGGCTACTCTTCAGGTATTCGACGATGAGAAGCTTCTCGACAACTGTAATGTTCGCTCCGAGCAATTCTTTAAGGGTTTAAGAGAAAAACTTCCTGCTCTTTTACCTGAGGGTGTTACTGTTGATATCCGTGGTAAGGGTTTGATGATCGGCATTGAATTCATGGGTGTTCCTTATGGTTTCGCCAACAGCATTGCTGCTGAGGCCTTGAAACGTGATACCATCATCTTGACTACATCCATCTACGAAACCCTCCGTTTGATTCCTCCTCTCAATATCACCGAGGAAGAAACTGATCTTGCTCTCGAAAAGGTTGTTGCTAGTGTTGCCGCTGCCGTCGAGAACCTCAAGAAGGCTTAAACAAGTTTTTCTTTTCGTGATATATTTTGCTTTCCCTCTTTCAATAGATATTTATTTTCTCCTTTTCCTCTGTACGTAACATATAAACCCATAGTCAAATAAACTATTTTTGATTCTTTTATCATAAAGAATGTGAGAAAATGTGATCTTTTTGGTTGTAGAAGAGGCATACAATGCCCATACCAAATACATTGCGAATCAAGCCCTGCTAGTACATTCCACATTATTGTTCATATGAGATACTTGCCAGAAAGTTAGTCATAATAATTCCCAAAAAAAACAGTAGAAAATAGTCAGGCTAAGCGATAGTACAAATGGAAATGAAATAGCCTTCCTACGAGCTTCGCAAACTTTGATTTTATTCAGTACAGACAAGGCAGCACTATTGTCAGGCAGACGCCAAAATTAATTCAATCTCCGTTTGACATTCTGTCTTGATTTGTTGATTTATGAACTTTTTGGACTTGATTTGACCTATTTTGCCGGTGTTGTAGACATTCAAATACAAGCTTCGGCTTTGTATTTTCGTTGGCCCCACCCATTACTGGTTCAAGATCAAGATGTCATTGATTCCCATCCTGTGTCGTACCTCTTAAGCTACCACATCCGCAATGTTAATGGTTATCCCCACCATCAAATCCCGCTGCTATTTCCCTCTGCTCGTCGTACTAAGGGGTTGAAAAAGCAACGCACGGGAACTGTCGATATGTTATATCGTACAGTTGACTATCTTCCCAAGTCGTTTGATGCGGCCCCGATCAGTACTGCAACTGCTATGGCTCTTCCATTGCAGGCGGCTTTCTATGTTCCTTCATCCTCCTCACTGGTTGTTCCTCTTAAAGTCAAAGAGATGATGGTTTCTGATGTATTTCAGTACGATGCCCGACTTAACTTTGTACATTGGAAAGACACTCGTGACCCTTCCCTCCTCAGTTGGAAGCGAGCCCCTTCAACAGTGTTCAGAGGCCTCGCATCTGGCACCCTTAAATTCCAGCCCTACTTCCTCCCAGTGTGTAGCCCAGCCCCCCTTGTGGATCCTGGAGTCTCTTTTGCGCCGCTGGTGGATCAGTTTTGTCTGCACGATGGTCAACCCCTTGGAAATGCTCAGGCTTCGGCCAAAACATTTCGTCTGTCTGTGCTGTCGTCGATGGAACAACCCCTGGTCTTGCAGAATATCTCTGCTTCTCATTGGAAATTCTTTTGGTCCCTGTCTCTTACCTACATTCAACGTAATGTGATATACCGGCTCATCACAGGCTGTATCCCTTCTTGAAGCAGATTACACTACATGATGCCTGGAGTCTTCGAGTCTCACAATTGTCCTGTCTGCTTGTCTCCCAATGAAACTGCCAGCCACCTGCTCTTTGACTGTCCATCTAAAGAAAAGGTATGGCAAGGCGTCATTTTTGAATTCCTATGGCCCACCACGTCCATCACTGACATCAAAGAGGTTCTTCTGTCCCTGGACTTTTCGGATATCTGGTACTCCCAAGTCAAAGGCATCCATCCATACAGAGTCCTACTCATCACCCTGTCTCAAATATGGCTAGCCCATATGCGCTTTGTTTTTGACAACATCATCCTTGTCCCTGAGGCGATTCTGGTGAATATCCGCTCCACTGTTCGCCAGACAGTGGATGAGGATCAAATCCACTCCCTCTTGTAGTTTAGATAGTTTCGAAAGTTCTGTTTAGGTTAGTTTAGTTAATATTCTACCTTCTTTTTATTATTTTCTTTTCAATTGCACCCGCCTCTTCACTTCGACCCATTACTCCTAGTGTACGCGGCTCAATCAATAAACAAAATTTAACAAAAAAAGGACCTATTTTGCAGATTCGAATATATAAATTGTGTTAATCATCCTATACCCCCTTATGATTTCTTGGAGCACTTTTGAAGGCGCATCTAATGGCACTGGTTAGATGAGGTGTTTTGATTTAACTTATAGAGCAATATACAAAAACATGAAATGGGGTTTTTGGCGAAAATGTCGAAATTCTACATACCAAAGTCCCACAAAGATGATTTCAGGGATTGCATTGAATTGTTAGAAGCATTTTGAGTTAATACATGCTATAGTAAAAGTCTTCGTTTTGGAGGCCAAAAATGCGACCGTTGGATTTTCGACAAAAACCATGAGGTACCCCCTCATGGTTTGGAAACGATTTTGGGTGATATTTTTTTTGGTCCCAAAAAAGTTGAGCAAAGGTGTCAGTAAACAACTACAAGCTAAAAGCAGTTGTTTGGTGCTATTCTGGTGGGTTAAAACAACTTCTAGCGCGAGAAAACACTACCCGAATGTATCCATATTTCACTGTATTTTGAATACTTTTGACCAATAACGGAAAATGCTAGTATGTTATTTGCTCGTAAGTCAAGTATTTCTAATGGTGCAAATGTGGAACCTCGTAGGAGTGTTGGACTTATAGTGATAGGCTGCTTATTAGGCCTCTCACATGCTAGCTAAGAGCTGAAGTGTGAAATTTCGCTGTGCATTGACGATGCATTGACTGAATCTCTATGAGTTTTGCAACATTCCTTGGGCTTTCCATTTGCATTAAAGGTATTTTTGTATTTTTTTTTCTTGCAAGAGACGTATAATTCCACATCTAATTTGTTGGTTACGAAGGGTGTGCTTTGGAGAATTCAGCCAGTTCAAGGCATATATCAATTGAAAAATTATAGTATCTTGGGAGCTATTATTGGATCGAGTTTACAGCTTTCTGGATTTGCACCAGTAACGAACCAGCGGAAGCAGATGCGTGTGTGTGAATTCCAGGTAAACTTGCCTAATCTGAATCAGACACATGCCAGTAAAAACCCCCCCAATGTATATGCCACCAGTGGATGGGACATACTCTGTAATCGTAAATAGCAAGCGATAATAGTAGTGATACTATCGTAAATGCATTCGTCTGATTTCTCAGGTTAAGTGATACATGCTTCATTTTACAACTCAACCTGCAGCATCCATCAATTGCTCGATAGTGTGATTGAACAGAAGCTGATCGAAGATTTTTTAGGCTGAAAGAAATAAGCTCTATTTTATCGGCAGACATCGATGGCACAGCTCTCATTGAGGCTTTGTTGTATCAAGCCTTTCAGTTTAAATCCATGTTGAATCACAAAAAAATGATCGAGCCGTCATCTCGTTATGTGCTTTGACCAGTTTTACATTTGACGCTTTGATGTTGCATGTTGCCCCTAGTTGCAACGGATGTGAGATTGAATGCCAGGATCAATTGGATGTTTTCTTGTAACGCACGATATTCCAAAGGAATTGTTACAGTGTGTAAATAGAAGACTTCACACTGTGTGTATGGTGCTCCTCCTCCTACTCCTCCTCTTTTCGCTGCTCGTCAGTTATGGCTGCATGATGAAAATGGCGATTATAATGTAGAAACAAAAACTTGTCATACACCATTGTGCTACATTGAAACAGGGGATTTCCCCTATAAAGTGTAATTCCCGTAAAAAATGCTTAGATGCTGCTTGATTTGGTTTAGGTGCATTTAGGCACTTGCTAAACGAAATGAATGACATTGATGATATTCGTCATTGAAATTATGTACGTCATTTGGCTTATAATAGCTTCAAATACACTACTCATATATTTAACTTTTTTATTTTTCAAGCTCCAATACAAAATTTTAGACTGTAAACATTTTTGTTGCTTCATCTCTTTTCCTCTTTAATTTCTCTTTCTCTCTCTCTCTCTCTCTCTCTCTCCTTTATGTACTTTAGTTTGTTATAAAATAGCAGTTTTTTTTTGAATTGGAGAAGAAGGAACAAAAATGAACAGGTAACATTGCAATCAATTTAACAAGAAATGTAAATAGACAATTAGAAATGTTACACATTAAACATCTAAATTCTGCCTTTTATATATTTGCTTCTTGTAGTGATACATCGTCTTCAGCAACTTCACAATACCATGCTCAATTATACTCTGGACAGAAGCAATTGCAAAAGCGGCACCAGTTACAGCAAGAGCAAAAGAAGCAGCTGTCTCTACCGCCTCAACATCCAGCAAAACCAACATCTCTCAATTACAAAGTTCTATCATTTGATGCACCCAACTTGTATCATACCTCGCTCAAATTAACAACTGAAATTGATATTCATGCATGGTGGGCTTCCTTGGTCAAGATATTCTCTGGTGAGTTCAAATGCTACGCTTGTTTGTCCAACAAAAAAAAAAAATGCTCATGTAACCAATCGACATGCTAGGCACATCATTCCATGCTACTCGCATTGCGCTCAGTATCCCTCAAGATCCAAACGACCCTTATGCTGGTCCTTGGGGATTGAAGGCAGTATACAACAAGACAGGATCCATCAGCCGAGAACCAGATCGTGTCGACACCAACAGCAATGAAGATCTATATTCAGGCACTGATGATACCAGAGAGGATGAAACACAGTTTGACTATTTCCTCCACAGTCACAGTGTACATGAAACTTGCCCTCGACATGTACCATGGTGCTTTGATCGTTTACAGCCATTTGAATCAGAACCTGAACCATTGATCAACAATCCCAGCGTATCTCGAATTTTGAAGCGAAATGCTCCTGTTGTTTTGTCCAGAGAATATAGAAGAAGATCATCAAACAGACAGTTTGGAACCGAGGATTTGGGGCTAGAAATCTTTAAAAGAGCATTGATGGAAGGAGACAAATCTCGCTTAAAGTCGAATTGGAGTTTACCCATTATTACCACACCTTGTTTTTCAAAAGATGAATCATCAGAAATTTTAGTGGATGGCTCCAACATTGAAAACGACGATAATAGCAGTAGTCAGCATGACTCAAACAGCCACAATGAACATTCCAGCAGTGCAAATACACCATCTGCTAATGCCACTTCAACCTTTTTGCAAGATTTTGATGAATACGAGCAGCAGCAGCCATCACCTTGGTCTCAATCGCCTGCACCGTCACCTGCTATCATGGATCCAGAAATCAATCCCTTTTTCCAGTCTCCTCCTGACATTGACGATGAAGCTTTCAATCCCGTTTCACCCGAATCTTACGACAATCCCTCGATTCCGTTTCCTCCTCCTATATCGAATGTGCATTCGATCATCCATGTACCTTTATTCCATCCCTCTGACGTAATTGAACCGACGCACCCTAATACCAACTCCATTAATACAACTACTACTACAACACCTAATGCAACCCTTTTTAATAGCACCAGCACCACTAATACGCATGCCAACCATCGAAGTCAGCAAAGCCATCCTACACCCATTGCCATCTTGTCTTTCCTGGCGCCCATTGTACCTTATCCTCCCGTCCTGCTGTCTAGCATTGCATCTCTATCACCCTTTATTGCCGCTAGTTTCACCAATGCCAATGAAAATGCTCAGTACAGAAAGCAAGGCCAGTTCTACAACAATCGACGTAGCAACAAGCAATCCAGCAGCGACGCAAATAGACCCAAAAACTATAGAAGAAGATCAGCTAGATCGCAAAAGAAACAAGAGTCGCATTCTGAAGATTCTGATTCCAACAACGAAGCAGACTATGATGATTTCTACAAGAGACAGCAGCAGATGGCTGATTCCACCACCACAACACCCACTGCTGCCTACAACCATGACAAGAGGCCAGATCATTTGGGCTCCATGTCCAACTTTACACGAAGCTCTCTTGAGACAGTGACCGAGCCCTTTGGCACACCAAGTGCACCCTGCACTCCCAACCATCTTCAAGAACGCGAGCAGCCGCAACACATCACCACTACCACAAACACAACGACGACAACCGATTTCTCCTCGCCATCTTCATATGACTCTACATTCTCGGCTCATGCAGATGTCTTACATAAAGGTGGTTTGTTATTAGACGGAAACGATGAACAGGCGGCCCACCATGACATAATGGTACCGCCTGCCAGTCAACAACGAAAGCGATCCTCTCAGACTTCTATAGCGACTACAGAATCAACATGCTCCACAGCCATCTCCAAGGAAAGACGGCAATCCTCCAGTAATCGATCCTTCAAGGCACTGTCCCCTTCTTCTATCGCTGTGATGGAGGGTTGGGGTGCTGTGTCTCCCACAACAGGCCTCCCTATCTCTGCCTCCATTCCACCGCATAACATGTGCAGTGATAAGAACTGTCTCAAGCATCAAAAGATCAAGGTTAAAAACGACTCATTTTTGGACACAGAGGATGAAGACGAGGGCGATGATGATGATGATGATGAAATATTTGCCAAAACAACAGAAACAGATGACAGCTACATGCACCAGCATGACTTGGATGACAATGACTCGATAGACGATATCAGCGCCAGCCTGTCCACGTCCATCAACAATCTCTCAAGTATACCTGCTCAGCATGCCACAAAGCCAAAATCTGTGGTTTACAGACAACGAAAGAAGGCCAGACGAAGATCCAGATATAAGCGGCAAAACAGTAATGGCAGTCGAAAGCAGTACGACGATGATGGATTTCACTATCACCAGACACGCAGCACCAGCCATCACCATCGCAACACTGGTGTAGATCGGTTCCTGGTAGCACCCAAGTCTAGCTTACTGCGTCTCATCATTGATGGCATCCCTATTCATGTCTTGTAAGTGATAGTGCAAATCAAGTTGTGTAAAGATGATTCTTAACATTGTATCAAATAGTACCTGCTCTACCGCATCTGGCCAAGTAACGTGGGTCAATAATCGCATGCTTCAATATACTGGCAGGTCCCTCAAAGACCATCTCGGTCCCAAATGGCTATCTCATATGCATCCTGATGATCAGCCCGAGTGCAAAAAGGCGTGGGAGCTGGCTTACGAACAAGGCAATGGGTTCGCCGGTGAATACCGTTTAAAGCGGTTTGACGGAGTCTACAGATGCTTCCTATGGCGCATTGTGCCGCTAAGAGATTTAAAGGGTAAAATTATGCACTGGTTTGGCACCTGTACAGATGTACACGATCAGCATGTGGCAAAAGAAAGCAGCCTGCGCCAAGTCGAAATTGAAAGCAACGAGAGAAAATATCGCTTACTGGCAGAGGCCATCCCTCAGATCGTATTCACATTCTCGCCTGGTGCTGGATTGACTTATACAAATGGGAAATGGAGTCAGTATGCAGGCAAGTCCTTTGAACAAACTATGGGTCTCGGTTTTATGTCTGGTGTCCACCCCGAAGACCGTGCAAAACTTCAACTACCTGATCTGCCTGCGTTGCCTAACAGAGCAGGTGTTTCATGGCAGAGTGAGATTCGTCTCTTGAGTGCGCATGAAGAGTATCGGTGGTTCCTGGTCAAATGCGTCTCTGTGGATGAGCTGGAGACAGGCGATGTTCGCTGGTTTGGTACCTGCACTGATATCAATGATCACAAGCTGCTGGAGAAGAAGCTCAAGGAAGCTCATGATGCTGCTCAGCGGTCCACAGAAAGCAAGACGCGGTTCCTGTCCAACATGTCGCATGAAATCCGTACGCCTCTGATTGGTATTACTGGCATGCTCAACTTTCTGCTTGACACTGAGCTGACAGCCGAGCAGATGGACTATGTACACACGATCCAACAATCTGCTGAATCTCTGTTGGTGGTGATTAACGACATTTTGGATTTGAGTAAGGTGGAGGCTGGCATGATGAAATTAGAATGGGAGCCTTTCAGTCTGGTCACCATGATTGAAGATGCGAATGAACTGCTGTCCACGTTGGCTATCCAGAAAGACTTGGAGTTGAGTTTCTGGGTGGACGACGATGTGCCTGATGTGGTGGTGGGCGATCGCGTGCGTCTGAGACAGGTCATGTTGAATCTCATTGGCAATGCTATCAAGTTTACTGCCGAAGGCGAAGTGTTTACCAAATGCACAGTGCAGCGATGCGACAAGGACGAATCCGAACTGACCTTACTATTCGAAGTGGTCGACACGGGTGCTGGTTTCGACGCCATGGAAGAGTCTGTCATGTTCAAGCCCTTTTCACAGGTGGATAGTTCAAGCACACGAAAGCACGGTGGCAGTGGTCTTGGTTTGGTCATCTCTCGTCAACTGATTGAACTACATGGTGGTGTTATGAAATGCCGCAGTCAAAAAGGAAAGGGCTCTACCTTCTTCTTTACGGTTAAGTTTGGCATCCCCACCTCACAAACAAAGCCTCTGCCGCAAACACCTCAAAATGATAGCAACCATGATCCTTTCTTTAGATCCAACGGATATGGAAACAACAATACAGCCCAAGCCATTGTGGAATCCTCAGCCGACGAAAGGAACCTGTCGCCACTGCCATTTGTAAATAAGAACAGCACCCAAGACAAGCAACAACATATATCCACCATCATGGCATCCTCTTCTGACAAACAGAGTGAATCTTCACCTGCTGATATTCTGCAAGATGTCTTGATGACCAAGGCTGCTTCCATGCAGCTCAAGCCACCACCTATCCGCAATACCAACATGGCTTCTACCACAGCAGTAGCAGCAGTGGCAGCAGCAGCCACAGCAGCCACCAACATTGGTAACAAGGTCATGCTCAACGCGCTACCACCCTTGTCTGGCGTCTCATCCACGCTGCTAGAGAATAGTGCTGCCATAAACAGCAAGAGCAACAACACACCTACCCTGTCCCTAATTGCCACGGATAATGCCAACAACCAACTGAAGCCTTGTGAGCCTCGTATTCCTACTATTGGCACTGGACCTGGCAGTCTGTCAACGTCGCCTGTGATTCAACCGCCTCGCACACCAACGAGCGCATCACCACTGCGAGCACTGATTGTATCGCAATGGGAGCATTCTCGTGAGTCTATGGAAAAGCATGTCAAATCCATCCTAGGCAGCAGTATCAGCAACGACTGTGGCATCAACTCGAATATCAAGCACTATCAAGTAGACACACTGACAAACCAGATTGAGGCTACTGAATGGCTTACAGATCCACATACACCTGCCTACGACTACATCATGATCAACCTGTCTTCTGAGCAACAGATTCTATCGCTGACAAGAGCCATCTGCGGATCATTACAGCAGCAAAAGGCTAATGTGTTGGTTGTTACTACGCCCATGCAACGATCGCTGATCACAGAGAGCGCCAAGGGCCGTGAAGACCAAGTGATTCCTCACACATGTGGTTTTGTATTCAAGCCTTTGAAGCGAACCAAGCTGCGGTGGTATTTCGGTGTGCGCCAACAAGAGATCAAACATGGTATTCAGCTAGACGGTACTTATGGCCCCAACAGTAGCGCTGTGTCTACGCCCGATACGCCGCATAGAAGAGCAGCGAGCCAGAAAGAGATTTTTAGACGCATGGCTACTGATGTGGGAGGCAAAGGATTCCGAGTGTTGTTGGTGGAAGGTAAGTCATGATTCGATTTAGTCTAGAGAGTGTTACTCAACGAAAGCATGGTAATAGACAACTTGGTAAATCAAAAGGTGCTGACCCGGTATCTCACACGTGTTGGACTCAATGTCGACATTGCAGTGCATGGTGGTGAGTGTATAGAGCTATTCCACAAGCATCCCAAAGACTATTACTGCCTGATTTTGTGTGATTTGTTTATGCCTGTGAAAGGTAAGTGATATCTAATCTTGTTGGCCTACCGGTTTAGTAGCATTGGTGTAACCTGACTCGACCATTTCTTTTTAGACGGCTATGAAACGACACGTGAAATCCGGGAATGGGAAAAGCAACATCTAGCACCCAACGAGAAGCCCAAGCCGATTGTAGCGCTTTCTGCCAACGTCATGAGCGATGTAGCCAACAAATGCCTCGAATGCGGCTTCTCCACCTACATCTCAAAGCCTGTCAATTTTGCTATTCTCAGTGATGTGATTCGAGGTTATTTGCTGGATTAAGAAACCTTTAGCCGAGATGTTCCATTTTGCATTACTCTTTTGTAAATAAACCAATGTCACAATAATGGTTTCCGGGATTGTAGTTGTATATCAATGGTTGTTTCTATTCAAAGGTTCCTTTCTTTTTTTTTTCTTTTCTTGTTACTCTTACATTGACTCCCCCCCCCCACTCTCATCTTTAAACAACATGTCTTTATATCTCACTGCCAAATCAATTGCAATTCGTCCTAATCGCTGGATGGGCACATTGAACGTAAGTTGCTTGCTGCGAGTAACTCTAGTGTCGCATTGCTAATACAGTTTTGCAACAGCCCCTCGTGCGCAACCTGCAAACAAGCGCTTCATCATCCATGGCATCTGCTGCTGAGCCTGCTGCTGCTACAGACATCGCCAAGAAGGAACCCAATTACAAGACATTCGAGATTTATCGTTGGGTAATGATGAGATTATACAGACAGTGCTGCGCATATGCTAACCATGTATACAGAATCCTGACCAACCTACAGAGAAGCCAATTCTCAAGAAATACAAAGTCGACCTGAATGCCTGTGGACCTATGGTTTTGGATGCTTTGATCAAGATCAAGAATGAACAAGATTCCACCTTGACCTTTCGTCGTTCATGTCGTGAAGGCATTTGCGGTTCATGTGCGATGAATATTGAAGGCGGAAACACATTGGCTTGTATCTCCAAGATCAACAAGGATGTCAGCAAGTCTGTCAAGATTTATCCTTTACCCCACAGTAAGTATATCAAAGAGGGCAGAGGCAGGAGGGGAACACAAGGGTCGGAGCGGATCGGGCAAATCTCAGTGTATTATGAAAGTGTGCTTTCTTGGAGAGTTATGAGTAAGCATCAGTATTGGATTGGTTAAACTGATTGGTATTCCTAGTGAACATTGTCAAGGATTTGGTACCCGATTTGACCCATTTTTACAAGCAATACAAGAGCATCGAGCCCTACTTGAAGCAAAAGACACCTCCTACAGACGGCAAAGAGAATTTGCAGTCTATTGAAGACAGAAAGAAGCTAGACGGATTGTACGAGTGTATTTTGTGTGCTTGTTGCTCTACTTCATGTCCATCTTACTGGTGGAATCAAGAGGAATATCTCGGTCCTGCTGTTCTGATGCAATCCTACCGTTGGATGATTGATTCTCGTGATCAATTTGGCCCTGAGCGTAGAGAGAAACTCCAGAATAAGATGGCACTGTACCGTTGTCATACCATCATGAACTGCTCAAAGACATGTCCAAAGGGTCTTCAACCAGGCGCTGCTATTGCAAAGATCAAGTTGATAATGGCCACCGAATAGAAATAAATATTTGTTTTTTTTTTGTCCTTGGTTTAATAGAGTGTTGTCAAAATATGTAATTGTTGTCAGTATGAATTGAAATTCTTGACGAGTCAAATGTATAAAAAACCAAAGCATTCTCTGGTTTTGGGGTTTCCCTTTCTCTAGTCTATCATTTTATACAAGGCATTATGGGTAGATGCAGTAGACGTTGTGTACATTGTTGAGGTTACTAAATGCTACGCATAGCTCTTTTATATCGACAACAGACCAGTTACCACGATAACCAACCAAAAAAGTCCAGAAGACTGTATCCTATCCAGGAAAATGTACAGCCCATGCAGCAATCCAACAGCAAGAGACAACAGCATGCTGCATCATTTCCTTCTGGCCATGACAAGGTGCTTGAGCATCTCTCTCGCATGTCCATAGCCTCACCTGTCATGGTCAATCAGGGATTTGATGTTCCCCTGCTGGGAAGTGCACCTCTGATTTCTGATTTCGATTTGCCTCTACCTACGCCCCGAATCCCTGCCAGCGTAAGCATTGGTATGTTCTGAGAAGGACCTCTATACTAATGGAATCAACGTAGGCTTCCGTCACCATGTCAGATTATGCGCAATGTGCCTCCAAGTATCAGCGTTGTACTTTGAACGCTATACCTTACAACAACAACCTACTCAAGCGATCCAAGCTCCCACTGTCTCTGCTACTGGAACCCTATCCCAGAGCACAACCGCAGGACAAACACCCGGATCAAGTTCCTATCATCTCGCACGGCACAATCAGCCGCTGCACACGCTGCAAGTCATTCATCAACCCATTCATACAGTTCATTGAAGGCGGTTTGAAGTGGCAGTGCAACATTTGTGGACATGACGATAACAATGGTGCGTATGCGCTCGAGTTTGATTTGCAAAGATGGCTCTAATTACATACCTGTACTTCTAGTTCCTCCAGCCTATGACTGGGACCACATTACAAGACAGAAAGCAGATCGATGGGGCACACCCGAGCTGAATTATGGCTGTGTAGACTATGTAGCGACCTCTGAATTTATGTCAAGGCCACCTCAGCCTCCAGTATATGTGTTTGTCATTGATACTACCAAGCAAGCCATCAATACAGGCATGATTCCTGTGCTTGCTGAGGCATTGATTGCCTCTATTGATCGTATCCCCAACAGCGATGGAAGAGCTCGTATTGGATTCATCACCGTCAGTCATGCGATTGGATTCTACAGTCTCGGCAACAAGGAGCCAGAACTGCTTATCATGCCAGACATTGATGATATCTACCTTCCACGTGCTCACACTGATCTCGTTGTCAATTTGAATGAAACCAAATCCGCTGTGCTGGACCTGCTTGAACGGCTCAAGGTGATGTTCACACGAGAAACATTTGCGACAAATGACAATTGTTTGGGTGCTGCCTTAAAAGCAGCTCGACAGCTCTTGGTATGTTTCCAAATACATGGTCTCCCGGGAATGCAACTAACATGCCTTCCAGTCTCCAACAGGCGGTAAGATCATCTGTTTTCAAGCAAGCTTACCCAATATTGGTGTTGGCGCACTGTCGTCGTCTGTCATTCACAAGCAAAACACCACGGCAGCCGGCGAAAACTTGCTGTTGGAGCCCACCAGCGAGTTTTATAGATTGTTTTCAGAGGAATGTGCCAAATCACATGTTTGTGCGGATATGTTTGTCTTTGGCAGTCAGAATACAGACGTAGCAACTCTCAGTAAGTTGTTTCTACGAATGTATGTGTGTATTCCTGTTTAACAATGCCCACTAGATGTTATTCCCAGATTCACCGGTGGACAGACACATTACTACCCTGGATTCAATGCAAGTAATACGGGCGATAGAGAAAAACTAAAGCTAGAGATCAAGAAACTAGTCAAGGAGGAAATAGGCCTGGAGGCTATTATGCGAACCAAATGCTCTCCTGGACTTGCATGCAAATTGTACCACGGTAACTTTTCGTTTCAATTGCCAGACATACTCGTGCTGCCCAATGTACCTCGCGATGCCAGCTATTGTATCGACCTGTCTATTGAAAGAGAGCTTCAGGGCGATCTCGCGTATTTCCAAACATGCATGCTGTACACATCTAGTGCTGGCGAACGCCTTATTCGTGTCATGACCACATGCTTGCCTGTGGCCAGAAAAATCACAGAGTTGTTCTATGCTGTTGATCAACAAAGCTCCGCCAGAGCCATGGCCTATCAAGGTGTGTATTGAGTGTTTGTTACAACAATGTACTGACTCAAGTGTTGGATTAGCGTTGGACAAGGCAGTGACACTCAAGATCAGAGATGGCAAGGAGTATTTGGCTCAGAAAACGGCGGCGATTTGCGAATCGTATAGCAAGGAGGTCATTGGAGTTATTCCCTCCAAAAGCACTCAACTTAATGTATGTCGATCTCTCAGTTTGCTGCCTGCCATGATGCTGGCATTGTTAAAGAGTGTAAAGTGCAGTTTGATCAAATGTTAGGGAGAGCTTTTGTTGACAAGCCCTTGTAGGAAGCCTTCAATGACACTGGCGTAGTGCCCACAAACATTGCTACTCAATCCGGCATCTTGTTGCGAACACTGCCAACGAGTCTGTGGTCAAGATACGTGTATCCCACATTCTACTCGCTTCATAATATGCCTGCTCATGTAATGATGTATATATCTTGTTGTTTGAAAAGTGATACTTAAACTTATCGTTAGGCTGGAACATTTGACACCAATGACAAGTGTATTATGCCGCCTGCAGTCAACCTGTCGAGCGAGAAACTAGAGCGTCATGGCTGCTATCTTGTGGAAAATGGGCAACGCATCTTGATTTGGATTGGCAAAGAGGCAGTGTCTCAATTGTGCTCTGATTTACTCAATGTGCCACACGTGAGTCAGGTCAGATCGGGCCAGGTCAGTGTTGTTGTAGTGCTTGACATTATGCTGTTATTAACATCATTTGGACCATAGATACCCTCCTTGCCAATATTAAATAACCCCTTTTCTGAAAGAGTATGCCGCATCATCAAGAACCTCCGTACAGACTTACGGCACAGCAACTTTTACCCATCCTTGTACGTTGTGCGGGAGGATGGCGAGCCCATGCTGCAAAGTTGGTTCATGACACACATGCTGGAAGATAGGCAGCACGTTGCTTCCAATTCTCGCTTCCAAAATTCAATGCCTTATTCAGCCATGAGCTACTATCAATGGCTTGGCCATATCAAGGAGGGAATGTAACTCTCAACAGCTCTCATGTAATACTATTACTACTACTACTACTACTACTACTACTACTACAATATGCACTATCATCTCATTCATCATATTACTCAATAAATTTATTATATATGAATCACAAAAAGAAAATAAATTAGAGCTTGTTGAATTGTGGGGGCTCCAGGACAATGTCAGGGTAGGCTGGGTATGCAGGATTCAACCAGGCACCACCTGTTGTATGTAAAATGTCAGTGCATTTGTTTCATTTCCAACATCCAAATCACATTCTTACCATCAACAACCAGAACAACACCAGAGATGTATGTAGCAGCCTCAGAGAAGAGGAAAACAGTAGAGTGTGCAATATCTTGCACTTCACCCATACGCTAAGAAAAAAGGTCCATCAGCCCTCTTGAAACACATCTTTGATCCGAGATTTTTTACCTGCATAGGGACAGATGCCAAGTCGAAAGCAGGCCCCAATTTTTCCATACCTACAGTAGCAGCCTATTCATAAGTTAGTCTACTATGATCTCGTATCAATCCGTATGCATGTACTTACAATAGGTCCAGGTGCAATACCTACAGAACAAAAAGAATAATTAGCAACTTTGCCCGTGATCTCTCTCTTTTTTTTTTGACATGGATCAATTACCATTGACACCTATAGAGTCAATCAATTTAGTAAATTACACTTATCATCATCAATCTTAATGCACTACTTACGAACACCATGAGGGCCCAATTCCACAGCCCAATGCTTGGTTAAAGCCTACATTTACACATGCCTGAGTACATCATCATTGCATTGACACGTTAAACTACATACATCAATAGCAGCCTTGGCAGCTCCAGCATGTTGTTGGAAAGGTGTACCAGTGTAGTGCAAAGTAGCAGATACATTAATGATGGCACCCTTGGATTTCTTGAGGTATTGAGAAGCAGCCTTGGTTAAATTAAAGGTACCGAGCAAATCAATTTCAATGACAGTGCGGAAAGCATTGTAGGATAAATGATCAAAAGCAGCTAAAAAGTTACCAGCGGCACCATTGATCAAGAAATCAATGCGGCCATATTTTTCGACAGTAACCTTGACAGCATTCTCTACATCAGCAGGATTACGAACATCACCTGCAACAGCGCTATTTTCATCCGTCTTAGATATCTCATTCATCGTTGCATGTCAAGGTCAAACTTACAATACTTCACCACCTGTCTTGGCGCTCATCTCCTTGGCTGCCTTTTCCAACTTGTCCTTGCTATAGTGTAGTGTTAATACGAGAATCAGAGGCGTCAGTAGAAGCCGGTTTACCTTCTGGAGAAAATAACAGCGGTGGCTCCATGCTTAACCATGGCCTCCGTCATGCCACGGCAAATACCACTACCACCACCAGAGCATAGTAAAACTTTGCCCTTGAAGAGATCTTCTTTGAATACTTTGGTTGTGTCGACGACAGTCATTTTCGGTTATTGGGTTGTTGTAATGTGATGAATAGAAACAGAGAAGAGAAAAAAAATGAAAAAAGGTGGGGTAAGTAGAGGTTTAATTTATATTCAAGCAAGAAAGCTTATCACGTGTAATTGGTAGTTTTGCCAAATGTTATGAGACAACATCTATAATAGGCACCTGTATTCAGAGACATGATCAATTTGAACAGGATCTCTCAATTCACATTTGCCTGTTGATTAGAATGTGAGCTAGTAGCTATGATTGCAATTCTTATTGATGTTTGATGGGGCATGTTGATTATTAGAGTGAGAAGTAAATTCGGCAGTAAAAAGACTTATTAATGCTATTTGCACTGCAATCAGACAGACTTGAAGGGGTGGGTACACAAAAAGACGGATCTTTCGGTCAGTTCTCACTGGATTTAGTCGTATCAAAATTCGCAGGATCATCTTCAGATACTTTGTACATAAGCGCTAATATGTTATAATTCTACTAGATGATGTCGGCTAAACTACTACTGTAATACATACACTCTATGATTACTTTCCTTAATATATTGCTCTTTCTATTGGTTTAACTTTATTCATTTGCTTTTTTCATTCAGCCATGGCAATTGTTTCTGATGTAGTTTACAGTTCTTTGAAGTGACTGTAGTGGATTAATAATACTGTTGAAAGTAGCATGTTAATAGACAGTGTAATTGGACTTCAGAGCAGATAGATTGTTGCTGATAACTGATGAGAAACTGACGATCTTCAATATAAGCACGTGTTGAACCATGACCTTCATACGAGAACCTGCTAATTACAAGTGATTACGACTTCTAGATTGATGGGCGCAATGCTGGGAAACGTTATATTCAAAACTGCTGGGTAGTGATTTGCTTCATTGTGGTATAGCAAAAGCTTAAAGCTGTGCTGAGCATTACATGAAAAAGGAGGAGCAGCTATTCCAAGCTCTATGTTGATGCTAGAGCCTTTATATCAGGACCATTAGATACGTTGAGGAGTTGCTAAGCAAAGGAACAGATTTTCAATCTCTACATTGGTTGTCAAATAATTAAGCGAGAAGAGGGTAAAATAACTAATACAAAAACCAGTGTTTCAACATTACAATCAGTAAAGCTGCCAATTCAATCGGGCTGCTTCTCTATAACCTAAATTTTGATACCTGTGTTTGCCCTACAAAATGAAGCCTAGTTTGAGCACCTATTACGATACTTCCCTTCAAAAACCAGGTTTTCAACTCTCAAACTGGAGCTTACAGTGGCGCAGATTCAGTACATACTCCCCTTAGAAAACCTCAAATTATATGAAAAACAAACATATTCCTCTACAAGCCACACTAGCCGATGGATCTCGCTACGCTCGATGGCGGTGTCGTCCTGCTGGCTCTTGTTGAAGACTTTTCAAATCAGAGATAATAAAATTTGGTACAAGTAAATTTTAAATTATCAGTTAATAATAGTGAAAGAAAGGTTATATCAGAGCCAAGAGGGATAGAGTTGAGGACGTATCCCTTTGCACCCCCTTTGCGCATACCTTGATATCAAACGAAAGCCATCATTGAGACGATGTGAAATAGAGTTCAGGTTTATGCAGCATTTGTATATCACATTCTCCTTTCATGTCACTTTTTCATGTAGTAGAAATATCCTAAGATGACGACGTAAAGCTGGCAATGCGTAAATACAGGACTTGTATAGGATCCATAGCGACTTTTTTTGAGATATTGTCATTACAAGAGACATTTTTATGGGTGAAAACCCCCAACAGGAACAAAAAAAAAGGTACTTAGGCTAGCGATTGTTCTTCCAAATTTATAGTTCCCGTTTAATCAGCATCCTAATCATTGCCATCATTAGAAAGGCATTTGGGTCAGCCAGCAGCAGCGCCAAAATTGATTCAAACTCAGATTTTTTTCTGTTCAAGATTGGACGGATTTCGTCTTGTTTCGACTTCTTTAATCTATTTTGTGGTATTCGACTATATAAGTTGTGATGATTACCCTACGCTTCCTAATACATTATTGAAATACTTTTCAAGGCGCTTCCAATGGTGCCAAGTAAGATAGATGTTTTGACTGAACTAACTGAGCAATTCCAGAAAATATGAAACGAGGTTTTTGGGCAAAATGTCGAAATTTTGCATATGAAGACCTGATAAAAATGGTCTCAGAGGTTGCTTTGGATTGAGAGAATCATATTGATTTAATATCATAACATAATAAATGTTCAGTACTTTTGCACTTTACAATCCTAATATGGAACCTGAGTTTCAAGGCATCTATCAGACCTGGCTCATATCATAACATAATAAATGTTCAGTACTTTTGCACTTTACAATCCTAATATGGAACCTGAGTTTCAAGGCATCTATCAGACCTGGCTCATATCATAACATAATAAATGTTCAGTACTTTTGCACTTTACAATCCTAATATGGAACCTGAGTTTCAAGGCATCTATCAGACCTGGCTCATATCATAACATAATAAATGTTCAGTACTTTTGCACTTTACAATCCTAATATGGAACCTGAGTTTCAAGGCATCTATCAGACCTGGCTCATATCATAACATAATAAATGTTCAGTACTTTTGCACTTTACAATCCTAATATGGAACCTGAGTTTCAAGGCATCTATCAGACCTGGCTCATATCATAACATAATAAATGTTCAGTACTTTTGCACTTTACAATCCTAATATGGAACCTGAGTTTCAAGGCATCTATCAGACCTGGCTCATATCATAACATAATAAATGTTCAGTACTTTTGCACTTTACAATCCTAATATGGAACCTGAGTTTCAAGGCATCTATCAGACCTGGCTCATATCATAACATAATAAATGTTCAGTACTTTTGCACTTTACAATCCTAATATGGAACCTGAGTTTCAAGGCATCTATCAGACCTGGCTCATATCATAACATAATAAATGTTCAGTACTTTTGCACTTTACAATCCTAATATGGAACCTGAGTTTCAAGGCATCTATCAGACCTGGCTCATATCATAACATAATAAATGTTCAGTACTTTTGCACTTTACAATCCTAATATGGAACCTGAGTTTCAAGGCATCTATCAGACCTGGCTCATATCATAACATAATAAATGTTCAGTACTTTTGCACTTTACAATCCTAATATGGAACCTGAGTTTCAAGGCATCTATCAGACCTGGCTCATATCATAACATAATAAATGTTCAGTACTTTTGCACTTTACAATCCTAATATGGAACCTGAGTTTCAAGGCATCTATCAGACCTGGCTCATATCATAACATAATAAATGTTCAGTACTTTTGCACTTTACAATCCTAATATGGAACCTGAGTTTCAAGGCATCTATCAGACCTGGCTCATATCATAACATAATAAATGTTCAGTACTTTTGCACTTTACAATCCTAATATGGAACCTGAGTTTCAAGGCATCTATCAGACCTGGCTCATATGAGAATAATGATTTTACAATCAATCAACAAAAACCACTGTAATTTCTACCCTCTTTCCTCTGCTCAGTGCTGTCAATGTTTTATTTGAGCGACGTCTCAGAGCCTCAGAGATTTCATTACTTACTGCAGACATTTTATGCAACCCATGCATTGTCAATGTCCAGACTAACGTTATTAAATATAGAATGCAATAAAATATCATTATGAACGATATAGAAGGCAATAAAATATCATTATAAACGATAGTGCTATGACCTTCCACCTACTTTCTATACGCTTCGAGGGCATTTACTACTGTATTGCCTTATGAAAAGGGCATGAGTTTTCCAGCTGGCCCTACCAGCCAAAATTAATTCAAACCCAGAATCATAGTCTGTTCCAGATTGGACATATTTTGATAATTTTGGACTCGATCGAGCTATTTTTGCAGATTCGACTAAGTGAAGTATGATAATCACCCCATGCTTCCTTAAGCTTTCCTGGAGTACTTTTCAAGGCGCTTCCAATGGTACTAAGTAAAATAGATGTTTTGAATTCACTTATTGAATGATTTGTAAAAATATGAAAAGAGATTTATGGCCAAAATGTCGAAATTTTACATATCAAAGTCCCACAAAGATAATTTCAGAGGTTGCTTTGGATTGATAGAAACATTTTGATTCAAGATATACTATAGTAAAAGTCTCCATTATCAAGATGAAAAATGCGATCGTTTGATTTTCGATGAAAACCATGAGGGATACCTCATGCTTTTTGGTCGATTTTTGACCATGTTTTTTTGGTCCCCAAAAAGTCGAGCAAAAGTGTCAGAAAGGAACTGCCAGATGAAAGCAACCATTTGGGGCTATTCTGACGATCTAAAACGGCCTTGAACGCAAGAAAATTCAGCTCAAATGCACTCATACTTTGCTGTATTAGGGACACTAAGGACTAAAAAGTGGGAATACCAGTATGCTGCTTGCCCGTATATGAAGTAGCTACGTGTATATGGATGTAGAACATCACATAAGAATCAGATCCACAGATAATATGAAGGGTTACTATGTGTAAGTGGAGGGTCAAAATGAAAGTAGCAGTATTTTGATAAAATACGCAAGAGCAATCAGTAGCACGAGCTGCCGCTGCGCAGGTTGGTTCTCTACCTTCGCTACGCTTCGGTGAGAACCATCCGAAGCATAAACACTCATATGATTAGTGATTATATATCAATCAACAATCAGGGTTCCTCTTCTAACATTTTAGCTATATTAATTTTGGGATATTAGCCAAAGGCCCGCGGCAGCGCGAGCCGTTTGAACGTAGGTTGGTTTCCACCGAAGCGAAGCGTAGGTCAGGAAACCACCCGAAGTGCTGAAAGGCTCGTATACCATAGTAAAAGTCTTCATTTTCAAGGTGAAAAACGCGATCGTTTGGTTTTCGATGAAAACCATGAGGTACCCCTCATGGTTTTTAGTCGATTTTTCGCCATGTTTTTTTTTGGCTCAAAAAGTTGAGCAAAGGCGTCAGGATGTTACTACTGCTCGAGTACAATTGTTTGGCGTCATTCCGAAGGCTCAGAAAGACCAATATGTCAAGATATGAAGGCCTGGAAGCTTTCAAATTTGGTTATGTTTTGCTTTATAGCTTTTATTTACCCTGCATGAATCACATTTTTGGTAGCTGGAATCTTCCGTAAGAGTAGTTCTACAGCCTGTGCAATTTCAAATTTGAATAGAAAGTATATTGATTTTGGTAAAGCTAATTCTTGCAAATTTTGTTGCATTATGGTGTTGGTAAACTTATTAATGATGGATATGCGAAGCCGAATTTGCTGCTTGAACATTATGGTTTTACACCTTTGCTTCGCTACGGTAAACCCTTCATTAAGATTGATATTACCAAATGCTGGGTTAGAGACTTAGTTGCCATCATGGTTTTTCACCTTCACTTCGCTACGGTAAAACTGCCTCATAGGTCAATGTTACCAAATGTTGAATTAGATGCGTTATGTTTTTGGTGGGTGGGCTTAGCACCTCCTCCAAACTCCCTCCCTGTCGCCACATTGCAACTGAATATACACCGTCTGTAATCACAGCTACTGTCACTGCCCAAACCACAGCTACAACCACGACTACAAGTACGCTGACTGAAAACGAGATGGTGATAGCATCTTCCACAATGACAGTGGATAAGCCATACATTACTGTGATAGAAACCACAGTTTCTGTATTCAACTCTTTCACAGGCGTACGCGAAACAACTGAGATAGTCAATAGAGAGTCTCCACAAACAACAGCCACGGACATGTCTGATATATTATCGTATTCCGTTTGATACAAGACACTAATAAACTACAATCTATATGCAAAAACAAGAGACTCATCTCCAATTCGCGTATCATTGTCCAACGTCTCTTGCAGTTCATCTGCCGTAAGCTTTGCTTTCTCTTCATGCTTCCTCTTATTGGCACATTGTAAAAGGTATCGTTGCGTCAATGCAAGGCAAATAAACACCACAGTAAAGACCAGGTTTGTAACATGTCCACGCACTGAATAAAGAGAAATCAGCTTGCATGTTCATATTATGTCTAAAGCAGGCCCACTTACAGTATCGAGGAGCATCTGAATGTCTGTAAATGTTGGATCCCAAAAGGCCAGCAGAATTATTAGCAGAGACAGCCATTGCTGTGGCTACACCCTTCTTCATATCAGGCGCAATGTTGCTGGTCAGCCAGGCATTGACAATGGGGTTGATAACAAATATACCAGCTACTGCAATACAAACACCTGTATATAACTCGGCTCTTTCCGTGCAAATTGTTAAAACGATATACCCAATCATGCAAATGCATGCTCCTGCAATGGCGTGAAATGCGCGGTCTTTTCGTCTATCTGAGGAATAAGCGCCAGCAACCATCTATTTGTAGCATCTATCAGACAGATGATCTGGTATCCATGCTACGTACTTACAACAAAAACTGCGCCTACATAAGGGGGAGCTTTGGTGCTATTGCATCAGTTATCAGGTTGTTTGCATCTATGAGATAAAGCACTCACCTGACATGAGATTAGCAGACAGTTTATCGTCGTATCCCATTCCTTTGACGATGGAGGGCAGGAAGCTGTTTTTTAAGAGGGATTAATTTCTTCCATAACTGAAAACCGTACATGACCACGTTTACTTGGATATGCTTGTATTGGGTACACTGCCACAGAAGAACATGACCATATACATCCACACTTTCCAATCAGTCAATGCTTTCAAAGCTTGCTTCTTGTTTGACGCATCTAAATCTCCCAGTGTGATGTGATGATTGGTAATCTCGCCGTCTTCATTCAGCCTCTCAATTGCTAGTATTCTTTCTTCTTCCGTAAAGATGGACCAGGTAGATGGAGAAGCAGGCAAGTAGAAGCTGCAAAATCACTCATTAACGGTGCACTGCAAAATGAATCAAATCATGTTGACTTACAATGCGATGACGGCAACAATCACAGTAGGCATACCCTCAATCAAAAATAGCCACTGCCATCCAGTCAAGCCGCCATTACCTCTCAGTTGTAAAATACCATAGGCCAATACACCAGCTATAGCCACGTTTGTTACTGTCCCTTTTTCCATCATGACGCAGCAATGCCAACTTACCATACGCATGAGCTGCGACAGTGGATCCCCAAAACAAAGCAATGCGAGTAGCCATTTCATTCTTTTTATAAAATAGGGTCAGAAAATACACCACACCAGGGAAAAAACCAGCTTCAAAGAATCCTAAAAAGAATCGCAATGTCATCAACTGATGATAGCTCTTGACAGTGGCATGAAGACAGGCAATGGACCCCCAGCAGATCATCAACAGAGGCAGCCTATACAAACCCATTTAGCTTGCGCTTTGATTATGCTTATGTTCCAGATCCACAGTTACCATCTCTTTGCCGTGAACCGTTTTAACAATATATTGCTTGGTATCTGAAAGATCAAAAATCCAGCCTACACATACAATGATAAACAACTCGAAACATGACACTCGCTTGTGATACCACATACATAAAAGATAGTGACACAAGTGTTGAATTGATCAGGTGTGATACCAATGTCTTGTTCAAAGTTGTCTAGCACAGCGTTTCCTAATGGTCATTCGTTTTTTAAAAAAGAACTCTGTAAAAAGCGCATGCTACAGCTCACCTAAGCTCGATCTGTCCAATGAAGAAAACAAGTACATGAAACTGAGAAATGGCAATAATCTTGTATCTATTTTGCGAATAAGTTTCTTTTCAGCTAGCATTCTATCTTGATCTTCCACAGCTTCTGGCTGCAATATACGGCTGTTGTTCTCGCCACCGTCTTTTATCATGGTTAGTAAATATGAAGAAGAGAAAGCAGCAAGAAAAGGATGCAAATCAACGCGGATAATGTGCATAATCCTCTCCCTTTGATAAAACCGACTCCTTTGCTTGTCCTAATGCAAATGGTTTTACTTACCAATCGACAGTAATGGTTGATACGGATTAGAAATCTCCATAGGATAGGTAAGTAAAAAAGATGAAAAGAATAGTAATTGAATTTGGTAGAATTCATGCTGTTTATGCCCCACATGATTTGCTGGCTATTTGTATATACACACACACACACACACACACACACACACACACACTTATTCAGCTCATTTCGTTTCATTCACACTGCAAATATCGCATTGTTCGTTGCCACTTTACGCCCTTGGTTTAATTCACTCTAATGCTAGATTTATAATGCGGTCAAAAGCAATCTGAAGACGAGATGAACAATGACAGTATTTGAGTACTTGATTTATAAATCAAGATAGCATGATCTGATAAGAGCAACCGATATCTACGCTAGTTGCCTTGTTTGCCATTCACTGCATTTGTTAGAAACAGAGCACGCACTCGCCCATTGTCCATCTGCTGCTGATCCAATGACACAAATGCAATCATGCATCCAGGAACAATACCCAAGCGTGGCTTGAATGCCGTATTCATAAACCAAAGTGACCACTCATCCAGCTTCCTTCTCTCTCTTTTTTCAACATCTTTATGAACGAAAAATTGACAGACACTTTACGACAATTTGGTGTATTAGACAAGATAGAAGAGTGTACGCATCTCAAGCTAAAAAACAAGGTTCTGTACTGATCATATAACATAGTGGGCCTTGATTCGGCTGCTGATATATTATCCAAATCCTCAGCAGACTTGCAAAGGTTACTACGCATAAACAGCCTTCAAGCATCCTTGATCTTGCGAAATGCTTCAAGAGATGTCTATGATTGGAGAAAGAGAATGAAGACAGGCGATGAACTGCTGCTACAAGACACACAGATATTAACAACGGGCGATGCCATCATGGACCAAGTGCTGCATGGAGGTATATCACTAGGAATGGTGACAGAGATTGTAGGCGAGAGGTAAGTAGCAGATGAGCTGGCGATACAATGTAGATTACCAACCGCAAGCCAAAGCTCTTCTGGGAAGACGCAATTAGCTCTACAACTTGCATTGACAGCACAAAAACCCAAATCAGAAGGTGGATTGGAGGGGGCAGCCGTCTACATTCATTCAGAAGGTCCATTTCCATCTACTCGCCTCGATCAACTCGTCAGTCAATACCCAGCTTCCAAGCAGCAACAACTCAAAAACAATATCCATACAATTCGTATTCGCACCAGTGAGGAACAATATCAAGTATTAGCATATCAACTGCCCGTCTTTTTAGAACGACATCCCAACATCAGAGTCGTCTTGATAGACAGCATCAGTGCCATCTACCGAAGTGAGCCAGCATCCGAGAGAAACAAGTTTGACAAGATGAGCGAGATCTGTGAATTGGGTTCCAGGTTGAAAAAGCTGGCAGATCAGTATCAAGTCGCTATTGTGGCAGTGAATCAAGTGTCAGATGTATTTGAAAAGGAAAAGAACGGTAACAGGGATTACATTGATAGCTGGTTAGATTTCAAGCTTGTCAATGCGGATGAGAGCAACACAATGATTGGAATGTTTATACAGTCTTTACTAAAGAAGCCCGTTTTGGGTTTGGCATGGTCAAATTCAATCAACACGCGCATCAGACTTGCTCGATCGCCCATGCTGGAGAGGATACAAACGAAAAGAATTTTGTTTGTCGAATTTTCGCCAATTGCCTCGAGATTGGGGTGTGAATTGACCATTGATGATAGTGGCATCCATGCTACAACCTCTTGAAGCCATTGACAGCTGGTGGTTTAGTCGAGCACACACCTGTGCACATATTAGCAGTCTTGAATGTGACCTTTTTGGTTCTTTCAAACCATAAAAAAAAATAATAAAAAAAAAACTTGCCTCAAAACATCATTCTCTTCCGCATACACTCACATATATACACACTCACAATCACATCACATCATGGCAAAGAAAGGATCCAAAGCAGCAAACGGTGGTAGAAGATCTTCCGTGTTGGGTGCATCCGATACAGAAAACAAAAACATTGCCATCGTCAATCACAATGAAGATATTGGAAAATTCAGTGTGATCCGTTCATCAGCAGCACAACAAGAGATAAAGCAAGTGAAATCTTGGGAGGAATTAAAGAAGGAATGCACAAGCTTGGAGGATATCCGTAATACAGTGCGTCGTCTATCATTGGATAATGTGTTGCCATTACTCCAGGAATTATTAGCTCAATTCGATGTACAGCAAGCTCGTGATGCTGTTTTGACAGAATGGATCAAGACTGTGCTTTTGACTCATACAGCTTATTTCATGACACTACCAGAAGTTGTGCAGCGATTATCAACACTTTACAAAGAACTGGATGATCGTTTAACTGTTTACCCCAAGTTATTGGCCATGCATGGTCGCTTGGATCTTATACAAAATCAAATCGATGCTCGTAATCGTAAAGATATCGAATCAGACGAAGAATCTGACATGGAGGAGGTGCCATACCAAAGTGAAAGTGATGATGATGTCGATGAAGATGAGGATAATGAAGAAGATGATGTGGATGACGAAGATGATCTAATGGACATGAATAATGAGGAGGTAGGCGCTTTTATCAAAAAGAGGTAGAGCTGTGTGTTGAGTTGATTGCATTTTCTTTCTATAGCTGAAGATGTTTAAAGAGGAAGAAGACGACTTGAATACAGAAGATGAGGATGATAACATTAGCGATAGTGATATAGAAGAGTAATTGGTGTATTGTATAATAAATTAACATAATAGAAATGCATCATGCTCTGATTTTTATAATTACACTGTGGAGGTTGTTTGTGATTAAGTCGGGAAACATAGAAAATACTGGATGGATAATACTGGATTTGTCATTCTAGCACTCATGAGCAGAGAGGCTCTTTGTTCTATGATTCCAATAATAACTATTGATCCGGATTTGTCAATTAGTATGTGTTATCAAGCTTTTTAATAGCTGTGTCCATTATAACTCTGAAAACAAAGCTAGTTTGACGGGATAAATCATGGAAGCTTGGCTGATAGCTATGTTGTCTAATTCTTTGGTAAAACATGCAATGCAAAGATACTCTTCATAGGCGATTACCACTATTGTCACTACATCCATCCAGCGTCCTTCTTCAAGATGACACTGCTACAAACACTTTTTGCAGGAATAGAAAATCATAAAGTCTGTCTTGATCCTGTTGATAAATACTAGACGGATTATCAGCAGTTTGGTAAAAATCAAAGACATTACTACGAAATAATGCGCAACAAGTACGTTGGCGTCGCTAGCCATAAGTTTTTATTAGTGTAATAAAAATAGTTATCTAAAAGCAATCTCATAAGAAGTCGAAATTCACCAAACAACATCACTAACTCGAATTGATGCAAATAGTAGGGGTAGATCTCGTCTTCATTAGCAAATCTTTAGTTTTTATGTCTGATTTTGTTCAAATAATTATTCCTTGTTTCTGTAGTAGTATGAAGCACCCTTTATAAGCTACAAACTATAAACAGTTTATTCTTTGTATTTAGAATATGCGTTAGATATCATTCAATTTATCACTGTCTAAATCCGTATAAGTTTGGTATAGACTGGTAGCGACAATAAATGGTTTTTTTTCTTAGAAAAAATACGTTTGAAGAATCAACGTTCCAACTTTTAAATTGCATTATTATACTTGGTGGATTACTGTGTTATATCAAATGTCATAGCAAGGTCTCACACTGAAGGTTTTAGGCTATTCTTAGGTCCTTTGGGTAAATCATGCTAATCATGATTTACAAATCAATTGTTGGGTAGACAGTAAACCTATTTGTATTATAGTTCATCATCATGCTGTAAACCCTAGCATAATGAAAAGTATATAAATGCATTCTTGGGATGCATTCTCAATAAAAGTGTAATTCTTTGGCAGATTCAATTTTACATTGTATTTTGACATAACATACTGTTTGACAGCTGAGCCAAAATAGGAAATGCTGTGATTCCTCACTTTCATATTATATCACTCATGCTGTTTTAATTTACATTTTGTCCTTGATAAATTACCACATACACATAATAAATTTAAAAAATACCTTATATGAAGCTATTTAATGGATGCCAAATCAAATAGCTGCCAAATCAAATAGCTGCACCTTGTCTTACTATTTGATACAAAACAGTTTATTTGGATATCCTTTTATTACAATTACAAAATCATATTAAATGCTAAATTAACAGGATATCAACTAGTTGTAGACCTTCGCTGCTCCGACTCCTCAGCCAATCAGATCGCTTAAAAACTCCGCTGACCTAAAATTTTTTTTGCGAGGGTTTCCCCCTGTTTTGATGTGAGGCAAAATTTTAAGCGCCGCTATAATAGCATTATAGCCGCAGCTATCATAAAATTTCCCTCAGGTGCTAGAGCATGCCTTACTTACACCACCTAGCTTTAGATTCTGGCATTGAGACCCTCAATCATCACTAAAGTAAGTAGCAATAACCAAGTGGAGGCAGCCTATCCACCTCCTGGTGTCGGATAAAGTCTTGTTGAGCTTCAGTGATAGGCACATGTACACAACGTAAAAAAGATATGCTTCAAAGAAACATAATAAGAATAAAAGAAAGAAGAAAAGAACATACTACTATAGGGGTATAGTAGTTTGTAGGCTAAAAAAGAAACACTCATACAAAATGAATCAACGAAAAGCATATCATGAATACGACATCAAAAATGTTACATTCTTTGCACAACAAAGTTTAAACTATATTCTTGTTGCAAAAAAAAACAAGAATACATAAATGAGTAACATGTATGATAATAGTCGGATGTAAAGCAACACAAACACGCACAATTGCAAGAGCAACAGTAGTATGAGTGTATAATACAACATAATAGCTAATGTCGTTTTATGTGAAGCGGCAGAGGCAACACAAACAACAAACCACGGCCATATTACAAAGTATCACAAGAGTAATACAAATATATGGCAGTGCATCATGCTTGTTGTTGTTCGTACATGACATACAAAGTAACAACATTGCAAGTACTACTCGTTGAGCTGATCATATCACAGCTGATGAAAGAGAAAAAAAAACGCAGCAAAGCAAACATCATGATGATGAATGCATTATTACGAGAAAGGAAGCAATAATAAAAACGTTCATTATTGCAACCAGAAGAAACAATTACTTACCACTTATTACCACAGCCAAAGATGAACCAGAAAACAGCCATACACCAGAGACAAGAGATCAAAGGACAAGAAAATACCAGGAAAGGATTACAGAAGCAACAATAGACCATCGAAACAGCCACCAGCAAGTGCGTAGCAAGGGTTCAGCAAGAGACTAGAAATGAAGCCTGAATTATTGGAGCTATTCCAAGTACAACGACAGTATAAAACGCGTTAACATTGTATTCTACGTCTATTGCGCAGTTGTCAGCTATACGTACTTTAGTTCCATCGACAAAAGTAGCGTTGTTTTATGAATGATAGGTTTACAAAATGCAATAAAAAACGAGGGGAGAATGCTAATGATAAAAAAGGGAGGGAGGGAGGAATGTTAATAGAAAGCTGCGGCTAAAAGCCGTCACTGGTATCAGTACAGATAAAGTAGACAATAGGAATTTGGTCGCTTGCTACAGGGTAGCAAAGCAAGATAGGAGTTTGCGGTTTTCATTACAAGTTTAGCCAACACCTTACCTATCGATCTATCACTTGCAATTAAGAGGTTGTATTTGGAAAGGTAGCAAATTTTGCGTTCCAATTGAGCCGCATACTAAAGAAAAGCGGTATTTTAAACCATCAATAGCCCAGCTTCCATAATGCTCAAAACGAGGATTCATAGATCTCTGAAATCGCTTGATGTCGAAATCAAGCAATTCTGATAATAAAACTGCGTTCCAGCTAAACCAAACTTAGGATAAAGTTTAAAGAAGAATCGAATGATACCAGTTTTGAGAGCTTTGACCAAATCTATTAGGCTGGTTTTTGATAGAATAGATTTTGCGTTTTTTCGGTAGTTTCTGAGAGATTATCAAGCTTTGGCCATCAAAACTCTACCTGTAATACCTATCATATTGTAGAGCCAAAAGATTCCTATCGAATGAGCTATTCCTTGAAGCTCTAACATAATTATATTATGAGGAATCAGCAGTTTTGTATTTTCAAAAAATTGCTATTCAGATTTTTGCCTTGCTATTACAGGCAAATTTTGGACAAAAATTAGTGAATTTGCACGAAAACCTTTTTTGGTCGTATCTCAACAAATACTCATTGGATTTAGAGAGAACTAAAACCGTTGGATAGCTTTACTTTGGATCTATTATGATGTAGAAATTTTAAGGTCCAAATGCACGTTCCTTTTATGATTTTATTCAAGATCCTGTATTTTACGACCTTTTAGGCAGAAACATTGTCAAACAATCGCGAATAAAACTATATTGGCCACGAAAATTGGTACAGAATTAAAATACGCATCAAGTGGCACCCACACTTGGAAGGAATACTATAGTATATAACATGGAAAGCTATAAAAGAAATCTTTGGAGCGGCCTAACTGAGATCAGAGAGACATAAGGCATAGAGCATCGTACAAAGTTCGAAAAAACCAACGGCATAGCCAGTATTGAAAAGGAAATCTTCTGAAGGAGAAGCTTGGCCCTCCCACCAACAGTATAATGCATCTAATTCAACATTTGGTAAGATTGACCTATAAGAGGGTTCTACCGTAGCAAAGCAAAGATGCTACTAAGCACCTATTCCAACGTTTAACAACATTGCGTTAAATAAGGTTTTTATGGTACCAAAGCGAAGGCTCAACACCATGGCAATCAAGCATCTAATCCAACACTTGATAGTATTGACCTTAATGAGTGTTTTTATGTAGCGAAGAAAAGATGCCAAACTATAGTATTCAAGCTGCCAGCTCAGCGGTTTCTCATTTTCATTATTAATAAGCTTACCAACAACATAATGCATCAAAATTTGCATGAATTAGCTTTACCAAAATCAATACGCCTCCTAGTCGAATTAGAGATTATTGCACAGGCGGAAGAACTGGCCATCCATAAAATTTCACCTACCAAAGATGTAATAAATATCGTGTAAATAAAAGCTTTAGAGCAAAACATAACCATATTTGACAGCTTTCAAGTCTTTATATTATCTTGACATGTAGGCCTTTCTGAGCCGCCGGAATGATGCCAAACAATTGTAATCGAGCAGTAGTAACATCCTGACACGTTTGCTCAACTTTTTGGGCCAAAAATTGACTAAAAACCAAGAGGGGTACCTCATGGTTTTCATCGAAAATCACCTTTCTTTCCCCTTTTCTACGAAATTTTTGGTCAAACGGGGTGATTCCCTAGTTTTGTGCGGTAGTAGCGCACATTATGGTCTCTCCCAACTCGATAGTTGACAGAGTACATAGTCGCTATGTTTTTCCCTTACCAAGGTTTTTTTCAACATAGAATAACGTCAGGAGTAGCCAGGGTATGTGATTTATCACATCTACCGAGTCTCTTCTGCTCTCAACTGTGGATAATGAGTTTCACTAACGTGGGCGTTTGCTTTGTTGTTGGTGTGGTTCTGATTGCTCTCTCTCTTGCTTGCAGCTTCGGTCGAGTATCTTTGTTCTCTCGCGATAACCATCTGATCAAGTGCTGACAGTACTATCCTTAGTCAAAAACCTCCTGGGTCCTTCTCGTGGGAACAGACTCTTTACCCCAGTAACAATTCAAATTAGTAGTCATGCCCTTCTTGCCCCTCTTGTGTACACACTTATAGACTGATCGTTTTAGGTAGAATAGTCTTTTGGTAGCATGTTAATAACATAATAAATACGAGTGGTAGCCTGCCTTCCTCCATACAAAAAAAAAATTTGTTTTCATCGAAAATCAAACGATCGCATTTTTCGCCTTGAAAATGAAGACTTTTACTATGGTATATATTAAATCAAAATGATTCTCTCGATCCAAAGCAACCTCTGAAACCATTTTTATCAGGTCTTCATATGCAAAATTTCGAAATTTTGCCCAAAAACCTCGTTTCATATTTTCTGGAATTGCTCAGTTAGTTCAGTCAAAACATCTACCTTACTTGGCACCATTGGAAGCGCCTTGAAAAGTACTTCAATAATGTATCAGGAAGCACAGGGTGATCATCACCATCTATATAGTTGAATATCACAAAATAGATTAAAGAAGTCGACAAAGATGAAATTTGGCCAATTTTGAGTAGAAAAGATAAACTGAGTTACAATTAATTTTAGCGGGTGGCGCTGCTGATGACTGGCCCAAATGCCTTTCTGATAATGACAATGATGTTAACAATGATGGTTGCGATGCCGATCAAATGGGGATCATGGAGTTGAAATTACAATTGCTTAGCCCGAATGATTTCTTTTTTTTGGGAGTTTTTCCTTATAAAGGCGGCCTCGGCGAGAGCCCACAGGGCGACGCCGTCATCGAGCGTAGCGAGATTGACCGGCTAGTAGTCTCTGATATACTTGATAATGTGGCGATCTTGTTGCTTCTGTGGTTACTCTTCATGAGCATGAATCCATGCAAGCCATGATGTAAAGCTCACCAGAAGCAATGCGAGCTTATTTTTCAGCAACGTTAGAGTTCAAGACATAAACGCACACTCAATGGCTTTTCATCGCTACCCCGCGCTATCAGTATAAGGATTGACATACTTATAGATGAAATACCAGTTTATTGATGTTTGTTTATCATTCCTAAGGTGTAACACACCCAGTCCTTCGTTAATATACGTAACACATACAGTTATTTCAAAACTGTCTTGCCAATGATAACGGACAACTTTGTCTTATGTGCCGCCTTGGTCCTTGTTGCTCCAATGCTTATTTCTTTTGTGGTGCTTGTGATATTTGTGGTGATGGTGTTCTTCATTATCCTCCTCCCGTTCTTCCTCGTCTTGACAACCATATGCCATAACACTAGGAAGGCCAAGTGTTTCAATAGCCATATATGAAATGGACTCTATTTGGATATCATCAGTAGAGCTTGATGTGAATGTGATAGGCTCCAATATGGTTACAAAATCAAGAGCGACGCCTACTTGAAGCTCTTCTGTCATGACTGTCGTGGTGTATACGTTTTCACTGTAATGAGTGATTGCATGTCTATGCATGGGTGTTTCATGGATAATCTTCATTTCTCGTTTAGTCTCTATTTCGATTTCTTGCTCTTCTTTGCCACAGTCAATAGGCTTGTCTTCCTCCTCCTCTTTCTCACCTTCTTCCTCATTCTCATCAGCATAAAACTCGACTGGTTCGTATACATTTGTTTGACGACTGTTGGAGGGTAAGCTCATTGTCACTGTTTTGGTAACCACTACAGGCGCAGGTGTTAAGACAACAGCAGCTCTGTTTTCGGCCATTGTCGCAGCAGTAGCAGCACGATCCGTTTTGATCGTTGAGACAAAGGTTTCCCTGGCTGTTGCTGTCACTACTGCTGTCACTACTCTGGGTGCTTTAACCATGGGCCAACAAAGAGATCGAGATGTACATTGTTCATGACTGACTGAATCAAAATCCTTTATGTCTGCACCATGTCCTTCATAGCTCTGTAAGGTAATGAGTTGTCCTCCAAAATAGCCAGTGGATGTATCAATGATGCGAGCTTAGAATACGATTGATTGAGTAGTGTTCCTCTCGCAGTATGGCATATAATAGCCTACCTTGAGGAGCAAGAATAGTACCTGCAATTGTAACACCAGGAGATCGAATCAGTGTAAAGAATGCATTGGGATCAGATACTGGCATGCCAGCTTGGTCGACAGCGTAAAAGTTGAAAATAGCTTGACAAGGAGAAATACCCTTGTTGACATCAAGCGTGGAAATGGTAAAGGTACCACCCACATAGACAGGGACCTGATACGTCAGTGTGAGTGCCAGGTAAATACGAATTAGACAACAACTCACATTAAACACAATCATCTCATCTGGTAAAACGCCATTCTTATACTGTCCCATCCATGTGTTGCTGCCTCGAAGCACACTGGGCTGTGTCTCCACTTTGCTAGTGGCTGCACACCCTCTATCAGAACAAGCAGGCAGCTTTAAGATACGATATCCAACAAAGGAACGAGCTCTGCTAGGCGATACCAGGCCATTGGCAACAGAGGTAATAGCAGTATCCGGTGCCAGGGTAGACAACTTGGCCGATGTCTTTTTGATGGTGGTGGGTGCAAATGAGAACAGCGATTGCACCAAGTCTTCATTGGGATGCTGCACACGAGGCAACGCAGCAAAAACACAATTTTTTGTACCTCTTGTATCAATACTACCGCTTTCTGTCCATACATCGCTATTGACATCGCCTTGGATGTCTGCATGCTTGGACATGAGTCCCAGCCGCAGCATAGTATTGCTGGATCCACAGTCCATCTTTGCTTTTGAGTTGTAATTGTAGCCATTGGAAGTAATGTTGAATGCTGCAATGGGGCCATACATGGAGGCTTCTGTTGCTTCATTGCTATTCTTGGTGATGAAATCACCAAAGATGCCGTTGAAATGATGCATCATATTGACCTGTATCCTCGTCAAGTCGGTTACACATTGCGGTGATCTGAGCTGAGGCGTATCTGCTGCATTGCTCAAACCACTGTGCATCAACACACAACAGATGATGGCTGTAATGGACCCATGTTTCATTTTCTAGGCTGTATAAAGACAGAGAGAAAAGAGACATGTCATGGTACAATCAAGATTTATTATATTAAAAATGCCAACATTCTTTCCCTCCAGAATAACATTGGTAAATCGACCAAACCTCCCATATTAGGAGCGCTGCTTTTTAGGTGGCTCTGTGAGTTCTAGGAACAAGACGTCCGCGTCATTCATGGGCATGATATGGTTGTGATGACCACTGCCACCACTGCCGCTGCCTCCAATCTTTGTGATGGCTGCTGTAATTTGGCCATTGTGTGTAATCTTTCTCGCGGCTGATTCTGCCGACTTTCTATGTCTCAACTGTCTGGAAACCTCCTCTGGATCCTTGGCCGTCTTGAGCGTCTTTTCATAGAACAAGTCTGGATGTGTGCACGTACCCAAAGCACGACGCATCTTGGTGCTAATCAGCGACAGGCCAATCTGATACGAAGCGTTCATCCACCCAAATCCCTCTCTTGGCACGTATTTGAAATCGATGCCCACGTTACCGTACTCCACCTCGACTTTATGTGTCATGCCCACAATATCGTATTTCTCGGGTACAACACCATTGAAATCCACAAACGATTTGGTGATACTAGATTGGAACAGCAAAATGAACAACAAACAAACAAACACACACACACACACACACACACACACACACACACACACACACACACACACACACACACACACACACACACACACACACACACAGACAAACACGTACGTATACAGCCAACGGTAAGATACTCTTTCCGCGATATCCTGCTTCCCATAGTTTTCAAACGCTTTCCAAGCCATGATTTGATGAGGGCCCCATCCAAAGGGGAAATCCCATTGTCGATTGGGCCGATCCAGTGATGTAATGCCTCTTGATTCTTCTGTGCCAGACACCAAACCTCCCAGTGCTTCGAATTTGTGTAATGAATGCCGGACCATCTTGTCTGCCTGTTCAGGACTAGCACATTTGGCCCACATGGCCCAGAATGCTGTAACAGATTCATAGTTGATTTGCTTTTCCAGCGCGGTATCATAGTCATAGTAAAGGCTCTTTTCTTCGTTCCAGAGATAGGTGTTGATTCTCTCCTTTCTTACAGTGGCCCGTCGTCGCCATTCTCGAGCGTGGTGTTTGGCCAGTGTGTTGCTGCTGTCATCTGTGAATGAGAGCTCACCATCAAACAAGAGATCAATGGTATCTGCAATATCTGTTTCATACTTGTACAGCAGCGAATTTAGATCAATGGTAGCTAGGTTGGCACACACCTTTTCGTATCGGTAGGTCGTGTCATGGCCGGATTCTCGAACAGCCCGATCATGCAAAAAGTACTCGTCCAGTCGAGGCTCCTTGATAGTGCCGTTGTTGTATTGCTCCATGTATTCCTGTATGGTCAAACTTGCTTCTACAGCATACGGTTGAATCACATGATCGAAATGAGAAGCTTCAGTCTCTGGAGGTATACCTAGACCCTCAGGCCTGAATCTGGACAAGCCCGTCTTGCTATCATAGCGAGGTTCAGACATCCACACTTGATTGTATTCCTTGATGGCTGTTTGAAACACGTTGGCCAACCAGGCCAGATTCTCCAGCTTCTTGCCTGTTGTGGATTGATCCAGCTTGTGGTAGACACGCAACGCCATGTCCGTCAAAAAGGGAGGCTGAGAGCGAGACAGATAGTAGGATCGGTTTGCATTCAGTATCTTGCCGTAATGCTGAATCTGATAAACAAAGTTATCTACCATGTTTTGAGCTAGTTCTGTGCGACCATCCACCAATAGCCCCAATGCAATAAAGTAAGAATCCCAACCATACATTTCGTTGAATCGACCGCCTGGCACAACAAACGGCACGCCTCGCCATACTTGCTGCTTGGTGCCATGGTCATACTCCTTTTTCATGGCCAGTGTCAAAATGCCAGGTCTATCATTGATGCTTTTGACGTACTCGGGTGTGATGTCCTTGGGTAACCTTTCCACTTGTAACCTTAAATGGGGTCGTGCGGCTGCCACTCGTTTGTAGTACTCGAATATCTCATCTAGATCAAAGGGTATATAGATCCGAGGATTATGGTCGGCAGAGCGGTTCTTTGTATCTGCACAAATGAACTCCAAGCCCTCTGCATCAATGCGACGTGTCAACCCATCCCAAAAGTTGTACTTGATCATCCGCGATAGCCTATCCACTGGGTTCTCATTAAGACGGGCTTCATCCAACACAATGTGTTTACGGCCATAGTCATCCGCCAGGGCAAGTTCTTGCAGCAAGTTGGATAGCATGTAAGTGCCACGTATTTCAATGCGGCGATAGCCTCCTGAATCTGCTGTGCCCACTGAAAATGATTTGGGTCCAAGATCGTTTACTGTGATTTGGAAATCGCCATCTGTATCTTCCTGTTCCACCAAAATGCGCTGAGTCTCCTTTACGTCAATCAAGAATTTTTGTGCTTTATTCTTGTCATCTGCTTGATTTGTTAGTATTCGGGATTTCCTTTTTATGTAGTCCGTGATGAAACATTTACCATAGGAAGCCCGTCTTTTGCGTGGTGGTAAATCTTGTGATTTGTCCTAATAGTACATGTCTAATGAATGGACACATTCAATAGGGTGCTCATGCCATATCAGCTCTTACCTTGAGCGTCTTTAATCGGCTGATGACTCCACCAGCATTGTTGCCTGTGGTATAGTAAGTTTTGGCTGGTGCATGAACATCTACAGTCGGGTCATCTAGCACATGAATGGTAGATTGCATGGTTATATGTAAAGTTTAGATCAAGAAGAGAGAGAGAGAGAGAGAGAGAGAGAGAGAGAGAGAGAGAGAGAGAGAGAGAGAGAGAGAAAAGAAAGAGAACGATATAGTAAAAAAAAAAAGCTTTATTTATATTTGATACCATAGCTATATAAATAAAAAAAAATAGTACATTAAATCAAATGATGATGAATCGTTTATTGGCTGTATATTAGATGGTGCTGTGCTGGATGCGCCAAGTAGGACGAGACGTTGCGAATAAGAGTGCTTGGGGAAAGCCATCTGCATTCTCCATGGTAATATGGATGCTTTAGCGAGTTGGATGATGTGTACGATTAGGGCATGAGATGCTAATCAATAGTGAAGGCAATTCTTTTGTTCTTGGGTAATAATCCAATCTGCATCAGTCCTGAAGAGTAGCTTTGCAAATGGCATTCGGTGCGTATTGACCTATAAACAACTTGCAACTTTGTATGATAGAGCAAGCGGTTGAGGCATTTATACATGACCCATCAATGCATGAACAAACATATAAATTAATTTGGAACCGTTCAGTAGGGTCTTTCAATGTAAACCCGAGCCAGTTATCCAATGTAATGGTAAAGCTGTTCAGATGTGTCAGTAACGTTCTCAATCAGGGGTTGCAGTATTTTATGGAGAAGCACCATATCTTGCAGGCAATCAGATGTCCAAACAGCCATGTGCATTCAAATAACTACTGATAAAATGTGCAATACACCTTTGATATCTACAGACATGCTTTTCCACCAAACAGCTGACAGCAGCCTGCAAACCATCAAGAGGTAGGAACGTTTTTGTGCACTGTGCCGACTCTGCACTAGCATTTAAACGGTACTGACAGTACGCTACAAGCCTCAATAGCTTAGCATTCACCTTTGAATACTTGCTACAAAGCAGCATTTCGGTAGTTGAGCCTGCCAGCTATCAATAAAGATTAATTATACAAGAAAAAAAATATGTATATTGTAAAGCTGTGCTCTAAATCAGTTCATGCTCGTGGTACCACGCTTTTCATCTCATGGAGATCTTGATTAGTCCCTGTGCGCAGGCGTCCATTCTATTCTTAAAATTTATATATGAACGCATAAGCATCTGTTGCATTTCAAGCTCGCTATCTTTTTACATTTATAGATAAGAACAGTTGAGTGAATGCTCCAGCGATGATATTTGTTTTGCACAAACGATGGGCATTATATGTCACTAAATTTGGTAGCAAATAAACCTACGAAATGAAAACATACTCTAGATCTGACCATTTTCGTTAAAGTAAAATCAGAGAAATGGTCAATCATACGTCTCGAGATAGGCAATCACAATCCATCTAATCCAATCTCATAAAGTAACTTGACGTAGCAATTCCACCATCTTCCTAATTGTGAATTTCGAGTCATTCATTGCTCATATCTCGTCAACCAAGCATGATATTGGCTTAAAAACAAGTGCTATCGTGTTCTACGACATGGCTTTAAGTTATGAATCACTCATTAGCAATTTTTTGGGGAACGAGTGGATCATCGATTTTTGGCCATTGTTGCCTTGTAGTAGCAAGGGAAAAATTGGATGATTTCAAATAAGGGGGGTTTTCACCTCAAAAAAGAGATTTTCTACTATAATGTTACTAAGCTCAAAACAACCGTAGAAACACAAAGAATCATGTAAAAGCATCTTTGAGCCAATTTATGATGGGTTTTTTAGACTTTTCCTCCAAAAACGTGTTTTCCATTTTTAAGAAATTGCTCCTCACAGAGTAGATGAATTGCTTCAAAAGTTGTACCATTGGATTCCTCCCTCTTTTGCGCATCTATAAGTTTAGAGAAACACCTCTGGATTATGTAATAAACTTTTGTGTAATCTCTTCTGAAAGGTTTTGAGATGTCAAAATTCAGGGTTCATAAGATCAGTTGAGAATCGATATTTTAGATTCCGATTATGGCACTTTCGATCTATAGCATCCGCCTTTCTGATTGAGTACCAGTAGATAAATGCTTGATTGTTATTTAAATAGAGCATCCATGTTATATATAAAGGTTTGCATTATTTACAGTTTAACAGTGCTATCTCGACGTATTGGTCATTCGTCTCATTATCTTTAAACATCCTCCTTTCTATTAAACCGCCTCTTTTCCAAAGCTACTTTAGTTGAGTTTTGACTGCTATCACCAACCGACGACGATGAGGAGGAAGAAGACATGGCATCTGCTCTTCTTCTATCTGCTTGCAACGCGCGATCTAGGGATCTGAATATTTCATCATCAATATAGTATGCTTGAAACAAGCGTTCCAAAGTGTAAATTCTCTCCTCAATAAGTGTCATTCGAAGCTCACTTCCTCGTTTGCCTTTCATCTCTGAAAAGTTGATGATGGGTGATGGCGACAGCAAGCAGTTGGCATTGCTCTTTGCTTCTGCTGTCGGTATAGTCAAAGGGTGAAGCCCATGCTTTGAGGTAGATGGCATGGCGTTTGCTGGATGAAAGTAGTTGGACTGGTGATGCTGGCTCGAAAGCGTTGACGATGCGATAGAATAATCACTCACGTGCTGTTGCAAAGGCTGCACGGAGGATGATGGATGCTCAAGAGAGAGATATCGATGATTGGTGAATGCTTTCATGGTAGAGGGAAAAAAGTTGGCGTGAAGGCCATTCATGAGCGATGATCTAAACTGTCCAAAAGACCAGCGATGCATGTATCCCCATGGCGACCTGGGTCGATAGCCAAATAAGCACGTTTGTAAGCTAAACAGTAGCCCAAATAAACCACCAAAGATGCCAATCGCATTGATGAATGCGAATGCCTTCTGTTCGCGTAATACTTTGGTTTGATAATTGGCTGGAAACACGTGCAGTGATCCAAATGGCTGAACAGAGCTGGATAGTGGGTTGTATTCCAAAGGAAACGATTCTGATGCTGTCATTGTGTCAATTTCGTAGCGCGTACTGATTGATGGGGCAATGCCAATGTAATTCCATATGCTTGATTCCAAAGAAATTCGCTTGATCAATTCAAAACTGATGGTGCTCATTAACCGTGTACTGAGTCGATAGGCGTTTTTGTCGGCTTGTCCTGCCAGATCTGATTCAGAGCGATACATGCTTTCTTCCTCGTTGCTATTCCATTCAAATGCCAGAGACGTTAGGTTTGATATTGCTTGGTTCAGAGTGGATCTATATAACTCCAGGCTGGGGTCATGTAGCTTGTTGTACAGCTCTACGTTGACTTGCTGCTCCTTGCTGGAAACCAACGTACTGTTCTTGCCATTGGCACTGTAGTAATCAAATTTGAGAAAGGAGCCACTACTATCCAGAGAGCGCTTTGACGTTTGGCCCAGTTTGAATGTGGTGGGAGCTCTAAACAGAGAACAAACACTGTTTGTTCCCTCTGCGTTGGTTTTCTTTGGTAGTTGATAAAAGAAATTGGAGCATTGCGCTCCAAAATCAGTCGTACATTGGATAATAGGGTCGTTTGTCTCCTCCCAGTGCTCAAAGCAAAACTTGACATCTATGATTTGTGTCAATGAGGTTGATTGTTGTGCGCGCTCCATTTGGGGGTGCTTACCTGGAACATCGATCAACATTTGATCGTTTGATTCATACGACAGCTGATCAATAATTGGACTATTCAGGACTTGAGTGGACAAGGTGAATATCAGGTATACAAAAAGCATCAGGAACAGCGTTTTCAGTAGCAATCGAGATGACTCTGCCCATCCAGGTTCTCCCACTCTTGGTTTCCAAATCTCTTTTTTGACAGCTTTGTAGGCGGTATACACCTTCATATGGAAGCGCTTCAATCCAAAGGTCCAGATGGCAATCATATATGAGACAACTATTGTCGATAGTAGACAGCCGAGACTAATCCACAACACAGCATTGGAAATAACACCGTTTTTGTTGAAGATGGAATTGACAATGGTTCTTTCTCCTAACCCTCTGACTGCAGTGGGTGGTTCCCAAATTTGTTTTGACATGTCAAATACGTGGAAATTATCATAGATTGTTTGATAATTGATTCCTGATTGCATTTGAGTGAATACAAGGCGTTAAATTCTATTTGATTAGCCTACCAAATCCAAATACTATTTTGGTGTCATTAATGATTGATATAGATGCATGTGATTGCGGTAATGGTTGAAATATAGAGAATGTTGGCACCCTCCATGTCCATGCATTGGTATCCAGGATGGCTGTCATGTCAGCTAGTTGGTCTCTTTGACTGCCAATGTACGTGTGATAGGGCGCCTGAACATTATCTTGACCACCGCATATAAATATGTCATTGTTAGGCCCTAAATCCAGTGTTAGAATGATTTTGCAGCCATTACAGACGTGTAATTGCGTACCTGCCGCTATCGCACTATGGAATAGCCTGGGTCTGGGTGCAATTCCCTTGATCTCTGGTGGTCTCTCCCAGGTTGATAATGTTGTATCAAAAACGACGACATCTGTCATGTCAAATAACTGCAATTGTGGCATTTTTGTGCAATAATAGCCACCTATGAACACCATTCTTCCGTCACTAGAGAAGCAACAGTGTCAATACTGGATTAATTACGACAAATTAAAGTAACTTGTTACCTTAACATGCTTACAGTATGTCCACAACGCGGCTTGATGGTGCTCGGAATATCAAGCTTTTTCCATTGAAAGTCGAGTAAAGAATATGTCCAGAAATCCTGTTGCGAATGCGTGCTGTTCACACCACCGAACAGATACACTGTATCCTTACTTGACGACGATGTTATAGAGTGTTCTTTTCTATACACTGGAGCAACTGTCGATGACGATGCTATCTCTGTCCAATGACCCCTCTTTATCAAGTCAAATTTGAATACAGAGAACGGAATCGCATTGGATGCTTCATCAGTTGCATTGCCGCGTAGGCTGCTGCTGGTTCGAATCCATGGCTCCATACTCAATTGCTCTTGGACTGACAGTGCGAATACAATCACTTCATCTGATCTGTTAGAAGCTACACCTTGCGCATATGGTAGATATGGCTGTAGGTCACTGGTGCTATGATTCGTTGTATTAGATGACACGTTACTGACAGCCAAGGAAGTCAGGGGTGTATTGGAGACTACCTCGTTTGAGGCAATAGACCACACATTGCTAGTGATATTTTTGTTGAAAGAAGCTGCTGTGGGTTTGCTAAAGCCGTATACATAGATAGTATTGTTGATGGCGACAGAACGTGCGCCTTCCACGATGGAGACACCTTTACTGATGGCTGTGTTGGGGTTTTCGTTGTTGGATATCCATTTAGGCGATTGCTGAGAGTCCATTAGCTCTAGGTGTTTAATTGATGTAAAGATAAAAAGAGGGCGAATTGAGGAGACAAAAACTAGTTGATGAAAAAGGCGTAAAACTCTATGCAAGTGCTCAAGATCGACATGTAAAAAAGGAGGTCAAGGCTCCTGTGTGTTTATCTTTTTCTTACAATAAATCCAAATATTAATCGATCCGGTTTATTTGACATTTCATAAATAAAGCATCTTTATACATATGATGCAAGTGTATGTATACATTCTGAAATAAGCTTTATTTGTATTGATTTTATACGCGAAGATATACTTTTCCAACATGAGCAATACTCTCAGCCATACCCACGCTTTGTCCACTGAACTGATAAACCAAATAAAACGACCTAAAGAAGGGGCCACCCAAAAACACATTGATATCGTCTGTTCCGCCAGAGATAGCAGAATAACAGCTATCACTGCTGACGCCACTATTGGGTCTATCCTCTTCCAGTTTGTAAATGTACTGCTGTGGAGGTATTTCAGCATCAATACCTGCCCCGAATTGGAATACCAGCGATGGTGCAGTAGTGTATGCAGAGCATGAAATGGTGTATAAGTTCAGGGCCTCATTATAAACGGCACCAATGGCTCTGTTCATGGCATCTGCTGTAGCTTTGGGCACTGTCAATACAGGACTACTGGAATAGACCTTGCCATAAGCCCCCTTTTGGAACGGAAATTGCTGATCTGGCTTGCTTGTAGATGCATTTACGTAATGAAATCTGAATCCTTTAATAGGGATCTTCCAAAATGGAGATGAAAGACCAGAAACAGGGGCCAATGGTAGCTGATAAATAGGGCCAGTGTACATTGAGTCATCAATACCTAGGGCATGCATTGTATCAGGCCGACTGCTGCAATTCTCTATCCATCAAAATGTGCTTACCTAATACCCAAAAGAAAGAATCCAGAATGGCATCTAGAAATGGGCCCCTCTTGCGAAAATTACTGGATCCCGTGTTGGCAGCACCTGTAGAGTATCGGTCATCTCCAGCTGTATATACGCAATGAGATGCTGTGTTAAAATTGTGCACAACATGCATTTACCTGCTCTTCTTGATCTCAAGAAACCAGGAGCTAATGTTGATGGGACTTCCGCTGCATCCAAGTTGAACCTTGTCTTTGTCCAATCGATACTTCCAAAATCACCCATACCCAAACGCGCATCTGTATAGATCAGAACATGTTAGATGTCTGTGATATAATAGCATGAAATAGTATACATTACTAGCAGGAGGCAGATATCCCTTGGGATAATCTACTTGATAGGCTTCAGCCATTAAATGAGGAGGAAAGGGTATATTGGCAAATTGCATGACATCCTAAAGTTGCACAAGCCATCAGTAATGTTGATTTAGACAAATTTAGCCGAAACTTACCAGCTCTGGTTTGAGTTGGACATGTGTGCCATCCAGATAGGAAAGATCGGCTCGAAGAGGAAATTTGTAGTTTGTAGAAGATTGGTAGGCATGGAACTTTTCACTATCTGGTTCTACTGAACAAGCACTGGATGTACATTGATCAGACATGACCCAGGTAACTGGAGACGCTGTATCAAAGATGCCAACAAACTCCTGACTTGGCGTACCTGTAAGAGAAGAGAGAGAAAGAGGTTACAACAATAGAGCATGAGATAAATCCCTTTAAAATTCTCACCAATCGAGAACGGCAATGTAGGCTGTATATTGGGTCCAATTTTAGATTTAACTTGTCTCAATTTACATTTACATAACCTACCACGCCTCTAATGTATTTTAGCGGAATTCGAGGTGGATGTAAATCGTATTTTGGGAAGTTGAAGATTTGGTCTTGGATAGTGGGGAATGATGGAAAAGTAACAGCTGCTTGAATGGATGGTGCCATGGCTAGCGCAGTGATCCATGCTTTATAGTTGGTCTTGTTGATCATAGAGAAAGGTGTACGGTACAGCAACAAGCTAAATGATGTATCCAAATGTGGTTTATAGGAACAACGAAGAAAGAAACGTTCGATACCATCAATTGACCATTCAAATATGAATTTGATTCCAAGAGGACAATTGTAGCTCTAAGCCTGTAGGGAACAAAAAAAAAGCCTAAATCTTGTCAGGAGAACAGCATTTAAAGCAAATGTACCTGTGCAAGACGTAATTTAAGCATTTTCTTGATAGGAGGCACACTGTATACAATAAGATGAATTTGCCATCGTTTATGTAGATCAATATTCTTCTCCCTATCGTCTCCACCCGGCCCTTTTCTCTCCCCTATTGCGACCCTATACTGTATATGCTAAGCGAATGCTTGTACTCTTTTTCTTGATGCGTACACTAGGCACTAATGCAAACCATGCAGCGTTTTTTTTTTTTTTTTTTTTTTTTTTTTTTTTTTTTTTTTTTTTGGTTTGCAATTCTTCATTGACATAACAAGTGGCAAGTTCTTATGCAACAGGATTCAATCAAGAGAAGTCTAATCATTGAGCAAGGAGCCTTGTGCTGTTAACCTGCTGAAAGAGTGTATCCTATTTGTTACGGCGATACTAAATGTTAACCATAGGATGAATGCAAATGCCCAACTAAAACTGAGATCAATCCAGGAAGAGCATCATTACTGCTATTAAACATGCTCGCACATGTTTCTAAGCTCATGAACTTTTACAAAAATTCACGCTAAACCTCACTGCAGGATTGTTTGCAAGATGTTGATACAAGAGAAAGCAATCATCGAAAATGCAATGTTGAGTAGTGAATGTCTTGGATTACATGATGATGCTAGTATCAGCGTAATTGAATAGCCTTTCAATGCCGTCATTTCTAATGTTAAATTCCAACCATAAACATGATTTTGAACCACAAACTTCTCAAGCAAACATGTAACAGAGTGTAGCTAATGATGAGGCATGTCATGATGGATCAAATCATGCAACTGGATCCATCAGAGCCTTCATTCATTGTGACCACTCGTGACCGGTAGTCTATCCAAGAGCATTAAAATTTTGCTTTACCAAACTGAATTCATGTCAATTCTTTCACCAACAAGAACAAGAAGACCATGTTCCAAGACGACGCAGATCTCTTCAATGTCTTTAGTGGTGAAGCTGCTGCTCAAGACACATTTGACGATGCTATGGATGGCGTAGAAGATGTGGAGGAGGAGGAGGTCGATCACACTGACGACGAAGAGTTAATTACACCAGTCAAACGTGCACCATCCGCAGACTTGGAGAACGAGATTAAAAAGCAAAAGATTGATGTTCACTCCAAGGAAATCGAGCAATTCAAAGAGGATGTAGCCAAGCAAGTGACACCTGTTGTGGCTGATAGCTTCGAGGAAGAAACTTCGAGAGCCGTGGCCAACATTGCCGGTCTCCAAGGCACGCCTGCCACTGAAGAAGGCGAGAAACTTGTCTTGAGTCATGCTGTCAGACATCAAGTGGCCGTGCCACCAAACTATCCCTATGTCCCCATCTCTCAACACAAGTCACCCGCTGATCCTGCTCGTGTGTATCCCTTCACGCTGGATCCTTTCCAAAGAGTCGCTGTATCCAGTATTGAACGTAACGAATCCGTCTTGGTGGCTGCCCATACTTCTGCTGGTAAGACTGTGGTTGCTGAATATGCTATTGCGCAGTGTTTGAAGAACAAGCAACGTGTGATCTACACCTCTCCCATCAAGGTAAATAGGGCAATGCAGACATGATTCAACATATACTTACCAGCGGTTCCTACAGGCCTTGTCCAACCAAAAGTACCGTGAATTTACAGAGGAATTCGGCGATGTAGGTTTGATGACAGGTGATGTTACCATCAACCCTCAAGCATCCTGTTTGGTCATGACAACCGAGATTCTGAGATCCATGTTGTATCGTGGTTCCGAGATCATTCGAGAAGTCGCTTGGGTAGTGTATGATGAAATCCATTATATGAGAGATTCCGAGCGTGGTGTTGTTTGGGAAGAATCCATTATCCTGCTGCCAGATGCTGTACGTTTTGTCTTTTTATCTGCTACTATTCCCAACGCCATGGAATTTGCGGAATGGATTTGCAAAATCCATGAACAGCCCTGTCATATTGTGTACACTGATTTCCGTCCTACACCATTGCAACACTACCTTTTCCCCGCTGGTGGAGATGGCATTCATTTAGTCGTGGATGAAAAAAGTCGATTCAGAGAGGACAATTTCCAACGATCCATTGCTGCATTGAACGATGCTAAAGGTGATGACCCAAGTGGCACACATGCAAGAGGAAAGAAGAAGGGACATACCAACAAGGGTGGAAAGAACGATGGACCTTCCGATATCTATAGAATCATCAAGATGGTCATGATGAAGAACTACCATCCAGTCATTGTGTTTAGTTTTTCCAAGAGAGAGTGCGAGTCTAATGCACTGCAAATGTCCAAGTTGGATTTCAATGATGGTAAGTGTGTGCGTGTGTGTGTGTGTGTGTGTGTTTGGTTGCATGGTCTGTCTAACGTATTTACCTTGCGCGAACAGAGAGCGAACGTGATATGGTCTCTCAGGTGTTCACCAATGCTATTTCTTCCTTGAACGAAGATGATCGTCAACTGGCTCAAATTCAGCAGCTGCTACCCCTCCTCCGTCGTGGTATCGGTGTCCATCACGGTGGCCTTTTGCCCATCATGAAGGAAACCATTGAGGTGCTTTTCCAAGAAGGCTTGCTCAAGGTGTTGTTTGCTACCGAGACTTTCTCTATTGGTCTCAACATGCCTGCCAAGACAGTTGTCTTTACCAGTGTCCGCAAATTTGACGGTAAGGAGATGCGTTGGGTCTCGTCTGGCGAATACATCCAAATGTCTGGCCGTGCTGGTCGTCGTGGTCTTGATGAGCGTGGTGTTGTTATCATGATGATTGATGAAAAGATGGAGCCCGCAGTAGCAAAGGGCATGGTCAAGGGTGAATCCGATCGCATGAACTCTGCTTTCCATTTGAGTTACAACATGATCTTGAACTTGCTGCGTGTGGAAGGCGTCAGCCCTGAATACATGTTGGAAAAGTGTTTCTTTACTTTTCAAAACGACTCAAACATCCCTCAATATGAAAAGGAATTGGCGCAACTGGAACAAGAAAAGAAGGACATGGTCGTGGAGAATGAAGAGGAAATTGCCGCTTATTACGAGATTCGCAAGCAAATCGACACATACACTCAAGATGTGCGTGATGTGATGAACCATCCCACCTACGCTCTTCCCTTCTTGCAACCAGGTCGATTGGCTCACATCAAATACGACAGCAAGGATTTCGGATGGGGTGTTGTAGTCTCCTGCAACCAAGTCAAGCACAGGGGAAAGAAGGACCCTGAAGCTGCTCCTGAATACATCTTGGATGTGCTGTTGTACTGCTCCAACGACAGTTCTGCCTCCAAAGATGCTGCTGGTCATACAGTTGGTATCAAGCCTGCACCCAAGGAGCGCGAAGGTACTTTGATGGCTGTTCCCGTTAGCCTGAACGCCATTGAATGCATGAGTCATATCCGTCTCAATCTTCCCAAGAAGCTCAACAACAGAGACTCCCTCAACGCTGTATACAAGTCCATTCTCGAAATCAAGAAGCGTTTCCCTGACAACATCCCTCTACTAGACCCAGTGACCAACATGGGTATCAAAGATCCTGCTTTCAAGAAGCTGGTAGAAAAGATTGTTATCTTGGAAAAGACCTTGTTGGCACATCCCTTATCGAAATCAGACCAACTTCCTGTCATTTACGATAAATACATGGCCAAGGTGAATTTGATCAACAAAATTAAGGCACTGAAAAGAAAGGTGACAGACGCACAATCCATTGTGCAATTAGAAGAACTAAAGAACAGAAAGCGAGTGATGAGAAGGTAACTAGTGAATAGAAACAGAGTTGGGCTTTATGCTAACATCACTTGAATAGACTCGCCTTTACTACCTCTGCTGATGTCGTTGAAATGAAGGGCCGTGTTGCATGTGAAATCAGTACGGGTGATGAGTTACTGTTGACAGAAATGATCTTCCAAGGTGTCTTTAATGATTTAACAGTGGATCAAGCCGTTGCCTTATTGAGTTGCTTTGTATTTGATGAAAAGGTCGATGCGAAAGCCAAACTTCAAGAAGAACTCTCTGCACCTTTGCGTTTGATGCAAGAAACTGCAAAACGTATTGTCAAGGTGTCGAATGAATGCAAAATGAACATTGAAGAACAAGCCTATCTCGAGAAATTCAAGCCTGAGCTCATGGATGTGGTGTTTGCTTGGTGTCAAGGCGCCAAATTCTCGCAAATCTGTAAAATGACTGAAGTCTATGAAGGCTCACTGATCCGTGTGTTTAGACGTTTAGAAGAATTGTTACGACAAATGTGTGCAGCAGCCAAGAGTATTGGTAACTCTGAATTGGAAAACAAGTTTTCTGAAGGTATCAATAGAATTCACAGAGACATTATCTTTGCTGCATCTCTTTATTTGTAAATTATATCATATTTCCCCCTATTTCTTCATTCGTATGTTAATAAAATGTTTCTCTACGCATACTATCTTGAAGGCTTTCAAGCTCGCTTCGCAATTGTTCAGTGTTGGAGGCAGTGGAGGCTTGACCAAGTTGCAATATTTTGTCTGCAAACCAAAGTAATTTTCGTTCTCTTGTCAGATTGTGTTGTTCGTTGGTTTGTCTGAGCGTTAGGTTGCGTCTGTTTCCTCCCAGCTGCATATAGCGTAGTCAGTAACCGTTGTCTGTTTGCTCGATTATATACATACATCAGTGACAATCTTGTAGGCACAGTTCAATACTTCTGTAGGTAAACCTAGAATCTGAGCAGTCTGCAATCCTATAGAATAGTGTCAAAAGTCTGTCTGCGCACAACAACATCATATTCAATAGGATATACCATAGTGATTCTCGGTCGCCAGTCTTCCATCTTCAATCTTGTACTGATAATCCACTGTACAGTCTTTTTCATTGGTTTTCTACCCATTAGCAAGGTAAGCACACTGACGGAAATACCACTGTAAATGCATGTCATACCGTAACGTTCACTTTGAATTGCAAATTAACAACATTAGAATAGATATCTAAAGTGCATGTCAACTCATGCAAATGAGTGGCAAAGAAACAAAAGGCTCTTGTGCGCGCTAAATCTTCACAGACAGCCCCACTAATGCCCAATGCATCTTCTGGTGATGTTCCTCTTCCCAGTTCATCCACAAGCACAATACTATTACTGGTAACATGTTGAAGCAGATACGCTATTTCTCTCATTTCAGACATGAAGGAGGAAGTACCGATATCTGAAAACGTATTTTCATTTGCCAATCTGGAGAGCATCTAGTTGATTATATGAGCAGGCAAGCAAAGCGATACTATGATGTTGTGCCATTTTACCTGATCACATAACCGAAATGAAGCATAATCAGCTGGTACACTATCACAATTTCGTTATGAGAATTAAAAAGGTGCACGCAAGACACACTAAATATTACTAACAAGGATCCGATTTGCGCCATGATAGCCAACAATGCAACTTGTTTGAGATAGGTTGATTTTCCACTCATGTTTGGACCTGTGATAAATTGGAAGCTACTAGATAATGAAGCGAATGTATCGTTGGGAACAACTGGAATTAGTAGAATACATTCCAATATGGGATGTCGACCTGATTTGATGGCTAACGTGTTTGAGAATTCAGGGCGCACTATACATAAATGAGCATACATGATATTGGATATGCAGCCAACTTACCGAGATTAATCGAGTTCAATTTGTAAGACGCTAGTGAAGTGAGAAAGTCTAGCAGTGCAATCGCTTCTGATGATTTGTACAAGGCGTTGATGTGATCTCTGAATACTTGAAGTAGCTGTGTTACAGTTCTTGCCGTGGGTGTGAGGTTTAAGGAGGTCTATGAGATGGACAATATACAGTGCTTACTTTTCAGACATGAGAAAGACTTCATTCATTGATTCATTCAGTCTGTTATTTTTTTGAAGCTACAAATCGAATGAGTACACCTTGGCCATTCTAGTCTGTAAACAGGAGATGTACCAGCTCTAGAGTAGTGAATTGTAGCGTCTTTTTCTTTTGAATTACATTGATGAACACATCTGGCAATTGGGCATCGCCAGTGAGTTGACTTGTGGGCATAGAGATACCGTACCCTCGTGAAACAGTGTAGTCTAATTTGATTTTAAGCTTGTAAGTCTCGGCATAGGTGGTGATCAAGTTATAAATATCCTCTGTGGTCTCCTTGTAAGTCTGGCGAGCTGTGTTTCTTGGTCAATACGTAAGTCAATCCTAAAGATGGATATTGACTTACCAACATCTAGCAATCCATTGACTCCTGACTAGGTAAGAGAATGAGTATGGCTCAAGGGCATAGCTATTACACCCTACCTTTACAGCGTAGCATTTCTGGTTGCGAATGCCTAAACTGCTCTTTTCAACCCCAATATCCTCATTGATGATGCCGTTGATAGCTGCTTCAAGTTCATCTAATCAAGCCGCTATAAGCTTTACTGTGTCATCTCAAGGTGTCATTACTATACCAAATACTCGATTTGACAGGACCTGCAGCAGAGAGCGTGAGCCTCAGCTATGCTGTATATGAAACACGTGTCACTTACATTGTAGATTGTATGCAAGAGTTTACACGGTGGTGCTTGTTGGTCTCGAGACAGTGGATTCTTGACATGTTCAGGCAAACTCTGAGCAATTGCTTTGATAGATTTAGTGACCTGTTTCAAATGCACAATATGGTTGATCTTCTGTTCAGAGTACTGCACAGTAAAGACAGAGTTGTGTTGAGGATGTGTTACTGGAACCTTGACAATAAAAGAAATAATAGAATCAATGTCCACAAGCTGCTTCAAGCTGGATTGAATGTTGTAAATGCATTCTTCATTTTGACACAGCTCTTCAAGAGTGTCTAAACGATCGTCGGTGATCTGCAGGCTGCAAGGAGGCTGTAAAATGTTGGTGCGAAGAAGTCGTTTGCCCATGGGAGTGAGTGTGTAGTCCAATATGCCTAGCAATGTATTTCGTTTTGAATGAGTGTGAGCCGTGTTGTGTACTAGTTCCAAGTTTTTTGCAGTGATTGTGTCTAGAGATAGGGTCAGTACGTTGCTGTTAGTGCTTTGATACAGCATACCTATAAGCATTGTGCCTGATCCATATTTGAATGAGGTTAATCCATTGTTTTACTGCTGATCCGTTAAAATGCTTACCTTCTGCTCCTTTATACGTGAATTTGATGGTATGGTTGGCAAAGGAGCATCCCTCGGTCTCAAAGACATGTCTATTGCAGCCAATATCAACGACAAAAACTCGCACCCTTTCATTCAAGACTCACTGAAAAGCACTAGCGAGAGCAGCCAAGCAGAAATGCCTATGACACAGCGCAATCAGTATACGTACTAAACCCAAGCATAATGTGCCCTCTCAGATACTTTGTTGATACACCACACAAAAGACCTGCCACATCTTCTTGCATAGAGAAATCAACAATATGCTGCTTCCCCTTTTCATCGTTGAAGTATTTTTTCGGCAAAGTGGTGATTGGGATATGTGAGTAATGCTGCTGCAATAACGCACTTAACTTGTTTTCACTCAATGCACTTGTCTCTGCATGAAGCGGCATCACTATCTTTTGAGGTTCATATAGATTGACGGACTGCAAGGTTCTTGAAAACGATAGTGAGTCTGCCATCTATATGCACAGCATGTATATGAGATATGAGCGCATGCATGAGAGACTCACTTACTTGAGAAAGCTCGACTTCGCAGCTATTGATATCAAATACACAAATGCCCACTTCAGCAGCTACACCACGACCCTCTGCAATAGCCATAATTCGCTTTGGTGGCCTGCTATTTGTGCCTGTGGTGGTAGGTCTTCTGTAAGATGTGGTGGCTGTGCCTGGTCTGTTGCTGGTGTATCCAGACTGGGGTCTTCTCAACATATTTTGTAGACTGATGCTGTCGTTCATGCTACCAATGGTACCTCGCTTTGCAGTTTGTTGAGTAGAAACGATGACTGACCTGTCTCTTTCTGCCGCATCAGATATTATTGTAGATAAAGCTGGTCTAAAAGGATTTGCTGTGTATGGTGGAAATGGAGGGTACATTGTTTTGTTGGAGAAAAGAAGAAAAAAAAAAAAGGATTTAAATATGTATTCTACATTGCATCATTAAATGAATTTATTTTGATATATTTTTCTTATATACAGGTGTGTGTGTTTGGGATGGAATTGGTCGTTTTGCGGATGATATTTTAGTTGATGGTCTTCTTTTTGCCTCTGTTTAAGCTGGGTCCCCATACTTTGACAGTGAAATCAGCAGAGCAACTAGCCAGTATCGGTTCAGTAGGATGGAAATTGACAGCATACACTCGATCTGTGTGACCCTCAAGACGCTGCATGAGTTCCGCGCTGTCTTCGCCTACATTGTACAGATAGGCGTATGGATCAGCACTACCAGTAGCCAGTAGCACACTCTTTTCTTCTTTGAGTTCTTGAGTATCAAACAGATAATCGCCTGGGTTGGGTGTTAGATCAACATCTCCGTACGCATCATTGGTGATGGACGGCTTCGTCAAGATGGATGAATTGTAGCCACTGCCACAATAAAAGGAGGATTTGATGGGCCAGTTCTTGTTTTTGAAACCCTTTAATGAATGCACCAGTCGAAGTTCGGATTTAGGAGGATCCATGCCACGATCATAGACCCGTAGCACTGTGAGCATACGTGGTTAGTACCTATCACACCAAACATGCCTTGTCAAGACTTACAGTTATCATAGCTGTTCAATGCCATGTATCTAGGCTCATCGTAATCATCAACTAGCAGTGGAATGGGCATTAGTCATCATCGCTTCAAATATCCCTTGATCCACCTACTCGCTCTTCTGGATGCATCTGTGCTTCGTCGACCAATGGAGATGTGCGTAATAGGCATTTTTGATGGATCGTTCAATTTGGAGGATATACATTGCTCTAGCAAGTCATTGTATCAGTCATTTCTGCTTGTGTCACTGCGATACTACTTACTTGATCGAACATCCCACACTTTAAGCATGCCCTGAGCATCGCCCGTGATGACATGAATACCATCTCTCGAAGCATACAATGTATTGATCATGGCGTCGTTTCTTATGACAGAAGCATTTCCCTCTGACCTGATATCAACCATAGCAAGCACCTTTCTCGACGTACCGTAATAAAATATGTTTGAATCTACAAAATCCCAACCAACACATTGTACAAGGCCTTCTGCATCGTAACTGCTGGATAATTTGCCACTCTCTACATCCCATGTTTTACATGTTTCGTCATAGGCACCTGAAAGTAACATGCTGGAGTCCGGTGTCCATGCCAAGTCTGACAAGTTGAGTGTGTGCGCTTTCAAACAGAGAGTCTATCAAAGATAATTAGCATGCGTGTATTGTTATCTGTCATTGGGGGTTTACCTCCTTCTGAGCTGATGCTGTATCCCATATACGAACAGTCTTATCAAATGAACCAGATGCCAGTAAAGCTCCACTGGGTGAAAATTCAACTGTGTATACAGCTCCTGTATGGCCCTTAACGTTTATTCACATCTCAGTCAAACTGCTTCTGTTACGGCACTATTATCTTACCTTGAGCTCATAACGCATCTGAAATGGTTTTCCATCACGGGAGTCATGAGGATATACTACATGTACGCATTAGCCCACTGTTCACACTGACCTCTTCACCTCAACACACCTGATTGAAAGGGCTCCATATCACCACTTGCTTCTTGCACAGCCTTGGTTATCATCTCCTGTGCTTTTCCTGTAGTTGACACTTCATTGTCTATAACAAAAGGCCCAGGTCTGTAACTGAGACCTCCTTGAGAAATCGATGCTGCATATCTAGCTGATAAGTCATAAATGCTTTTCTTGAGTGCAATGTTTTCCTTGTCCAGTATATCCACTTTTTGCTTGAGCTGCTTTACTTCTTTTAGCAGTTTTTCTACTTGTTGATCGCGATTCACACCTGCGCCTAATGATGATTTTGATGAAGACGGTGCTTGTCTTTGGTTGGGCAACACGTCCATGTTATTGAGTCGAAGTGTTGTAGAAAGAGGAAAAAAGAAAAAGAGATGATCATGTTGTGTTCAAGCCAAATTTAAAGGTGACTTTAAAGATGTTTACTCTCAGCGCATTAGTGAGTATGGGGATCAAGTGCCTCTGCTTGATCAATGTCTCCTCAAGATGCAATACACTATGCAACGCAATTCAAAGGATGCTAAGCTGGATTCCAACTCCAATGTTTCGAGAGAGTGCTCACATCATACGTGCAGTTAAAGAAGTTTTTGGTTTGAAACACCAATTGCCATCAGCAGCATTTCTATCTCTCCAAAGTATAAATGTAAAACCTCATCATAGAGGTTATTGCTCTTTTCAATACCCAAATCCAATCTACCACACGAGCTACTACTGAAAATCCTTAGGAAGCTTCGGTGATTATACCGCAATGGTCTATTTCTGCCCACAATTGGAGTATCTGGAGATTCTGGGAAAGAAAGGCCACTACTCGATCCGTGTCAATGAATGTGATCCAAAAAGCGCTCAGAAGTTGCGTCGCCATCTGCCAAAGAGAAATGCGCTACTAAGGGAAATCAATCATCTAGGTGAAGAATTCTCTCAGAATCTTTGTGATTTCCTGTACAACTACTGTCTTCATCTCTATTAAACTTTGCACACTGGAGTATACATGGGTGATGCCGTAAAAAAACTGAGCCTTGGCCATGAATCAATCCACAACGCCATCACACGATTCTAGCGTGAAAAAGATGAAATTTGGTGGTATATTTTAAATGTTTGCAAGCGATCCCAATTGCTGGCATTATGCTTTTCTGCTTTGAAAGAGTTGGATTTTGGCAGATGCAAGCCATATTCATCATCCATGGGGCTTTCATCTTGAGAAGGTTATCGTCAACAGGACTTGTCTTTGATCTCTACGGTAGGTACTTAAGCGAGTGTGATCATGCAAGTTCTTTATGAGGCAACCCCAGCCCAATATTTCAGCAAAGAAGGTGATTTTGGCTTGAGTAACAAGAACAAGTTCATCGAGATAGATACAGAGACAAACAATGGCTACATGGTGGAAGCATTGCAAAAAGCACCATAGCGGAGACTAAAATAACTGCTCGTCTACTTCTCTTCTCGACCCTGGATTTGGACATCCCAAAACCTTTCAGAAGAGATTACACAAAAGTTTATTACATAATCCAGAGGTGTTTCTCTAAACTTATAGATGCGCAAAAGAGGGAGGAATCCAATGGTACCACTTTTGAAGCAATTCATCTACTCTGTGAGGAGCAATTTCTCAAAAATGGAAAACACGTTTTTGGAGGAAAAGCCTAAAAAAACCCATCATAAATTGGCTCAAAGATGCTTTTACATGATTCTTTGTGTTTCTACGGTTGTTTTGAGCTTAGTAACATTATAGTAGAAAATCTCATTTTTGAGGTGAAAACCCCCCTTATTTGAAATCATCCAATTTTTCCCTTGCTACTACAAGGCAACAATGGCCAAAAATCGATGATCCACTCGTTCCCCAAAAAATTGCTAATGAGTGATTCATAACTTAAAGCCATGTCGTAGAACACGATAGCACTTGTTTTTAAGCCAATATCATGCTTGGTTGACGAGATATGAGCGATACAAAACATCATTTTTGCAGTGGTGGATGCATTTGAAGGCTGCTCACTCATCGACGTGTTTTCTAATGCTCAGTTTGATAATTTGCAGTTGTTTATCTTGAAGGAGCGTGCATTATCACCTTATTGCTTTGATAAAAAAAAAACAGTATCTAAGATTTACAGATGACCTTGTTGGCATATAAGCGACATAGAATGTCTTTTAAAGGTACCAAATGTTACATTTATACTTCAGAATTGGAATATTGTATTGGTTCCATCACAAGGATGTTCCAGAAGGTAGAATCAGTTGCAATAGCACGCGTTGGTAGAGGGAATCAGTAGAGCATAAAATTCTAATCATGAAATATAATGCTTATATTTATGAGACGTCCTTGTTTTTATTATAGATCAATGACAAAGGAAGAAGTAGCATTGGCCAGGCTATCAGGTGCCTAATAATGCACGGTTGTATCAAAGGTACACCCCTTTTTTTCAAAGAAAGGCTTACATGTCGATGGATGTGCCTTCTCATTAGCTCGTTGCAGTCATCAATACGTGCTATAAATTGCATTACTCAAGCAATAAACAGCCATTTCTTGATCACCTACTGCTGATGAACAGCTCCTTGAAAGCTTAACCATAACACAGAGCAAGCAACGTGACTTGAGTCATCCAATCATTGAACCTTCCTTTTTGGAGGATTCGTTCATCGCATTATCATTTGTTTTCCTCTCTTCCTTCTTCATTAATTTCCCTCTATCTCTTTCAAGATTATTTTTTCTTCTATGCATGGCGAAAAAATGGGAGTAAAGATGTCGGTTGGTAGGTCAATTATCCATTCAATGTAAAAAGCACTGATATCAACCGCTCTAATTGTGTAGCAAGAAGTATGCGCCGAGCTCAACAAACGCAAGACATCTTGGAAGCGATGGCTAAAGACGATTTCGATGAGCTCAAGAGATTAGCAAAACGTCCTGAAGGCTTCGTAGATGATAAGCTGAGACAATATGTGTGGTAGGGTTGGTAACATAGATAGACGTACATATACTCGGAGCCTCGACTGTTTCATCGACTCATAAACTTGATTTAGGCCGGTATTACTGCACACGCAGCATGGCAATTATCTGGCAGAAAGAGGAAGTGGTATGGAGTGTTTATTCTATCAAAGCCAGAAAAGATGTATATAACCTTCAATTGGAATTTTACATAGAAAAGGATCTAGCTGATCCAGTGCAAATTACCAAAGATGTTGAAAGATCACTGTACTACTATCCACAAGGTTAGCCCACTATAAATTTTGAATTTGGGGATCCTATTATTCGGAAATATAACCAACTAACCAAACAGAACTCACATAAAGATATCACTCCAATGTTGAAAGCGCATAAACAGCAAGAACTCCATTGTATGATTGTTGAGATTTTGTGGAGGAACCCAGCGTTAAAGTACTACCAGGTAAAGCTGTCTGAGCAACTCTCGGGCTATATGCTTACAAAGCAATGTAGGGATTCCATGACATTTGCACTTGCTTCTTGCTCGTTCTCGGTAAAAAGGCCGCTATACCAGCTGCAGAAAACGTCGCCTTGTTCTTTATCCGAGACGCCATGTTGGATTCATTTGATCCAGTGTCGAAACAACTACGGCTGATGAGTTCGTTGATAGAGTACGAAGATGCTGAACTCTCGTTATTTTTGGAAAAGGCCAACATCATGCCTTATTATGCGTTGAGCTGGATTTTGACTTGGTTCAGCCATGATTTTGAAGCATATGAAAAGGTAGTGCGGCTCTTTGATTTGTTTATCTCTAGTCAAGCCATCATGCCCGTGTATATAGCGAGTGCTGTAAGTGTTTTGTTTGTGTGGATGCATGGATTTTAGTCTAATTTGTTGCATCGCTAGATTACATTATTACGTAGAAATGAGATATTGAAGGCTGAGAAGGACCTAGTGCATTCACTGATTACACGGATCCCGCAAGACATGGATATTGAACTGATCATACAGAAAGCTGCCTTGTTGGAAGAGAAATATTCAGTGCTACAACTACAGAAACAGAGTGGCTTATGGCTACATGACGAGTAAGATAGGTACATTTAGATTCAACCCTGATATTCATTCCGTTTTCAGATCCGTGATAAACACATGGGAGAGAGATTGGGGAAGGCTAAAATGGGGTCAAGTACCAGATCAACTGCAGGCGAATAGGTATCTCAGTCATCAAGTCGAGAAGGAAGAATGGGAGGACGAAATGCTGATGGAATGGACACGGAGGAAGAGGGAATTAATAGAGGACGATGACGATGTCATGTTTTAGACAATAAAATACCATTAACTTATTCAATTTGGCATTGATTGCTCTGATGAACACTGCCTGAAAATACAAAGTGAAAGACAGCGGCGGGTGCATTGGTAAGCATCCCATTTGCAATGCCTTGCCTTGATATCGGTCCAACTGAAGCCCCTCTTGTATCAAGAGCAGCACACGGTCCATAGCGTGGACATGTCGCTTAGTTTGATTTCTGTCACTTAACGGCACATGAAGAGACATTGTGAGGTAGATCAAACGCCATTTGTCTGACAGGCGCGTATTCCATTTTATCGGATGTGTGACGCCTCAACACAAACAACATGAAAGAGCGCGCCTCGCTCGGATTTGACGGTTGTGCTTTTTGTTCCTTAATTCAACTACAATACATATAACGACAACAATAAAATGGTCAAAAGAAAAGCGCCTGTGGATCCCAACCTATTGGAACAATCAACCTATGATAAAAAAGCAGCATTGGACAACATGAAAGAGAATGTCGTCGAGATCTTCATGACAGCGCAACAGCCAGACGCAGTGCTGCGAGCAGAATCCATCAAACTACGAGACGTTCAAATTGGCTGCTGTTACAATTCACCAAGGAGGGTGGGCGAGCCAGAGAGCATCGATTATGAAGCAGAAGCAGACTTCTTGAAATTGATATTCAAAATGGTGAATATCGTGATTAAAGCCAAAAGAAAGGAGCCCACTGCTGATCGCGTGCAGAGATTTATTGCTGTATTTTTGCAGTATATCCAGACAAAAGGTGTGTTTGAGAAGTGTGCTACTGTAAAGCATAGTGTACTGATGACTTGCTCTAGATGAGGAGGCCAAATCCAAGGCAAGAAAGAAGCGAAGAGGATTGTTAAACACAACGACACCGACACAGCCATCAGCATCCACTGAATCGACAACAAAAGCGAGCCAAAAGAACGATGCAGATGTTGAAATGCAAGACGATAAGGCGAATCAGGAAGCTGAAGCAAAGACAGCTCAAGCGAAGAAGGATTCCATTACTGAAGAAGATCAGGATGATGAAGAAGACGATCATGAAGACCAATCCTATGAGACCATCACGTCAAGATTTGTCGAGCGATTGCTAAAATACTTGTTTCAAGGATTCTCTGATGCCAGGGCGAGTGTTCGTGTCAGATGCTGTCATATCATTGCCCTTTGCATCAGTTCTATGGGAGAGTTAGAGTAAGAACCCAACATGCCGTATGATGCATTCGTATTAACACGTGCGTGTTGTAGCGAGGACTTGTATCAAGAGCTAAAGAGACATTTATTCGAGGGCCATATTGACAGAGAAGCTAGTGTTCGAGCACAAGCAGTAACAGCCTTATGCCGTTTGCAAAGCGATACAGAAATCGACCCTCTGGATGGACAGACGATTCATGAAAAATTAATGTGGAGTGTTCGACATGATCCAAGCTCGTAAGTGGTATCTGTATGTGGATGAGGAGTCAGCATGTGCTAATGCATAGAGGAAACTTTACAGCGAAGTGCGACGATTGATCTTGTTCAACATTGATGTCACATCGGACGCCATCCCCTATGTCGTCAAGAGCATTCGAGATCCAGATGACACTAACCGTCGAGTTGTTTATCTCAAAACATTAAGCAACTTGGAAGACTTTCGATTGCTCAGCTTTGAAGAGAGACAGCAGGTGTTGAAATGGGGATTAAACGATCGCAGCGACCTCGTGAGGAAAGCAGCTACCAAGATGTTTGCTGAGAACTGGATCAAGCATGCTGGACGCAATCTGATTGAATTCTTGGAGCGATTAGAAGCCACCAAACCACAAATGTCAGAATTAATAGAGAAACTGTTCAAAGAATTCTTCAAGATTCGATCGGATGTGTTTAACGAGAGTGTGTTTGACGATGAATTTTGGACCAATTTATCAGGCGAAAGTGCGCTATTGGCAAGATTGATGATTGAGTACTTGCAAAACGAAAATGAAGAGGATGAGCGACTGGACAAGCTCCTGCCCTCGGTTACTGTACATGCCATGAACCTAGAAAACTACTACAACTTATACCAGCAATACAACAACACAGAAGACAATGCATTCAATTATGAGTATATTGTGGTTCAAATGCTGGATATTGCACTTTGCTTGGACTATGCAGATGAGGTGGGCCGAAGAAAAATGTTTAACCTCCTGAGAGACATATTGAGGGCCTACGAGGTGGTGGACAGTCATCTGGAGAGGATACTGAAGGTGTTTAGACGAATTTCCATCGATGAACGCGACTTCACAAGGTAAGTGTACCTTGGTTCGATGTGTCGTACCAATGCTAAGGTCCTGTTATGGATAGATCCATCATTGAAATCATTTCGGATATCCAAGAAGAAGCATCTATACCGTACCTTGACATGGAAGACGATGTAGCAACAAAGAGAGCCAAATTAGACGACAACAGCAGTAGTTCGTCTGTGGCTGAAGCACCCAAGAGCACTACCCACACTGAAGAAGTCGCCAACAGCCAAGATGTGCCCAATCCAGACCTGGATAAACTCGTGGCCAAGCTGCGTTGCCTCAGCATCTGTAGGCGTATGCTGGAAAACAGTTACGAACCCTTGACCGACAACTCCATTTTGTATGGTCTTTTGAATGATTTGGTCGTGCCAGCAGTGCAGGATGGTGATTCACTGCTTCGTCAGGAGGGCTTGCATTGTCTCGGTTTGTGTTGTACGCTGGATAAAGGCTTAGCTCAGCATAATGTTGGCTTGTTCATCAATTGTATCAGAAATGGACACGAGGTGCTGGTCAAGATTGCTGTCAGAGTAAGCTGTCTAATGTATCGTAGTTGTACCGTAGTACTCAAACACCAGATAGACTTTAGGTGATATGCTTTTGATGTATGGTATCGATGCAATGAGTGAACACTTGTCTAATGTAGGTAATTGAGCTGCTGTTTGTTGGATGATAGCTAAACCATCTTGTATTAGACACTCGATATTCGAAACGTATTTGAATTTGGCTTGGATCATGACAATACCGAAATTCAATCACTTACAACACAAAGTCTTTGTAAACTCATGTTGTTTAACCGCTATACAGACGATGAGGTATAGCTTAGCAATTGCGCTGCCACGCACACTGTATTAACACCACTTGCTTAGTTACTGCGTTTAATGGTGCTACTCTACTTTTTCCCCAAGACTGACATGGACGAACACAGCAACATGATTCACCAATGCTTGGCCTATTTTTTCCCTGCTTACTGTTTCTCCAGCTTGGAACATCAAAAATCATTATCCGGTATCACCATTGCTGCATTGGAAGAGCTTTGTAACATTTTCGCAGACTTGGAAAAAGATGAAAACATGACAAATCCAAAGCAGATTGCTGAAATGCTGGCCGATTGGAACGATCCCAGAAAGTTGACCAAAACACAAGCCAACATTCGTGCCTCACCAGAAGAACAGGATTTCACTGAACCTGGAAAGCTGGCTCTGAAGGCATTGACCATCATCTATATTGAAGAGGAAGGGTTATTGCGAAAAGCCATGTTAACATTTGTAACACGATTATACCTGAATGAGGCGGACAAGCTTGATTTGATTGAAATCAAGAAACAAATCATCAAAATCAATGAGGTAAATGAGGATTGCAGCTAGAATTCAAATGTGATGCTCACGCTAGGTGGTTTTGCAGGAAAAGCCATTGAAATTACAGCCCGCTCGAAAGGCATTGAACAAGATTGTGGAGACCATTGACTCTATTGTTGATTTCGAGGAAGAACAAGAAAACGACAAGGAAACTGCTCAACAAGACAAAGATGATGCCAGCAATGAAAAGCAAATTGAGCATGAGAATGCAGAACAGGGGGAGAAAGAGGATGAAGATCAAGACTCTGATAATGGATCCTCGGTATTAGGAAGTAATTTTGATCATCAAATTGAATTATCAGACGATGATGGTAATGAAAAGGAAGATCAAGATGCAGAGGATGAGGATGAGGATGAGGATGAAGACAGTCCACCACCACCATCACGAAGACAGCCTCAAGTCGTGCGACGTCGTATTAGTAAAATAAAAGAATCAGAGGACGAGGACGAGGACGAGGACGAAGAAGAAGACGAAGACGAAGACGAAGAATCTGAGGGTAATGATCCAGCTTCTGAATACGAGGATTCTGATTAATGCTTATTCAATAAAATCTTTGCTTGATCTATGTAATACATGACCATTTCGATGGCATAATTCAATGGCGCCATACAACATGTATTATGGTGGCGTTCCGCTCGCAGTGACTGAAAGTCATTTTCTTTTTTTTGACATGAAATTTCCACAGCATTTATAATTAGAGCTAAAGAAAAAAAAATTTAATTTGATTTCCTTCACCTTTCATAAATTTTCACAATGGCTCCCCTCGGTGTAAGGCATTACTATCATTAGATTCAAATAACGTACAACTAAACAAGATCTTGACTTGTAGACCATCAAATCTTATCCCCAAAACCCTCGTGTTGCTAAGGCCCAAATCGCTGTAAGTTTGTGCCCCATTTCGACCAACGTAACCAAAACAACTAAACAGACACATTGGACAGGCTGAGCTCAGTGGTGTTGAATTCAACGTTGAGGCTTTCGACCTTGCCAAGGATGTCACTCCTGAATTCTTGGCCAAGTTCCCCTTGGGTAAGATTCCCGCTTTCGAGTCTTCTGAGGTCAACCTTTTCGAGTCTTCTTCCATTGCCTACTATGGTAAGTTTTATTACGTGTAAAGTGTATAACGAGTGTGGCGTATTGATGGATTCTTTCCATTAGCTGCTGCTCAAAAGGAAAACAACCCTCTTCTCGGTGCCACTGCTGCTGAGAAGGCCGAGATCTTCCAATGGACTCTCTTCAGCGAGAACGAGATCAACGCCAACCTCGGTGGTTGGGTTTACCCTCTCTTGGGTTACGGTCCCTACATGAAGCCTAACGTTGATGCCGCTACTGAAAGAGTCAAGCGCGCTTTGGCTGCTCTCAACAAGATCCTCGAGTCCAAGACTTACCTCGTTGGCCACCAAATCACTTTTGCTGATATCTCTGTTGCCTGCTCTCTTGTCTTGGGTTTCACTACCGTCTTTGACAAGGCTTTCCGTTCTCAATACAAGAACGTTACCCGTTATTTCACCACCATTGTTAACAAGGCCGTTTTCAAGAAGTACCTCGGTGATGTTCAACTCTGTGAAACTCCTCTCAAGTATACTCCTCCCAAGAAGGAGAAGAAGGCTGCTGCTCCCAAGGAAGCTGCTCCCAAGAAGAAGGAAGCTGCTCCCAAGGCTGCTGAAGCCGATGCTGAAGAGCCCGCTAAGCCTGCTCCTAAGCCCAAGTCCAAGTTGGATTTGTTGCCTCCTTCCAAGTTCATCATGGATGCCTGGAAGCGTGAGTACTCCAACAACGATACCAAGGATGCTATCAAGTGGTTCTGGGATAACTTTGACTCTGAGGGTTACTCTATCTGGAAGGTTGACTACAAGTACAACGATGAGTTGACCTTGACCTTCATGTCCAACAACTTGATTGGTGGTTTCTACGCTCGTCTTGAACGTGCCCACAAGTACGCTTTCGGCTCCATGATTGTCCGTGGTGAGAACAACAACAACACCATCTCTGGTTACTTTGTCATCCGTGGTCAAGAAGTTCCCTTCGAGATCTACGATGCTGCTGATTATGGATCTTATGACTTCCAAAAGATTGAGCCTGCTCAATACGAGGAGAAGAAGGAAGAGTTCTACAAGTACCTCGCTTGGGAATTCGATGACTGTGTTGATGGTAAGGTTTTCAAATAAGCAACTCGTACAGCCTATTCCATTGTGTAAATCTCTTTATCAAAATAAAAATTTTGTCATAAACCCCAATTCTACTTGTCGGCTGCATTTGACAGATCGTGTGGCTACTGCACTGCACGCATACTATTTCTATGGGATTTCGAGAGGTGCATGATCGAATTATTATAGATACAGTTTATTGCACGTTGTGGGATGTATTATTACTCGACTGCTGCATCTCGCGAAGTGAACATGAATTACATGTTAAGGGTTCGTCTGCTGAATATTCTTGCGTGTCAATCATGGATCCATCAAATCTTCGGAAACATGTGCTGCACACTATGGTGTCTTCCTTGTTGCCAGCCTACACGTGAATTAGCATCCATCTATACACGACAAGACTGTTGCCAGCTTACCTCTTTGGCGCGTTGAATCAAGATGTTCAAGTCATCTCTCATCTTTTTGTTACTGATCCTCAACTGATGCAGCTCGTACTGCCAATTGGCATCTCGCCCAATGTCTAATTCATCCACCATCCTCTCCACTGTATTTGTATTTTGCGGTGTTGGTGTCACGACGCCATGGCTGTCTACGTTAGGCAACGACATGTCTGCTCTTCCCTTCTTTTTGACATCTGGATCCATCGACACAAACACAGGCTCCTCATCCGCCAAGGTAGCTTCTTCGCCAATCACCTTTGTCTGCATCAACACAAACGAAGGCTGCTCTTGCAGAGACGCCTTGCCGTCTGGATAGAATGTAGTAGCTACCATGACCTCCACGCCTGTATTGTCCAACAAGGCATGTCTCAGGTACACAATTTTACCTTCTTTGACTTCTGCTAAAGCACGTGTTAAATCGGTTGTGCGGTTGCTTCTCAACAGCTGATACAATGAAGTGCCGATGATTTCAGAAGGTGGCGATCCCAACACATTTGCCACAGTCCAGCTGACATACAACAACAATCCATCTGCACTCAATTTTCCCCAGAATTCGTGATCTTCCATACCAGGCATGGTGTTGGAGGTGCGCATGCTATGTGCCTTGTTGCCTACCGTCAGTGCATTACGAGGCAATTGGTACACGGGTCGTTCACGGCCGGATAACACGACATACTTTCGTCCACGGCCATCCTCGTTTCGTAATTTACCGCAACATTCAATCCACATGTAGCCTGAATTCTTTCGACGCACACGGTAAATGAGGTTGACAGGCTCGGTGGAATGGTTGGAGGATTGCTTCAGTTCGCGCATCACAGTGGTGATATCGGACGGGTGGCATATGGCTTTCAGTGATTTGCCTACGAGTTCGGAGGGTTCATATTCCAGCACTTGAGCAGTCGAGTCGGAGCAGTATAGAAAGATGCCCTTGATGGTTAAGACATGGATGAAGTCTGGACTTTGATCCAGCAGTAATTCATGCCAGCATCGTCGGAATTTGCCCTCGTCTGTGCTGGCTTCTTTGATCAGTGTCTCTACATCCATGGGTGGCTCTGCCTCGGATGGCTGTGCCGCCTGGTATTGTTGGGATTGAGAGGGCTGCTGTGAGGTGGATTTCTGTTGCTGCTGTGAAGGCACAATGGCGCTCTCTGCGATGGGCGCATTCTTGTTTGACAGGGCTAATGACGCATGATGAGGCTGTTGTGAGCTGCTGGCGTTGTACATTGGTTTTGGTGATACGGGTCTAGTCCATTCCGTGATAGGTTCTGCCACGGCATTGCCTGAATCTGCATTGATGCTGAGGCCAGCTATAGAACTACTGCTTTAATGGATCAACACAATCGCATGGAAGGATGGCCTACCTTGAATTGATGGAGGAATGGTGGAATTTCGATAGCTGACAGTGTAAGTGCCGTCTTGAAATAGATGTAAGTGCTGTGTTTCTTATGCTAAGGTCTCCGCTCACTTACCCTTCATGCTTTGAAAGATGGAATTGGGCTGTTCTACGAGATCCACTTGCAATCCAATAAAGTAGTCAATATCCTCTGACGACTCCCAGGCAATGGGTATCACAGTCAGCAGATTCACAAAGGGCTGTCCTGTCTTTCGGTAGTTGATGATACTGGATTGAGACTCTTTGCCCTGCACCATGTGTGTCTTGATATGGTACACGGTGGTATTATCAGTGTATTTTCTTCTGGATCCAATAGAAACTCTGCCGTCGGGTGCCTGGAGAAACCGGCAGTTTCTGCCTATCACTTCGCTTGGGGCATATCCAGTCAATCTTTCAAACATGGGCGAGGCGTAAACAAGTGGAAAGTCATATTGTTTTGCATCAACAACAACAAAAGAACAGGACAAATCAACGGGACCTAGATTGATCTGAGGATTTGGTCTGATAGAGAATTTTTGCTGTTAGTATATGGACCATCCATTTAACAAATGAAGGTTACCTATTAGCGACACGCGATAAGATGGAGAGCATATCAAAGCCAGTGTTGGCATACATGCCTGAATACCGACCACTGTCGCCTTGATTGGATGCAGACGATGGTATAGGTGCAGGTGGCATTACTAGCGGTGGAGCAGAGGGCTGGAAATGGCTCATGGATGTTGCTCCTGAGGACTGCATCATTGGGTGGTTTGATTGCGATGGTGGTGCTGCTTGTGGAGGCGGTGCAAATGGCTGCTGTTGTTGTATAAAGTGCTGTTGCGACGGTATACTAGGTTGCCTAGGTTGTTGCTTCTGTAAACTAGCATTCGGTGCCTGCACGGATGATGCCTGATTTGTCATCAATCCAGCCTGAAATCCACTGAACGAAAATAGTTTATCTGAAGATGGTGGCACATTGCTGCTCTCATAGATTTGTGGATTGAATTGACCTAAAGATTGAAATGGATCCATGATTTGATTTCAATATTTACGAAAAGCGAAGAGAAGAAGGGGTTGATTTATACATAAACAAAAGAGAGAAAAGAAGGGGATGTCTATCAACAAGCAAAAAAGAAGAAAAAAAAAAGAAAAAGAAGGAGGTCTATCGAGAGAGAGAGACAACACACACTAGAGGGAGATAGACAGACAAACAGACAGACAGACAGACAGACAGACAGACAGACAGACAGAGGGGATCCCTCAACCCCGCAAATACCCAATGAACAAGTTGCCTTTTGTGACAATCAAATTTGTTGCAATTACCTTACGCATTGTCGAGAGAACAGTGAGATTTCTTCTTTCTCTCTTCCTATTATCTCTCCTGCTACCACACATAATGAACTACTCATGGGAACATATTAGGACACAAGTGAGACAGTTTAGAGCTAATCTACAGGCCATTTACCCCGTTCAAGTGCTGGCCATCACAAAGGATTTTGCAATTCATGACAATGTGCTCTATTTTCTATCCAATAACAGAGATGCCTCAGACTGGTGTCCAACGAGACAAATGCAAATTTACCAGTCGAGGCTGGATCAATGCAATACTCACCTAGTTGAACAAGACGACAAAAACTACTTGATGACCATCAGTACTATACCCATCATGGAGCGGTCTTTGGTGTTCAATGACTACATTGCGTTGGTAGAGAATGAGTTGGACAAATCGACATTTTACCGACAATTACAGATTCCAGGTGTATCCACATTTGACATCAAAGACGACACCATCATGTTTACATTTCAGCATGATTTGTATATCGGAAAGCTTGGCAAGGTAAACCTACTGTTCTAGCATGAGCAGGATATCGTCTAATATCGCTGTAGATACCCAGATTAATACCATATAAATCAGCCTCTGCATCAACGAATAACAGGAATACACCCACCAATACCAGCCCTACATCGGCCTATTCACCTATAATCAACGACATTGACATGGATTCAATCAGTAAACAAACACCTTATACCAACACTCAAGAGCCCCCTACCGATCAATCGCATCGATCAGATCCCAAACTGGGTGGTTTCTTCAACGACAGAATTGCATTTGTACGAAATCGTGATATCTGGGTGACGGATTGGAATGGCAATGATACGCAATTGACATTTTGCTCCAGCGACACATCCGATCCCTCACTGAAGTGTGGAGTGGCAGAGTACATGATGCAGGTATGGCCACTGCATGACGTTAACATGATTCGGGCTGCTGATTCATTCATCATTTGCAGGAAGAATTTCACAGATTCACTGGTTATTACTGGTCTCCGCCCATTACAAATACCAAACAGCGAACCGAGAGAATATTGTATCTAGAAACATCTGAATCACAGGTGGAGCAAGTGTTCATCTCCAAATCATCCTCATCCTCATCATCCACATCCACACCACCCTCCATGACAGATACTACAAACACGTCAGCGGCAGCAGCAGATTCGATCCGGTATCCCCGCGCAGGAAAACCTAATGCAAAGAGCACAATCAAGATTGTAGAATTTGAAATAGGAGATACATCGCCTGTCAATATCCGACATAAGCAATTGTGGGGCAAAAATGAAATCAGGGCATTGTTCCCCTGGGTAGAATACATTGTTCGATTTGGCTGGTTGCCTGATGGTCAAAGGTAAATGCTGCGCATAAACCACACACACACATACACACACACACATATCCACACACAAAACACTCATGCAACTCAAACGGACAGTGTTTGGCTGCAGCTACTCTCCAGGGATCAGCAAACATCTGCTGTTGTCAAACTACATTTAGATCAATTTTCAATCGAGGAGGAAAACAGAACTGGCCATAATGGCATCCAAACCGAGATTTTGTGGCATGAAACGAGCACAGCTTGGATCAACATTAATGATGTCTACTATTTCATGCAATCATCAGACACCGCTACTGTAACAAAACTGATTTGGAGTTCCGAAAAGGTCAATGGCTACCGGCATTTGTTTCTGGTAGAGAAATCAGTGGATCAACAAGAGGCGCAAGTGACACAGTTGACAGAGGGTGAGTGGTGTTGTGTGAATCGGCCTTTGTATGTGGATGAAGCGAGATCTCTAGTCTATTTTTCAGCAAAAATGCACACTCCTCTGGAGTCCCATTTTTATGTCACGTCTTACAGCCATCACCAACACCGGCCATGCCAGCCTACGCTCTTGACAAAGCTTGGCTTCAGCCATACAATTACAATGGATTCACCAGATTACTTTGTCGATTGCTTCTCCACTCTTCATGACCCTCAGGTCACTGTAGTTCAGAAATTGAGTCATACCAAAGCAAATCCAGTTGTGTTGGATAGCATATCCTTGTTGATCCCAGTATCGCTCAGGAGTGATTGTGAGACGCCACCTTCGCCACCCTCATCTACCACCAATCTGATAGAAGGCAACAACTATGAAATTTGCCGATATAGCACGGATCCATTGATTAGAGACCTGGAACATACTCGTGAGAGCAACATGTCGAAATACAATGATTCAGTGGAACCTAATGGCGAGATATTCAGTTTTACAACGTCAGACGGTAAATGATTTGCAACTTGCCGATTTGAGATGTTTGAACTTACCACATCTTGTATTCAGGTGAGAAACTCTATGGCTGTCTGTACAAACCCAACAACTATCAAGCTGGGCGAAGCTATCCTACACTGTTGCACATTTATGGTGGCCCTACTACTCAACTGGTTGTCAATGAATTCAAATTTCCTCGCTTGATACGATATCTCATGGCTGCTTACTTTGGATTTGCAGTGGTGATCATCGACAGTCGTGGTTCCAGTGATCGAGGGCTCAAATTTGAATCACATATCCAATATCGACTAGGCACAGTGGAACTCAAAGATCAATTAGAAGGATTACAGTTTTTACAAGATACGAAATTTGGTGCTCTACTAGCCGATCATCAAGATGAGCTGGTGTCTGTGGTGGATCTTAATCGACTTGCGATTACAGGGTGGTCCTATGGTGGTTATTTGAGTTTGATGGCACTAGCACAATACCCCGATAGATTCAAAATGTCCATTGCTGGTGCTCCAGTAACTCAATGGGAGTTGTATGATGCTGCCTATACAGAAAGGTATATGGGAAAGCCAGAGGAAAATCCTCAGCCCTATCGCGATAGCAATGTGCTGACCTATGTGGATCGATTTCCCAACAAGTAAGTTGCAATTTATGCTGAATGCTTGCTATATAGTAACCACACGGCTCTTAGTGAAAATCGTCTCTTAATAGCTCATGGTTTGATTGACGAAAATGTACATTTCAAAAACACAGAATTATTGGTGTCGCAATTGGTCAAACTCAAGAAACCACATTATTTGCAAGTGTATCCGTCAGAAAAACATGGGCTAAGACATGCTAGCGTTAATGAACATTTTGAGACGTTGATGTTTTATTGGCTTTCCAATTATCTGTAAAATAAAAAAGCTTGTACACTTGATATATTGCCTTTTCGTCAATATAGGCTCTGTATACTACTCATTGCTTTTATTTAGAGGCATCTGTTGGGCGTAAAGCCATGCTCTTAAAGCCTTCGGTAGCGGTCTCTAGTGGCCTATATGGATGATACATTGTATCATAAATGTCTCTACCGACATCTAACTCTGCAAAAAAAAAAAGCGATACTACAAATTGTTTTCTACAAAGCATCAATTTATCATGAAGCAATGATGAATAGTGTAGGACATTCACAAACTTATTTTTGCAATCGATAAAAACCATGCCTATCAGTCCAGAAGAGAAACCCCTCTCTTTTTTGCTTTCCTTAAATTTGTCTATAGGAACATGTTACGTTTAGAGATCTACTTTTAAATGAATCACTAATGAAACGGAAATGATGCTGCCTTACATGCCATGCTGATGAAATGCTGCAAATCATGATTAGGAAGTTGCGCTCACATAAATTTTGGTGGTGAGCCAGGCTGGCTGATGCAGTCAAATATGAAAATTCTCAACAAAAGCAAACTAAACTATTCAAGATAAACGACAGCCCTTTCGAATTCATGATTCCCATTTAATCAGCATCGCAATCATCATTGTCATCAACGTTTTGGTAGGCCAGCAGCGCCAATATCAATTCAAACTCAAAAAAATTTTCTACACAAGATTTGCCAGATTTTGTCTTTCTCGACTTGATTAAGCTATTTATCAAGATTCGACTATATGAGTTATGATGATTACCCCGTACTTCCTAATGCATTCTTGGAGTACTTTTCAAGGCGCATTCAATGGTACCAAGTAATATAAATGTTTTGAATAAATCTATTGAACAAATTATGAAAATACAAAAAGAGGTTTCTGGCCAAAAAGTTGAGATTTTACATATCAAGGTGTCACAAAGGTGATTTCAGAGGCTACGTTTGATTGATAGAAACATTTTGATTCAATATATACCATAGTAAAGATGTTTGTTATCAAGGCAAAAAACGCGACCGTTTGATTTTCGATGAAAACCATGAGGGGTACCTCATGCTTTTTGGTCGATTTTTGACCATGCTTTTTCGGTCCCCAAAAAGTTGAGCAAAGGTACCAAAAATTTAATGCTACTCGAATACAATTGTTTGGCATCATTCCAGTGACTCAGAAAGGTCTACAAATCAAGATATTAAGCCTTGAAAGCTATCAAATTTAGCTGTGTCTTACATATTTACTCGTCAAGAGGGACATTTTTGTTATGATACAAAGTTTTAAAGACATTGTATGTATTAATCTAGTTTTAAAGCATGCTGTTACACCCAAATATTGGGCTGGAAATATGAGATTGAGTAGCACTGTTGTATCGCAGTATCATAGCACAATTATACAGCTTATTGGCGAGGCGATAGCGGTTGTGAGGCACGCTGGACATTTAAGACACATTAGATAGTCTGCACCTAGTAAAAACTCTACTAAAAACTAGCTCAAATATAGGTAGATCGATTCACAACTCGGTAGCTCAAGTTACTAGGTGGTCCGTATCGTATCCGAAAACAAAACTAATTAATGTACAGGCATGTCCATCTCTTTTTCAGACTAGAATGATGAAACCATCAATAACTATTATCTTTGACATAACGCTATCATCCAGTGTTATCCCGCTAAAACCCCAAGAATATCAAAGGCAGACTGAGAGAAGCTTGACTTCACCAAAGAGTACCAAAATCAAGAGAGACCGCCAACAAGCAGAAGCAGCGGAGCAACAGGCAAATAGTAGCAAAAAAGAAATATCCAGGCACTATAGAATGCAAAATATAGAAGATATGCCCAACGGAGATGCCACAGCTGTGTAGAAACATCCAGACCATCAACAGAGCCTCTCCTCTATTGTTGACCACCACTAAAGGAATTAGATGGCTCAGGTGGATTTTACATCAACGATCCCCTCGTGTTGTGTCGACCAGTTTATGATACTCCTGATAAACTCTCTCTTCCTAAATGTTATGATTGAGCTCAAATTCGATTGATAGTATAGATAATTTCTTTATTGCTTCAATATATTTTTGAATTGCTCAGATATTATACTTCAAGATCCTAGTATAATAGTATTTTCTATATTGCTCTTCAGATCTAAATATCAAATTTTACTGTCTGACCCATCGTTCATTATGAGCAACACCGTGATATAAAGCACAGCAGCTCCTAAGATCACTTGTAAGCGCGAATATGATCCTTTTACGGTGCTCCGGGTCTTGTATATCACTGGGAACAGCTGATGTACGAGTAGATAGCATGCTTACACTAGCTATTGCTGCTCATTAATAAGCTAAAACACAGCCAATTTTGATACATTTGACGAGTGATTTCTCGACTCAGAAGCCGTTTTAGATGGTCAGAATAGCACCAAATAATTGCTCTCATCTGGCAGTTACTTTCTGACACCTTTGCTCAACTTTTTGGGGACCAAAAAAGCATGGACAAGAATCGACCAAAAAGCATGAGGTACCCCTCATGGTTTTCATCAAAAATCAAACGATCGCGTTTTTCACCTTGAAAATGGAGACTTTTACTATGGTATATCTTGAATCAAGATGTTTCTATCAATCTAACGTAGCCTCTGAAATCACCTTTGTGACACCTTGATATGTAAAATCTCAACTTTTTGGCCAGAAACCTCTTTTTGTATTTTCATAATTTGTTCAATAGATTTATTCAAAACATTTATATTACTTGGTACAATTGAATGCGCCTTGAAAAATACTCCAAGAAAGCTTAAAGAAGCATAGGGTGATTATCATGTTTTACTTAGTCAAATCTGCTAAAATAGTTCAATCGAGTCGAAAATCATTAAGATTTGTCCAATCTGGAACAGATCAAAATTTTGGGTTTGAATTATTCTGGCTGGTGGGTCTGGCTGGCAAACTCAATGCCCTGTTCATTATGAAGACAATGCAGTTAATAGATGCTTTTGAAGCGCATGGAAAGTAGGTGGAAAACATAGCACCATTGTTAGCCATGCCATCTTTCTTGTATTCTATATTTAATAACGCCAGTGTATCAAAATACTTGTCAGATCAACTTCTTTCCTTTTTGAGGCTTCGGAAGTGTCTAGGGACCATAAATTTATTACGTTACGATGAGGATTTCGACTCTTCGGGTGGTTTCCTGATCTACGCTTCGCTTTGGTGGAAATCAACCTACATTCAGGTGGCTCGCGCTACAACGGGTCTTTGGCTAATATTGCAAAATTAATAATAGCTAAAATGTTAGATGAAACTTGATTGTTGATCGATAGCAATTTAATACAAAATCTCTAGTCATATATGAACCATGCCTGGCACATGCCTGGCGACTCAGTTTTTATATTAGAATTGTAAAAATGTCTAGGGACTATACGTTTATTATGTTGATATTATATCAGATTGATGCTAGCGATTCAGGGCATCGTCTAGAATTGTTCTTCTGAGACCTTTATACGTGAAACTTGGGGATTTCGGTGAAAATTCGCTTTTCGTATTTATGATAATTATTCAATAGTCTTATTCAAGAGCTTTATCATAATCAGTACGGCTGGAGGCACAGTAGAAATCTGCCCATAAATGCATTAGAAAGTAGGGTGCGTAGCTCACAACTTGTATAGTCGAATTTGGCAAAAATAACTTTTTTGGATCATGAATCGGTGGAATCGAACACTGCGAGAAAACCTCGTTTAAATTCCGCTATACATAACCATTTGTGAAGTTCCTGTATCCAAAGCTGGTAAACTGCTGTCAATGTTACTTGACGACCATTGTTAATTTGAAGCATTGCTCAAGGTTGTAGCCGTTTTTTTTTATGTCAATCTAGCTTTCACCAAGAATTTATAAAGAAGATATAGAAGTATGCTACCAACTAAGTATCGATTGCACAATGTGCCTGAGCAATGGCTAGTTGTACCAGCAGTATCATCATGTTTGCAAACAGTGTTTTTTTTATTGCGTGGACAATAAAACATTGCAAGAAATAATGATCGGTTGCGTAAATATTGATATCCTTTGTTATAATGAACACACTTTTTAAACATAAAATATTGTCATTTAGTAGATCATTTTAGCATTTACCACGATGATTTAATACAGTGTTAAAACACAGGTTGATCCTTTGGGTTGTGATAACAAGAAAGCCATCAAACTTGAGAACGAAACATTTTGGATGTGAGTAGGAATGAGTAGGGATGGTGAGGGGGGTGACAATGAAACAGAAACAACCGCCATTGTAAGATCAATGGCATATGTTGTGAATCGCGGGATCGTACTATTTAGGAATCAAAAATGGACAACTCCGAAGAGAACGATTTCAGTTGGTTGGAGAGAAGAGAAGGCGAAAGGGGAGGGGGTCAAGAAACACCCACAATCTACGATCGCATCCAATTCTTGCCTCTCTCTCTCTCTCTCTCTCTCTCTCTCTCTCTTTCCCTTTTATCTTGTACATTCGTTCTTTCTTTCTTTCTTTTTCTCCCTCTGCTATACAATCAAATATTCATGGTTTTCATTCGATGACCCAACAGTTATGTAACGATTATCAATATGAAGATAAAGAGGAATCAAGCCCACCACCCTCAAATAATTCGAGCAATCCACCAGCTCAAAATTTCTCACCATATGAACAAACTTCTCATGACGAAGCCACAGAAATGCTGACTAAAATATTAAACATGTCGAATGCCAATGAAGTATATACATCTATCCCAAATATGCCAGCAAATGCAGATGACAACAGTGATTCTGATGTATCATATTGGAGTGAAGATGAACGTACGATTCTAAGAGCATTCTATGAAAACGAAAGAGAAGATGGGAATGAGCAGAATGATGAAGATAATGATGAAGTCTTGCTCGAGAAATACATTATGGATTTATGTCAAACTACAAACAATACAACCAAACCACTCTTACCGCCTCTTTCTCTGGCACATGCTCCTCAGCCATCATCACCCTCTCCACCATCCTATGCCTCTGATTCTTCCTTTTCACATCCATAAACTATAAATGTATTTTTTTTTTTCACGCTTTTACACCCTTAATTTGTAAATAAAAAAGATCGACATCTTTTTAACTCTCAATCTTTTTTTCCCAAATATATAAAAAGGAACCACAGGCGATTGGATTTATCACAATGATAGTGTAACATGTTTTATTCTGTTTGATTCGATTTCAAGGCAGAGGTATTATAGCCATGTATGTGTGTGTGTGTGATTTGATCGTCCTGTATTCAGGCTTGTACATTTAGCATTTAGCCCAAAAACTAGAGTTGCCCAATCAATGAATGAATCACTCATCTTCAGCCACTAAATGTCTGCTGCCTGCTGCCAAGTAGACAAGGCGGCGTATTTTATTGTTCATGTATGACAAGATATCGTTTGCTAGCAGTGACCAACGTTTTTTCCAAATTGAGCTCACTGCATACCGAGATGCTGGTTTTAAGAACTATATATGTATACATACGACAGGGTGAAGTGAAAGAGTCAGCCCATAACAGCTTGTTAAAGGCAGTTGGAGGTTGGTTTGAATGTAAGAGCATCTGCTGATCCGGTACTCTATTTTAAGTTTCTGATTGACAGCCTCTTTTTTTAGATGCCTCCTGAGTTTGTTGCCGACACAGACACCTGAGTACAACATTACCACGTTGGGATGTAATTCTAAGCCATCCAATGTTGATGATGCTCGTAACAGATGGCTTGATCACCCGCAGATGCACATGATTTAATAATAATAAGAAGGCGTCTCCAAGGTCTAGAGCTGTCCATTTCAGTTCATTACGACATAAACAGACAGGACACAGTAGTACTAACCAAAAGTTTATTTTTGAATTATATAAACAAACAATTGTTTTCATTGTGCTACACGATCAGCTCATAAATTTGGCATGTCAGCCAAAAACAACAACTAGCATATACAGCACGCTTATGCATACTCGATTCGAGCAGATCAAGCAAAGAAAATTTATCCGAATGCTTGCTACAGTTTACTCACTTTAATTTTGCAAAAATGTAAATGGGGGATTGGATATAAAAGAAACAAGAGAAGTGAGATTTAGTACAGCTGATCTATGGTATCCATTCAAAAGTACTCAAGTTGCTCCCAGTCAACTTATTGCGAGGGTTGTTCTCAGCCAAACCCACTGTATAATGGAATGAAGAACAAGCCAACATCGGTTGCTGTGGTATTCCACTGAGAACTGATAGGCAAGCTATGATTAGACTGTAAAGCAGGAAAATATAGCTCATAGAAATGGCGATGTAGATGTCGATACCATCTACACACGGTAGTTGGCAGTGTTATGGCTATTGATGCTAGCTTTTAGATACAGGTGATATATAAACAAGATGTATATAAGTTTATGATCAAACAAGACATGACTAAGTATGAATCATTTCTTTTTTTTCTTTTGCAGCACTCATCTTGTATTCAAGCGCATAATAGCCGTATCATGCTCAGGGAAATCAAACCGATGAATCTTTTAGCACATGTTAAGCTATAACAGGCTCATGCGAGACGCTTACGAAGTGGCAATGCACTTGGATAAAAGTCTGTCAGAGTCCACTAAAATCAACCACTTCAATGGAGATAAAAATATACTGCTCTACTTCTGCCTTGTGACACTAACCTTAATTCTTCCCAAACCACACAATTCATGAACGCGTCGATTCATACTGAATCCCAAGTTGCTATGCTGATAAACGCCTACCAAACCATGACTGGGATGACAGTGCTTTGGCGTTGCTTATCTTTTATGATTTATATATCATAACATAATAAATGCATAGTCCCTAGACATTTTTACAATTCTAATATAAAAACTGAGTCGCCAGGCATGTGCCAGGCATGGTTCATATATGACTAGAGATTTTGTATTAAATTGCTATCGATCAACAATCAAGTTTCATCTAACATTTTAGCTATTATTAATTTTGCAATATTAGCCAAAGACCCGTTGTAGCGCGAGCCACCTGAATGTAGGTTGATTTCCACCAAAGCGAAGCGTAGATCAGGAAACCACCCGAAGAGTCGAAATCCTCATCGTAACGTAATAAATTTATGGTCCCTAGACACTTCCGAAGCCTCAAAAAGGAAAGAAGTTGATCTGACAAGTATTTTGATACACTGGCGTTATTAAATATAGAATACAAGAAAGATGGCATGACTAACAATGGCGCTATGTTTTCCACCTACTTTCCATGCGCTTCAAAAGCATCTATTAACTGCATTGTCTTCATAATGAACAGGGCATTGAGTTTGCCAGCCAGACCCACCAGCCAGAATAATTCAAACCCAAAATTTTGATCTGTTCCAGATTGGACAAATCTTAATGATTTTCGACTCGATTGAACTATTTTAGCAGATTTGACTAAGTAAAACATGATAATCACCCTATGCTTCTTTAAGCTCACCTTTCTTTCGTCTAAATTGTTTTTAGGGCCTTTCAAACCCCGAAAACATCATTAAGCAGTAAAGATCAAAACAAAACCGACAAACAACACAACAACAACAATTCAGTCAGGTCTGTCAAGTCAGCCGACACCTACCGTTACCTCCAACTTTCGTCTCACTTTAACCAAACAGACGACAGCCGGCAACCGTTCCTCCAAACTACCCGTTGCGTCCAAGAAGCGTCGCTTCTCTACCATCAAAGCTACCGCTGTACCTTTGCGTCGTTCACCTCGCACTCACGCACCTACAGTAGAACCTCTCGTCTCCATGATTACCGACTCGCAACTTACTACTATGCCTGTAGTCTCCTCCACCGATTCCACCTCCATCCTGGGCTTAGAACCCTCTGCTATTGCGCCCAGCACGCCTACTACTGTCTGTACCGGTCTGCATGTTCCCCGCCCAGACGAAATCCATGGTCATCCTCAGTTACCTAACTGGATCCAGGAAATCTATGCACGTCTTTCTGCACACGATTCTCAACTGGAACAAATTAAAGATTTGTTGAAGAGAAACCATGAACTTCAACTGGCTTTGGATAACGCTAATCGAGAGATTGCACAACTCAAGTCAACTGCCAATCACTCGTTGCCACCCTTGCCTTCAGCTCCGACTGTACCTGAGAAGAGATCAGATGGTACCTCGGCCTCCAAATGGGCTGATGTGGCCGCCACTCCACCATTGAACGATCCACCAAAGAAGCCCCAGACTCTCAAGACACCTAAACCTAAAGCCATCACTTCTTCCAAGCCTGTTCCCAAAGGTAAGTCCAAACGACCTCCAACTTTGGAACAAATTAATCGTTTTTACTCGGCCCCATCGGAATCACATGGGTACCAATTCTTGTACTTTACATCCCGTGGTCGTGAAGCCATCTCCAAAATCCGTGCTGGTTTTGGAGTACTTGGCTTATCGCAGAGCCGCATCCTCGACATCCATTACCCTGAGAACAACACTATCAGCTTCCTGGTACACAATGACTATGTCGATACTGTCAAAGATGCCATGGCCAAGCTGCCTTCCTCCAAGCTCCTCAATGATTTTGACCCTTGTGCTCCTTCATTACTCCGTGATCGTAAGTATACTACTAACCCTGACCAGGCTTTTGTGCAAGCTGAAGCCACCCGAATCCATCAAGAACGGTTAATACGTATTGTCAAGCGCCTTCATGTCCCTCATGTTCAACTTGCTGTCGCTAGGGAATTTTGCTTCAAGCGTCAATGGCTTCCTGAATCTGTATATCATTCTCTCTACTCTGCTATCTATCCTGACAAATCATCCAAGGCTATCGCCCTTTCAGCACAGGCCGATGTCAACATGGATGATGTTCCTGCAACTCAAGATTCTACTACTCAACCTGCTACCTCTTCTACCTCTATTAGCCCAGCTGACGGCGTCTCAGCCCCCTTGGCCTAATGAGTACTAACACCTATGAATCTCACACCTATGCCACTAATATGCCCAATTATACCACTAACATTCAATCTTTTACGCACAATCACAACTTCAATATAGCTTCCCTGAACTGCCGCAATCTTGTCAAAGCCTCTACTCCAGAGATTAGCTCTGACTTCATTCGATATTTACGTTCCTTACATTTGGACATTATATGTATTCAAGAATCGCACGCCGTTGAGGCAGTTCAGGACCAACTCAATCTACAATTCCAAGCTCATGCCACCTTATGGACACAACATTGTGGTATTATCTCATTCAATCCATTAATCAACTTACATTCTTTAGACTTCGATCTGGACCAACGCATCCTTGCCTGCAAGGTTGTCCATGCCAATGCGTTGTTCCCACCCTTCACACTCCTTAACATCTATGCTCCTGCCCAATACTCTCCCAGAGTGCAGTTCTTTCGCAATCTTCTAGCGTTGCCTCTTTTCGACATTCCTTATTCAACCTCTCAGGCATCTCTCTCCTCTTTATCTACACCTCTCGACTCTGATCCCTCCAACCTTGCTCCAATGCTCATGATGGGGGATTTCAACTATCATGCTACTTCATATCTGACCGATGAAAGTGTGGATCAGGAACTTGATACTAACAATATTACTTCAGGAGCTGCCCTTCACCGACACTTCCATCAGATTCTCAATACGCACTTCTTTGAATGTACACATTCGCGGGAAGAAGGCCCTCTGTTACCAACATATCGCAGACAGAACGGTCAATCTACTATCGATTACCTGTACGCTTCTGCTTTCTTATTCCAACACCTACACTCTTCTGACATTGAGTTCCTTGATTCCTCCTGGACCGATCATGCCCTTCTCCGGGCACGGTTTGTCTTTTCGTCGGATCGTCAGGGATCAGGTCTATGGCGAGCTAACCCCAATCTAGCAACTAATCAATATTTCACGGATCAACTGTTTACAGCTTTAGATGAATTTTTCACTACCGTGGAGATTACCGCTTCCATAGATGCCGCCGCCTCCATTTTGCCTGCCTCTCCGCAAGACAATTGGGATGCTCTTAAAGCTCTAGTTCAGGATATCGCTCGTCGGGTAAGTCGTGCTCGCAGCAATGCCTTGGAACGCCAACA